ATACTATATTCCTAGAAATTAAAAACCAATAGATCGAGAAACACAAAAATTTACTTATTCAGGTATAATACTCTGTAGATTAAATTTATTTTAATTTATTAACTAATATTTAACCTCAAGAATCAAATTTTTATAACTACCAATAAAGGTAAATATAAGGCTAATGGTTTTAAATATCAAGTTATAGTCAATCTAAATGGAAGTTTGGTAAAACTCGATGGTCCTTACTACGGTCCACGACCTAACTATAGCAAGACAAACCAACTTGCCCAATTTATTAGGTGTAGAACAGATAATAGGTGATAAAGCCTATATAGGTGATGGTAAGTTTTAATTCCTATTAAAAAAACTTTGAGGAGTCAATACAGAAGAAGAGAAACTATTTAAAAGTAGATAGTCACTATTCGCTTGGACTTTGAAAACCTGTTCCCAAGAGTAAGAAATTTTTCAATATTGGATAGACCATTTCGATCTGATGTTGTTATGTTATTTATTTAACATATTAATAGGGATAACTAAAAATAAAAATATTGTTTTTTAATTCTTTTCATTTTTTAAAAATAAATCTTTTTTTTTTTTTTTTTTTTGATTTTCTCTATTTCAATAAATAAACCAATATTTACTCATGTCAATTGTGCTATAAGAATATTCAAATTTGACGAAAGGCAGAAAACTTTATCTGTCTCTACAGTGATCCCAGATTTTGAGTTTTGGATAAAGAACAATCAACAAACTAAACCCATCAACCGTATTAATATGAAACAATTCCAAACTACAAAAGAAATTCCAACAACATCAACAATCACATCAACATCAACAACAACTTCATCCTCTTCTTCATCTTCTTCTTCATCCTCTTCTCTTTCATCTTTAGCATCATCATCGTCACGAAAATCAAAAAAAAAAGACAAATCACAACAACAAACCAACCCAACACCTGAAACCGAATGTAATAATAATAACAATACAACTCCTTCAGTAGCTCCCAATCCACCAAGCAAGAGAAAAGGTAATGATCCTCAAACAAAACAACCAACCAAGAAGACAAAACCACCTGAGCCCTCTCCTAGTAAACCTCTTGAGCCTCCTCCTAGTAAGTATTCTTTATTTTTTATTTTATTAAATTTATTAATTTATTTTTTTATTTTTAGAAAAAAGACGTCGGTGGAAATGTATTAAATGTAAGAAGATCCATAACTATCGATTAGTCGATTTTAAAGGAGATTACTTTGCTACCAAATGCTCACATTGCGAATGGAAATACATAATCTTTAAGGACAAAGCAATAGCGACATCAAAAGTAAAAAAACAAAGGTTTTGTAAGTAAAAAACAATATTGATATCATTTAAAACTATAAATAATTAATTTTTACTATTTTTTTTTTGTTTAGTTTATGGTAAAGGTGCAGGTCCCAATAACTATGTCCAAAATGTAAAAGGTGTCCAATATAGTCCCACTCTTCTTAAAGAAATAGATTTCTTAGAAAGACGTTCTCATTCTCGATATGGTGCCAGAGTAAAGACCTATCTTTTCGACGAGTACAATACATCCCAAGTAAATATAATATAAAAAGCTTATTTAAATTCATTCATTTATTAACAAATATTTTTATTGTTTTTTACAAAATAAAATTATAGATTTTTGCACCAAAGCTAAAGGAAATGGAAAAGAGCTATGTTAAAGAAAAGTCAGATGCCAAACGAAAAGAAGTGTATAAAGCCGCCAAAGTCAAAGCTCCTCCGGATGATCCTAATTCTTATGTTATCAAATACTATTTGGATGGAGAGACAAAGTATTACATCAACCGTGATTTCAATGCCTGTTTGAATATGGTTACTATTGCCGAATCATATTTAAAAGGTAAAGCCCGTCCAACTTTATTGTGTCCATTCAAAAAGGACAACCCGGAGGATGATTGAATAGATCTCCCCGAAATGAAATGGTTTCATCGAAAGATGTAAGTAAAAGGAAATTTTTTTAAAAAAAAAAATGAAAAGCACAAAATTAACTTTTTTTTCTGTTTCTCAAGAGAATAAATCATTTATGTTAATTTAACAATCATTATATTCCACCATTAGTATGAGATATGCCTTTTTTTTTTTCAATAAATCAATATTCATTTATTTATTAATTTAATTTTTTCAAAAACAATTATTAATTAATTATCATTTATTATTTTCTAGTATGAGATATACCATTTTTCATTAAAGGTTATTTGATGAACAACTCAATGCAACATAATCAACGAACAAACTAATACCCATTCAATCAAATAACCTTTAATGAAAATAAAATTGGTAACCATAAACCAAACAATTTTTATTTTATTTTATTTTATTTTATTTTATATAAGATATTTTTTAGATAGAGTGACTGATTTACCATCGTCGCTGATCGAAGTTGCGATCATGTTAGACACTTGAAATTTAGCACTAAAATAAACTGCACTAGTAACTAAATTGATTTGAAATGATGCATTTACAAACTCGCTTACTAATAAAGGAGTTTGACCTATTGGACTTAGAATTCTCTTACTCCATTTGTTGGATTCCAGATCTGGGAAGCCAGTTTTGGTATTATACTTGAGAATTAGATGTTTGTGATACAATTTAATGATAGGATCAAACAGTCTAAAGTTGATATACGCGGACTTGGGGATGATTGGGTTGATGGCTCTATTTTTCTGTTTCTTGAAGAACAGAACCAAAAGCTCTGGCTGATACACATGTCCGATGTTATATTTTGATATAGGACCAAATGCGTCGACAAGTTCAATGTCCAATGGTTCCTTTGTTTTGGATCTAAAAAGAGGGCTTCGTCATCCAACTTGTACTAGATTTTTGAATTATACAAAGGTACCCAGTCGTTGCTGTTGAAAAGCAATTTAGGGATGTCACATTCATCTAGAGTAGATGTGGCATCTGGTGAAGACACTGCAGGGACAGTTGGTACGGCATCTGGTGAAGATACTACAGAGACAGTTTGTGCAGCATCTGGTGCTTCAGTTTGAGATCTTCTAGAGGAACACCCCCCATGTAGATCCCTTGTTTCTGTTGCTTCTATCCTTAGTTGGCACACAGAGTATCTTTGCAGCTTTGGATTTAGAAGTAGCTCTGGTTTTGGTGCGTATATGACGAGGTATCCTAGCAGCGGTAGGCTTATCACATAGACATAAACACTTTGGAGTTACTCTTTTTCCTGTATTCTATTTTTTATGTTAGCAAAATAGTGGTGGTCTGTCAGATAAAAAAATTTTTTTTACGAACCATTTCAAATTTATCTAAATTCTATATTTGAATAACAATTGTATAATGAAAGAATGATTGAAATCGATACATCTTATAGTTGAAAATCAAAATTATTTAATTTATTTCTATCAAAAACTAATATTAACAGAGGCTCAATATATAAATTGATGCTTAAAATGCAATGTTAATATTAGCTTGCCCCAATCCAAATTAAATATTTTGAATTCAAAAAAAAAAAAGTATGAGTGTGGGTGTGGTGGGTAGCATTTCTCTTATTATGATTTATTTTTATGATATTTGCAGCTTAGATTTGCCCCTTTTGTTTTTTGATAATAAAATCAACTACACACAGAACAAATATATATAAATAAGTCATTAAAAATCAATTCCAAAATAAATATGAACTCTAAATAAAAAACAACAGGAAAATTGTGTCAAACATTTAATATATATTTTTGAAATACCAAATAAATAATATGTAAACTTTTTTGTCAATCCATAATCTGGATTTGTATGATAGTTTGCTATGGATTTCTAGAAATTAAATTGGTTGTATGATTAACAAAACTATAAATACAAAGAAATATTCATCAGTATAATCATAAAGTTATTTATTAAATATATAATTAAATAAACAAATAAATATATAAATAAAAATAATTTTAATATCTAGTAATAAATTAATAATGAATAAAATATTATTTTGTTTTTATTGGTAGCAGTATCGATTGGAAATGTTTGGTGTGAGGTTGGTGAAGTTGGTGAAGTTGAAGAACGTATTAAAGTTTGTGTTGAAATAGATTGTCCAGATCCATGTCCAAATGCTCAACAATCATGTAATGACGATTGTTTGTGTACAAATGATAATTGTCAAGGTGGTAAATGTAGTCATACTCCTGTTTCATGTGATGATGCTAATAGTTGTACTGATGATTCATGTGATTGTAAGACTGGTTGTTCTCATACTCCAAAGCCTTGTAATGATAATGATGCTTGTACAACTGACTATTGTAATAATTCAACTGGTTGTGTTTCCACTCCAATCTCATGTGATGATGGTAATGGAAATAGAAAAATTTAAAAAAAAAAGGGGGTTGATATGAAAGGTGATGTTTTTGATTTTGGGTTACAATCAATCTTAAAAATAAGATCTCTAGTTTTGTTTTTACATAAAACATTGTATCTCCACATGCCTAATTAGAAAAAAAATGAAATAATAATATTTCTTTTTGTTCTTTATGAATATTAAGCATAAATTTCTGAGATACAATGTTGTCAATATAACACCTCAAAATACGAATTACTTAGTAAAGGTTAAACTTTATAATAAAATTTTTTCAAAAATTTAGTTTTCTTTATTTTTATTAATTTTCTTTAGTTTTTCAGACATTTTTAATTTTTCTCTGTTATATTTGGCTCTCTTTCTCAAGTAGAGAATAACACCAACTAAAATTGCAACGGCAACGACACAACCAACGACGATTCCAGCAATTGCACCATTACTGAGTTTCTTCTTTGATTGACAGATTTCATTCTCATTGGAATCGTTGTTGACATCGATGAGATTCGAAAAGTCAGGATCCAAGAGAACGGAATCATCAAAGTTTGGAATTGTAATACCAACTTTGGTTGTTCTGGTTTGTGAAGTCTCTGTTTCATTATTATCTTCGATTAGCATATTCTGAATTAATTCGACATTGCCATCAATGATACCATAGGTGATGAATCTTCCGTAAAGACTTGTTTTGTCAATATTCATCTTGATCCATCGAACATTGTTATCATTTCCAGATCCAATCGATTTCGATGAACATGATCCATCAGAACCTTGAATGGTTGCTGCCATTACAACTTGGAGATAGTTTGTTTTTGATTGGAATTGATATCTTCCAATTGACATTGAGAATTTGATTGATGATGGTGAAAGTGTTATGTTTTGACCACCAAATTGTCTTTCGGTTTGGTTTGAAAAGAATTCGATTGTGACATTCAATGTTGTTGAAGTGTTTCCAAGTTGTGTTTGATAATAATATGTTGGAATTGTGATTAATTTTGGATTTGCAATTGTTAATGTCCAATTCGAGATTTGATATTCATTGACAACATTGTAAATGTCATCCAATTCTCTCACAGCAATCACTTGAACAACCGATGTGATATTGTTTGAATCATAAACATAAGTTGTTTCGGATGTTGGTTGTGGTTGTGGTGTTGGTGTTGGAATGATGATGATTTCAGATGCACATGATGGACCATACCACATTGGAATACATTCACAAACCAACGTTTGAAGATTACATTTTCCTTTGTTGTTGCAAATTGGATTACCTGGACATGTCTTTGTATTCGGTGTTGTTGTAGTATTTGGTGTCGGAGTTGGTTGTTGTGGAGTAGAGTAGTCTGAAACATTCACAGTAAGAATATTAGAACTCAATCCATTTCTGATAATTTGAAAATCAATTGATGACTGGAAGAACCTTGGGAGAGTTACATTCAAATAAACATTTGATAAAAAGTCGATGTTTATCGGTTGGAAATTCTTTCCATCTTTAAAGTCGATCCAAATAATGATCTCTGATCTGTTAGAACCAAAACCAGCACCAAATAAACCGATTGGACCACCTAATGATAGAATTGGAGTGGAACTAACAAGATAAGGATATACAACACTGGAGTCTCTGAAGATTCGATATGTTTTACCAATTGACTTTAGATGAGAAGTCAAATATGATGCATAATTCAATCGATTATCAACAATTCCATAAATTGAAATCGTGATATTATTGAATCCAAATCCATATGGTAGATCTGAATATCCATTGAGAGTTGCAAAACTCTCATTCACATATGAAAAACCTAACGATGGTAATTCCATTGTGTCACCGTTTTCAGATGCTAACAATAAATATGGTAAATGTCTGAATGAAATTCCTGATCCAGTTCCATCGGAGATAGACAAGTTGAATTCAACTCTTCTTTCCATTGAGTAAACTTTGACAGATGGTGTAACTGAAAAATCAGTGATAACTGGTGGTGTTGTATCAAGAACATCTAAATTAAAAGTATTAAATTATTAGTTTAAAAGTTTTTATGATAAAATTATTAATGATGTAAAGACATACTTGGACAAATTAAACTTATGATTAATTCAGATTCATCTGGAGTTCCAATAATAGTTGAAAGAGGATTATATTGGAGAACGCCATCAGTCAATGAAATTGATCTGATTGTAAAGTTTTGAGAAGTACATTTGGTTGCAATCGTTGTATACACTGTATAGGTTCCATTTTGAGCATTTCCATTGATTCTGTTGAATTCATTGATTTTAATAATTCGTGGAAGAGAGTCTAAATTTGAAATGATTTCGAAAGTTCCAAAAGTAAATCCCAATGGTTCATTCAAAATCGTGACATTCCAACCAAGTTGGAATTGATTTTGACCGTCAGTGTTGATAGATGTTGATGGGAAAGCTTTAATAGATGTTATTTCTGGTTGGTAGGAATGACTACCTTTAATATTGTACAGAAAATTGATTAATATTGAGAATAAATCTAATAAATTATTTATAACAATATAACTTACTTGAGTTAATAATATTGACTGTAAAATTTGAAAGATCAAAACTATAGATCATGTTTTGATAGTTTGATAATATAAATTGAACAGGTCCATTAACAATATTAGATGAAATATTGAAATCTATACAATATAGATTTTTGTTGATATCAAACTTTGTCTTGAATCTAGGACTTTGATTTATTGGGTCATTAAATATAAATACATAATCAAGAATACCTGACAGTGGTCTTGTGAGATTGAAAAACAATGTGTTTGAAAATTCATTCTTTGAAAGATCCATTGTTGTTCTTCTGAATCCAATATAACTAAAATCTTCAACACGTAAAATATCTAATTTTTTTTGTAAGTATTGATTGTTTGTTTTATAAAAATTGGTTGATTATTTTTCTTACCTGTGGTATTAATTGATAAATAAGGATCGGTTGATTTCAAATTATTATTATAAAACTGACTGCTATATAAATAGTAGGTTTCTCCTCTGGTATTTACAAAAGAAAAGACATAGGTACCAATATTGTTGTTGTAGATTGAAAGTTCATATGTTCCTTTGAATGGAGTTCCTTCCAAGAGTTGCAATTTCTGAGGGTTTGAATTAATTGTCAATTGGAGGATTTCATAGTTTGTCAAAATACTGATTCTGGTTATAAATGTAAAAGAGCTAACTCTAGTCATTTGGATATCTAAAATTTCAAACACCCAAGCATCTACAATTTAAAAGAAATAGTAAAGTTAATATTTTAACTAAGGTAAAATAATATCAAACACTATACCTGAAAATAAAGATTGAGCTTTTATAGAAGCACTGATTTGGAAGTCTGGTAATTGAGCTATAATATAAGCATTGTATTGATTGGGATAAGGAACCTCAGTGGAATATGTAAACTGTGAGTTTGCATACACCGAAGGATATTTTGGTGTTACACTTGTAGTTGGAACGGATACGGTACTAATTTGGTAATCTCTAATATAATCAACCAACAATTCTGTTCTAACCACTGAAATATCAGAGGGGTTAGTTTCATTGAATATTCCCAACATAAGAGTGTTCATATCTAAATAAAACAAATTTTTTTTTTTAGTAAAAAATGATTTAAGGTTGATTGCTAAATTAACAAAACTTACCCAAAGTTGTAAAATTCATTCTTAATTGAAAAAATTGTTCAGTTTTGCCACCACACATAAAATAACGAGTTTCTGTAGCTGGTGAACCCAATCCAGAAAGATATGAAGCACCATTCTGGTTATTTTGGTACAAAAAAGCAAAATTACTCCCCAGTTTAGACATATAATTATAGGAAAATATAATACTTGATCTTAAAAGAGGTGAGTCGAACATCAGGATTTGCTCTATCTTTTTGGCTTGAAAAGAGAAAGTTTCGATATAATTGGTATTGTTTGGTGGGAAATATCTAATATTTCTGATTAGATTTACTTCGCTTGACACTATTTAAAAATGAAATAAATTAGTTTAAATTTTCGATTTTCTCTCAAGTTCATATTTATTACCATTCCATGGAAAAATGGTATCCATTGCGGGTATGGTCAGTGATAGTCCTATATATGAAAACTCTATACTACCAGTGGTTGAAGGAATTGATTGATATCCTAGAGGTATAGATAAAGAGACGGCGTAATGATTAGCTTTTGATGTTGTGGGCACTGCGGAACATAAGAAGACCGGAGTTGTGCAATAGAGGTTTCTATATGGTTGAAAAAGAGGGAATCCTGTGAAATTAAAACTAAATTCTACCTGGAAATACATAGTCATAGCATTGTATAAAGATAGATTTGAGACTTTTACTATTTTAAAATCTTCGGCTTTCACTCCTATACGTTTATATTTCAATTTACAAAGAGAAATAAAAAGTAAGAATAATTGTAAAGTATTAGATTAATATATTAGACTCTTACTGTTGCATACTAGAGTTGTTATATTGGTAAAGTCAAATGTCTGTGTATCTTGATATTGAAGAGAAATATTGATCGGAAGATTTTGTGTGTTTGATATCGTTTGAATACTGAAATAAAAAGATTGAGTTGAGAGTACCGTTTGAATGCTTGATATTGGTGATAAAGTTTTTGAATCGGTCGAGGTGATTGGAATTGAAAACTTTGAAAAGCTTAGTTTAACGTCTGAATCAACAACAATCGAAATGGTACTGTAGCAAGTGTGAGTTGCATCTTCCATTTGGTTGGGTGATCCCAATGTTTTAATAGGATTTATATATGTTTGTCCATTTATTGAATAGATTCCTATTGTTATTTTTGTTAAGGTTTTATTTAATTAATAAAAAAAATAACTATTCTATTTCACCTAATTTCAAAACATACCAATAAATATTAAAAAAATTAATGTAAGTTTAATCATTCCATTAAAAGATACTTTCAATTACAATTAAAAACTAAGCGAAATAAAAACAATACTTTAAAGTTAATCAAGAAAAAAATCAAGAAAATATCTAAAAAATAAATAAATAAAATTTAAAAATAAATTTTTAAACCATCAACAGACAATTTTTTGAAATATTATCAAATCTTGGAAATTTTTTTTACTTGTGCCATTCAAATCAAGATATTTCTAAAAATCTTTTTTTGTGACCGAAATCTTTTTTAATTTCTCCTAATATTTTTGATCGTAGAACATCCCACATTAATCTTATTAACTTATTAATTTTTGTAATTTTTAATTTTTACTTTTTTTTTTAAAATTAATCAGGGAGTGGAAGTGATTGGGAGCCAGTTTCTTTTCTTGAAACTAAAATATTTTTACATCATATTTAATTTTCTTTATTACTATTCATTTTTCTTTAATTTTTGAGACATTTTTAATTTTTCTCTGTTATATTTGGCTCTCTTTCTCAAGTAGAGAGTGACACCAACTAAAATTGCAACGGCAACGACACAACCAACGACGATTCCAGCAATTGCACCATCACTGAGTTTCTTTTTTGATTGACAGATTTCATTCTCATTGGAATCGTTGTTGACGTCAATGAGATTCGAAAAGTCAGGATCCAAGAGAACGGAATCATCAAAGTTTGGAATTGTAATACCAACTTTGGTTGTTCTGGTTTGTGAAGTTTCTGTTTCATTATCATCATCAATGAGTCGATTCTCAATGGTTCGGACATTGCCATCAATGATACCATAGGTGATGAATCTTCCATAAAGACTTGTTTTGTCAATATTCATTTTGATCCATCGAACATTGTTATCATTTCCAGATCCAATCGATTTCGATGAACATGATCCATCAGAACCTTGAATGGTTGCTGCCATTACAACTTGGAGATAATTTGTTTTTGATTGGAATTGATATCTTCCAATTGACATTGAGAATTTGATTGATGATGGTGAAATCGATATATTTTGACCACCAAATTGTCTTTCGGTTTGATTCGAAAAGAATTCGATTGTGACATTCAATGTTGTTGAGGTGTTTCCAAGTTGTGTTTGATAATAATATGTTGGAATTGTGATTAATTTCGGATCTGCAATTGTTAATGTCCAATTCGAGATTTGATATTCATTGACAACATTGTAAATATCATCCAATTCTCTCACAGCAATCACTTGAACAACTGATGTGATATTGTTTGAATCATAAACATAAGTTGTTTCAGATGTTGGTTGTGGTTGTGGTGTTGGTGTTGGAATTATGATGATTTCAGATGCACATGATGGACCATACCACATTGGAATACATTCACAAACCAAAGTCTGAAGATTACATTTTCCTTTGTTGTTGCAAATTGGATTACCTGGACATGTCTTTGTATTCGGTGTTGTTGTAATATTTGGTGTCGGAGTTGGTTGTTGTGGAGTAGAGTAGTCTGAAACATTCACAGTAAGAATATTAGAACTCAATCCATTTCTGAAAACTTGTACATCAATCGAAGACTGGAAGAACCTTGATAAACTTAAGTTTAAATAAGCATTTGATAAAAAGTCGGTGTCTATGAGTTGGAAATTCTTTCCATCTTTAAAGTCAACCAAAACTTTGATCTCTGATCTGTTAGAACCAAAACCAGCACCAAATAAACCGATTTGACCACCTAATGATAGAATTGGAGTGGAACTAACAAGATAAGGATGTTTAACACTAATATCTCTGAAGATACGATATGATTTACCAAGCAACCTTAGATCGGAAGTCAAATAGGATGCATAATTCAATCGATTATCAACAATTCCATAAATTGAAATCGTGATATTATTGAATCCAAATCCATATGGTAGATCTGAATATCCATCGAATATTTCAAAACTCTCATTCACATATGAAAAACCTAACGATGGTATTTCTTTTGTGTCACCATTTTCAGATGCTAATAGTAAATATGGTAAATGTCTGAATGAAATTCCTGTTCCACTTTCATCTGAGATTGATAAAGTGAATTGAACTCTTCTGTCCAATGAGAAAACTTTGACAGATGGTGTAACTGAAAAATCAGTGATAACTGGTGGTGTTGTATCAAGAACATCTAAATTAAAAATAATAAGTTATTAGTTTAAATGTTTTTATGATAAAATTATTAATCTAGAAACATACTTGGACAAATTAGACGAATCATTAATTCAGTTTCATCTGGAGTTCCAATAATAGTTGAAAGAGGATTATATTTGATCTTGCTATCGGACAGAGAAATAGATCTGATTGTAAAGTTTTGAGAAGTACATTTGGTTGCAATCGTTGTATACACTGTATAGGTTCCATTTTGAGCATTTCCTTTGATTCTGTTGAATTCATTGATTTTAATAATTCGTGGAAGAGAGTCCAAATTTGAAATGATTTCGAAAGTTCCAAAAGTAAATCCCAATGGTTCATTCAAAATTGTGACATTCCAACCAAGTTGGAATTGATTTTGACCGTCAGTGTTGATAGCTGTTGATGGGAAAGCTTTAATAGATATTATTTCTGGTTGGAAGGAATGACTAGCTAAAAAGAAAAACAATTAATATTGTGTATATATCTTTTATATTATGTTTTTAAATTAACTTACGTGAATTAATAACATAAAATGTAAAATTTGAAAGTTGAAAACTATAGAAGTTTGATAAAATAAACATAATAGGTCCATCAACAGAATTCGATGAAACATTGAAATCAATACAATACAGATTTTTGTTGATATCAAACTTTGTCTTGAATCTTGGACCTTGATTCAATGTGTCATAAAATGAAAACACAAAATCTAGAACACCTGGGAATGGTCTTGTAAGATTGAAAAACAATGTGTTTGAAAATTCATTCTTTGAAAGATCCATTGTTGTTCTTCTGAATCCAATATAACTAAAATCATCAAGACTTAAAATATCTATTTTTTTGTTAGTTTTTTTGTTATTTTTAAATGGATGATTATTGTACATTATTTTTCTTACCAGCGGTGTCAATTGATAGATAGGGATCGGTTGATTCCAAATTATTATAAAACTGACTGCTATATAAATTGTAGACCTCTCCTCTGGTATTTACAAAAGAAAAAGTAAAGGTATCAATATTGATTTTGTTGTAGATTGAAAGTTCATATGTTCCGTTGAATGGAGTTCCTTCCAAGAGTTGAAATTCAAGAGTTTCTGAATTCATTGTAACTTTGATGATTTCATAGTTTGTCGATATACTGATTCTAGTAATAATTATAAAAGAGTTAACTCTGGTCATTTGGAAATCTAAAATCTCAAATACCAAAGCATCTACAATTTTATAAAGTTAATATCTTAAAAGATGTAAACTAATATCAAATAGAATACCTGAAAACAGAGTTTTTATAACTATAATAGAACTCGATTGAAATTCCTGTACTTGGGCCATAGCATTACCACTATATTGATTGGTATAAGGAAGCTCAATCCTGTATTTAAACAGTGTGTTTTCGTATTCCGAAGGATATTTTGCCTCCATAACGGTAGTTGGAATGAGTGTAGCACTGATTTGGTAATCTCTAATATAATCAGATATCAATTCTATTCGAACCACTGAAATATCAGCTGAATTTGTAATGTTGCTTATGGTAAATGAAAAAACACCCATAACTAAAACATGTATATTAGAATAAGCAAAAAAATATGATTTAAAGTTCATTCTTAAATAAAAAAACTTACAAAGTGTTGTGAAACTCATTCCTAATTGTAAATATTCTTCAGTTTTGGCTCCACATATAAAGTAATGAGTTTCTTCGGATGCTGAACCGATTCCAGAAATATATGAAGCACCATTCTGGTTATTTTGGTACATAAGACCAAAATTATTACCACTGGATGATAAATATTGCATGCTAGACATAATATTTGATTTTAAAAGAGGTGAGTCGAACATCATGATTTGTTGTATATTTCCGGCTTGAAAAGAGAATGTTTCGATATAATTGGTATTGTTTGGTGGAAAATATCTAATATTTCTGATTAGATTAACTTCACTTGTTACTATTTAAAAATGAAAAATTAGTTTAATTTTTGATTTTTCTCTTTATCTATAATATTTATTACCGTTCCAAGGAAAAAGTGAATCCCTTTCTGGTACAGTCAGTGCCAATTCTAAATACTTAATATTAATGGTGCCAGTGGTTGAAGAAATTGATTGATATCCTAGAGTTATACCTAAATAAATACCAAATGTATTCGCTGTTGATGTTGGCATTAAGATACATGAAGAGAAGCGAGTTGTGCAAGTGAGGGATCGATATGGTTGAAAAAGAGGGAATCCTGTGAAATTAAAACCAAACACCACTTGGAAATACATAGTCATAGGATTCAACAAAGATAGTTTAGAATATTTTACAATTTTGAAATCCTCGACATTCAATCCTGTTAATATCAATTGAAAAAAAAAGAAACAATAAGTAAGAATAATTGTAAAGTATTAGATATATATGATTCTTACTGTTGCATACTAGAGTTGTTATATTGGTAAAGTCAAATGTCTGTGTATCTTGATATTGAAGAGAAATGTTGATTGGAAGATTTTGTGTGTTTGATATCGTTTGAATACTGAAATAAAAAGATTGAGTTGAAAGTAATGTTTGAATGCTTGATATTGGTGATAAATTTTTTGAATCGGTGGAGGTGATTGGAATTGAAAACTTTGTTTTCTCTAACAGAATGTCTGAATCAAAAGCAACCGAAATGGTATTGTAACAAGTGTGAGTTGCATGTTCCATTGGGTTGGGTGATCCCAAAACTCTAGTAAGATTTATATATGTTTGTTCATTTATTGAATAGATTCCTATTGTTATTGTTGTTAAGGTTGTTGTTTTTAATTTTTTTTAATTTGTTATAAAATTATATTTAAATTTCTCTTTTACATTCAAAACCTACCAATAAATATTGAAAAAATTAAAATTAATTTAATCATTCCTTTAAATGATTCTTTCAAATACAAAGAATCTTAAACTATATTGTTTGTAATGAAAATAATCTTTTGATATTTTAATGAACTGATCATAGAAAAAATAAATATTTAAAAATAAACAAAATTTATTCAATCATCAGATTGGACTACACTTTCGCCCATTATTGTTTTATTTTTTTAAAGATCATGATATTTTGCACAAGATTTTTTGACCAAAAAAAAAGTAAAAGAAAATATCAAGTTGTCGATTTCAAGCTTCTATTTATTACATATTATTATTTATTGGTTATTATTTATCCATATTTTTTAATTTTGAAGACATTCTTTTACTCTCTTTGATATATTTCGATCTTGCTTTTAGATAAAGAATAAGACCAATTACAATTGCAACGGCAACGACACCACCAACTACGATTCCAGCAATTGCACCATCACTGAGTTTCTTCTTTGATTTACAGATCTCATTCTCATTGGAATCGTTGTTGACATCGATGAGATTCGAAAAGTCAGGATCCAAGAGAACGGAATCATCAAAGTTTGGAATTGTAATACCAACTTTGGTTGTTCTGGTTTGTGAACTGTCGGTTTCCTCATCTTCGATTAGCATATTCTGAATTAATTCGACATTGCCGTCAATGATACCATAGGTGATGAATCTTCCATAAAGACTTGTTTTGTCAATATTCATTTTGATCCATCGAACATTGTTATCATTTCCAGATCCAATCGATTTCGATGAACATGATCCATCAGAACCTTGAATGGTTGCTCCCATTACAACTTGGAGATAATTTGTTTTTGATTGGAATTGATATCTTCCAATTGAAATCGAGAATTTGATTGATGATGGTGAAATCGATATATTTTGACCACCAAATTGTCTTTCGGTTTGGTTTGAAAAGAATTCGATTGTGACATTCAATGTTGTTGAAGTGTTTCCAAGTTGTGTTTGATAATAATATGTTGGAATTGTGATTAATTTTGGATCTGCAATTGTTAATGTCCAATTCGAGATTTGATATTCATTGACAACATTGTAAATATCATCCAATTCTCTCACGGCAATCACTTCAACAACTGAGGTTATATTTTTGGAATCATAAACATAAGTTGTTTCGGATGTTGGTTGTGGTTGTGGTGTTGGTGTTGGAATGATGATGATTTCAGATGCACATGATGGACCATACCATTTCGGAATACATTCACATTCCAAAGTCTGAAGATTACATTTTCCTTTGTTGTTGCAAATTGGATTACCTGGACATGTCTTTGTATTCGGTGTCGTCGTAACATTTGGTGTTGTGGTTGGTGCTGGTGGAATATAATCTGAAGCAACGATTGTAAGGATATTTGAATCCAATCCTCCAGTTGAAACCTTGACATCAATCGATTTAGGGAATGTTAAAGTAGATAAATTCAAGAATACACCACTGTAGAAATCAATAGGTGTGCTTTTGAATCCAGCTCCATCTTTATAATCAATCATAGCATTGAATACCGATTTACTTCCAAAGTATCTTCCAAATAGACCCAATGTTCCACCACCAGATGATAGTGAGGTACCAGAATCAATGATTGGATATCTTGGTTGCGAGACTCTAACAATATTATATGGGAAATTGGAGGCTAACAAATCCGATGACATATATGATGCATAGTTCAATTGATTATCTACTAAACCATAAACAGAAACCACAATACTTCTGAATCCAAATCCGTAGGGCATGTTGGCTACACCATAATAGGTTGCATAAGTATTATTTACATTGATATTGATTGTAGTAGTAATCTCCAATTGAATACCATCTTCTGATAACAATAGAATGTATGGAAGGTGTCTTTTAGATATTCCAGAACCATTATCATTATCTGAAACTGCTAGACTAAACTCTATAGTTCTATTTAATGAATAAACATTAACTGATGGTGTAATATAGAATTTCTGAATAACTGGGGCAATTGAATCTGGTGTTGCTATTTAAATAAAAAGAGATAACTATTAGTTATTTTCTATAAAATTTATTGATATATTTATATGTTAAAATAGACTTACATAAACATGTCAAATTGATTGTTAATTCTTTTTCATCATTTGCTCCAATAATTGAAAGTAACGGGAAATAGGTTTCATACTTGTTGGAGAATACAACATTGGAAATTGTAAGGATTTGTGATTTACAATTTATATCGAATGGTGTTCTGACTGCATAGATTCCATGAGTACTGTTTCCACTGATAAAACTATTGGTTTTGGTGGTATTGACAAATCTCTTTAAAGAATCAATATTCGATGTAATTTCATAAGATACTGTGGTAAAACTATTATATAAATCGAGAATTGTTACATTCCATCCTACTTCGAATGATTGATCTCCATTCATTCTAATGCTTGTTGATTGGAATGCTTTAATAGATTGAATTTCTGGATCTAACATACTTCCAACTAAATTTTAAAAAATATTAAATTTTATAAAATATAATAAATAAAAAACTATAATTAACTTACTTGAGTTTGATATTGTTATATAAGGAATTGGTAAACTATAACTGTAGAAATAATCAACATTATTTGAAATGAGATAGCTAACTGGGCCATTGACTATGTTTGAAGGAACTGAGAAATCTATATAGAATAGATTGGTCTTTGGATTGTATTTGGTAGGATAGAGTATTGAAAGGTCAACCTTTAGAGCTGTAATATAAAACAACAATTCCAAAGCCTGAGAATATGGAGTTGTGAAATTAAAATACAAAGTATTATTAAATTCACCTTTTGAGAAATCCATAGTAGACTTTTCAAATACAAAATAATCAAAGTTTGCTACACGTAATTTACCTAAAATTATAAGTAAATTTAGTTAATTTATACTATTCTATTAAAATATTAAATATAATTAATACCTTTATAATCTAATGGAATATTTGGGAAAACATTTAGATTACTGTTGTAAATTTGGTCAGATTTTATGGTAATCATATCACCTCTTGTATTGAAAATTTTTAAAAACATTTGTTGAGCTATGGTGTCCTGATAATACATTTCGTATGTGCCATTAAATGAATCTCCGCTTACTAGATTCGATGAGTACATATTATAGTTACCATTGTTGGTACGGAATCCAACAATTTCAAAATTACTATAAACAGATATTCTGAAAATAGATGTAAAAGTAGATACTTTAACAAATTCAACATTATATATTTGGAATTGAGAGGTACCTAAATTTTTAAACTATTATTAGTATCAAATAGTTATTTAATAATAAAAACCATACCTTGAATGTTTGAAGACTGTGTGTAGTATGTGAATGAATTTGGAACTGAAATTAGAATGTTGACATTTCCTTGAAATTCAATTGGGATTGGAACTTCGGTGGTGTATTGGAATAAACCAGGTTCGTAGGAAGATGGGTATTTTAATGTTACGACTATCTGCGCATTTATATCAGTTGTTAGAGAGTAAGTCATAGTGTTGGTAACATTCATTCTAGATTTTGCCAAAGTAATATTTAAAGCTGTGGTCATACCCGATGCGAATAATGTTGCACCTCCCAAAGCTTAAAGATATATTTTGTTAGTTGATTATAATCATATTGATTAAATATTTTAAAGATTACATACCGAATGGTGTCTTTGTTAATGATATATCATCAAGTAATTTTGTTGAACTACTTCCTAGAAGATAAGAGGAAGTTACAGTAGCAAAACCAAACAATCCACCAACATAAGTTGCTCCGTCAACATTGTTGGCCATCATTTTCAGTCCGGAATAATAATCAGCATCAACAGTGTTATAAATTAAAAAGGATTTAAGTTTGACTGGTGAAGAGATTAATTGGATTGTAGTAACTTTACTTGCTAACTGAGCAAAATTCTCTACATAACTTGTACCATTGGGTGGAAAGAATCTTTTAAAAAAACTTAAATTTGACTCGTTTGTAACTATAATCGAAATTTTTAAGAATTTTAGTAAATATATATCTATCAATTTTCAATATATCTTAAAAACATTACCATTCCAAGGATAAATCGATTGTAAAGGAATTGGTTGGTGACCAAAACTATTTCCTCTATAAAGTATGGAGGCACTGATTGTTTCTGAAATAGATTGATATCCTGCCAACAATTGTATGTAGATATCGATATTATTCTGATCACCAATATCGACCATAGAACAATGGTAATTGGAATCTATTGTGCAACTAAGGTCTAAAGATGGGTTAAAGTAAGGGAATCCCTCAAAGGTAAAATTGAATCTCAATGTAGCGATCATAGATGATAGTTCTGGGTAATAGTACACTGATCCAACATTCATTACGACAACATCACTTGGATTTACTCCTAAATAAATTATTATTGAATTATTATTAATATTTACAAAGGAAAATAGAAAATAAAAAAAATACATACTATTACAAACTACTGTAATAGCATTTGGAAAGTTGAATTGGCCGGCATTGTAGGTAAAGGAAACGACTGATGGTTGGTTTTGAGCATTGGATGCAATATCAAAAGTAAAATAAAAAATTTGGCTTGCCAATGAATATTGATTTTGATTTGACAATACCATGTTTATTGCATTGGCAGGCGCTGTAATTGTGATTAGGTTTGGATCCACAAGGAAATCAGCATTGAAAACCAATGAAACACCACCGTTACATTGTTGTGAATTGCCATCCATCATTCCTGGAGGAGGATTGGCCTTAATAAGATTCATTTGTTGAGAATTTACAACATTGTTTATATCTATTAAAAAAAAAAAAATTTTTAAGAAAGATTTTTTAGAATTGATTTTTAATAAATTTAATATTTACTGGATATAATTAATGATAGTAATAAAAAATAGATTTTATTATTATTCATTTTATTATATTTTAATTTATAAAATAATAGTACAAGTTACAAAAAAACACCTTTATGTTTTTGTAACCATCATTATTAGAACAAAACTTTTAAAACAAAAAAAAAAAATCCGAATAAAAACAATTTTAAATAGTCGTAAAGTAGGCGTTAATAATTAAATCTATTAATTGATTTTTACAAAAAAATCTAGATTCGATCGGGTTCCAATTAAAAAACTCGAAAAATTTTGATCTTATTAAAACATTTTGTTTTTTTTAATGCCATTTTTTTGAGATGCGTTTACAAAAAAAAAATTTGGACGCAAATATCAAACATTCTACAATTTTTTGATGACGTGGGTTGGGCTTAATATAATTTTAGTATGGGTTGTTTGACAGGTACAAAAAAAATAAGGTTGACAATCAGATTTTAATAGAATTCGGTAGGTCTACTAAATCATGTGTATCTAGTTTTGTTTTGACGACCTCTGAGTATATCCACAAACTTCAGTATCATTCATTTATTTCGTTCATTATCAGAAGTATTAGATTGGAAAAGAAAGAGTCAATTGAATTTATAGTTCAAACTATGTAGTTAAAAAAAATAAATAGATAGATTGATATAGGTAGGAAACTATGATTTTTATTAAATTCTTTATATTTGTTATTTATTTATTTTTATAGCAACTATCCAACCAAACCATTTTACACTCTTAGAATAAACCAACAATACATATCTATAGATAATTTTAAATGTATCTATTTAGTGTAACAACAAACAGAATAAATTGTAAAAAAAAAGATGAAGATCATATGTTATTAAAAAACTATTATAAGTTTATTAATCTTTAGAGTTTTTTTTTTTGTTTTTTATTTGAATAAAGGTGATCTCTCTTTGGTGAAATATGAGAGGCAACTTGTGAGTCCCTCGTACGTATCGTTACATTTCCCAGGAGTTCTTTAATGATAATCTTCCTATATTGTGTGTATGAATGAGTGGAATCGTGTTGATTCTTATAGAGAATAAAGGAATTTAAGAGAGCAGCTTCCAAGAGGTAAAAGAATATCGAACTATACCATCTACGTGAGTGGTGTAGAAAGCAAAACTCTTTTATCATTTGATCGTTGGTATCTACATTCCCTATGTTCTTTCTATAATCTCTATGCGATTCTAGAATGACTTGACTTGAATTCGATTGAGTGGTGGTGTTGTTTGTTGTTGTTGTTGTTGTTGTTGTTGTCTTTTCTTTTTCTTTTCTCTTTTGACCTTCTGATTTGTATTTCACTGTACTGGATGGTTGGTGAATAGTAGATAGCAGAAAGAATTCTTTGGTATCATATATCCTATAGAGACCTAGGTTATCTGATTTCAACTTGCACCACAGATATTCATGTTTCTTAAGTGGTTGCTTGTAAATGAAATCCGGAAAGATTGCTCTGTTTGATTTAATCGTGCCACACGCAAACACACCTAGCTTGAGAAGATCTTTGTAGAGATCTATTGAAGTGAATAAACTATTGGTATAGAGATGATGATAATGGTGTGGTATCTCTGCTCTACTAATCAAATCTTTGACAACTTGATTACTTATCTTTTCTTTTATATTATTATTATTATTATTATTATTATTATTATTATTATTATTATTATTGTTGTCGTTTTGAGTAGTTATTTCTTTTGGTTTATTTTGATAGATACTAAATGTAATTAGATAATGATGTACATCACATAACTTTGTCAGTTTGTAACCCCATTTCTCTTGTTTATCTTTAAAGTGCTGTAGTATGCCATCTGCTCTAGATTTGGTTGGAATGATACTTTCATCGATGATAATAGCTTGTGTACTACTATCCCAATACTTTATAAACTTTGATTCTATTTCCATTAGAAACGGTTCTATCTTGAAGAGTCTAGATGAGCTATCTTTGTTGTACTTGGTGTTGTCATTGAAGTGTAGATGGTGATGAATGAACAGGAACTGCTTGCTTGACATTACGCTATGAATTCGCTCTATAAACGTTAGGTCCTCCGAGAAGTAATCTTCGATACTGGGCATCTGGATATGACCCATCAGCATGATCACACCTAAATATAACTCGAGAACTCTAACCGATAGACCATCGTCCTCTTGGAAGTATTTTTTCTCTTGTTCTTCTTTTGCCTGCTGAATGATATACAGCTTGGTTTGAGAGAGTATCATCGAGAGCAGCGATTGATCGAAAAACAACCTAAAGTATTCGATTGGTTCCGAGCCATGCTTTTCAGTTCTCTTTGGTTTGAACCCACCTGAATTCGGCTGAAAATCATCACGATTCCACTTCTCATTGGTACTTTTAAGTTCATATCTTAACAGCCTGTTAATAAGTTCTTCTTTCGTAATAGAATCACCGCTTATCTTTATCTCGCTTTCATTTGCAATATTCAACAGCTCTGATTTCTTTTTGCTTTTATAATATTTTTCTAAATCATCTTAAAAAAACAAAATTATTAATATACTTTTTCAAAAAATAAAAAAGATGGTTTTAGATCGCAATTGTGATTTTAAAATAAGATAAAAATGAAATAGTAAACATACCAGACTCTTGATAGTAGCTATTAAAATCTTCCTCACTCATATTAAAACCTGTTTCATTTAGATACTCTTCTTCACTATCTGATCCAGATAGTTTTTGTTTTGTTTTCTTTTTGACATATATTTTATAATATAATCATTATATCATAAATTTTCTTTTGCTTTGAATATTGATCAATAAAAATAATAATAATTAAAAAAAAACATACTCAACGAACTTATTAAAACAAACACACCTCTGCAATGTTTTTCATATTTCAAATAATAGCGGATACACACACAACTTTTTATTTAACCCACAAAGTGATTGAATTAATTTTTATTATTGCTATCTTCTTCTTCATGAAAAAACTTAATAGTTGTTGCTACTGTTGATATTGCTAATAATATTTAAACCAATATCGATGGAATGAGTGCAATTTTCTGGGACAACTCTTAATTACGAGAAATCACCTAGTGAGAGCAAATCACTGTATCTTCCTGGTAAGAGAAGGGTGTGATGACCAATTTCTTTATATTTCTTGACGTGAACAGGATCCTTTATTTAATCGTACAACTTTGCTTGAGTATCTGAAAGTCTTGAATTTGCATAGATGTAATCTGGATCATCTTCATATTCATTGTCATCGTCCTCATCATCGAAATAATCAGTATTATATTTGTTTTCTTGATTGTTACAGATGTTCTTCATCCACTTGTCTTCGTAATCGTAGAGCCAGTCTGCAGCCTTCTCAAGGTCGTTCTTTGGAGATAATAGAGCAAGTCTTCGATGATCTTCTTCAACTTATTCTTTGTGGATGTATGATAAAGTAACTGTAGATGACCAATACCTTCCTAGTGGGGTTAATGTGACCAGAGTGGTTTTTTTTTTTATTTTATTCGATTTATGGTTACAAGCAAGAGCCTGTTTTGTTTTGATTGACATTTAACATATTGTTAATGTTATTATTACAATAGAAATTCAATCAAAATACTTATTAAATATTACCATTACAATATATAAATAAATAGGTCACATTAACATTTCTGATTGATGCTAAATTAACATTCCAAGGATTAATATCTATTATTTTCCAAAGATTCAAAATCAATTCCGATCAAAAAGGAGTTGATTCGTATCGAGACAAAGGATGGACGTCGTCTTACCTATTTAAATTCTACCTACCTACCTAATTTTTAATTTTTACATTTTTTTTTAAAATTAATTCGCAGGTGAAAGTTGTTGGGAGCTAGTTTTGTTTTGTAAAGCTAGAATGAAAAACAAAAAAATAATCGACATAGCAACTGGGATTGAACCCAAAAGGTTTGGTTTTGGCAGCTTTCACTTGCCTGGTGTGGGGGTTTACATGATTTTTAACATATAAATTTACATACATTTTCATAGGTAATTATAAATCTCTTTCTAGAATCTGGTAAATCAACTGAAATATAGAGTTGTTTATCTTTAAAAAACATTATATAGGTTTCAAAGAATGATATTGAATTTTCTAATCACTTTAACTTTACTTTTTTATTAAGGAATAAAATACAATCTTTATATTAATATTCAATTTTTAACTTTTTTTTTCTTTGCTCCTCTTGAATTTCCTTAATTTCAATTCTATTTGAATTGAATTTCTTTTTAACATGGTCATTCAAAAGTGTTTTTAAAATTTCGGAAACCTCTTTCGAGGAATTTATCTTCTTTTGAAATTCCTTTAGTTCATCCAATTGGAAGTGGAGTTTGTCGAAAAGGAATTGAATCATTTCAAAATCTTCATTCTGATAATAAAATTCAAGAGAATCCTCTAAATCTATTTCATTGCCAAACTCTGGATGTTTCTCCAAGAGGTAATTGATCATATCCATTTGTCCAGATTTGATTGCAGTATAAAAACCTTGTAGAGTACATTGACAATCACTTCTATTTTCATAGAGCCATCTTACAAGTGGAAAATGCATTCCTGTAATCAATTCCTCTATTGATTCGTCATTGAACACACCTTGAATATTATTGCTGTGGTACCATCGGATCATCTTTCGTTTTCCGTTTCGAAAAGATTCTAAGATACTATCTTTATCAAAGACATCCACTGTAGAGAGACCCTGCTTGATAATTGCGTCAACTACTACTGAATTATGGGATTTAACTGCTTCTTCAAGCACTTTGTCCCAATCCATATTAAAGTTCTCCGATAACCATTTGATAGTTTCTGCATCGCCTTTATTTATACTTTCCAAATCGAGCTTTTTCAAAGTTGAAATCTCAGTTCTGTTTTCTCGCATCCATTTCATTGTTTCGAAATCACCATTACCGATAGCACGTAAAAAGTCATACTCTGTAAATGGTAGATTTGGATGATTCTCATGAAACCATTTGATCATCTGTAAATTGCCGCTATCTGATAATTCATTCATTATATTCGTGGAAAATGAATCTAAACCGTTCTCATGTAGCCAATCTATAATATGTGGGAGGTTGAAGATTGCTGCATAATCAGTTGCCTCAACACTCGGTCGTACTTTTCCCTTTTCAAACAACCATTTGGCGAGTTCAAAATGACCATTGTAAATTGCTTCGTCTATTGATCTTTGAGATAGAAGAACATTGGTTTGATTCTCGAATAACCATTGTGCAACTTCAATATGACCTTTACGAGATACACTTTTCATTATATCATTACTACAACCTTCAGTTCGGTGTTGTTGTAACCATTTTAGAACTTCTAAATGGTTGTTGATTGCTGCATTGTCCATGGCTTCCACACAAACATCGTTAGTTGTATTTTCATGCAACCATTTCAAACATTCGATATTTCCATGTAATGCTGCATGGTCAATTGGAGTGCCTTTTGATGCTATTATATCGTTTTCGTGTAACAGTTTTGCTATTTCAAATTGATTACAAAAGATTGCATGGTCAAACAATGTACCCACATAATCATGTGAATTAAAATCGAGGAGATATTGAATTACATGGAGTTGTCCGCCTTTAATTGCATCACAATACAAGAAGCTTTTTGATTTTTCTTGCGGTTTGTTGATAGAAAGCCATTCAATCATATCGATTCGACCCATAAATGCAGCATTATTAAAAACAAAATCTTCTTCAACTTTGTCTAACTCTCTTTGACGACTCTCGTTTTTAATCTTTGATTGTGCCAGATAGTCATTCTCCACCAGCATTTTCTCGTTTAGATACTTGAGCATTTCTATATCTCCAGAGAGTGGTGATTTAGTGAATGCAGGATAAAAATCCAATCCCTTCTTGGCAAACTCTGTACATATATGTTTGACCATTTCCAAATTTCCAAATGCCGCTGCATCATACAGGATTCTATTGAATTGAATTTTGAGCGACGATACTGATATTGGTTTGGCCAACTCCACCAAATATTTCAACGTCTCCATGTTTCCACTTTTGATTGCTGCTCTAAATGTATCATTAACATAGTCACTATCATATTTACAAATAGAATGATCGGCATAATACTGTTTAAGTTCTCTTAGATACGAGTAACCAGCCATTACCTGTGGATTCTTAATTACTTCTGACCAACTGTATACGATACAATCATAGTTATAATCATCGATTTCTACATATCGACCTATTATTTTATTAATAATCTTAACATGTTTGAATATTAATGTGTTTAAAACACAATTGTTAAATATCTCTAAGAATTTATCTTTTTCCATTTCTATTTGATTTAAAAAATAATAATAATAAAAAAAAAACTAGAGATCATTGTTAAATATATCAAAATTAAAATAAAATAAATAAAAAATAAGTAAAAATTACAGGTAAGATATTTGTTCTTTAGAATCAAAAAAAAAAAAAATAATTACCAAGAAAAGATGAAATTTAAAAATTTTCTATCATTCACTTAAAAACAAATGATAATTTACAATATTAATAGATATTTACTTTTTAAAGTTAGTCTTTCAAGTTATTCGTGCATTAGTTCCAATTTCTTTTAAAATAATAATTTAATTAATTTTATCTTTTTTTAAGAAAATTAATCGATAAAATTCATGATGTTTAATTTTCATGATTACATTCCTATTATAGGTGAGTTCAAAGAGTATTGAAGTGTTGTTGTGGTATCTGATATTCCTGATGTAGTTTCTTTCTGAGACTTGCTGTATCCAACAAATATAATCGATTAGAAAATTTTGTTGAGGTTTAAAATGAATTAAATAATAAAATAATCAATACTTTATATTGGATGAATAAAAATTAACAAAACAAACTAAATTAAATTAAAAAATAAATCAAATAAATTCTTTTTTTAATAAAATTATTAGTATTTATATCAACAACCTACTTCACAATGATCTTTGTTCTCACCACTTCAATTTAGTTTAATATTCCGATAATCAATCCATTATGAATTTCTTTAGCTTTGTATTTCCTTTTTACAATGACAAAGAATTCATTTATGATATTAGTCCTTTCTTTGGTGGTATTGGCTTAGGGGTTATTTCATTAAAAATTTTAAGCAATCATTACAAAAAGTACTATCCTTTTGATCCAAAGTATATAACAATTCGAATGTTAACGGAAATATCAAATAACCACTTAATAGATCCACTTCAAATGGTACTGGTTGGAATATTAAAATCACACAGAATCAAAAAATCAAAATTATTTTATATCAGTATTCTCTATGGTGTTGGTAGATTAACAAGTTTGTACTTTACACAATTCAATATAAACTACAATCTTGTTGTTGGGACCAATGTTAAAAGATATGGAGAGATCATGGCATTATCTGCAATTGGAATTTCATCAGTAGCACTACTCTTCCTATGGGCAATTGAAAAATCAAAGAAAAGTCTATTTTCAATATTATTCTCTTTATTGAAATAATAAAAATGAATGACATTTCAAATTTTAACTTTTTATTAAAGTGAAGAAAATATTCCAAAATGACAGACCTTCCCTTGAAACTAAAAACAAAATTAAATAATCATTCAAAGCTTTCTACTCTATGCTTTTTATTAATTAAAGTATTTTTTATTTACTTTCACTGCTGCTCATTTTTTTTTAATTTTGCACTCATTTTGGATTGCTCTTTTCTAAACTTTGCTCTCTTTCTCAAGTACAGTACAGTAGCAATAACCAATGCGATGGCAACGACACAACCAACGACGATTCCAGCAATTGCACCATTACTGAGTTTCTTCTTTGATTGACAGATTTCATTCTCATTGGAATCGTTGTTGACATCGATGAGATTCGAAAAGTCAGGATCCAAGAGAACGGAATCATCAAAGTTTGGAATTGTAATACCAACTTTGGTTGTTCTGGTTTGTGAAGTTTCGGGTTCTTCATCATCTTCAATGAGTCGATTCTCAATGGTTCGGACATTGCCATCAATGATACCATAGGTGATGAATCTTCCATAAAGACTTGTTTTGTCAATATTCATTTTGATCCATCGAACATTGTTATCATTTCCAGATCCAATCGATTTCGATGAACATGATCCATCAGAACCTTGAATGGTTGCTGCCATTACAACTTGAAGATAGTTTGTTTTTGATTGGAATTGATATCTTCCAATTGACATTGAGAATTTGATTGATGATGGTGAAAGTGTTATGTTTTGATCACCAAATTGTCTTTCGGTTTGGTTTGTAAAGAATTCGATTGTGACATTCAATGTTGTTGAAGTGTTTCCAAGTTGTGTTTGATAATAATATGTTGGAATTGTGATTAATTTTGGATCTGCGACTGTTAATGTCCAATTCGAGATTTGATATTCATTGACAACATTGTAAATATCATCCAATTCTCTCACGGCAATCACCTCAACAACTGAGGTTATATTTTTGGAATCATATACATAAGTTGTTTCGGATGTTGGTTGTGGTTGTGGTGTTGGTGTTGGAATGATGATGATTTCAGATGCACATGATGGACCATACCATTTCGGAATACATTCACATTCCAAAGTCTGAAGATTACATTTTCCTTTGTTGTTGCAAATCGGATTACCTGGACATGTCTTTGTATTCGGTGTCGTCGTAACATTTGGTGTTGACGTTATATTTGGTGTTGTGGTTGGTGCTGGTGGAATATAATCTGAAGCAACGATTGTTAGGATATTTGAATCCAATCCACCTTTGGAAACTTTGACATCAATAGATATAGGGAATGGCAATGTTGTAACATTCAAGAATACACCACTGATAAAGTTGATTGGTGTATTTTTGAATCCAGCTCCATCTTTATAATCAATAAGAACATTGTAATCCGCTTTATTTCCAAAGAGATTTCCCAAAAGATTCAGTGGTCCACCTCTTGTTGTCATTAATGACCCACTTTCCAAGAATGGGTATCTTGGATTTGACAATCTAGTGATATAGTATCCAAAGTTTGATGCCATTAAATCCGATGACATATAGGCAGCATAATTTAACTGGTTGTCAACCAAACCATAAACTGAAACCACAATACTTCTAAATCCAAATCCATACGGTAGCACACCAGCAGCTGTATAACTAGCATATGAACCATTTGTATTTTGCACCGAACTCTCTATTTTTATAAAACTGCTATCCTCGGATGTCAATAGAATATATGGATTGTGAATAGGTGAAACTCCCGAACCACCATCGCCATCTGAAACCGAAAAAGTAAACTCCACACCTCTATTCAAAGAATAAACATTGACCGTTTCTGTAAAACTAAAATCAATTAACTTTGGTGGAGTATTTTCAGGGATAGCTATAAATAAAAAAAAATAATCAATTAATATACATAAGTGTAAAATTATTATGATATAATTTAACTTACATTTACAAACTACATTTATAGTTGCTTCACTTATATTTATATATGGTGATCCAATAAGAGCAATCAATGGATTATATAGATTAAGTTCATTTCCAAATGTAATTTTACCGATGGTAAAGTTTTGTGATCTACAATTGGCTTGAACAGTGGTATAGAGAGCGTATGTAGCTCTCTGGGGAGTTCCTGTACCTATTATGTTTGCAACTGAAACATTAACAAGTCTTGGCATTGGGTCATAGTTTGATCTAACTTCGAAAACACCATATGTAAATCCAACTACTGCATCAACAATAGTTATATTCCAACCGATTGTAACCTCTCCTTCATCACCGTTTATCTCTATACTATTCGAAGGATATGCCTTCAATCCATTGATTTCAGGTTGTAACATATCACCAACTAGTTGATCAAATAGAAAAAAAATAATTATTATTAGTTATTTTTAAGTTGAAAATATATTATTAATTCATCCAACTAATATTTACCAGAATTTATAACTGTAACATTACTGTTTGGTATTTTGTATCTTTCGGTGTAGTAAACATTGTTACCAAGGAAGAAATTAACAATACCATTCAAATAGTTTCTAGGTAAAGTGAAACGGATGAAATAAAGATTTGTCTTTGGATCGAATGCCGTCTTGAATACGCTTGATATATCAATCAAAACACTGCTGCTATAAAGGAATAGCTCTGAAGCATGTGCCATCGGTCTTGTGAAATTAAAGTAAAGCACATTATCATATTCTCCCTTAGAGAAATCCATTACTCTTCTTTGATAATTAACATATTCAAAATCTTCCAGTGCCATCCGATCTAGAAGCCAATGAAAACAAATTAATAAAAAGTAAAGAAAGTTAATTTTTTAATAATTATTTAAAAACTACTTACAATTAAGATCAAGTGGTGGAGCTTGTAAATAGTCGAACTGTGGGCTGTAAAATTGGTATGGACTAATTGAAATAGAATCTCCTCTGGAGTTTCTAACCATAAGACTTACGATATTGATTGTGTTTGCCTGAAAAACAATCTCCCAAGTACCATTGAGAAGAGTTCCATCGACACAACTAATGGATTTAAAGAAACCATTATATGTAACTCCCATGATTTCATAGTTTGAGCCAACTTGGATTCTCATGATATATTGTAAAGGTGTCAAAGATATATAATCAACACTATAAACTTGAAAAGTTGAAGGATCTACATTGTATTTGTTAAATTATTAATTAATAAATTAATAAATAATTAATAATTCAATTTATGATTATACTTACCTGAATTTGTAGATACCTGTTGATTGGTAAAATCACTTGAAATCATAGAACTAACATAACCATTGAATTCGGTAGCAATAGGAATCTCTCTGTTGAAGTTGAACGTTCCATTATAGGAGGTAGGGTAATCCAATTCTGTAATAAATTGGATGTATTGGGCTGTAGTCATAAGTCTGAAAAAATTTAAATATATCGAAGAAAATTGTATGTTAACCAATTGAAATGAAGGAGTTTGAGTAACTTTGTTGTCATAGGTTACACCTGCAGTTGCTATATATATACATATAATTTTAGAAATTTCAATATATATATTGTATTGTATTATATGTATGAACTTACGATATAAAACGGTTGTCATTGTCTTGTTTGAGATTAAACTATATGAATCTGCCAAAAAGAATACTAGGTTATTGATGGCCATGTTGGATCCACATAAATAGGAAACACCAGTTGCTGCACCATTGGAAACGATTTCACATCCCGTATAATATCCACCATCGACGACATTGTACGATACAATCGATTTCAACTCTGATTTTGTTTCGACAATTGTTTTGACTGCCATCGTAGGTTGTTGACGTGTGAAATCCTCTTTGAAAACTGAATTGGTAACTATTGGAAATGTTCTAATAAGAGATAATAAAGGAATTTCGCTTGTAACTATATATATATATATATATATATATAGTTAATTCATTATTAATGATTAAATTAAGTATGTTAATAAATAAGAATTTTAAATAAAACATAGTATCTCATTGTAGTACTAACCATTATATGGGAATAATGAATTGATTAAAGGCAGTGAAAAAGCCGGATATTTTGAGTTGTAGATGAGAGTGACATTGAGAGTGGAGGAAATCGATTGGTAAGTGGGTGAGAGTGTGATTTTGAAGTGAAAGACATTGTTGGTAACCGTATCTACATGAGTACATGTATAGGGTGCTGCCATACTACAAGTCATTCTAGGGCTGAAAGTGGGATATCCTTCATAGGTAAAATTCAACTTTACAAAGAAACTCAATTCACTTTTCAATATAGTTGGTTCATACATCTTTATAACATTAAATTCCTCAGGTGCAATTCCTAATAATAATAATAATAATAATTAGTTATTTGTTTTGAGATAATGATTAAATTAATTGCTATTTCTATTTCTATTTCTATTTTGTTTTTTAACACTTACCATCACAAATTAAAGATACAATATCAGTAAAAATAAATTGATCGTTATAATTCAATGTGAATGAAAAGTTTCCGGTAGATGTTTGTAGATCAGGTCGAATTGTAATGTCATAACTAAGTGAGCTCATTGTAGGTGAAATCGGATTCATTACAGTTGGATATCTAGTAGTACTGTACGGAACGACATCCAACAACGCCAATGAACTCACGATAGCGAAATCATGAGAGAATACAACTGAAAATCCTGTATTACAATTCTCACCGTCTGATATCTTTGTTTTTGGATAGGTCTGCACCTTTTCGATTTTTAATAACTGTCCATTTACAACACATCCATTTTCAAATACTTTTTGGTTGTGTAAATAAGTAATTATATTAATATTAATATTTTTATAGATATATATTTGTATATATTTAATTTTAACTTTAATTTTAATTTGTCTTACTTACTTATTGATAAAAAAAGTAATGAAAATAAATAAATAAATCTTTTCAAATAAATATTGTTGTTGTTGTATCTGTACATGTTATTTTATTAAAAATAAGTAAAATGTTTATTGATCCATGTTTTGTTATGTTAGAAAAGATTTAGATAAAAAGCATCTATTATTAAAACTTTTGTATAATGTCGATACCAGAGTGATAAATATCTTGATCAGATTAGAATAAATTTGGTGATGCAATATTCATGTGACGCCAGGGTTTTACTTTGGTGGTACAAACACAACGAACTCATGATTTTTTGCAAGATATTTTAAGAAAAGACGGTTTTTTTTTTAGATATTTGTAGATTTATTTATTTTTATTTTTGATTTAAAACCAAAAAAAATTCTAAAACTTTGAAAAACAAAAATCTATTACATTCTTTATTATTATTTGTTTATCTAACAGATGTATAAAAACAAATGTTATTGATCATTAGTGATTTGAAATTAAATGAAAAAAAAAAATAACAAAAAATAAAATTTAAACCTAAAGTTTTTTTGTGGTCTGATGTTCAGAAAAAAAATGGGTGACTCACACCTTTTTTTTTTTTTTTTTTTTTTATGATTGACTAGTTATGCATTTTTTGACAATTTTTTTTTATTTGATTGACTTATTTGACAGATTTAAATATAAGTTGTAGATTAGTTTAGTTTTAGATTAGATTATATTTAATTTATATAAGTAAGATGAGCTCATCTACATATACAAGACTGCTATCGTCTTTTGCATTGATATTTATAATATGCATTGTTTTAGTAGGTGCTGCAACAGAATCACCAAAACACAAGAATAAGATTCCACCCAATTTCGGTGTATCTCCAGAGGGTATGTAGTTGTTTGTTAATGATTGTTCAACAATTTGAAAATGAAAAAAGAAAAAACAAAAACTAGTTTTGGTTAATTGTTAACAACTAACTTTCTTTTTTGTTGAAAATGAATATGATAAACTATAACTTTGACTTTTAACTATATAACAATTACAACTATAGTTGCTAGTTATTATAAATCGAATAGTTTCAATTGTTTTTCTAGTGGAAAGAAGATTCCTATTGAGCAGGTCAACGATGACTACTGCGATTGCGAAGATGGAAGCGATGAACCGGGTACTGCGGCGTGTTCGAACGGTCATTTCTACTGTGTGAACAAGGGATACCGAGCAGAGTCTATCAATTCGCCACTGGTGAACGACGGTGTTTGCGATTGTTGCGACGGTAGCGATGAATACGAGAAGAAGATAAACTGTCCCAATACCTGTGTGGAGAAGGGTTCGGTCATGAGAAAGGAGCGTGAAGAGAAGATCGAGCGTTACCGACAGGGTTTGAAGAAGAAGGCTGAGATGGTCGAGGAAGCAAAGACACTGATCTCCGAGAAGAAGTCGGAGCTCGAAAGACTGAAGAAGGAGGTCGAGCCACTCAAGGAGAAGATCAAGGAGTACGAAGTCAAGAAGGAGCTACTCGAGAAACAGCGTGAGGACGAGAGAAAGCGTTTGGAAGACGAACGTGAAGCCGCCAAGAAATTGGAAGAAGCAAACAAACCAGAACAACAGCAACCAACTCCAACGTAAGTATTAATTAATATATATCGGAAGCAACTAATGAACTAATTCAATCTTCATATTACAACAGTGAAACAGAAGGAGACGGAGAAGATAAGAAAGAAGAAGAGGAAGAAGTAGAAGAAAAGAGATTGGAAGAAGTTAACTCTGAGCTTTTGGAATCAATTAAAAAAGGTATTGTAATTTTGTTAAGTTTGTTGTTGTTTGGATTTTATTTGATTTGTTTAGTTTGTTTATTAATAATAATAATGGTTTGCTTTGTTTGATTTTGTTTAGGTAATGAAAATGTTGATGAGGAAGAAGAAGATGAAGGAAAAGAGAATAATGATAATAAAGAATCAGAGATAAAAGCGGAGGAGGAGGAGGAGGAGGAAGATGATGGTCCACAAGCAAGAAGAAAAAAAGATAGAAATAGAAATAGAAATAGAAACAGTTTCGGTAGAAGAAGAAAACCAGAATTTACCAAACCTCCTTCACCATCACCATCATCATCATCAACACCATCATTATCATCAACTCTATTCGATTACCTTCCAGAGAGTGTCCAAAACTCTCTCAAGTTTATCAGCAACTATCTTCCAAAACAACTACTCGGTGGTGGTGAAGGTTGGTGTCAACTACCCATATAACTCTTTTCTCTCAACTATCTTTAAATTTCCACTAATTCTTTATCTACATTTTAAAACAGAAGTTTACTAATTTATTATTTTTCATACTACGTTTATATTAAATCTATAGATATGTCAGATATCGATGGTACACTTGCAACTACACGTCACGATCTGAGAGAGAAGGAAGAACAGATCGAAAAGATTGAGAAACTCTTTACCTACGATCATGGTACAGACAATGTTTATCTGCCATTGTATGGTAAATGTTTCGATGTCAAGACAAGAGAATACACCTACACCGTTTGTCCATACGATAGAGCATCACAAGGTGGTACCAGTCTTGGGTATGTTGTTGTAACCATTAACAATTAATGACTAACTAGCTAACTAACTTACCATAAATTTCGATATTCTATAGTAAATGGGAAGAATGGCAATCAAACTACTCTATTATGTCATTCCAAAACGGATTGCAATGTTGGGGTGGACCAAAGAGATCACTCACTGTCAGTGTGGAGTGTGGATCCGATAACAATGCCTCCGACGTCAACGAACCATCCAAGTGTGAATACACAATGAAATTCCAAACACCGGCTGCATGCGACGAAGAACATCTCAAAGTATTACAACTAGAAGAAGGTCATGTATTTTAAAATCATAACATAATAAATCATTCTAATATAGTAAATAATAATATCCGATTAAAATATAAATATAATTATAAATATAAATATATAAAACATTAATGTTCACACGCATAGCAACGACCAAACTATAAATAAATCCATTAAAACAAAATAAACTTGAATATTATCTAACTTTTGATAGTTGGTATACAATTTGAATGAGCAGTTGTGTTACAGTTTTTGTCGTAAAACAGGCACTTATTCACATAGGAAACTAAAAAAAAGAGTATGTCTTGAATCACAAGCAAGTTCCACTCTCTAGATTTTAAATGACAGTGTAGATGAGATTGTAGACAAGAATACATAAACAAATAAGTAGAAGAATTGAAAATATGATTCTTAAGAGTATTGAAAGCAGCGTTCTAATATTCAGTACTAAGAGACAAAGCAAAATGGGGGTCTATATTATTGATAATAAACAAAAGCAATCAATTATTATTATTTCTATTTATATTATCTATTAATTTTTAATTAAACTTTGATTCTTCCTTAGAAATAGTCATCAGGTATATTATTTTTGATTTTTTGATTATATAAATATTGAAACACTTTTCTATCTTTATCATCTTTACAAGCTCTTTCTAGTTTTTCATAGTTGGCACATAATTTGAATGAGAAACTGTGTTCTTCGATTGTTGGAATGAACTCTTTCAATATCCGAATTAATCCCACCATATCATCATCACATGAACATATATACTTAATTTCGATTGATTTCAATGTGTTTGAGTGTAATCGTAACAGTGTTTCAAGGAAGTCCAAGTTAGAATAGGTTGGATTGTCGAGCCAATCTTTGTGGATACTGATTTCGATTGATTCGATACCATGACCATCACCATTCGGTGTGTTCTTCAATATCGATGTTAGAAATGAACTGTAGTTCGATTTATATCCATAGTATTCACCGAAATAGATTCTCTTTAGATTCGGCATTGCTGGAAGGTGTGCCAAGTAACCATCGTGTTCAATAGAATCACAATAAAGCTCTTGATCATAATGAGAGAATGTTTGACTACGAAAATATCTTCTTTGCACTGATTTGCTACCGCTTCTATCACGATCATATTCGTCAGAGAATATTAAAAGAAGTTCGACTCTTTCAAACATTTGATTGATACGCTCGGTACTCCAACCATATTTGATGAACTTGATCCATTCATAATCAAAGTAGAATGGTGGTGATTTGACAAGTGAATATTCACTCTCAAGATTCATGGAGCCATGCCAATCGAAATAACTATTTGAAAGTATCTTTGATACTACTTTGAAGAACTGTTTGGAAACCAAAGCAATATCCATAACGAAGAACATGTAATTGACAAAATAAGTTTTGTTATAAAGTAGATCTATCTTCAATGAGAATGAAATTATTGTTTCCAATATTATATCTTGTAGAATACACTTAGACTCCTTACTGACTGTAAAATTACTGGTATTTGTATTCTTCTTCAATTGTATTTCATCATTTTGATTGATTTGTTCTTGAACTGTATTATCATTGCTTGGATTCAATATCTTTTGATAGAAGTAGGTATGATCGAATTTCAAACTAACTAATTTCGAGAAATAACAACATTCTTGATAGATCTCTATTCTTTTCTTTAATTGGTGATCATTATCATTTAGTTTCTTTGATTTTTTTTAATTAATAAATTAGTAATGAATAAAGTTAATTAGTATCAGTTATATTATAATAGTTACTCTTTTATCATTGATTATTCTATTGTAAATATCCTCTATCGTTGGTAAATGAGAACCAGTGTAAAACGATGACATGTTGCTGAATACATCGAACTCGGGATCAAAGAAGACATCGACAATGAACTTGATATAACCTTGAACATCGAAATAATGAATAAACTTGTACTTATGATAGTCTACAAAGAACTTTACACATTGTGATCTTAAACTATCATTTCCACTCTCCAAACATTGATAATATAGATTATAGATTCTGTTGAAGTTTATCAATGAATTATGATCATAGAAATCGATACCTTCGATAGTGATTAGATATTCATCATCTACTTTTTGCTCATCCTCTACTGATTTTGCTTCTTGCTGTGAAATCCTTCCTAATAGAGAAATATAAGTATTACAAATTCTCATTTTAGCTCTAATCAATTCTGAACCATGATCATCTATCAATAACATTTTTTTTTGAACCCGAAAAATAGATTTTTGTTAGAATTGAAGTTCCAAATCATAAAACATTTGTTTAAATATCGACTCTCATAACTTTCAAATATTAACAATTTTTATTCATAAGAATCATCGTCTTCATCATAGTCATCAGCATCATCGAAAATACCGATATCTTCGTCTGATATATTGTTTTTGACTTTTTGGTTGAGGAAATATTGTTGTACTTTTCGATCTAGATCATCTCGACACGCTCTATCTAACTTTTGATAGTTGGTATACAATTTAAATGAGTAGTTGTGTTGTTCCATTGTTGGAATCCAATCTTTCAATATCTTTAGCAATTCCTTCATATCTTGAACACCGCAATTCTTGATGTACTTGAATTCGATTGATTTTAAAGTTTTTGAGTGTAATCGTAACAGTGGACTTAAGAAGTCCAAGATACAAAAGTCTCCAGAAAATTCTTGAGTATCTTTGTAGATATCGATTTTGAATGATTCAATTCCATGACCATCACCATTCGGTGTGCTCTTAAATATCGATGTTAGAAATGAACTGTAGTTGTCTTCGAATCCATAGTAGCGTTTGACGGTGATGCTCTTTAGATTCGGCATTGCTGGAAGGTGTACCAAGTAACCATCTGTTGTAATACTTTCTTGATAATACTCTTCAGGTAAATTGCCAAATGAATGTTTAGTTATATAATCTCTTTGAATAGGATCAGCAGTGCAGGTATAATCATATTCGTCAGATTTGATAAGAAACAGTTCGACTCTTTCGAATAATTGATTGATACGATCGGTACTCCAACCATATTTGATGTATTTGATCGATTCATAATCAAAGAACAATGGTGGTGATTGGATAAGAGAGTATTCACTCTCAAGATTGATGAGACCGTGCGATTCGTAATAACTTTTTGTAAGTATCTTTGATACAACTCTGAAGAACTTTTTGGAAACCAAAGAAAAGTTCATGACATATTCGACAAGGATGTAGTCTGATTTGTCTTTGTTTATCAAAGAGAATGAGATGATTCTATCCAGTAATAGATCTGATAGAAAACAACTAGATTCCTTATTGATGAAAATTGAATCACTACCTGTATTTGTATTCTTCTTCAATCGAAATTCACAATTTTGATTGTTTGGTTCTTGTTTCTCATTGTCATTGTTCTTTGCCAATTGCTTGTTATAAAAATCATTAAAGTGATATTTAAAGGTACCTTGGATTCTATCTAAATCACCAAAATAAAAACATTCTTGATAGATCTCTATTCTTTTCGTTAATTGATGGTCAACTTCATTAAGTTTCTAGATTTAAAATAAATTAGTAAATGATGTAATTGAATAAGTAAATTATAAGTTTAAATATAATCTATTTATATAATTACTCTTTTATCATTGATTATTCTATTGTAAATATCCTCTATCGTTGGTAAATGAGAATCAGTGAAAAACGATGACATGTTGTTGAAAACATTGAACTTGGGATCAAAGAAGACATCGACAATGAACTTGATATAACCTTGAACATCGAAATAATGAATAAACTTGCACTTATGATAGTCTACAAAGAACTTTACACATTGTGATCTTAAACTATCGTTTCCACTCTCCAAACATTGATAATAGAGATTATAGATTCTATTTAAGTTTATCAATGAATTGAGATCTTTGAAATCGATACCTTCTAAATTGACGAAAGAGAAATCATCTTCTATTTCTGATATTGATTCCGATTCCGACGAATCCGAATCAGATAGTTCGACAATGATAGGATGTTCATCATCCGAGTCTTTGATTGTGATCACCTCCTGGTATGTTCTCTTTTTTAGTAAAGTATTCATTATATATAAAAATTGACTAGATAATAACTATTCTCAGCTATTATGATTTTGCAAAAAAAAATATTATTTTTGATTTTTTTAATTTTATAAAAATTCTAACACACTATGAAGAAGATTGTAATTAATAAAAATATTTATTTATTAAAAAACAAAACCATCTTAGTGTTCAACTTTTATCTTTTTTCTTATTTGTTCGTTAGGAATATCAGATCTATCAGAATTACCAACAATAGAATTGATTTCCTCTTTAATAAGTTCATTCAAGAGCGTTTTTGAAATATTAGAATTGTCTGTTGAATTTATGATCTCTTCAAATTTCTTTAGTTCGACCAATGGGTAATCTAGCTTGTCCAAAAGGAATTCAATCATTTCGATGTCCTCCTTTTTAAAATAATGTTCCAGAGAATCCTCCATAGATATTTGATGACCAAACTCTGGATGTTTCTCCAAGAGGAATTCAATCATTCACATATGTCCAGTTTTGATAGCCGAATTAAAGCCAACAAATGAACATTGACAATCACTTCTGTTCTCATATATCCATCTTACAAGTGGATAATCCAATACGTTAATTGAAATGTCGATTGACTCGTCACTGAACACACCTTGAATATTATTGTTGTGAAACCATCTGATTACCTTTCTGCATCCATTTCGAAAAGATGCTGAAATACTTTTTTTTGTCAAGAACATCGATAGTAGTGAGATTCTTCTTGATAATAAAGTCAACTATTTCTGAACTATCTCTTCTTATTGCCTCTCTAAGTACTGTTTTCCAATCGATAATAAAGTTCTCCGATAACCAATCGATAGTTTCTACACCGTATGTGTACAAATGATCCAAGCTGAGCGTTTTCAAAATTGAAATCTCAGTTCTGTTTTCTCGCAACCATTTCATTGTTTCGAAATGACCATGCTTGATAGCATTTAATATGGCTTGTTCTGTACATCCTACATTTGGATGATTATCGTGCAACCATTTGATCATTTGCAAATTGCGAATTTCTGATTCCTTGCCATTCATAGTTGCATAATCTATTGCATCTTCACTTGGTTGTTGATTTCGTTTTTCAAACAACCATTTGGCGAGTTCTAAATGACCATAGGCAATAGCTTCATCGATTGATTGTTGAGATTGAAGTACATTACTTTGATTCTCATATAACCATTGTATAACTTCAATATGACCGTTTCTAGAGACAATTTGAATTATATCATCACTGCAACCTTCAGTTCGGTGCTGTTGTAACCATTTGAGAACTTCTAAATCGTTGTTGAGTGCTGCATTGTTCATGGCTTGCACACTTGCTTCGACAGTTGTATTTTCGTTCAACCATTTCAAACATTCGATATTTCCATTTAATGCTGCATAATCAATTGGTGTATCCTCTGATTCTATGATATTATGTTGGTGTAACAGTTTTGCAATTTCCAATTGATTGCAAAAGATTGAATAGTCAAGCAATGAACCAAAATCTGGATCGAATATAAAAGGTTCTTTGATATCGAGAAGATATTGAACAACATGGAGATGTCCAGCTTCAATCGCAGCATAATACATGTAGGAATTTGATCTCTCTTTTGATCTATTCTCGAACAGCCATTTAATCATATCGATTCGACCTTTTTTTGCAGCATAATATACAAAAGATCCGGGTCCACCATGGTGGTATGAATTAAGAAATGATGGATCAAAAATCTCCAGTTTTTTTTTTGATACTCGACCATTTCAATATCTCCACAGAGTGGTGATTTGTTGAATGCAGAACGGTAATTTGATATCTTCTTGGCAAACTCTGTTCATATGTATTCGACCATTTCCAAACTTCCATACTTCGCTGCATATTTTAAGATTCTGTTGAATTTAATATGGAGAGGTGATGAAGCTATTGGTTTGGCCAACTCCACCAAATATTTGAGCATCTCGATGTTTCCACTTTTGATTGCTGCCTTAAAAGTATGTGTAGTATCAACTCCAAATCTGAATAATATAGTTTAAGTTCTCTTAAATAAGAATAACGAGCCAATACTGTTGGTTTCTCTATTACCTCTGACCAACTGTATCTCGCACTATCTACATTTTGAGTAACAACATTATGTATACTCTTAATATGTTTGAATATTAATTTATATAAAACAGAATTATTAAATATCTCTAAGAATTTATCTTTTTCCATTCTATTTGCAAATTTGAAGTACTAAAGAATGGCGAACTAAAGTCACAATTCAAATTTTTTACGTTTTTTGTAAACACAAAAAAATTTGGGTTTTTTTGACCATAAAAAAATTAAAATTTTTTTTGTTTTTGTTTTATTGTGGCTTATGTAGCTGATATATTCAGATTTTTTTGATCTTTTCCTTTTTACTTATTCAATAAAAATTTATTTATTTATTTTGAAACGAATCAATTTTTTTTTTTTAAAGTGATATCTTAAGGTTATTTGAAAAAAACAACAATAAACCAAATTTGTAAAAAAATTGTTGACTCTAACTAAGAATATTTATCAAACAGAAAACTATTTTTATAAATAGAAAGAGCAGCCATTATGTTCACAGTTGTATGATTTGATCTACAGGAGGAAGTCATGTCATGTCACATCATATATAGCCTAAATGTTTATCGCTTCAACCAGATCCTACAAAGTTAAAGAATATAGGCACTCGATAGCTTTGTTACTGTGCTTGTGTTGATACTCCAAACACCACGACCACGAGAACTCAGACTATCATAGCTATAGTGATGAGAGACTAGAACTGGAACAATCGCCTCCGTTTTAATTAAAGCCAATAGCTATTCGACCTCAAATCATATTCAAACAGCTGCTACCCGAATCTCCAAAGAACAGATTAGGTATGTAAATAGATAGTGTATAATCTATATATCTATCTAATTCTATCGTTACACTACAGTGATCAATAACCTCTATTTGTTAACGCGGTAACAAATATAAATCAACTTAATATTACTCATATATCTTATGACAAGACAAAACTCTTACTTATTAATATTATTTTATTTTTCAACAGTTAATAGGAAACAGTCTAATACAACCATTATATTTACAAAAAATAGTAATAATGTCAATGAACAAATATCAATAAATAATAATAGGCAATAGATAAGATAGATAATTTGAAGATTGGAATATAGATATTCTATTTTCTAACAACAATAACAGAAGTAATGGTAATAGCAAGAACAATGAATGATAATAACAAACAATAAATAGCCAGAGATTCATCACGATCGTTCAACAATAACAATAACAACAACAACTCATCTACCTTCAAACAGAGTCAAGGATGCCAATCAAATCCAACACATTGCATGAGCAACAACAACCATTAACCTACAACACACTTAGACACGTGTTGTTGAAATTCAACAATTAGAACAACAAACCGATAAACAAATCAAAATCATGAAATAATTATATAAAGAGTAATGATGGTCGATCATATTCAACCCAATCATATTATTTTGTTTTATTTATTTATTTTATTGATTAATATTATCAGCTTCATCTTCATCATCGTCGGAATAATCAGAATAATCGTTGTAATCTTCGACATCTTCATTGGGTATATTATTTTTGATTTTTTGATTGAGTAAATATTGATATACTTTTCTATCTTTAGCTTCTTGACATACTCGTTTTAACTTTCTATAGTTGGCATACAAGATGAATGAATAACTGTGTTGTTCCATTGTTGGAATCAAATCTTTTAAGGACTCTAACAATATCACCATATCATCATCATGACAACGATATTCATATTTGATTTCTATTGATTTCAATGTGTTTGAATGTAATCGAATGAGTGGTTCCAAGAAATCCAAGTTACTAAAGTCTGGAGTATAGTTCCAATCTTTGTTGATATCGATTTTGAACTGTTCAATACCACGACCATCGCCACTGGGTGTACTCTTACATATCGATGTTAGAAATGAACTGTAGTTCGATCCATATCCAAAGTATCCATTGAGAGTGATACTCTTTAGATTCGGCATTGCTGGAAGGTGTGGAAGATAACCATCTGATTCAATAGTTTCACGATAACACAAATCTTCGTTATCGGTAAATGTTTCATTACTGATATAAGATCGTTGAGTACCATCGTTGATATGAATATCATATTCATCAGATGAGATATGAAATGCGTCGACTCTAGAGAATAATTGATTGATACGATCGGTACTCTCACCATATTTGATGTATTTGATAGATTCATAATCAACTTCCAATGGGTGGTGATTGGACAATGCAGTTTTCACTTTGGAGATTGATTGGACCACGTAAATAATAACCATTTGGAATATACTTTGATACTAGTTTAAAGATCTTTTTGGAAACCAATGCAACATTCAATACAATCTCCACATCTTTGTATTTTATATTGAATGTTGGTAGGTTTACCACTGAAAATGAGATGATTTTATCCAGTAATATATCTTGTAGGATACATTTAGATTCCTTGTTGATTACAATTGAATCACTACCTGTATTTGAATTGTTCTCCAATTGTATTTCACGATCATTTAGATTGATTTGATGTTTAACTGTATTCTCATTGTCAATGTTCTTTGATAATAACTTGTTATATAAATCATTAAAGTCATATTCTAATCTATCTATTTTGGTGAAATAACAACATTTTTGATAGATTTCTATTCTTTTCTTTAATTGATGATCATCATCATTCAGTTTCTTTGATTTGGTACAAAATATTATAATTAGTAAATTATAGGTTTAAATATAATCTATTTATATAATTACTCTTTTATCATTGATTATTCTATTGTAAATATGTTGTATAGTTGGGTTATGCGCTCGACAATTAAATGATGACATGTTGTTGAATACATTGAACTCGGGATCAAAGAAGACATCGACAATGAACTTGATATAACCTTGAACATCTAAATAATGAATAAACTTGTACTTATGATATTCAACAAAGAACTTTACACATTGTGATCTTAAACTATCGTTTCTACTCTCCAAACATTGATAATAGAGATTATAGATTCTGTTGAAGTTTATCAATGAATTGAGATCACTGAAATCTATATCTTCTACATTGATTGGTTGCACTAAGTCTACTTTTTGTTCCTCCTCTACTACTGATGTTATCTCATGATATGATCTCTTTCCTAAAATAGAATCATCCATTATTATTTATAAATACAAAAGCGAAACAATCAAAAAATATTAAATATTAAAAAAAAACGATTACATATGTAATTACACAAAAATTTTACTACTAGTAAAATTAGTGGTGTTTTATTTTTTCCTTGAATTAAATATGTTCGTTAACTGTATTGTATCGAATATTTGAATGTGCTTTTTAAAACTAGTTTTTTACAGCAAACGAGTAACCATTGTGCTGATCTCCAAATCTTCTCTCTTTACTTATTTATTGATTATCTTCAAAAATATATGGATTCTTTAATTGGAACAACTCTAATTTCTTATTCATTGTTGTCAGAGTAGATGAAAATAACAATGTTTGTATCTTTGGTGGAAGGTGTTCAATTATTCTCTGTAAAGAAATTATTAGTGGTAGTTTATCTATAATAAGTAGATATATTTTGGATTAACATACTTTTACTTCAAACTCAAAGCCATATGCTAACAAATGATCTGCTTCATCTAATACCAAGAATCTACAGTGCTGTAATGCTTGTTTCATTGTGTCGTTGAGATTATCTGAAAGACGACCTGGTGTCGCAACGATGATATGTGGTCGTTTATCGTCGTTGTCGACGGTGAGTGATTGTAGAGCGTCTTCGATTGCAACACCCGCGATTACTACACGACAATCGACGTTGATAGCATTACCGAGTGTTCTAATCTGCTCGGCAATCTGCACGGCCAACTCTCTGGTCGGAGTCAGCACCACTGCAAAAACACCGTATCGATTCTCTGAGAGTGCAGAGAGTATTGGCAGTGCAAAGGCAGCTGTCTTACCCTGACCGGTCTTTGCACTCGCTAAAACATCATCACCCGACAAGATCGCTGGAATAGTATTGTATTGAACACTGGTAGGTGCTTCGAACCCAAGTTCTTTACAGGAATCGAGCAACCATGGTGCTAATCCTAAATCATCAAATCTTCTTTCTATTACAGCTGTTTTTATTGTTGTTGGTGTTGCTCTTGTAATCGATCTAGGTGTTATCTCTGAATCAATATTATAATCTTTTTCACTAATTTTAAACTCATCCATCATTAGAAATTGAATTAAATGATAAACAGCAATAATTTTTAATCATCAATAAATGTAATTAAAAAAAATGAAAAATAGAAAAACGAACGAAAGATAAAAATCTTTCAAAATATCATTTTTTTATTAGAATAATGGATAACTACTTCTTTTATGATTACAAATAGAAAAAGCTATAGCTTTTGTGATTACATATTGTACAGATTTGAACTTCAGCAGTAATGTCATATCACAGCCTAAACTTTATCGTTTCAACCACAGCCTGCAATTGTTTAAGCTTGCCACTCTAGCTCGGTTACCTTGCCCGTGTTGATCTATCCAAACGATATATAAACTCGGTGATCCTTAAACAATCACTTCCATATAAATACAAGCCAAGCTATTCGACTTCAAATCGAATTCAGATAGTTTACCAATATGCAAATTCAAAGTAAAAACGTTTAGTATAATATGTATTTATTAAATTACAGTGATATGCATTTTTTTATATACATTATGTTTGTTAGTGTGTTGCAACTACGATGATACAACAAAAATAAATATGAATAATATATATGCATAATAAGTTGTTATAATAAGTCATAAAGACTATTTAGAAGAATATCTATACTAATTTTAGAAGTAATTAATAAAATAATAGACTCAAAGAGTATTAATAAAGATATTTATTATTTAAATATTTTATATTTAGATTGTTAATATGATAGGAGTGTTTTTTTATTTTATTTAATTTAGGGTTACAGCCAGGCTAGTTTTGTTTTGGGATCTAATTAGTTATTAATATTCCATTTTTATCTTTTATTTATTTGTTGGCTTGGATTAGAATCGATCTTCTTTTGAATATAGTTATTCAAAAGTGTTTTTGATAAAATATACTCTTAAGAAACATGAATGTATGTATAACAACTAAAAGAAGTGTAATTTTCGATAATGCCGCTGAGAAAGGTCGAATCGATATCATTGAATGGCTGTTGGTGAATAGATCACAAGATAGAGAAGGAAGTAACATGTATTATGCTGCGATTAAAGGTGGACATCTCCATGTTGTTCAATATCTCCTCGATAGAGATAATCCTATCAGTCTAGCAATTTGTGATCATTCAAAGATTAGAGAATTAACAAATATACTCTTAACATGTTTGAATATTAATTTATTTAAAACACAATTATTAAATATCTGTATGAATTTATCTTTTTCCATTCTACTTTTTTTTTTTAACACTGAAGAATAAAAATTTTTTAAAATACTTTTTAAATATCTGCATGGTTTTTTATTATCCTTGTACAAAGTTGTGATCATAAATCTTTCATTTTTTATTTTTTTCATTTGAACTTCAGTTAAAAAAATTGATATATTATAATATATTGTTTATTTAGCAAACAGAAATAAACTATTTTTAATTATAATTTTAAATAGAAAGCAGCGGCTGTCATCTGTACAGATGGGAGACTAGAGCAATCGATTCCGTATTGATACAAATTATTCGATCTCAAATAAAATTCATACAGTTTACCAAACTCAAATTCAAAGAACAGATTTACTTACACTATCTCGAACCACTTGCTGTTCACACATTTTTTTTTTTTTTTTGCTTGAAAAAAAGTTTGTGGCGACCGCAGGACACTATTTTTGCTATGTCTGGTCAAGTGTGGGGTTTTATTTGATTTTTAAGAGATAGTGTAAGTAAAATAGAAGTCGCCACAAATTTTTTCATGCAAAAACAAAAAAAATAAGATCGATAATTTAAGTAATATTACGTTGTTTAGAGTATTGTTAAGAAATACATTGAAAGATATATATGTATTGAAGGGTATATGGTGAAAAGATCAAATCAGATAACTGTTGCAGTTTGTTAAGTAGATCATATCTAAAAGATGATAAAGTACCAATGCGTGTTTATTTGTTTTGTTTTTGTAATTGTTATTAATAATCTGATGAATCGTCGTCATCATCATCATCATCATCATCAACATTATGATCGTTGTCTTCACAATATTCTTCTATATCATCATAATCTTCGTCAGGTATATTATTTTTGACTTTTTGATTGAGTAAATATTGATATACTTTTCGATCTTGATCATCTTCACAAAATGCTTGTAGCAATGAATAGTTGGCATATAATTTGAATTTGAATGGGAAACTATGTTGTTGTTGTTGTTGTCGTTCCAATGTTGGAATGAAATCTTTCAATGCTCTTAGCAATTCCTTCATATCTTCAGCATGACAACGATATAGATATTTAATTTCGATGGATTTCAATGTGTTGGAATGTAATAGTAGCAATGTTTCCAAGAAGTCTAAGTCGACATAGTCTGGATTACAATTCCAATCCTTGTTGATATCGATTTTGAATCTTTCGATACCATGACCATCGCCATTCGGTGTGTTTGTAAATATCGATGTTAGAAATGAATTGTAGTTCGATCCAAAACCGTAGTATTCACTGAGAGTGATACTCTTTAGATTCGGCATTGCTGGAAGGTGTGGAAGATAACCATCTGATTCAATAGCTTCACGATAAAACTGGTGTTCTTTGCTTTTGGTAAATGGATTATCTAGATACTCCCTCTTAATACCATCGTTGATATTACTTTCTTTTTCGTCAGAAGTGATATGAAACTTTTCGACACTTGAGAATAATTGATTGATACGATCGGTACTCTCACCATATTTGATGTATTTGATCGATTCATAATCAAATTCCAATGGTGGTGATTGGACAATGCAATGTTCACTTTGGAGATTGATTGGACCACGTAAATAATAACCATTTGGATTATACTTTGATACCATTTTAAAGAACTGTTTGGAAACCAATGCAATATTCAATACAATCTCGATATCATTTTGATTAATATTGAATGTTGGTAGTTCTATTATTGAGAATGTGATGATTCTCTCCAGTAATTGAGCTGAAAGAATACATTTAGATTCCTGATTGACATAGTTATTTGATTTCTTCTTTTTCTCTAATTGTATTTCATCATTTTGATTGATTTGATGTTTAACTGTATTCTTATTATCAATGTTCTTTGCCAATAATTTGTTGTAACAGTCCTTAAATGAATATTTTAAGCTATCTATTTTGGTGAAATAACAACATTTTTGATAGATCTCTATTCTTTTCTTTAATTGATGATCATCATCATTCAGTTTCTTTGATTAGATTTGTTTAAATAAAAATTAGTAAATTATATATTGAATATTAGAAATGTTAATAAATACTCTTTTATCAATGAATATTCGATTGTAAATATGTTCTATCGTTGGTATATGAACTCTACACTTAAAAGATGACATGTTTTTGAATACTTTGAATTCAGGATCAAAGAAGACATCGACAATGAACTTGATATAACCTTGAACATCGAAATAATGTATAAATTTATATTCATGATAGTCAACAAAGAACTTTACACATTTCGATCTTAAACTATCGTTTCTACTCTCCAAACATTGATAATAGAGATTATAGATTCTATTAAAGTTAATCAATGAATTGAGATCACTGAAATCTATATCTTCTACTTTGATAGGTTGTTGCACTAAGTCTTCCTCCTCTACTGATGTTGTCTCTTGATATGATCTCTTTCCTAAAATAGAGTTAGAAATCTCCATTGTTATAATTTTTTTAAAAAAAAAGAAATTCTATTAATCAACAACCAATTAAATATAGTATAGTATTGATTTCCAAGAAAAATAAGACAATCTTATTATTGGGTGGGAAAAAAGGTTAACAATCAATTAAACAATATGAAATCTTTAAAAAAAAAAAATTTCCCACCTAATATTTCAATCAGAAAATCACACACATCTCAAAAAAATTTTTTTTTCATTCAACGATTTGATCGTTGGGGATGACACAGCATTTTGGTCTAGCTGCAGAAACCTCTTTTTCTTCCACAATAACTATTCTTTATTAAAATGAAGCGCTTGCAACTCCAACATTAAAACAGGAAACTATGTTTGAGAAACTTCGAGAGGCAATCGAGGCCAACTCTAATATGAGCAAGCCAACAACCTTTCTATACCATGGCAAGGAAAGCTATGATTTGTGAGTGACAAATGAACAAGGGGCAATCGACATTTGGAGTCTCTTAAGAGACTACAGTTCAAATATAGAGGTTGGCGATGTCAAGTTCAAACTTGAACCTCCAGGTAGTAAGATAGTTGGTCACGATGAACATATGATGCCAGTCTTTTCACCGAAAGCATTGAAGGATCTTGGTGGAGAAGTCAATGGTAAGCTATATGGCCACGTGCAACCTCCTGTTTTCGAATGTGATTCAAAGATACAGTATCCTTGCTTTCTGCATGTGTTCATTGCCCTGTTCAAACAGATGTTTAAGAATACGGTGTTGTATTCAACCACAGACAGTAAACTTCGGTATGACCAAGCCAACTCTACTATAAAAGAAAAGACTGGGCAGACGGTCAAGTTGATGTCTATAGACTCCTTTAACATGCAATCTAAGCATCGCTACTACCGTAACTATTGCAAGCACATTATGAAGGTTTTAAGAGAGATTGATGTTGACGAACCTACAATTAGACGACTATTTGACGATAACTACAAAACGCGTCAAAGCGTGGAAGACCAAAAAAAACAACTACATCTACTCCCCCACCTTCTCTATCTGTTACTCTTGCTCTAACTGCTACACCTGGTACCAAACTCTTCTTCAAATGCTTCAGACCTGACTTAACACCTGCAGTATTGCCCAACTCGACAAGTTCTAACACTACTCAACCTATGGTAGCTAAAAAAAAGAGTTAGAACATCTACACATGGATTACCTGCCAATTTACAAACAAACTTGCCAAATGTTACTTACAATGATGATTGTACTGATACTATACCACATGAAAAGCAATGCTCATCTAACCAAGTTTTAGAAATTTATACATCTGATAGTAATAATTCAACAAAGTTCATTTTCAAAAAATTCTACCAATAAACGTAAACGATAATTAACTTTTAATACATCTATCACTTTTTGGTATTTATTTATTTGATTTATTTTTTTCTTTTTTGTTCTTTTGGGTTCGAAAAAAATTGAACTTTTTTTTTTTTCTCGCACTAATTTTTTGAAGGGGTTTCTGCATGAATACCAAAATGCTATTTAACTAATAATATTATCAACAGAAAACTATTTTTATAAATAGAAAGAGCAGCCATTATGTTCACAGGTGTATGATTTATTTACAGGAGGAAGTCATGTCATGTCATGTCACATCATATATAGCCTAAACGTTTATCGCTTCAACCAGATCCTACAAAGTTAAAGAATATAGGCACTCGATAGCTTCGTTACTGTGCTTGTGTTGATATCCAAACACCACGACCACGAGAACTCAGACTATCATAGCTTTATCATAGCAACAGTTAATAGGAAACAGTCTAAAACAACCATTATATTACAAAAAAATAGTTAAAGATTAAATTATATAAATAAAAACAATTGTGATTTGTTAATAACAGAAGTTAATGGCAATAGCAAGAACAATGAATGGTAATAACAAACAATAAATAGCCAGATATTCATCACGATCGTTCAACAATAACAATAACAACAACAACTCATCTACCTTCAAACAGAGTCAAGGATGCCAATCAAATCATCACATTGCAACCATTAACCTACAACACACTTAGACACGAGTTGTTGAAATTCAACAATTAGAACAACAAACCGATAATCAAATCAAAATCATGAAATCATTGAATACTGTTAATAATTATATAAAGAGTAATGATGGTCGATCATATTCAACCCAATCATATTATTTTGTTTTATTTATTTATTTTTATTGATTAATATTATCAGCTTCATCTTCATCATCGTTGGTAAAATCAGAATAATCGCTGTAATCTTTGACATTATTTTTGATTTTTTGATTGAGTAAATATTGATATACTTTTCGATCTTTATCATCTTCTTGACATACTCGTTTTAACTTTCTATAGTTGGCATGCAAGATGAATGAATAACTGTGTTGTTCCATTGTTGGAATCAAATCTTTTAAGTGCTCTAACAATATGACCATATCAAGATCACGACAATATTCATATTTGATTTCTATTGATTTCAATGTGTTTGAATGTAATCGAATGAGTGGTTCCAAGAAATCCAAGTTACTAAAGTCTGGAGCTGAGTTCCAATCTTTGTTGATATCGATTTTGAACTGTTCAATACCACGACCATCGCCACTGGGTGTACTCTTACATATCGATGTTAGAAATGAACTGTAGTTCGATTCATATCCATAGTATTTAATGAGAGTGATTCTCTTTAGATTCGGCATTGCTGGAAGGTGTGGAAGATAACGATCTGATTCAATAGATTTACGATAACACAAATCTTCGTTATCGGTAAATGTTTCATCATTGATATAAAATCGTTCAACACCATCGTTGATATAAATATCATATTCATCAGATGAGATATGAAATTCGTCGACTCTAGAGAATAATTGATTGGTCCGATCGGTACTCTCACCATATTTGATGTATTTGATAGATTCATAATCAAAGAACAATGGTGGTGATTGGACAATGCAGTTTTCTCTTTGGAGATTGATTGGACCACGTAAATAATAACCATTTGGAATATACTTTGATACTAGTTTGAAGATCTTTTTGGAAACCAATGCAATATTCAATACGATCTCCACATCTTTGTATTTTATATTGAATGTTGGTAGGTTTACCACTGAAAATGAGATGATTTTATCCAGTAATATATCTTGTAGGATACATTTAGATTCCTTGTTGATTACAATTGAATCACTACCTGTATTTGAATTGTTCTCCAATTGTATTTCACGATCATTTAGATTGATTTGATGTTTTACTGTATTCTCATTGTCAATGTTCTTTGATAATAACTTGTTATAGAAATCATTAAGATCATATTCTAATCTATTAATTTTGGTGAAATAACAACATTTTTGATAGATTTCTATTCTTTTCTTTAATTGATGATCATCATCATTCAGTTTCTTTGATTTGGTACAAAATATTATAATAAGTAAATTATAAGTTTAAATATAATCTATTTATATAATTACTCTTTTATCATTGATTATTCTATTGTAAATATGTTGTATAGTTGGGTTATGCGCTCGACAATTAAATGATGACATGTTGTTGAATACATTGAACTCGGGATCAAAGAAGACATCGACAATGAACTTGATATAGCCTTGAACATCGAAATAATGAATAAACTTGTACTTATGATATTTAACAAAGAACTTTACACATTGTGATCTTAAACTATCGTTTCTACTCTCCAAACATTGATAATAGAGATTATAGATTCTATTGAAGTTTATCAATGAATTGAGATCACTGAAATCTATATCTTCTACAATAATAGGTTGTTGCACTATGTCTCCTTTTTGTTCCACCTCTACTACTGATGTTATCTCATGATATGATCTCTTTCCTAAAATAGAATTATCCATTATTATTTATAAATACAAAAGCGAAACAATCAAAATATTAAATATTAAAAAAATGATTACATATAATTACACAAAAAGAAAATTTTACTAAAATTAGTGGTGTTTTATTTTTTTCTTGAATTAAATATGTTATGTGCGGACTTTGACTGCCAGTTCAGAGGAGACAATTTCTAGTTGATTGTTGTGTTTTGTTTTGGTAATTGATATGAACATCTTTTGGAACGTTAACAATTAAAAAATAATAAAATAATTTTATTGTATATGTCGATCAATTACTATTATTACAAATTTTTATCATGATTCGATTCATCAATTAAAATATTTGATAACCATTGAAAACCCTCTAATACACCACTATTATTATCAATTGCTGTAGTTGGTTGAGTAAACCATTGTCTATCTTTGATATCATTAATTTTCATTTGTGCTGATATCTCTGAAATCGATAGAGCATCATGAGCATCTTGGTAGTTATAAAAGAATAGAATTGGTTTACCTATGAGTTGTACTTCACTCAATATCGTAGTGATATTAATAGATATACTATCTAAACTTCTTTGATCTGTTGAATCAATAACATAATAGTATCTATATCATTAAAATATAATCTCCATGATTCTCTATTCCAATTTGAATCCTATAGTTTTATAGTATTTGATAATCATTTAGAATCGAAACTATGATTGATTGATTGACAATATGCATACCCAACTTGTAATATTAAAATATTTATTCTCTACACGTTCCATAAAGAAACCAACTTGAATACAACACATTGCAATCTCACTTATCTTTAAATTTTTTAAAATGGTTATCTTGCCACTATTACCAAAACCAAGTATCAATAATTTAATCTTTCTTTTTGAAAATAATGATTTTAATTTAACTTTTCCCATTATTTATAGATAAATAATAAAAGGGTTGTTTCATTTTATTTTTTAAAATTACAAAATTTGATGATCATTATTGTTATTAATTATTTAATAATACATCTGATAACCATTGAAAACCTTGGAAAACACCAAAGTTATTATTGATTGCAATTGTTGGTTTAAGATACCATTTTCTATCTTTAATCTCTAGTGTATTGATACGTTTCGATATCTCTGATATTGATAAAGAATTTGTTTGATCTTGTTTATTACAGAGAAATAGTATTGGTTTGTTTGAGAGCACCGACAAACTGAATAAATATTCTAAACTATTTTTAATGTCTGTGAATAGTTCGTCCTCTGATGAATTGATTACAAAAGTAATAGCATCTATATCTTGGGATAACATCTCCATTAATCTACGGTCCCATCTTTTGTGTCTCAAATCCTAAGCAATGATGTTAACTAGCTAGTTGATACGTATTTATTTTTACTTTTTTATGACAACTGTTACATACCATATTAATTATATTTAGATTATTATAATTTGCTTGTTCATAATCGTAACCATAAAATGGAATAACATTGGAAACCTCACCAATCTTTAGGTTGTGTAAAATCGTTGTTTTCCCGCCAAAATCGTAACCAATCATTAAGATGTTTACTTTACTTGTGAAAATCCTATCTACTTTTCTATTACTTTGACCCATATCATTTAACTATATTGAATGTTATCGATATTCATTAAATAGTAGAGAAATGTTATGCTTTGCTGGTGAAGAGATGATTGCAAAACCACATCTGATAATAATGGGGACAAAAGTCGACAAATTTTTTTCTTTTATTTTTTTTAAAATTTATGTGGGAACAGCTCTATAAATAAATAAATAAATTAATACAAAAATTTAATACGATAGATATTTGATTTTCTGTTACATGTTGTTTATGTAATAAACAACTTTCTTCTGTTCAAGAATTTCAAAGTCAGAGTGTATTCCCAGGATAATGAAATACTTTGGTTTGGGAGAGCTTGCTGATGTAAAATCACTTTTGGACATGTCTAAACAATTCAGGTCTATGGAAGATAAAGTCAATAGTTTAACAACACAGTTAGAAAAAACAAAGAAAGATTAATCAACTTGACGATACACTCAGCCAATCTATCTCATTAAGTTCACAACAATCTTTATTAAACTCACCAACTTTACTAAGTTCATCATCAACTTCATTTTATGATTCATATGCTCAAGGTTAAACCAGAGAATAGAGAAATAGATGAACCTAAAGTTGAATTTGGATCTAATATGATAGATGCAGACATAGTAGAGGATGACTCCGCATGTTTCCTTTCACAAACCTTATCTATTCCAAATTCATTACCTAGTCAAATACATTGTCTCAATCCAACTAGGGGAGGTCAAAGGTTTCGGTTGTTAATGGAAAAAAGTGCGTTATTATATGCAAGAACACTCATTTTACCGATTATGAAAGTATTCAACTTATTAGAAGACAACTTGGTATTCGAAGAAATCAAGATAATATAATGCTAAAGATAGTGTCCTAAATTTGGAAAAAGGCTCTACAAGTAAATGTGATCAATGTGGCGAGAAAAGTACCACTAGAAATGGAATTAAAGCTTCCAAACAACAGATTCATTTTCCTATTTTAATAACTTTACACATTTCGATCTCAAACTATCGTTTCTACTCCAAACATTGATAATAGATTATAGATTCTATTGAAGTTTATCAATAAATTTATTAATTATTATGATCTACTTCTTTGGCACAATAATAATTATCATCATAATCATCGATATCATCCACAATTACATTGTTTTTGATTTTTTGATTGAATAAATATTGATATACTTTTCGATCTTGTTCATCTCGACAAGCCCGCTTTAACTTTTGATAGTCTGCATAAAATTTGAATGAGTAACTATGTTGTTCCATTGCCGGAATCAAATCTTTCAACATTTGAATTAATACCACCATATCTTCAAAATGAGAACGACGTATATGCCTGATTTCGATTGATTTCAATGTGTTTGAATGTAATCGTAAAAGTGGTACCAAGATGTTAATGTATGCATGCTCTGGAACATTGTATTGACTATCTTTGTTGATATCGATTTTAAATTGTTCGATACCATGACCATCGCCATTCGGTGTACGCTTCAATATCGATTTTAAAAATGTACAGTAGTTCGTTGTATATCCATAGTAACCTTCGACAACGATACTCTTTAGATTCGGCATTGCTGGCAGACATACAAAGCGTTCATCGCAATCGACAGTGTCGCGATAAAATGCTACATCATACTCTGATAATGTTTCATCGCGGAAATACTCTCTTCTAATACCATCGTATTCGGTATTACAATCATATTCATCGGATTTGATATGAAACAGTTCGACTCCTGAGAATATTTGATTGATAAGATCGGTACTCCAACCATATCTGATGTATTTGATCGATTCATAATCAAAGAACAATGGTGGTGATTTGATAAGTGAATATTCACTGTCAAGATTGATGTGACCATGCCATTCGTAATAACTATTTGTAAGTATCTTTGATACAATTTTAAAGAACTTTTTGGAAACTAATGCAATAATCAAGACAGACTTGCTATCTATGATTATTGTATTATAATATGATTTACTCTCTAATGAATATGGGATGATTCTTTCTAATAATATATCTGATAGAATACAGGTAGACACCACACTGATTGTATTCTTCTCCAAATGTTTATCGTCATTTTGAATGATTTGTTCTTGATCTGTACTCTCATTCTCATTGTCATTGTTCAAAATCTTGTAGTAGAAATCATCAGAGTCGAATTTCAAACTAGCCATTCTCGAGAAATAACAACATCCTCGATAGATATCTATTCTTTTCTTTAATTGATGATCAACTTCATTCAGTTTCTTTTAATTTGATTGTTTAGTTTTAGTTGTTAAGTTAGTAATGTATGAAGTTTGAATATTAATTAATCAATTTATTAATAATTACTCTTTTATCATTGATTATTCTGTTGTATATTTGTTGTATTGTTGGTTTATGTGATCCACAGTAAAACGACGACATCTTTCTGAATACATCGAACTCGGGATCAAAGAAGACATCGACAATGAACTTGATATAACCTTGAATGTCAATACTATGTATAAACTTGTATTCATGATAGTCAACAAAGAACTTTACACATTGTGATCTTAAACTATCATTTCCATTCTCCAAGCATTCGTAATAGAGATTATAGATTCTATTAAAGTTTATCAATGAATTTTGATCATTGAAATCTATACCTTCTACATTGATTGGGTAATCATCTTTTGACCGTTCTATAGTGATTGGATATTCTTCGATTGGCTCTTGATCCGATATCTTTTTTTTAAAAAGAGAGGCAAAACTAAATACTAATTCTCATTGAAATATAAAAAAATAAACACAACTATTATTATAATTATTTGCTACTACTAAGATATAAATAGTTACGATATTTATTTTTTTTTTTTTTCTTGAAAGAATTTTTTTACACAAGCGAAAATTTTTACCATATAAAAAACTCAGTTCGACTTCTGCGTAAATTTTTATATCGCCACCAACTTTGCAAAATGAGTAAACGGCGAACAACATTTTATGATACATGTACCATCAAACGCTCTATTTTTTTTAATGAAATTAAAAACATAAGGTATAGATGAGTAGATCAATAACATATTAAAACTATATTAAATTTTATTGAAGTTTAAAAAAGTTGGGTATTGGCTGTGGCCGTGACGCCGCGCGCACTGGCGCGCTGTAGCCACACCAAAATCCAAATACTAGGAATATGACGTATTGGAACTAAATTAAATACTAATATATAGTATGTGTATTGTTGTTATTTAAAGTATAGGATAACCCAATAAGCGAATTAAATGAGCAATCTAATAATAACTATCTAAACTATCGATATGCATGGGTCACAGGCCACCAAAGAATTGATTTGGCATCATTAAGTTCGATTCTATGTTCTATAGTACATCACATTGATTAGTAAAGAATGATTTAAGTTGAAATCTATGACTGAAATATACTTATTTATAAGATATTTTTGATGCATTTAAATCACTCATTTCTCTTTATTCACTTTGACCTATATATATGTGTTATCATCGTATCTCCATAAATACCACCTTTTCTTAGTCCATGACTATGATTATATTCACTTTAAAAATGTGACTATCGCAATTTCTATCTTTATATCTGTGTTTTATTATAGTAGATGCTCAATCCACGCCACCCATTTGAATCTGTATTTAAATATCATTTTTACATCATATAAATGACTATTCATCATTATTTACACTGATATATATTGTGATCTGTGATATTACTACTTACAATTAGTTAACCAAAACCAATCCTTTTTGTTTTAATGGCTAAACTTTTTTGATCAAGCTCTTTACTCTTTTTTTTCTCTGTTTTACTTGACAATATTATTAGTTAAAACATCTAAATACAACGTAAAACAATATAGGTATATTTAATTTTTGAAACAAATAATTGTTAATTAAAATATTAATAAAAATAAAGAAAATAAAAAAATTGGGTGGTCCATATTAAAAAAAATCGTGCCAGATGAGTTGCCAAAAAAATGAAAAATTTGAAGTCCCAGTTCACGAAATTTTTATATGGGGTTAGCACTAATTTTTTTCCTCCCATATTAACCCCCATATAAAAATTTTCACTTGTGATAGAATAAATTTTAAAAAATCTTGGTGATATATTTTTTTCGATTTATGTTAGAGAGATATTGTTTTTATTATTATTTTATTATAAACAAAATTAGATAATAACATTAATGAAATGAAGTTTAAGATGAATACAATTTATATAAAATGATTAAGAGGGTTGACATCATTAAAAGATTGTTATATTTAGAAGATACACTGTGTAATTTAGAGTTAGATACTATTTTACACTCGATAGCTATCGGTTACTGCGCGTGTTGATCATTCAAGCCCAGGAAGACAATAACTCTTTGTGATACTGTAAAACTCTTAATCTATGTATGGTATTAAACATTCTCTTTGTCATCATCTGCTTAATAATATTAACTAGAATTCTCTTTTTTTATTTCTTGCGCAGCGCTACTCACACTAGTAACGTGATAAATATTAAAACATAGAAAAATTGTATGTATATCGAGTTACGAGTTACAAAACTTGATCATTTACTTATTATTTTAATATTTTATCTTTCAAACAAGCAACAATCAAAATAATAATAATGATTAATGATTAATGATAAAGCAGCAGCATCAGCAACGAGATTCATAAACGGTCATATGTCAGGCAACTTACAGTAAGCCATATAGATTGATCTAGCAAGATAGCAGAAGCATCAGCAGTAAGACTCATGCATAAACGGTCTTTTTTTGCTTTTAACAGATCTTCTTAATAAAGGTTTATTCTAAATTGCATACTTGTAAGTCATCAATACAACAATATTTAGACTTAGATTTTACTTGATGATGGCAAACTTCTCTCTGAGATTTGACAACGAATTGCGTTTGAACAGCAACAGGAAGAAAGATCTATTAGTGTTGATACCCCTCAAGAGAGAGAGGAATGACAGTACATTTATACGGATTGATGTTAGTCAGCAGAACTGGTAGATGATTTAAACAATAAGATAATATTTTAAAGAAGAACATCCTTCCGGCAGATTTACTATTTGATATGTCTATTGGATATATTTCAAAAAAAGAATGAACCAATAAAAAATTTATAGTTATAAACAAGTACTTAATTTTATTTTCAACTTATCGAACGTATAACACTAGTCTGGTTATAATCATTGTTTAAATTGATTTGTCAAACCTTCCAGCATGTCAAAACTAAGAGTCTAAGCACGCCCAATGATCATGGTATTGAATCATAGAAAATTGCTGTAATGTTTAGCAAGTAATCTTGAGATTAAATGTCCTGACTATTTCTCTTTTAATATTATTTTTTGAATTCACAATTTCAATATTAAATAGAAATGATTAAATTAAACATATTTAAAATTATAATTTCAGATATATTAACTTGATTTATTTGATTAAAAATTATATAATATGTTGGCACAATAAGATCTTTCAGATTGATCATTTTGAAGAATAGATTCCCATTTATTGTTTTCAAATGAGAAAATAAAATTTCCATTTTTTCCTTTGATTGAGTAAATATAAGCTTCACCATCATCTGATTTATTATAAATCAAATTGTGCACGTACTTAATATCGATTTTACTGTTATCGAGTAATTTGATTTCATTGGTTTCAACTTTGAAACGTTGTAATCCTAAAACCGAAAGAATATAGATATTGCCATTGCCATCTGTACATGCTGCTCTTGATGAGTTATCAGGTATTTTATATGGTAATTCAACCATTGTTTTGCTCTTCATGTCAAACTTAAAAAGCTTACAAATATTTGGAGTGAAAGTATAGATATAATCTTTGAAGAGGAATGTAAGTTGATGGTATTCTGTTTTGATTTCAATTGTTGTGTATCTTTCGAATGTTGAATCGTTGATGTTGAATCTGTAAATATCCGTATTTGTTTTAGTATTTCCATCGAATAAATAGATATGATCTTGACCATCATAACAAGCAGAAAGATATTTGCATGGATCAACACCTTTCATTTCATTGACAACAAAAGCTTTAGTGTTGATTGAATACTTGATAAATTTATTGTGTTTATTATTATTTCGACCACCACCAAATATATAGATAAAGTCACCAACTTTGACTGTTGAGTTGAATGCTGCTTGAGAATCATAAATCATTTCCATATTGATACCTTGTTCAAAATGAATGTTGTCTCGATTTGTAATATTGATAATAGATATTTTATTATCCATATCAGTTGAGAATATATATGATTGTTTATGTTTAGGTTGAATGTTTGAATGATTTGATTTCAATTTAAATGATGATTGAATTTGATTCTTGATTTGATTGATTTGTTCATTATTAACAATTAATTGATATTGTTGTGGTTTTGTTTGTTGATTGTCATCATTATTATTGATTTTAATTGTTTTATTGATGTTCAAGTAAGTACCATTTAACAGTGAATGATCATGATCATTGTTGTTTACTTTGCTGTCAAGTTGATCATCGAAATAGAACAATGTATGGGTTGTTGGCTGAAATGAATTCATTGTGATTTGATGATTGTGAAATCGATGTTATTATATTAGTTATTTTGTAGCTATCTGTTGTATCTGCTGATATTGTTGCTAATGCTTGTGAATCTGATCTATCATCATTATTATTATTAGATTTACTCTGTATATATTTATTGACAATATTCAATGATTTCATGATTTTGATTTGTTTATCGATTTGTTGTTCTAATTGTTGTTTACTTTCGATGATTGGTTTCCTTAATCTATATTCTTCAACAATAAGGAATTCATGTAACTCTTTGAATTTATTTGATACCTCTTGTTCTGTTTGTTGTAGTTGTTCATATTCTGCAACTTTTAATGTCAAAGAATTGAATGTTGTTTGAATACTATTTTCAATATCTTTAAATCCTATTATATTATTATTATTGCTATTATTGATCTCATTGTCATCTGTGGGAGCTACTGAATCATCTTTATTATAATAATCTTTGATCTTTGATTTAATATTGTAAATATGATCGTATGAATGACGTCCGTGTTTTAGTGAACAAACAGAACATGCTAAAACATTACAATCATAACAAATGAACTCTTGACTCATCTTGTGTATTTCACAAATATTATTAATAATACAACTATTCATTTTATTAACAAATCTAATATCTATAAATAAATAACTTTAACTTATGATAAAAAAAAAAAAACTTTATCTAAGGTTTAATCAAAAAAATTTTCTTTATTTTTATTTTAAATAATGAAATTTTTGTTGACCAACCAAAATTTTACTTTTTACCCACTTTCAAATCTTTAAATCATGATGACCATTTTACTTCATTAAATATTATTTAAAAAAATTATGTATCTAAAAACAAAGAGCAATAACGAACAGTGTAACATAAAGATTGTTCTACTTGCGGACACTTGCCTTGAATTTGTAAAAACCTTAGAGAGAGCATTTCCTCCATACTGAATCTATCACGAGAGATGCTAATGGATATTATTTTGAACCAACTCAAACTGCAATTGAATCAGAAGTAGTAGACATACCGATTGCAATCTGAATCAGCTCATGATGATAAAGAAGTGGCAGAGAATGACACAGAAGAGCACCAACAGCCCGATACAGATGGTAATGCTCCTAACGATGACTTTGTTCATATCGATTGTGCTCCTCAATCGACTGTCGGTAAAAAAAGAAAACTAAATAGTTTTAATCAAACTGGTCGAAAATAAGCCAAAATTCCAATATCTTTTTAAAATTCCATTTTTTTTTTTATTTTTTCATCGAATGTTCTGGTGCTGCTGTAGCCACAAACTTTTTTTCATGCAAAAACCAAAAAAATGGGTGAACAGCAAGTGGTTCGCTAGGTCGATTTTTTTTTGTTTTTCTCACTAACTTTAATTAACTTTTAACAATTCTTTGCTCACTAAACTTATTAATCAAACAAACTCTTTTTTCTTTATTCAACGATCACCATAATAAGCGACTTTCTTTTTAATATGATCATTCAAAAGTGCTTTTGAAATATCAGAATAGTCTGATGAGGAATTTATCTTCTCTTGAAATTTCTTTAGTTCCACCAATTGAAAGTCGATCTTGTCCAAAATGAACTCAATCATTTCAATATCATCATCACAAAAATATTGTTCAAGATAATCCTCCATAGTTGTTCGAAAGCCAAACTCTGGATGTTTCTCCAAGAGGTATCCAATCATACCCATATCTCCAGATTCGACTGCCGATTTGAAACTATTAAAAGTACATTGACAGTCACTTCTGTTTTCATAGAGCCATTTTACAAGTGGAAACTGCATTCCGCCAATCGAATTCTTCATTGATTCTTCATTGAATACGCCTGGAATATTATTGTTGTGGTACCATCTAATCATCTTTCTACAACCTTTGCGGAATAACTCTGAGATACTATAGCTGTCAATAACAGCGATAGCTGAGAGATTCTGATTGATAATAATGTCCACTATTTCTGAATTATCATTGTTCACTGCATTAAAAAGTACTAGATCCCAATCGATAATAAAGTTCTCCGATAACCAATCGATAGCTTCTCTATCTAAGTTGTTCATGTCAAAGCCATTCAAGTCAAGCTTTTTCGAACTTGAAATCTCAGTTCTGTTTTCTCGCAACCATTTCATTGTTCCGAAATGACCATTACCGATTGCATATAACATAGCTTGTTCTGTACATCCTACATTTGGATGATTCTCATGCAACCATTTGATCATTTCCAAACTGGTCATATCCGATGATGCAATGCTTGCAGCATAATCTATTGCATCTTCACTTGGTTGTTGATTTCGTTTTTCAAACAACCATTTGGCGAGTTCTAAATAACCATATGTAATAGCTTCATCGATTGATTGTTGGGATTGAAGTACACCACTTTGATTCTCATATAACCATTGAACAGCTTCAATATGACCTTTACTAGACACACTTTGGATTATAGATTCACTGCAACCTTCAGTTCGGTGTTGTTGTAACCATTTGAGAACTTCTAAATCGTTGTTGAGTGCTGCATTGTTCATAGCTTCCTCACTTGCTTCGACAGTTGTATTTTCATTCAACCATGTCAACAATTCGATATTTCCATTTTTTGCTGCATAATCTATGGGTGTCTCTTCCGATTCTGTGATATCATGTTGATGTAATAGTTTTGCAATTTCAAATTGATTGTAAAAGATTGAATGGTCAAACAATGTACCATGATCCGGATCTGTAGTTGGTTCGTCGATATCGAGGAGATATTGAACAACATGGAGATGTCCACCTTTAATTGCACCAAAATACATTTCATTTCCTTCAGGCCTATCTTCTGATCTATTCGCCAACAGCCATTCAATGATATCGATTCGACCTATCTTTGCGGCATTATAGAATATTTCCTCTCTATCATAATCTACATCGAATTCTCTTGTCTCTAAATGATCACGATTCGCCACCAGCATTTTCTCGTTTATATACTCGACTAATTCGATATCTCCAGAGAGTGGTGATTTCATGAATGCAGACTCGTAATCCAATCTCTTCTTTTCAAACTCTGTACATATGCATTTGACCATTTCAAAACCCCCATATTTCACTGCATAACCTAAGATTCCATTGAAATTAATATGTTGACCGGTTACTGATAATGGTTTGGCCAAATCCACCAAATATTTGAGCATCTCGATGTTTCCACTTTTGATTGCTGCTCTAAATGTAGGTGTTGCACTAACTTCATAACTACCAATAGAATGATCGGCATAATACAGTTTAAGTTCATTTAAATAGGAATAACCAGCCATTACTGTTGGATTCTCTATTACCTCTGACCATCTGTATGCAGCACCACCAATAACATCATGAATACTCTTAACATGTTTGAATATTAATTTATTTAATACAAAATTGTTAAATATCTGTGTGAATTTATCTTTTTCCATTCTAATATATTTATTTGAAGAACAAAAGAAATAATCACCACTAATTCAAAACAAAACTAGCTCTTTCCTGTAACCCTAAATTAAATAAAATAAAATATAAAAACAAACACTCTGATTAAAGCAAAAGGCGCCAGTTTCATTTTGTGTGAACCAAAAATATCTTTCCAAATACTGATCAAAAATAAAACTGAAAAAGTATTTTTTTATAAATCACGACTATTAAAAGAGATGACAACAACAAATAGTCATCATCATGGTCATAATCATCATAAGAAACAACAATCAATATTAAGTAATAGAAATATATTGTATTATTTATAAAGAAATTCCTTCACTTAGAATATTTAATACCAATTTTTTATTTATTTTTATTATCTATATTGCCATCTTCAGCCTCATTTTTTGATTTAGTAAATACCTACTCTCCAAACATTGATAATAGAGATTATAGATTCTATTGAAGTTTAACAATGAATTTTTATCACTGAAATCTATATATTCTACTTTGATAGGTTGTTCATCTTCTTTTTGTTTCTTATTCTTCTCTGATGTTGTTGTCTCTTGATATGATCTCTTTCCTAAAATAGATATTATAATAAAAATAAAATAATAATTTAATTTTGTTTATTTTTTCTATTTTTTTTGTTTTTTCTTTAAGAAATTTAAGGAAGAAAAAAAAAAATCATGATTTAATTTTTGAATTTTTTTAGATATTTCCATCTATTTATAAATTTTAATATATAAGTATCTAGATATTTTTTAATTTAAAAGAAGTTAACTGTAATAGAAAAGTTTGTTTTTAAAATTCAATTTAAATGAAAAGATACTAATTTGTTAACTCTCCTATTGAACAGAACATACATAGTATTGAAATGAGTGATGAAGTATTACAAGCTATAATAATAGATAATGTATGATAATCAAACTATATAGTTATAATGGAATTTGGTGGTTCTGCTACCTAGCATGCTGATAATGACATTGAAATTATAATTACAACACACTAATCATAAATTAGGGATCTGCTCTGTGTAAGGCTGGTTTCTCAGGAGATGATACACCGATTGCTGTATTCCCTATGGTAGTTGGACACCCACGTAATAACAATAGCAGTACATCATCGACTATGGTTGGTCAAAAAGCAGATAGTTATTTCGTAGGTGACGAAGCTATTTCTAAGCGAGGTTATACAGCGTTGCGTTATCCCGTGCATAATGGTGTCGTTGTCAACTGGGATGACATCGAGAGAGTGTGGCGACATGTTTTTAAAAACGAGTTACGTGTTGCGCCCGAAGATCATGCAGTTTTACTTACAGAGACACCGCTCAATACAAAAGCGAATCGCGAAAAGATGACCCAGATCATGTTTGATAATCTACGTGTACCGGCGTTGTATATAGCGATTCAGGCAGTGCTCTCGTTGTATGCATCCGGTAGGTCAACGGGCATCGTATTGGATTCGGGCGATGGCATTACACATAGCGTTCCTATTTACGAGGGTTACGCACTGACACATGCCATCGGTAGGCTACAGCTTGCCGGCAGTGATCTAACCGACTACCTGATGAAGATACTCACTGAGCGAGGATATTGTTTCACAACTACAGCAGAGAGATCGATAGTCTATGACATCAAAGAGAAACTTGGTTATATTGCATTGGACTATGAAAGTGAGATGGGTAGATATGCTGCTGCTGCTGGTGGTGGTGGTGCTGCAACAACGTCAACCTCGCCACCCGCTAGTACAACAACGGCAACACTGGACAAACAATATGAATTACCCTCTGGCGAGTTTATAACGATTGGAAACGAACGGATTAGATGTCCTGAAGCATTGTTTAAACCGTCACTAATGGGGATAGAGGCAGATGGCGTTCACAAATTAATTTACGATTCCATCGTCAAGTGTGATATCCATCTACGTAAGGAGATGTACGGTAATGTTATATTGGCAGGTGGATCAACAATGTTTCCAGGTATAGCAGATCGTATTCATAAGGAATTGGTAGCGTTGGCACCCTCTGGAATGAGGATCAAAGTAATTCCACCGACTGAACGTAGATTTACTGCGTGGCTTGGTGGTTCCATTCTGGCATCACTCGAATTCTTCCAACAAATGTGGATAACCAGACAAGACTACGATGAATCAGGTCCATCAAAGATGTCAATAACTAGAAAAATACTATTTTAAAAATTAATCATCATTGTATATGTTGACAAACTTGTAATAATATATGTATATTAAATAAAAAAAATAACATCATTTAAGTTAAATTAATTTGAAAAAAATTATCTGATTGAACTAAAGAATTTGATTAATATGATTGATATTCTTATATCTCAGATACTATTAATCATAATAAAAATAATGGATTATTAAGAATTATCCTCAAAAAAAATATACATAAAATAATAAAACAATTGAATAAATTCTGCATTAGCTCCTTACTAAAATTACGATATTTTCCTATCCTGCATATGGTTGGTTTGATGAAAATCCCAATAAAAATAATATTTATTTTGATGATTTTGAACAATTGATAGGTGGTGTAGTCACCTGAAGGACATCGAACTAAAACTTAAGATTTATTACATCTTTTACTCATCATTCGAAAAAGAATATTTCAAACTTGAAGCAAGTATCTTTTATTGAATATTTGGTAAGAGATTTTTACGAAAATATCTTTAGGATGATACCTTTAATTACTGTTTGATAAGAAGTAAATCTAAAAAAAAAAATCCAATAAGTTAGGAAATTTTGTTCTTATTTTTATTGATTTTTTTTGTTTTTAGGATGAAGATGGGTATCTAGATGAATACAAATTCTTAATTCAATTGTTTATTATTATGAAAAGGGAACTTTTCAACCTTTTTTTAGTTCCACCTTTGATATTTAAGAGAAAAAGAGTAGATCCACCAATTTTAATGTATTTTACACTTTTTAATCAATCTAGGTGACCGATCTTATTTAGTTTTTTGTAACAAAAGATCCCATCAAAAAAAAAAAAATCTAAATATAACGACATTGGTTGTAAAAAACCCTCCAAAAAATCACAAAATATAGATTTTTTTTTTGAAATTTTCGAAACTTCATACCCCTACACGCCTAGATATTAACTTGAGTTCTTTAACATGGAAATTAGAAAAGTAGTGGATGGGAACCAAAGAGTAGAGAGGATGTTTTGCTCCTAAAATGAATATCTAGATAGATAGTTAATGAAGGGGATCAGTTTTTTAGATCCTTGATGGTTTTTTGTTTTGTTTCATTGTGGTTCAACTCTGTTGGGAAAAAAATTATGGATTTAATAATAATTGAAATAATAATAAATAAAATAAAAAAAGATTTTTTTTTAGAGAGATAAATCCAAATTACATTTACAATTGTTTAAAAAAAATAAATATTTTAAGATATAATATTAATCAAAAAAATAGTTTAAAAACCTAAATTTAGTTTTTATTTTTATTTCTTTTTAAATTACAATGAGAAATCAAGTGAAATTAATATTAATTTTATTTAATATTATTTCTTTGTTTTTATTATATGTAAATGCTATAACATGTCCTCCAGGTTATAGCATAGGACCTTCAAACAGATGTTATCAAGGATATTCTTCAACTTGTGTTGTTTGGAGGGTAAATTTAGTTTTTAAATGAATGATTTAATAAATGATATTTAAAAGTTTATTTTTTATTTATTATTTGCTAATATGAAAGAAATAAATATAATGATATCGAAAAGAGAATTAACAAATCTAAACTTGATTCATCTCAAAACCACTAAAAAATATATTTAATAAAATGGTTATTTTAATTTTAATCCATTCTTATTCATTCAAATTCATATCAGTTATTCAAAATTATTGAATCATCTGAATATAGGAGTAGGAAGATCGTATTGGTAAATAAAATTAAAGAAGTGGAAGTATTAAAGAAAGAAATTAGGATAGAATAAGAAATAAATTACCTTTTCAAGTAATTTAATTTGTCAATCTAAAAATAATCATTGATAATATTCTTTATCTCAGATACTATCAAAATAAAAGTTACATATATAGATTAAATAAATTTATGGTAACAAACTTATATAAATTATTCATATCAATGAAATTTTTCTTTTCTTTATCCAATCCTGGTTAGTTTGTTGAAATCCCAATTAGATTTTTTTTTTTAAATCTATTTAATATTTTATGATTTTGAATTTAATTGACAGGTGGGAATGTGAAGATCATCGAACTAAATCTTAAGATTTATTTCATCTTACAAAAAAGAATATTGCAAATTTGACACGTAAGTATCTTTCTAGAATATCTGGTACATTTTTTTTTTTGAGGAGATTTTTTTAATAAGATACCCTGAAATCAAGTTGGGAAATTTGGGTTTTTTAAGAAGAGTAACTAATAGCAATGTTGTTTTATCCTTCAAATGAAATTGAATTTCTATATCTAAAAGAATATAAAATCTATCTTTTTGTTGTTGAATAGTCTATTTATTTAATAATTGGTAAAAGTTAAACTTTTATTTATTATGAAAAGGGAGTTTTTCAACCTTTTATTTATTTCGACCTTTGATATTTAAAGAGAAAAAAAAAGTAGATCCTCCAATTTTAATGTATTTTACACTTTTTAATCAATCTAGGTGACCCGATCTTATTTAGTTTTTTGTAACAAAAGATCCCATCAAAAAAATCTAAATCTAACCACGTTGGTTGGTAAAACCCTCCAAAAAATCACAAAATATAGATTTTTTTTTGAAATTTTTTCAAAACTTCATACCCCTACACGCCTAGATATTAACTTGAGTTCTTTAACATGGAAATTAGAAAAGTAGTGGATGGAAACCAAAGAGTAGAGAGGATGTTTTGCTCCTAAAATGAATATCTAGATAGATAGTTAATGAAAAGGGGATCAGTTTTTCTATACCTTGATGGTTTTTGTTTTTTTTCAATGTTGTTCAACTCTGTTGGGAAAAAACATTTAATTTAATAAAAATAATATTAATAATTGTAATAATAATAAATAAAATATTAAAAAGATAGATTTATAAATCTAAATTACATTGAACATTTTTAAATAAAAAAAAAAAAAACTAAATATTTTAAGATAAAATATAGATTTAAAAAAATAAATAATTTAAACAAAGACAAAGATAAATTTAATTTTTTTATTTTTTTATTTCTTTTTTAATTACAATGAGAAATCAAGTGAAATTAATATTAATTTTATTTAATATTATTTCTTTGTTTCTATTATATGTAAATGCTATAACATGTCCTCCAGGTTATAGCATAGGACCTTCAAACAGATGTTATCAAGGATATTCTTCAACATTTGCTGTTTGGAGGGTAAGTTTAGTTTTTAAATGAATTATTAATAAAATAATAAATATTTATTGTTATTTATCATTTACTAATTTGAAAGAATTATATTATTATAATAATTTTTAGTGTCAAAATCCCGATCCAATGAAAAGTTATTTCCAAATGTCAAATGGACCGATGTTTTGTGACTCTGGGTAATATTTTTATTTATTTTACTATCGATCATAATCACTCACAAGTGTGAAAAAAAAAATCAACAAAATTATTAATATTTTTTTTGTTTTATTTTAGATTTACGGCAACAGATTATCATAGTATATCGAATCCAAATAGAGAAATCAGAGTTGCTTATTGTACAACCACTGATTATAATCATAATGCCGTTGTTCCATTCGCTCCTGAAACCGATCAATTTGATGCATGCCCACCTGGCTTTGCATTTGGAGATTCTGCCGTATTCGATTTCATGGCGGATCCAACAAAGCGATATTTTATTATTGAATCGTGTGGTGATAATTATAATTACATCGGTTTTGGTTGGAAATCTACTGCAACACCAACCAACTATTGTCAATCGTTCGGTGGACCGCTACCGCAATTCGATGCCTACTACGATATGGGTGTGATGTATCCGTGTGCTTCATATTGCCTGAATGGTGGTACTTGTCTTGGTACTGGTGTTTGTCAGTGTACTTCGGAATGGTCTGGTTCAGACTGTTCAACTCCAGCCAATCCTTGTGCAACAAACAATGGTGGTTGTGCACAAAACTGTAATAATATTGGTGGTACGTCGAGTTGCTCTTGTAATGCTGGTTACACATTGAACGCTGATGGTAAAGGTTGTACAGATATCAATGAATGTTCAACAAACAACGGTGGATGTGCTCAAACATGTACCAATACACCAGGTAGTTTCCAATGTTCATGCGCTGCTGGTTATACATTGAACGCCGATGGTAAAGGTTGTACCGATATCAATGAATGCTCAACAAACAATGGTGGATGTGCTCAAACATGCACAAATACTCAAGGTAGTTTCCAATGTTCATGCGCTGCCGGATATACTTTGAATGCAGATGGCAAAGGATGTACCGATATCAATGAATGTTCAACAAACAATGGTGGATGTGCTCAAACCTGTATCAATACACCAGGTAGTTTTACTTGTTCATGTGCTGCTGGATACACATTGAATGCCGATGGTAAAGGATGTACCGATATCAATGAATGTTCAACAAGCAACGGTGGATGTGCTCAAACATGTACAAATAACCCAGGTAGTTTCACTTGTTCATGTGCTGCTGGTTATACATTGAATGCCGATGGTAAAGGATGTACCGATATCAATGAATGTTCAACAAACAATGGTGGATGTGCTCAAACATGTACAAATACTCAAGGTAGTTTCACTTGTTCATGTGCTGCTGGTTACACTTTGAATGCAGATGGTAAAAGTTGTACCGATATTAATGAATGCTCAACTAACAATGGTGGATGTGCTCAAACATGCACAAATAATCCTGGAAGTTTTACTTGTTCATGCGCTGCCGGATACACTTTAAATGCAGATGGTAAAGGATGTACCGATATCAATGAATGTTCAACAAACAATGGTGGTTGTGCTCAAACATGTACTAATTCACCAGGTAGCTATTCATGTTCTTGTGGAGCTGGTTACACTTTAAATGCAGATGGTAAAGGATGTACTGATATCAATGAATGCTCAACAAACAATGGTGGATGTGCTCAAACATGTATAAATAACCCAGGTAGTTTCACTTGTTCATGCTCTGCTGGCTACACATTGAATGCAGATGGTAAAGGATGCACTGATATCAATGAATGCTCAACAAACAATGGTGGATGTGCTCAAACATGCACAAATACTCAAGGTAGTTTCCAATGCTCTTGTGGATCAGGATACACATTGAATGCAGATGGTAAAGGATGTACCGATATCAATGAATGTTCATCTAACAATGGCGGATGTACACAAACATGTAATAATACACCAGGAAGTTTCTATTGCTCATGTGCTGCTGGATACACTTTGAATGCCGATGGTAAAGGATGTACCGATATCAATGAATGTTCAACAAACAACGGTGGATGTGCTCAAACATGCAATAACAACCCTGGAAGCATCTATTGCTCATGTGCTGCTGGATACACTTTGAATGCAGATGGCAAAAGTTGTACCGATATCAATGAATGTTTGAACAACAATGGTGGATGTATTCAAAACTGTAACAATTTACCAGGTAGTTATAATTGTACATGTAATTCTGGATACACATTGAATGCAGATGGTAAAAGTTGTACCGACATCAATGAATGCTCAACAAACAATGGTGGATGTGCTCAAACATGTACCAACACTCAAGGTAGTTTCTATTGTACTTGTCAAACAGGCTACACATTGAATGCAGATGGTAAAAGCTGTACTGATATTAATGAATGTTTGACAAATAACGGTGGATGTGCTCAAACATGTAATAACAATCCTGGAAGTTATAGTTGTTCATGTGCTGCTGGATACACATTTAATGCAGATGGAAAGAGTTGTACCGATATCAATGAATGTTCGACAAACAATGGTGGATGTGCTCAAACCTGTACCAATACACCAGGTAGTTTCCAATGTTCATGCACTGCTGGCTACACATTGAGTCCAGATGGCAAAGGATGTACCGATATCAATGAATGTTCAACAAACAATGGTGGATGTGCTCATAATTGTACAAATTCGCCAGGTATATACTATTGTTATTGTTTAAATGGTTACTCATTGAATAATGATGGCAAAGGATGCACTGATATCAATGAATGTCTGACAGTTAATGGGGGTTGTAATCAAACCTGTTCCAATACTCAAGGTAGTTTCCAATGTTCATGCTCAACAGGTTACACATTGAGTCCAGATGGCAGAGGATGTACCGATATCAATGAATGTTCAACAAACAATGGTAACTGTTCTCAAATTTGTATCAATACACCAGGTAGCTTCCATTGTTCATGTTCAATTGGTTACACATTGAGCGCAGATGGTAAAAGCTGTACTGATATCAATGAATGTTTAGAGAATCCAAGTCCTTGTAGAGGTGTTGCAACTTGTCAAAATACAAATGGATCATTCATTTGTAATTGTCCTTCAGATCAAGTAATATCACCTGATGGTCTCGGATGTATAGATCCTCCACCATTTATCATATCTACTTCTCAACTCTACAGTGTAGGCGGTGATCTTTCAATTTATGGTAAAAACTTTGGATCTGATTATCAGATGGTTGTTGTCAATATTGGACCGTATACTTGCAGAGTACAACCACAATCAAACACCACCTTTATTTTATGTTCAATCCGTCGTGATCTAGAACCACTGACAAGATATCTTCAAGTAATTGTGAACAACATACCAGCCAACGATTATTATATTACAATTCTAAAACTTACAAGCACAAGACCATCTCAGTGTTCGAATGGTTGTAGTGGTAATGGAATTTGTACCTCAGTTGGATGTCAATGCAATTCTGGATATACGGGTGAATCGTGTTCAAATCCACCAGTCGACTCCACGCCAACACCTATTACACCAACACCAAACCAACCAAACAATCCCGGTGTGATTACAGGTGAGAGAAATGATTCAACCATTCAATTCAAGATTTCAGTGATTGGCATTCAAGAATTGGATTCAACTGACAATATCATCACCAACTATACATTCGATAAATCTATTTGGAACTTGATTTCGAATGAAAAAGATACAGGTGAATGGACATTCCATATCTCACTTCCAAACAATGTCAACATGTCAGCAACATTCAATTATATCACAGAGAAAAATGGAAGAAATATTACATTCTCTGGACAATCTTTCCACTTTAATCAATTCACTTTGAAACTAACAATGAAAGTTAGTAAATGGACTTTCCAATCAAGATTAAACACCTTGAGAATACTTGTAAAGTCTGAAACGATAGGATTGCCAGAATGTGATAAATCCAACTCCAACATTACATCGGATTCTTATTCATCACTATTATATGCAACAATGGAAACTCCTATGGGTCTGATGTCTGGAAGATATCTATCATTGGCAGAAATCGATGGAAGATCAATCGTTGGAAAGGTTGAACAAATTCCAAGTCCACAAGGAACATTCATCATTGGAACATCGATTCCATTCTTTGAATCATATGGTTTGATCGATCCTGATTTCTCTGTGATGATCCAAACCGATAAGTCAGGATCAAATCTTAAAGGTTCTAATTGTCAATCTCCAAAGAAAGATAATTGGCCAATTATCGTTGGTAGTGTAATTGGTGGAGTTGCAGCAGCTGGTATCGCCGCTGGTACTGCACTTTACATTAAAAGACAAAGAAGATGGATTAGACAAACCAATGATATCGAAAAGAGAATCAACAAATCTAAAACTGATCCATCTCAAAACAACTAAAAAATATTTAATAAAATGGTTATAATAATTTTAATCCATTCTTATTCATTCAAATTCATATCCGTTTTTCAAAATCAGGATAAACAATTTGTAACAAGTTCTATTATAGTCAGTTATTTTTTTTATTTTATATATGATCTAAAAATTCTTCTTTATTATCATGTGTATTTCATAATGTGACATAAAGGGATAAGAAAAAAAAAAAATTTTCTTCATCATTATCATCAATGATTCTCTATAATACAGATTAACAATCATTTATAGTCGTCTTTACCTATACAATCGAATTCATCAGAGTCGATAGTAAACACTTTGATTTTTGAGAATAATTGATAATACGATCGGTATTTGATCAAAGAATTTTATTTTATTTTTTCCAATTTATTTTTACATCTGAATCATCTTTTAAATAATTGTAATTATCTTCCTCAGTATCTGAACTTTTATACAGATAAAGTTTTTTTTGTGTAAAAGAAAATAAGTTTTAAAGATATATATATATTATAAATTATTCGTTTTATTTATTTAATTAAAAATAAATTTAAGTTTGTTGTTATTGGTGGATTGATTGAGGTTGTGTTTTCAGGTGGGTGTATTTGGTTGCAACTTAGATCTTTAGTTTTTCAAGATTTGAGATTAATGTATCTTTGGGATCGTTTGCTTTGATACCATGTTGCTTGCATATGGCTTGTAGTTCACGGTAGGAGAGACCTTTGAATGTTGCTGGTAACTCTGGTTTCTCTTCTTTCTTTTCCTCTTCATCTTCCTCTTCATCATCTTCTTCTTCATCTTCTTCTTCATCTTCTTCCTCTTCATCAGAGGATACATCTACTTTTTTACCATTTGGTTTCTTTCCAGTGATGAGATAGTCGTACTTTTCATCGTAGAGATCATCGATGTCGATACCTTTATCCTCGAGCCAAGCGTAATCATCTTCTGTCAGGTAGTCACCATCCTCGTACTCGTCTCTCATTCTTTGTAATTTTGAAACCATGTTATTCTTCTTTTTAACTTTCTTAAAGTGTTATTATATAAATACAAACTAATAATAAATGTGTATTGTACAACTAGATCTATCTAATAATGTTCTTTACATTTATATATATATAGTTGTCTATAATTACATTCCTCATGAGGATCATTCGATCTTGCATTTCAAGGCGCCAAAAAAATCTAAAACAAAAAAATAAATGAAGATAACTGGCATTCCCTCATTTCAAAATTATAAATGTTAACTAGTATTATTTCGAACATGTACAACAAATTGCTCAATACATGATGATCACCACAAAACAATCCCTCAACCACAAAATCTCAAGATACTCCTAAGTTATGAAGTAAAATAAAAATAGTGTCTTCTTCTTCTTTTTTTTTTTTTTTTAAGATAAAGTTAGTTAGTTTAATAAGATGTTTGAATTATTATTTATAAATTTAAAATTAATTGGAGAAATATATATATATAGCATTGTTATAGCTATTTTATTTTATAATTTAATCATCATATTAATAATAACCTTTATCATCATCATCTTCATCGTATTCGTCATCATTACTATTACTGTAATCATCGAGTATAATATTATTACTATGTATTTGATTGAGTAAATATTGATATACATCTTCATCTTTATCATCTTGACACGCTTCTTTTAACTTTTTATAGTTTGTACGTAAGATGAATGCGTGACTGTGTTGTTTCATTGTTGTAACCAACTTTTTCAATATCCGAAGTAATCCGACCATATCTTCATCATTATCGCAATCATGATGGTTAATTTCTATTGATTTCAATGTGTCTGAGTGTAATCGTAACAGTGGTTCCAAGAAATCTATATAGCTGTAGTCTGGCCTATGATTCCAGTCTTTGTTGATATCGATTTTGAATTGTTCAATACCATGACCATTGCCATTCGGTGTGTTTGTAATTATCGATATTAGCAATGCATTATAGTTGATATCGTATCCATAGTATCCTGTTACATTGACTCTCTTTAGATTCGGCATTGCTGGAATGTATACGAGGTATTCCATCATTTGAATGGCATCTCGATACAAATCTAGATCTGAATCATCGAAGCATTCATCTACAAGATACTCTCTTTCGAGATAGATGTCATTGGTACATCTACTATCATATTCATCGGATTTGATATGAAATGTCTCCACTCTTGAGAATAATTGATTGATACGATCGGTACTCTCACCATATTTGATGTATTTGATCGAGTTATAATCAAAGAACAATGGTGGTGAATTGATAAGAGAGTATTCACTCTCAAGATTAACATAACCAATCAAATTGTAATAACTATTTGTAATCTTCTTTGATACCACTTTGAAGAACTGTTTGGAAACCAATGCATAATCCAATAAAAGCTTGCTATCGATATGATATTCAACACCATAAACACTCTTTTCATTGTAATACTTGATAACTTGATTTCTATCATTAGCTTTCAATGAATATGGAATGATTCTCTCCAAAACTATATCTGGTAGAATGCAAGTGGATTGTGTGTTGACTGTAGAACAAACGAAATCTAAACCACTGCTATTTACGATCTCCATTTGACTATCCCATTCAATTATATTGGTTTTCGTTGTAATCTCATTGTTGCTCTTTAACAGCACTTTGTTGTAGAAATCCTTGTAATCATAGTCCAGGAAATCAGCATGATCGAAAGCACAACATCCTTTATAGATTTTAATTCTTTTCTTTAATTGATCTCCTTTAAGTTTCTATATTTATTAGAATATTTGCAATCTAAATTAGTATATTAATATATTATAGATTGTTTTTATAATTTGATGTTTATAATTACTCTTTTATCGTTGATTATTCGATTGTATATATCTTGTAACGTTGTGATATGATCTCCACAATAAAACGATGACATGTTATCGAATACATTGAACGAAGGATCAAAGAAGACATCGACAATGAACTTGATATAACCTTGAACATCGTAGTAATGTATAAACTTATATCGATGGTATTCAACAAAGAACCTTACACATTGTGCTCTTAAACTATCGTTTCTACTCTCCAAGCATTCGTAATAAAGATTATAGATTCTATTAAAGTTTATCAATGAATTTTGATCTTTGAAATCTATACCTTCTACAAGAATTGGGAATTCTTCGTCCAATTCTTCCACTGAACTCATTCTTTTGATTAATCAAAGAATAGTAACTAAATTTTAATCTATTTAAATGATCAAATAGGATAAACAAATATAAAAAAAAACATTGTTGTAGAAAATCCTTTTTGCTCGATAAAATCTAGAATTACTATATTTTAAAACTCAAAATAGGAATCTAGATTTTAGTTTAAATATCTTTTACTTTATTAATTTCTACTCTATCAATACAATTTAACTATATCAATTCAAAACAATTTAACATATTTGTAAAATAACTTAAGTCAAACATATAATTATTTGTTTTATTTACGTAATTAATAATTAAATTAAATTAAGTTTGTTGTTATTGGTGGACTGATAAATTATAATGATTGATGTTGGTGTGCGATTGATTAGTGTTTCAAGTGGAAGTAGTCTGTGTACACAACTTAGATCTTTGATGTTTGATTAATATGACTTGACATTGTTTGCTTTGATACCATGCTGCTTGCAAATGGCTAGGAGAGACCATCGAGTTATGTTGTTAACTTTGGTTTTTCTTTCTCTCTTCTTATTCTTCTTCCTCTTCTTCCTCTTCTTCATCCTCTTCATCTTCACTATCATAGTAATCTCCATCATCATCATCACTATCTCTATCATCAAGTTTTATATTCATACTACATATATGATCGAGTAGATATTGATATACATCTTGATCTTCATCATCCTGACAAGCACTTTGTAACTTTTGATAGTTGGTACGCACGATGAATGAGTAACTGTGTTGTTTCATTGTTGTATATATAGTCATCGAGACCATTTCTGAAACATGGTGTATAGATTTTCATTCTTTTCTTTAATTGATCAGCTTTCAATTTCTTTGTTAAATAAATTAGTATATTTATGATCATTAATGTTTTACTATTAATATTTTTAGTTACTCTTTTATCCATGATCATATAATTGTATATATCCGTTATCGTTGGTATATCTTTACAGTAAAATGATGACATATTCTCTACCACATCTAATTCAGGATCAAAGAAGACATCGACAATGAACTTGATATAACCTTGTACATCGAAATAATGTACATATTTATATCGATGATAGTCAACAAAGAACTTTACACATTGTGATCTTAAACTATCATCTCCAAACATTGATAATAGAAGTTTATCAATGAATTATGATCACTATACCCTCTACATTAATTGTGTATTCTTCTAACTCCTCTACTGAACTCATTCTTTCAATGAATATTTAAATAGAATAGAAACTAAATTTTAATTTTAACCCCTCTAATTTTTAATTTTTACATTTTTTTTAAAATTAATGCGCAGGCTAAAGTTGTTGGGAGCCAGTTTTGTTTTGTAAAATGATACTTGAGAAATGGTTGTGTTGTAAAAAATACATGAATTATTGTAATAAAAAAAATATAATTGCTTAAAATATATATTTGTTTTATTTATTTAATAAAAGATAAATTTGAATTAAGTTTGTTGTTAATGGTGGATTGATTGAGGTTGGGGTTTGATACCATACCGCTTGCATATGGCTTGTAGTTCACGTTTATCTTCTACTTCTTCTTCTTCTTCTCTTCTTCTTCTTCTACCTCTTTCTTTATCTTTTCGTTTCTTTTCTTTCCTCCTCAATATCTTCTTCATCTTCTTCATTACTATCACTGTAATCATCAAGTATAATACTATTACTATGTATTTGATTGAGTAAATATTGATATACATCCTCATCTCTATCATCTTGGTAAGCTTCTTTTAACGTTTTATAGTTTGTACGCAAAATGAATGAGTAACTGTGTTGTTTCATTGTTGTAACCAATTTCTTCAATATATGAAGTAATCCATCCATATCTCTACGATGGCAATCATGATAGTTGATTTCGATTGATTTCAAAGTGTTTGAGTGTATTTCTATAAGTGGTTCCAAGAAATCTATATAACTGTAGTCAGGACAATTGTCCCAATCTTTGTTGATATCGATTTTGAATTGTTCAATACCATGACCATTGCCATTTGGTGTGTTTGTAATTATCGATTTTAGAAATTCACTATAGTTGAAATCGTATCCATAGTATCCTGTTACATTGATTCTCTTTAGATTCGGCATTGCTGGAATGTATACGAAGTATTCCATCATTTGAATGGCATCTTGATAGAAATCTATATCTACATCATCTAAGCACTCCTCCAACAGATACAACCTTTTAATATCGTCACTATTGCAAATTCTACTATCATACTCATCGGATTTGATATGAAACGTTTCCACTCTTGAGAATAACTGAGTGATACGATCGGTATTCCAACCATATCCAATCGACTTGATCGATTCATAATCAAAGAACAATGGTGGTGATTTGATAAGTGAATAATCACTCTCCAAATTAAAAAAACCATTCAAATTGTAATAACTATTTGTAATCTTCTTTGATACCACTTTGAAGAACTGTTTGGAAACCAATGCATAATTTAAAACTGACTTGCTATCGATATGATATTCAACACCATAAACACTCTTTTCATTGTAATGCTTTATAACTTCATCACTTTCATCGGCTTTCAATGAATATGAAACAATTCTTTCCAATATGACATCTGGTAGAATGCAAGCGGATTGTATGTTGGCAATGGAACAAACGAAATCCAAACCACTGCTATCTACAATCTCCTTTTTAATATTATCCGATCCAATTGGATTGGTTTGCGTTGCAACTTCTTTGTTGTTCTTTAACAGTACTTTGTTGTAGAAATCCTTAGCATCATAGTCAACGAAATCTTCATGATCGAAAGCACAACATCCTTTATAGATTTTAATTCTTTTCTTTAATTGATCACTTTTTAGTTTCTTTAATTAGTTTATTTAATAAATTAGTTTAGTATTCTCCACTAATTGTTTTAGAATTTAATATTTATATAATAATTACTCTTTTATCATTGATTATTCGATTGTATATATCTTGTAACATTGGTATATGATCTCCACAGTAAAAACGTGACATATTCTCTACCACATCTAATTCAGGATCAAAGAAGACATCGACAATGAACTTGATATAACCTTGAACATCGAAATAATGTATAAATTTATATCTATGATATTCAACAAAGAACCTTACACATTGTGATCTTAAACTACCATTTCTACTCTCCAAGCAATCGTAATAAAGATTATAGATTCTATTGAAGTTTATCAATGAATTTTGATCTTTGAAATCTATACCTTCTACAAGAATTGGGAATTCTTCATCTACCTCTTCTCCTGAACTCATTCTTGAGAGAATAGTAACTAAATTTTAATCATTAATTTATTTGAACTTTTAATCCTTAATATCCAAAAAAAAAATTAAGATATTTAAAATCAATTGATTATCTAGTCCTTTTTTAATGTAATAGGAATTCAAATTATCAGAAAGACTAAAAAGGAATTAATTAATTTTAATCATAATTAGAAGGTGAAATATAAATTTGCAAAAAAAATCTCTATTCTGGAAATTCAAAAAGAGCGGGAGAAGGCGCCTTCTTCTGATTAAATTTATAAATGATATCCATAAGCTTATTATCCAATAAAAATCATCTCTTTAAACATAGGTATAGAAAGACAAAAGAGAAATTCTAAAAATTTGACTAAGGAACTCTTAATAGTAATTTATGTATAATACAACAATACAAACAAATCATACATTGTGATAGCAAGAATATCATTCATGTTGGTCGGTTTCAGAATACCAAAATTTTGTAGAAACAATCGATACCTCCTAACTCTTAGTGAAACATTTAAAAGGCATACTTAAGTCCTTTTTCTTCTTTTTCCACTTTGATCGTTCCAAGTTATTTTCTTTTAAATATTCATTTATTTATTTATTTATTTTTTAAAAATAGAGACAGGCAAATAACAATAATTATGACCACCCACATAATCAACACATCGACACACAAAAAAAACCAAGATAATTTAAAAAAAGCTCGGTTAAAATTTACCAGCGATACAATTATGCCGTCAGCTTTTAATAAAATCTATTCATTGCATTCATCTGCAAATGAATTTCAGTTCCCACCAAATTTATTTTTGTTTTTTGGTTTTGGAGCTTTCTTTGTGAAAAAAAACCCCGATTCTTGATGGGCATTCTCACACAAACATGATTTGCAGCACAAATTAAAAAAAAACGACAAAATATTTGTGGGGAAAATTCTCTTTCAATGTTATTAATTTTATTTTATTAAATATTTTTAATTTTTTTATCACAACAACAACTATTTAAATACTGTTTTTTTATGATGATCATTAGTAAATATTTATAGTTAACTATTCTATTCACACCACATAATCTAAATATTATATAAATTTTATAATATATTATATTTACCATTGTTTTTATTATCAATTAATTAATTTAAATTAATAAACTAATTACAAAACAACACTAATGACTTTTGAATCAAAAGATCTTGAAAATAGTCATTCAAGAGAGATGGATACTAAAAAGGATACTAACATAAATATAAAGAGTTCACCGAAATCTACAAAGTTGGTTCGAACTGTTTATATCTCATCTGCATTGGCTGCACTTGGTGGTGTAAGTAGTTATAACATAACAAACTAATAACTAATAACTAATTAACTAATTAACTAATAACTAACCAATAACTTTTAAACTTTTTTTTTTTCATTCATTTTAAATAAATATTAGTTTGTTTGTGGATATGACTCTGGTGCTGTCACTGGTATTATGGTTATGGTACCGTTTATCAATTCCTATTCAGAGTTGGCCGATGAGAATACCTATGTCTACTACTCTGGTCTGTGTTTTGCGTTGATGTTGATGACTGCCGCGATCGGTGCTTTCGTTTCCGGTCCGATCTGTGATAAGATCGGTCGTAAGTGGAGTATTGTCATGGGTGCCTATATCTTTGCTCTCGGTATTCTCTTTGAGATCATCGGACAGAAGTTTGGACTGTTGCTAGCGGGTCGTCTGGTTGCCGGTTTCGGTAACGGTTTGATAACGAACGCCGTGCCACTCTATCACTCTGAGATTGCGCCACCCGATATCCGTGGACGTCTTGTCACGCTCTTCACTGTGATGGCGTCGTTCGGTACCGTCTGTGGCTACTTTATCACCTTTGGAACTTCCTACCTAACCAGCCAATGGGCATGGCGTGCACCATGGATCGTCCAGCTGGTGATTGCCGTCTTCCTCGGCTCGTTTGTCATTCAGTTGCCATACTCACCGCGTTGGCTCTTTGACATCGGTCAGGAGCGTGAGTCACTCGAAGTGCTTGCCAAACTGCGTGAACTGCCAACCGACGATCCAGCCGTTGTCGCCGAGTACGTCGAGATCAAAGAACAGATCTCCGCTGAGAAATCGCTCGGTAATCGTACCTACATCGAGCTGTTCTACCGTAAGAACTTGAAGGCGACACTGATCGCCTTCTTCATTGGTATTGCCACTTCGTTCACCGGTATCAATGCCATCCTCTACTATGGACCATCGATCTTTATGGATGCCGGTCTCAGCGATGTATCCACCTCGATCGCAGCATCTGGTGGTACCGCCATCGTCTCGTTTGGCGCAACCATCGTTTCATTCTACCTGATCGATATCTGGGGTCGTAAGAAGCTCTTCATCTTGGGTGCCATTCTCATGGGTATTGCCATGTTCATCGTTGGTGCAATGTTCCAGGGTTACTCTTACTTTGATGCCGACGGTTATGTCATCATGGACAATGTTGGTGCAAGAACCGTCATCATCATTTGTATCTACGTTTTCATGGGATCTTTCAACTTGACTTGGGGTGTTGCATCTTATGTATATCCGTAAGTAGTATTAATATTTACATTTGCAACATATATTAACTTATTGTTTTTTCTCAAAGAGCTGAAATCTTTAACATGAGAAATCGTGCAAAAGGACTTGGTTTAACCTATGGTCTTAATTGGGCATTCTCTATTCTTGTTACCTATTGTATGCCATTGTTTATGGCTTCAACGTAAGTTATTTAATTAGATGTTTAAGATGACCGATTGATTATATTTATTTAATATTTTTTTGTTTGTTTAGTTTGTCCGGAGTATATTTCTTCTTTGGTTCATGTTGTATTGCCATCACCATTGTTGTCTTTTTCATTCCAGAGACACGTAATATTACATTGGAAGCTATGGAGCAAGTCTTCCAATAGGTAAGCTGTTAGAGAGAAGTAACCGTTGTTTCAACACTTTATTTCCTCTTTCATATTTTTTTCTCTCTCTATCAAACTCACTTTTGGATATTCAATTCCAATGGAGTATTTTTTCGATATCGATTATAATCATTTTTAATAATAATATAAACCAAATTTTTATTGGCACAAGGGGTGCAAAGAAATCAATTTTGTCTTTACAAGATCGAATTGGTTTTGGAGCTGAGATTATACCCTCATACCGGAAACAAGACAATGCTTGCGTCGGAATAGTGTCAATCTACTGTGGTTGGTGGATGTTTGTTTGTTGTCAGAGTGATCATCATTTAAATGACTCGACAAGACATAACACATCGACCCAGTTGTAATTTGGTCTTCTTCTTGTTCTTTTCTTTTTTTTTTTGTTTGTTTGTTCTTTCTTCCTTTAAACCATCCAAAAAAGAAACTTTACTATAAATCCATTACACTTTCTATATTTTTTTTTTTTTTTATTTAATATTTGGTTTTATTACCTTCATTCCAACAATTTTTTTTTATATAACAAACAACGATGATGATGATGTATCGAATGGAATAAGAATAGTATTTAAATATGTATGATTTTTTTTTTATCAGTGGATTGAATTTATAAAGGTGGATTGAATTTAAATGGAAAATTGAACTATTATTATAATTTTTTGTGAAAAAAAGAAAAAAGAAAAAGAGATATCAAATTACTTATATTTCGAAACATGTATATTTAAGAAGAGGTGGAATCTCAGTTGCACAAAATCAGTTTTTGATCACATTTATTTGATTATTTTATTTGAATCTACTTAATCTTCTTCATTTTATTTTTTATTTATTTTTATTCTTTAGGTTTCTCCTTCTATCAAAAAGGTGTTTTTCAACACCACCCATATCCTAAGAACTTCATATCTTTTATTTTCCTATGACCAATCAAGATTAAAAGAATAAAATATTTTCTTTTAATTTGTCACGTTGTAAAAAAACAAAAATCATTTATAAATATAATAATAAGAACTAAAAAGCAATAAAAGTATGTCAAGAATTACAAGATTTATTTATATGTTGAATACAATTATTTAGTGGCGTATTTGGCCTTCAATGAGTCAACGAGGGCGATGTACTTGGTCATGGCATCATCCTTTGAGGTTCCCTTCAAAGCAGTCCAGGCCTTCCACTTGGCACTGGCTTCGAGTTGGACAGCCCATGGTTGAGCTAATGTAGTTGTTATTAATTGTTCATTGAATGTTAATACATGCAAATCTCTGCTAGTCGATAACACGTCTATCTCCTCCTAATAATAATAACTTACCAGTGGTATTGTCACCTTCCTTGGCTTGCTTGAAGAGACCGTACAATTCCAACAATTCTTCGTTGGTTGGCTTTTCAGTCAAGACAGTCTTGACTTCGGCGGCAGCAGCTTCGAAACGTTCCTATTAATGTGTAATGAAAACAATACAATATAAATCATATTAATAAAAACTTATTTCTTTTTCCTAAAACAATTTGTTTTGATGTTTTTTCGTTTCATTTTCCTCTTTAAAACTTACTGAGAGAGACATATTTTATAGTATTTGTTTAAGTTTGTTGGGTAATGATTTTTAGTAAAATATAGATTAACTTTTTATTCAAATTCACCTCAAAAAAAAAGTCAAAATGTAAAAAAAAATAAAATAAAAAAAATAAAAATTGAAAAATTATTGAAAGAATTAAAAAAATATCTGTTTTTTTTTTTTTTCAAATGAAAATTATGACTGTCACATTATATATGACTTTTTTTGGATGTGATATTTGTTTGTTTGGAAATTTCATTAAAAAATTAATTAATAAATAAATAAATAAATAAATAAATAAATAAATATTTTTTTAATTTAAATAATTTTTATAAATTTATTATTTATTATTAGTTTTTAAGTTTCAATTTTTTTCTTTCTGCGGATAACTATAGTTGTGTCATTACAAAGTTAGTATAAATACAATAAAAATATATCAGGTGAAAGGTGAGAATGTTTGTTGTTTAACTTTCTTTATACATACAATTTGTTTAACTCTTTCTAATGAATGATGGTTACTTCCAACACAACTATCTACAGTATATGGGCTCGATATCTTAATTTCATCCAAAACAACAATGGTTTTTCCTTGCCATGAACATGGTAAACTAGTATATATTGATATTTGTTTAATGGTGGTGTTAGGTTTAGTTATTATTGTTATTGCTTATGTTTGTATTGTTTGTTTACGAAAAAGCAATCGCAACACATACGTTTTTGATAATGAATAAAAAATTTCTTGTGCTTCTTGGGTGACACCGACACCGATCTTTGATGCTTGGATCTGTGCTTGATATAATGCTTTGTCACATCGCTTCTGAATTGATTGTAAGTTGATTGCTGGCAGTGTTGTCATTTCACAGATCGATTGTGTGGTGGTGCTTGGTGTCGATGAATCCTCTGGTGATCCAATCACCGATACCTCTGTAATGGTTGATTCCAAAATCACTCTAACAATATGTTTTCTTGACATTGGTAGTGATCCATCTTCACTCACTTTAATATTAAACAAAAATATATATCGGTTAATAACAATATTAAATTAATTAATCATTATCATAACATAATAGTTATAATAATAATGTTTTAGAAAGTTTTATGTATGTTCAATCAACATTCATTATATAATGAATTATAAATTTAGATCTCTTCTTTCTCTCCTCTATCTATGCTTGCTTCTCTCTCATCTCCCTCTATCTCTATCCTCTTGCTCTTGCTCTTTCTCTCCACTCCTTTGCTTAAATTACAGTATAATAATAATGGTGATGATAGTTGTAATAGTAATAGTAACCTACATAATGTAATACAAGTTGTTGTTGGATCATAACTGAAGATTTCTCCTTCGAATTGCTCAGCCAATGTATTCTTGATGCGAACTCTCAAACCAATCATCCATGTGAATTTATCATTTGAATTGTTATCCATTTTTTACACTTTTCGGTTCTTCTTCCTTCTTCTTCTTCTACTTCTTCTTTCTCTTTACACAGTACTATATATACTATATACTATTACAGATTCTTTTGTACTTCCTACACTAACACGGTAACTATAGTATCTTTACTTCCTCTACTTAACTGTACAGTACTACTACTATTATAGTTATTCTATTCTATTTATATATTATTATTATTTTACACAACGACTACTCGAATAGTTGATTAATAGATTATATTCTATAATATGATCAAGTTCAATCGATAATCTACTCTTTTAAACAACTTCTATCTAAATATGAATTAATTTTTGGCGAAACCAAATAATTTTGACAAAAAATTAAAAAATTAAAAGAAGTTGAAGATCTAGAATAGAATGACCGATATTAAATGATGAAATAATTATTATTATTATTGATAACTATTTTAACTTATAAATATCTAAATATATATTGCTGATTCGAATGATGGATGATGGATGAATATATATTTTTAACAATATTTATTTTTACTGTTTTTATTGTTTTTTTTTATTTTTTAAATTAATCAAATGATTTTACTTCCGATCAAGCTGCTTTGATTTGATTTGCTCTGTTGTTTGAAGGTAGTGGAGATGGTGATGATATGAACAACAACCTTTTTAATTAAATCTTAAAAAAAAACAATTTTTAATATTAAAATTTTTATTAATTTTTCATTTTTTCCAAAAAAAAAAAACAAAAACAAATTATCAACGTTACTACCTATTGACTTCAGGTAACTTCATAAAAAACTTGTGACTTGGCAATAAAACTATTTAATTCAATTTTCATATTCTTTTAAAAAAAAAAAAAAAAAAAGTTTGGTTTTTAAAGAAAAATACTTAAAACTAATAATAATAATAAAACAGAATAGATATATAATTTCTTCCTTTTTCCTTTTTGTATTTTAGAAAATAAATAAAAATAAAATCTTTTATATATTTATATTAATTAATGTATGTATTGAGAAGAATCAAATTCTTTCATTATTTTCTATTTTCTATTTTAAAAAGTTTAAAAATATTACTTTATATATTTCCTTTCCTTTCCTTTGAGATTACCATAACATTACATAACATGACAATCAACAAATATTGCAATATCAGCAGATAGGATAGTTAGTAGATTCTCAATTAGAATTCTAGTAGTAATGAATCAAATAAACATCTATATTTCTGACAATCTGTAGAAATGATGGATGTATGAATGAATGTCGATGCAAATTGAACTTACTAGTTAGTAGTTTTGTTTAATTTTGTTATTATTTTTATAAATAATATACGTTTTTGTTTTCTATTGTTGTTTGTGTGACACGATAAACACAACAATTATAAATAAATAATATCCCAAGAGAAATGTGTTGTTGTTGTTGGTGGTAGTGGTGATGTGTAGGGGTGGTGTTATATTTATAAAAAACAAATAAAACAAAAAAAAAAGATACTTTTGCAACAACACACAAAGTAAATACATTAAAACAAAAAAAAAAAAAAAACAATAAATAAAATTTAGTTAAAACGATTGTTTTTTGTTGTTGGGTAGAGAGTTGTGGCTAGAGAGATAGAGCAGTGTCATTATATTGTAATTTCAAACAATCTAATAGTTATTTTTTTGATATCAAAAAATAAATATTTATATTGTCAAAAGCATAAACATAACCATTTTTTGTATTGTTTGCAAACATTTTCCTTACTATTACTACACTACTTAACCTACCAACACAATTGTTCAAATTAACATTATCAAAACCAAACTTTTAGTTTAATTTAATTAGTTTTTTATTTTTTATATATATATATATATATTACAAATATTAACTATAATATTAGTTTAATAGTATAGATAGATAGATATATATACAGGCTGTACTTTTTGTTAAATTATATATAGATATAGGTCTTTCACGCGTGTGTTGGACAGTTTATAGAATTGATATATAGTTAGAATGGATAATGGCTTCGAAGTACAGTTTGACGGTGACAATGGTGAGAGTTTTTTCGATTCATTCTCAACCCCACCACAAGAACCTCTAGCTCCAGCAGAAAATGCACCGACACCACCAACACCACCACAAGAACAAGCACAACAACCAACACAAGATTCACAACATGAAGTAACAACAACATCACCACAAGAACCACCACAGGAACCAACACAAGAACCACCACAAGATCTTTCAGTACCAACAGAAGAACCTCCACAACAACAACAACAACAACAGAATGAACAACAACTTGTTGAAGATTTACAACAACAAATTGAAAATTTGACAATTGAACAGGTAGAATCTTCACCACCACCAGTTCAAGAAACTACACAATCATCTCAAGTTGATGTGGAACAAGTTCAACAACAACAAGAACAACACCAACAAGAACAGCAACAACATGAACAGAATGAACAAACCGAAATACATACAGAGTCACAAGTTCAACAACAACAACAGGAGAGCGAAAAGAATGTTGAACAACCAGAACAACAACAACAAAATGAGATTGATAATAGTATTATTGATTCAATGACTGTTACCAGTGCCAATAGTAGCCAACTTGATAATTCCGATGTTTCAAATGCAACAAGTGAATCATTTACCTCGATATCAAATTCAGTGTTGTCCGAGGACATTCCATTGGTTGGCGACAGTGGATCAAAAGACAGTGTTACATTTTTACAAGAAACAAACTCTGTTTCGTCGAATTTCGAGCAAGATAGCATCGATTCCTCGCAAAACTCCATTCCTTTCAGTGATACCACCGAGCAGTTTTCAACACCGTCCTCCACACTTCCACCAGCAACTGGCGACTTCTTCCAACAGCAGCAACAACAACAACCATTAGCAACAGAAACAACTTCACAATCGAGTGAAAAAGATTGTTCTTCGTTCTTTGGTGACAGTGCAAGTGGAAACGATGATTTCTCTTCATTCTTTACTAAGCCAGCCAGTCCAACTATCGCTGCTGCTACCACCACAACTATTACTAGCGAGCCACCTGCTGTCGTTTCTCAACAGCAGTCAGTTGTCGCACCAGCAGTAGTTGCCTCTCAGCCACCTGCTCCTGTTCAGCAACAACAACAGCCTGCACAACCAGAGAAAGAACTTTCTTCATTCTTTGGCGGTGACAGCGGAGTTGGCGGTGGTGGAAACAACTTCTTTGGTGGCGGTGGTGGTGGAAATGATGATTTTGGATCGTCGTTCTTTGATACACTCATCATTCAACAAGAGGAGGAACAACGTAGAAAGGAGCAACAAGAACTACAAAGAAAGCAAGAGGAAGAACAAAGAAGAATACAAGAGGAGCAACATAAACTATATTTATTGGAGCAACAAAAGCAACAACAACAGGCAGCTCAACAACAACAGTGGAATGGTGGTTATAATAATAATCAATATGGTCAACAGCAACAACAATATAGTGGACAACAACAACAGTGGAATGGCTATAATAACCAATATCAGCAACAACCACAACCACAACAAAATCAATGGGGACAGCCACAACAACCACAACAGCAATATCCACAGGCCAGTTTCTTTGATCAATTCTCTCAACAACAACAACAACCATCAGCTCAACAACAACAGTGGAGTGCCTATAATAACCAATATCAGCAACAACAACCACCACAACCAGTTCCTACTAATCAATATCAACCTCAACCACCAGCTGTCAATCAATATCAGCCATCCGTTCCAGTTGCTACTAATCAATACCAACCACTACAACCACAACCACTGGCACAACCACCAATTGCCACCAATCAATATCAACCAGCATCACCTGTTTCACACAATATATCACCACCAACCACTCAACAACAGCCACATCAACATCAACGACAGTTCAGTGCTTCCACTCCACAGAGATCGTCAGAGCAAGTACCATATTATCAACCATCGTCACCATCGACCCATACATTCAATGCTCAGCCACCAACACACCCACAAGTTCAGCATCTAAGTGGTACTACCTCACCATCTCATTCACCATCGTCATCGTACACTCAATCGTCGATGCCAATGCCAATGCCAACACCACTCCAACAACAACAACAACAACCACCAGCTGCTCACCAATATCAAGTTCCATCTCCTTCCTCTTCATTCAGTCACTCTTCCTATGGTAACAACAGCGTCACTAACAACAGCAACACCGCCACCAACCATAGCAATCCAGGATCGGTCACTTCTGCAGCCTCACTTAGTCAGTCCGCCAGTGGATTGCCATCGTATCAACCTACACACGCCAGAACCAACTCCAATGAGTTCAGTGCCATGTTGAAGCAACAAGTTGGATACACACCATCTTCGCCATTGCAAAGCCAAATGCAGGTCGCCACACCACAGCAACCACCTCTGCCAGTGAATCCAAATAGTGTTCCACCCTCGCCATCTTCCTACACACCTTCACTTCCAATGGCAATCCCATCATCCAATCCAGGTTCTCTCAATGCCAGTATTCCACCACCAGCCAATCTCAGTGGATCATACTCACAGTCACCTTCTCAATATCCAATGGCATCAATGCAACCACAACAAAACTACTATCAACAACAACAACCATCACAACCATCCATGCCAATTCAATATAATCAACAACAACAACAGTATCAACAATCCAATCAATATTATCAACAACAAGGATATCAACAAGGTTGGGGTGCAACACCAGCTGTTGCCAAGACTGATACACCTCTCTTCACACGTCCACATCCAGTGTTCACCTTTGGATTCGGAGGTAAGGTTGCCATGTTGCGTCCAACTCCACAGGTTAGATCGACCTCGATCCAAACCATCAATGTAAAGAACCTGGTTGGACAATCGCAACTCTATCACAATGTATCTACTTTCCAGGTCCACTGACCAACAGCACCTCAAAGGACACTGTCAATAAGTGGATTCAAGAGAGAATAGCAGATATCGGAAGTGGTCGAATGGATACCCTTTGCTCGCGTGACCCAGAGGCATCGCATCTTCTCTGGGAATTGCTTGTGGTTCTCAACAACAACGAAGGTCAAATCCTCGACAACGAGAAGAACTTTGACAAGACACTCCACAAGCTTCTCCTGGACAACAAAAACTCGATGACCAACTTCCCACCACAGCAACTGAATCGATCTGATGCCGACCTACAGATCCTACTCAACGAGATGCAAAACCTGTTGATTCGTGGCGATCTCGTAGGCGCACACAAATTCACAATGGACAACCAGCTCTGGACTCATGCCATTGTACTTTCACATTACCTCGGACCAGAGGCATACGGCAAAACACTGTTGGCATTCAGCAACAATTCATTCCCATTGGGATCACCGCTAAAGACCGTCTACAGTTTGTACTCGAACAACACTCGTGAGTTGTTCAAAGACTTGCAGGGTGTCAACGCATCGCCCGCCTTCCTAGAGAGCTGGAAGGAGAACATCGCTGCTCTCCTCTTCAACGGAAAGGCACAGGGTCAAAAGGTGATCGGTGAGATGGGTGACCGTATCTGGGCGATCCAGAAGCGAGTCGAGGCAGCACACGCATGCTACTTACTCTCTGACTACCAGTTTGGACCATTGGATAATCCAAACAGCAGAATTGTACTATTAGGTGGTGATCACAAAGTATCGAAACACTATATAACAACAGAGTCACTTCAGCGTTCTGAAATCTACGAATACGGAAAAACACTCGGTAACTCTCAATATTCATTGCCAATGATTTTGGTTTATAAATTTTTATATGCTACATTATTATGTGATTTAGGAATGATTGAACAATCATCAAAGTAAGTTTGTCAATAACCAGTCGTTAAAAGTTTGAACGATAGATCTATTTGAAACTAATTCCACTTCTTCTTTCTCTTTAGATATATAAATACCATTAAAAATACATTAAAGAATCATAATATTAATAATCCCAACTTTATATATCAACTTGACACCTTCTCTGAGAGATTAATGAATTTCTCATCATCCAAGTAAGTAGCTACAACTACCATTTTTTTTACATATCTTCTTTCTAACTAACTTGATTTTAGGATGAATACATCTGGATCATGGATTCAATTACCTTCTATATTCAAATTTGGATTTGGTGGATCAAAGAAATCAAATAATGCACCTGCTGCTGTTGTTTCAACAGCACCGGTACCTGTAGTCGCTGCTGTGGCACCAGTAGCTGCTCAGCCGGTCAAGGAATCACCAGTGAAGCCAGCAGTCACAAAATCAAATAGCTCACTCAAGTTTGACGATGATGAAGATTTGTATAGTTCATTCTCTACAAAAACACCAAAGAAGGATTTGAGTCAGCCACCCGCACCAACACCAGAGGGTGAAACTCTCGACAGCGCCACTGGCATGTCACAGGATGACGACAAGGACAAGCAAGCCGGTGGCAAATCATGGTGGTTCTGGAAGAAGAACAAGTCGAACGCCAAGGAGATGCTGCTCAACGACGAAAACAAATTCATCTACGACGAGAAGCTTGGCACCTGGATCGAGAAGGGCAAACCACTGCCAAAGCCAGCGGAACCAACTCCGCCACCACCCATGATGGATCCATCACCCTCGCCAAACGGAAACTATTCGACACCGGGCAATTCAAGTCCACCCGTTGGAATGGGTTCTCCAATGATTCCACACTCGTCGTCGCCACATGGTGACGTTGGTCCCAACGGTGAGGAATCATCGCCACTCTCGCCCGGCGTCAACAAATATTCATTGATCTCTCCAAATCCCGGTGGAAAGAGAAGACCTCGTTACTTGGACACATTGAATCAATCTGTTTACTCTGGTTCCGGAGCTAATCTTGTGTCTTCCAACGATGGAACCAATTCCGCGTTCAAACCATCAATGCCAGTTCCCGGTCAGTTCGAACCATCCGCACCAATGCCAATCGAACAACAACAACCAATGGCCACTGGTATGCCACAGATGATGAGTGGTTCGCCAATGGGAGCAGCACCACCACCCATGATGGGAGTGGCAGCACCGCTACCCATGATGGGAAGCTCACCAATGGGAGCAGCGCCACCACCCATGATGGGAAGCTCACCAATGGGAGCAGCGCCACCACCCATGATGGGAAGCTCGCCAATGGGAGTAGCACCACCACCTATGATGGGAGCAGCGCCACCCATGATGAGTAGTCCTCCAATGGGAGCACCACCAATGTCTGCTTCCATACCAAATTTCCCACCCACTCAATAAAAAATTATTAGTAAAAAAAAAAAAAAAAAAAAAAGTCTTTATTTCTCTATCTTTCTGATGATGTAATTTCACCAAGTATTTGATAACAACTACAAATAAAAGGATTAATTATTTAATTAATTGTTACAGTAGATAAACTAACTAACTAATCAAATTAAATATTTACATATCAGTTGTATCAGTGTTTAGATTATCTATAATTGATAGATAATGGACAAACAATCGATATCCCATTCTCAATAGAGGTTTGTGATCTAACTCAAGACGTATCTTTCGACTGGAGCCAATTCTTGATGATTCTCATTGATTGTTTGAAATTAGACCACAGACGAACAAACGATTGAATGAAGAGATAAACAAAATTGTCTGCTGACTTAATAATATACCATCAAATATTCTTACAACCTGTTCAAAAAAAAAACAATAAAACTCTGTTATATTCATCTTTATATTAGTATTGCCATCCTTTGTACAAGTAGTGTTCATTTGTTTGTGTTTTGAAAAATGTGCATAAATAAAAAAAAAAAAAAATTAGTAAATTAAAAAATTAATTAAAATCAAAGTATTTGTTCTGCAAACTAAATTAATAAAATAAACCAGTTTAATAAAATGGGTTCAAGACTTCTTGGTAAAATATTGACAGAGTCTTCTGCTTTATTTGTGTATGTATATTGATATTAATGATATTGATATTATATGTATTCTATTATTATTATATGTTTGTTTTTAATTGCTAACAAACATTAAATTAAATTATGATAGATGTGATATTCAACAAAAGTTTGTACCCCTTATTCATGATATGCCACGTTTAGTTCAACATGCTAGTACTTTAGTAGGTGTTTTATAATAGCTATTATGTTATGTTGTGTTGTTACTAAACTAATATATTAATTAATATTGTTGTCGTTGTTGTTTTGCTTTTGGTAGATTAAAGGATGTCAAGAACTTAATGTTCCTATTGTTGGTACGGAGCAATATCCAAAGGCACTGGGATCGATGATCGATGAGGTATCGCCGAGCACCTACAAAGTGTATCCAAAGACACTGTTCTCTATGTACATTCCAGAGATCAAGTCACGTTTGAAAGGCGGTGATCTCAGTCATGTGAGATCTGTCATACTCACTGGCATCGAGACACACGTATGCATTCTACAGACTACACTGGATCTGCTCGAGGATGGTTACGAAGTGCATGTGGTGCGCGATGCCGTGTCAAGTCAGCGTCTAGACGACAAGAATACAGCAATCGAGAGATTGAGACAGAGCGGTGCTTTCATTACTAGCACCGAGAGTATCTTGTTCCAACTGATGAGAGATGCCAATCACAAAAACTTTAGAAACATCTCAACACTTGTAAAGGATCACAATACTAAAGTATCAAAGTTATAAAATATACTTTCGAGATAGTTCAATAAACTTTTTGTAAATAAACCACTCTGTTTGACTTTAGATATCTATGTTCACAATTGCAAAAAAGTCGATTGGATTAAGCATATTATTTTATTTATATATATATGAATTTTGAGGAAATTTGTTGAATTTGCATTCGGAGAAACACAACCTAAGAGGTGAGAACAGTAATGATACAGATCATTTGATTAAAGAAAGCTAAAATCATTTGATCTGTATAATTATTAATTAAATCTTTCACACTTCAATCACCAAACACTAATTTAAATAAAGAAATTAAATGTTGATTACTTGTGATTGTTGAAAATGAGTTATCAATGAGTCATACTACTTACTTTTCTTTTTTATACATTTAAAAAAAAAAAAAATTTATTTAATATAATAAAAAAATCTATAATCATACCTGATATTGACAATACCATCCTAAGTTAGCCTCATTGATATTGAAGTTCTTGTTGGACAAGAAGCAAAGAATCTCGCATTTTCCAATGCTAGTAATACTATATTTAATTTAAAACAATTAATAGGTAAAAAGTAAATATTATATTGCTTTTAATTTATTAAAATGGTTTATTAGTAAACACATTTTTTGTAGATTTTCAAAGATTGAAGATTTTGATATGTTACCATTCAAGGTAATACCAGATGAATTGGATAACCCAAAGGTTTCAGTCACAGTAAATGGTACTGAGAAATTTTATTCACCAGAAGAGATGGTTTCTTTTATTTTCTCTAAACTGAAGAAAAATGCTGAAATCTATTTGGGTGAACCAGTTTCTATATCAATGGAAATTTGACGATTGTTAAAATTGATCTTGGAAGTAACAATGTGACATCTCTTCAAATTCCAAATTACAATGAACATTTAACAAAAGGCTACTTCAAATTTGCTTCACAACTACTTGAGTCAGCCAAAAAATCAATTGCTTCACCAATACCCTGATGAAAAAGCAAAAATAGAAATGCAAGTGAATGGTTGGACAAATATTAATGAAAGGAAACTTCAATAATTAAACAAAAAATGTGGATGTTTATTTAAATAAAAAAAATAAAATAATATGGTTCACTATTTAATTTGAATATATATTTTTATTTATTTATCTATTTCAAAGATAGTTGCTGAGCAATGTGATCTATCATATTCGTCTCCATAAAGAATAAATTGCCATTGATCTTTTTCGATGGAATATCTACCACTACCTTTATTTCCACCAATGTTATAAATATAACTCTCTTTCTCCGATACTCGGTGATATACCATTGATCGTGTATTATTAGATCGTTTTACCATGGTTTTGAGGTTTTTAATTTCTTTGGTGAGGATGTTGAATCGAATGAATCTATTGTGTTTGCTGTGCAAATAAATATGTCGATTGCCATCAGTACATGCTGATATCCACTCACACTGTTGATCTGATTTCCAATTTTCCATTGTTTTGCGATTGATATTGATTATTGACATTTCAAATTCATATTGAGATATGATATATAGATATCCGTTATCATACAATGCAGTAATTGCTTTGGGAAAGTTCAAAGCTTCTGATTGATACAATTCACATTGAAGAGTTCTAATATTAAATCGATAGATACTACGTCCTAAAATCAGATATATATGATCTTGTCCATCATAACATGCTTTATCAATTGCTGAAAATACATCATCGATATCTTTAATAGTATGAACATGATATGTTTGATGTCTTATCGAATATACACAGCATTTGGCTTCGATAAAGTAAGAACCAAATATGTAAATATTCTCTCCAATTGTAATTGATTGACTATCGTATGGATATAGATCAAACCCTTTTAACTCTCCAAGATCAGTGATATTGTAATTCGATAAATCAATTAGAAAAAATACGAATCGATTGCTTCAATAGTTTATGAAGCTTGGTGAAATCAAACTTATCAATTATTAAATGGTAATATTTATTATTGATATTGTTTATGATTGTTGTTGTTGATAAAGATGAAAATGATTTGAATTGATTATTATAATTATAGATTAAATCTAATATCATTGAATCTGTATTATTATCATAATTTAATAGAATATCTTGAATGCTATAATTACTATTAGCACTATTAATATTAATGTTGTAAGAAAGAGTACAATAGAATATGGTTTCATTGTTTGATTTGATGAATGATGAAAGTGTTTGATTTGTATCGATTGATTCCATGATTGATGGAATTGAATAACTAGTTGTTGTATCAATATTATCTGATGATGATGAAGATGATGATGTATTTGATGTTGATCTATCATAACTATTATTTAATTTGATTATATTTATTAAATATTTTAATTCATTGATATTATTCTCGATTTGATTGATGATTATCTCTTTGTCATCAATGATTAGTGTCTTTATCTTTTTCTCTTCACTCATAAGGTACAAATGCAACTCTTCAAAGTGTTTGGAGATCTGTTTCTCTTTTGAATCTAATTCGCTGTATTTTGCTGTTGATGACTTTATTGTTTTCCAAATATCATCTAATCTTTGTGAAATATATTTGAAATGATATGTACTATTTGTATCATTATTATTATTATTACTACTATTACTATTATTATTTAATACTTGATTTAGTCCCAATCTAATATCATCGATATGATAAACGAAAGTAGAATGCTCCATATCTTTGATATGATTGGCAGAGCATCTTGAACACAACAACTTATTACACTCGTGACATACCAACTCTAATACTCTTTTATGATCTGAACATTTAAAATCATTATTTTTGCTAACTTTACTATCCATAATTAAATATTATTATAAATATAAGTATAATTATTATTAATCAAAGTAAACAACAAAATTTTAAAAGGAAAAATAACAAAACATAAGTATGAAAAAAAGTAAAGATTTAAGTTTAAAATTGTGTTGGGGTGTTTATTTTATTTTATTTTATTTTATTTTATTTTATTTGTGGGTTTTTAACTTTTTTGGTCGATGATGGACCATTAGATACATCGAAAGATAACTTGTTATCCTTTTGATCGATATCTACATGTGAATTCTCTTTTAGATCACCAGCAAGAATAAGTTTGCTAAGCTCTGTGACGATGTGTTTCTCCAAGTATCTCTTGAGTGGACGTGCACCATAAGATGGATCGTAGGCGCTCTTGAGAATGGAATCCATTGCAGGCTTTGACACGTTGACAGAGATATTTTGTGACTCGAGACGCTTGGTGACCGATCTGAGTTGCAAGGTGATGATACTCTCCAAATTGGCTTTGGTAAGTGGACTGAACACGACGATGTCATCGAGACGATTCAAGAACTCCGGACGGAAGTGCTTTCTGACTTCGTTGATCACCTGGTCTTTGACGTGCTGCGAGAGACCGGTGTTGAAGATCTCTGCATTCGACTCTGCCAGCAGATATTGTGAACCGAGGTTACTTGTCAAGATGATCACCACATTGCTAAAGTCGATCGTTCTACCTTGGCCGTCGGTGAGACGACCGTCGTCGAGAACCTGCAAGAGAACATTCCACACTTGTGGATGTGCTTTCTCGACTTCATCAAATAGTACAACACTGTATGGCTTTCTACGAACGGCTTCTGTGAGTTGACCACCTTGATCGTAACCGACGTAACCTGGTGGAGCACCGATGAGACGTGCAACTGCGTGTTGCTCCATGTACTCTGACATATCGATACGAATCATATGTTTTTCGTCATCGAACAGCTCGACTGCCAGCGCTTTGGCGAGTTCAGTCTTACCAACACCAGTTGGACCGAGGAAGAGGAACGAACCCAGTGGTTGGTTCAATCTGGCGAGACCGGCTCTCGATCTCAAGACGGCATCGGCAACGGCATCGACAGCTTCATCTTGACCAACTACACGCTCGTGAAGATGCTTTCCAAGTGAGAGAGTACGTTGTTTCTCGGTTTGTGATAACTTGGTCACGGGGATACCAGTCCATCTGGAGACTACCTCTGCGATTTGCTCAGAAGTAACGGTTTCACTGACGAGTGAATCTTTCTTGGCGTCTTTTCTTTCGATGTTACAATTCTCTATTTGTTTCTCGAGGTCTGGAATTACATAGTATTTCAAATCGGCTACCAGTTGGAGATCGTAACGTCTCTCGGCGTCGGCCAGCTTGACCTTGACGTCTTCCAACTTCTTTCTGAGGTCACGGATCTTGTCGACTCTTGATCTTTCCTTCTGGTAGATGGCTTGCAGAGGTGTCAACTCGTCTTGGATCTTGGCCAACTCTTCTTTGACGTCTTCCAGACGGTGTTTCGATTGGTCGTCCTCCTCCTTCTCGAGGGCGGTCTTCTCTACCTCCAGCTGCAACTTTCTTCTTTCGAGCTGGTCGATTGCTTCTGGCTGAGAATTCAATTGCACTCTGATGTTGGCACAGGCTTCGTCGAGCAAGTCAATAGCTTTATCCGGGAGGAAACGGTTGGTGATGTATCTGTGAGATAATTGTGCAGCGACAACCAACGAGTTGTCAGTGATTCTCACACCATGATGAGCTTCGTAACGCTCCTTCAAACCTCTGAGGATGGAAATGGTGTCGCTAACCGACGGTTCGCTTACCATGACCTGTTGGAAACGACGTTCGAATGCTGGATCCTTTTCGACATACTTTCTGTATTCATCGAGAGTAGTGGCACCGATACAACGTAGTTCACCACGCGCCAACATCGGCTTCAAGAGATTGGCGGCATCCATAGCACCGTCAGTCTTACCGGCACCGAGCACCAAGTGGATTTCATCGATGAACAAGATGATACCACCATTCGACTCCTTGACGTCTTTGAGCACCGCCTTGAGACGCTCCTCGAACTCACCACGATACTTGGCACCGGCAATCAACGCACCCATATCCAGCGCTATAACTTTGCAATTCAAATTGTCGGGAATGTCACCGTGAACGATACGCTGAGCCAGACCCTCTACGACGGCAGTCTTTCCTACACCAGGCTCACCGATCAACACTGGATTGTTCTTGGTTCTTCTCGAGAGCACACGAATGACACGACGAATCTCGTCGTCTCTACCGATGACTGGATCCAACTTTCCGGTGGCGGCATCGGCAACCAGATCGTGACCGTACTTTGACAACGCTTCGTAGGTCGACTCTGCAGTGGCAGAAGTAATCTTCTTATTACCTCTTACCTCTTTGACGGCTGCTTGAACTTGATCTTTTCTGGCACCTCCATCACCGAGAACCGATAACACTGATGGATCTTCGAGCAAACCGAGAATCAAATGATCCACAGCAAGATGAGAATCTCCATTGTTCTTTTGATTCTTGGCAGCTGTTCTCAATACATTTATCATTGAACTATTTGGTGAAATATCCCTATAAATTATAATTAAAATTTAAATGTTAATAAAAAGTTATTTATAAATATATTATAAATCTATTATTATTATTATTATTATACTTACTGAGGTGGTGGTCTTTGTACTGGTAATGTTTGTAATAATCTCTTTGTTCCATTTTCAATCTTGTTAATATCTCCACCTGCTTTTTCGAAGATGGTAGTTGCCAAATGATCTTCATCACTCAACAATGCCTGTAACAAATGTGCTGGTGTCAATTGAGTATTACATTTTTCTCTTGCCAACTCCTGACTAGCAAGTAGAATTGAATTGGTTTTCTCTGTAAATGTTTCTGGATTTAATGACATTTTTTAAAATTTGATTTATTAATGTTACTAATAGATAGATTAGATAATGATATAATAATTAATTATATGAGTGTGTATATATATATGTAAATATGTAATAAATATAAAAAACTTAATTTAATATTTAAAAAATAATAATAACTAAAATAGATATATATGTATGTATGTTTGTTATTAATGAGTGTTGTGTTGTGTTGTGGATATTGAATATTAATAAAAATAATCTTATTTATTATGTGAAATATACAATGAAAATAATGCAATCTTAGTTGACTATTGTCTTGTTGTTGTTCGTCTTTAATTTTAAATAGAAATGAATGTTTTGTAGATCCTATCCCAATTCCTTAAATAGTGAACTAACAAAAAATCTTAAAACTCAATTCACCACATAAATTAAATTCGCATGAAATACTATTTAAAACACCCCAAAATTCAAGTTCTATATAATTGAAATCCAAATGAAATCCAAGTGAATTTTCATATGAAATCTAAATGAAATTTGATTTAATTTTCGATGAGATATCACATAAAAACCAAACTTGTTGTCTTTTTTTTTTTTTTTAATTAATATTTTTTAATATTACTGTTGTTAAAATCAAAAATGAACTACTACATAAAATTGATCAAAAATAAATAAACATAACACCAAATTATTACTATGGTTATAACAGAATACTTCCAAAAAAAAAAAATAGAAAAATAGAAAGAAAAAAATAAATATCCAAAAGTGGGTTTTGTTAGTGGGTTTATTTGAGTTTAATTTAATTTTTATTTAAATATTTAATTTATTTTTAATTTATTTTTTTGCAAAAAAAAAAACCAGTTCACTTACACTACACTCAAAAACAACAAACATTAACTTTTAACATTAACTTTTTTTACTTGCAACTTTTAACTTTAACTCTTTACTGATTTACCTACCTACCTTAATACTTTAACTTTAAACATAAACCAAATTTTATTACCAAATACTAAACTTAAACTAAAAACAAAAAAAAAAAAAAACAAAAACAAAACTAATACAAATATAATTAATTAAATTTAAAATACCAAACAAAATTAAATTAATTTATTATTTGACTACTTAATTTACCTGTTACTTTGACTTATTACATTTTACTTTACTTTTACTTTTACTGTGATTTGAGAAACTTTCTTTATTATTATTTTTATTTTACTTAACTTTGACAAACCAAAAACATAAAAAAAAAAAAAACAAAACAAAACAAAAACATTAAAAAAAACAAACAAATTCAATACTTTTACTTAGACTCTACTTGTACCTACCTTAAGACCAATTTATAACTTAACTGTTACATATCTACAAACAAACAAACTTTTACTTAAAATACTTAAACATAAACTAAACTTTAACATTTATATTGAATAAAACAATTGTCAATATAAAGGTTATTATTTTATTACAAAAACAAAACAAAAAACAAAGACTTAATACTTTATTTGACTACTTTACTTTAAAAACTAATTACTTTACTTTTACTTAACAAGAGATATTCTTACTATTACTATATCTTTTGTTTGACTTAACTAGCACCTGAATTCAAACTTTACATTTGAGACTAACTTAAACAAAACTTAACCTTAAACTTAAACTTTAAAGTTTGTATATTTTATTATTTACTAATAATAATATAAAAATTAATTAATATTTACTAATTCTTTATTTATTTTTTTTCTACTTTTTTTCATTTTTTTTATTTTATTTTATTTTTAAATCTAATCTCATATCATATAATCATATAATCATATATCTATCATTCACAAACTATTCTCTTTGATCTATTCTATTAATAATATTTCACAATCACAACATCAACTTCCTCTAAAAATTAAATTGACTTTTTTTATATTTTTTTGTGATCATCAAAAAATTTAAATTTCCCGCTTCTCCCTCACACACTCATTTTTATATTTATTTTTTTTTGTCAATCTGTCATCTGTGTGTCTCTCTGTACTTTACAACTAAACTAATCGCGCACCATCTATAGACCCTCTTTATTTGTTTAGTACATAAGATCCTTCCACTAAAATGGAAAATATACTTAACTTTAATGAAACTCTTGATATCAACCTTCTCGACAACATCGTGAATGCCGTCTACCATTCTACGAACGCCAAAGAGGTAAGTAGAGTAGTCTCATTGTTTTATTAAAACAACAATACTATCATATTAATTTTAAACAACAACAACGACTAATCATTTCATTTTATAATTATATTTCTATTCATTATCTTTTTATTATCTATTATTATTTATAGAGAGAACAAGCTCAAAAGGTATTGGGACAATTTCAAGAGCACCCAGACTCATGGATGAGAGTCGATAGTATTCTAACACTATCGAACAACCCTCAGACCAGATTCTTTGCTCTCTTGATTCTCGAGTCCTTGATCAAATACAAATGGAAAGCCCTCCCAAGAGAGCAATGCGACGGTATCAAGAACTTTATTGTAAGACTTATCATTACGCTAAGTTCTGATCCTCAATCGTTTGCTCGTGAGAAGCAACTTTTGAACAAACTCGATATCATTTTTGTTCAAGTAAGTAGTCATCTACCTAGCTATCTATCTATCTTCTCATATTAGCTTATTAACCATCTTGCTTCTTCTTCTATTATATTATCATAATTATAATTTATAGATCCTCAAGAAAGAATGGCCACACCACTGGTCTTCATTCGTTCCTGAGATTGTAAATAGTAGTCGTACCAACGAATATTTGTGTGAGAACAACATGAATATTCTCAAAATTCTCAGTGAAGAAATCTTCAATTTCTCTGAGGAGCAAATGACCCAGGCAAAGATTCAAGACCTTAAGATTAGTTTTGAAAAGGTAACAAACTAAACCAAAATATAATATAATATAACAAGTTATTGATTTTTAACTAACTAATATTTTATTTAATTTTAGGAATTTTCTCTTATTAATGAACTGTGTCAATTTATTCTCGAGAATGCAACAAGACCATCGCTTGTAAAGGCTACATTAGATACCCTACAAAGATTCTTGTTTTGGATTCCACTTCACTATATCATCGAAACACACCCAACACCGGAGCCATCCAAGTTGGTCAAGCTTCTTCTCTCCAAGTACTTCCCAGAGATGCAACTCAGAAACTCTGCTTTGAAATGCTTGATTGAGATTGCTGGTCTCTCCCTCGGAACCGAGTACGACGGTGTTTTCGTTCACATCATCGACCAATTCATGAACAAATTAAAGTTTTTCAAACCTGATCCATGTATGTTAATAATAATAATAATAATAGCTATAATTTACCAACAAACACAATTCAATATTGTTACTAACATTCTAGTTCTTCTTTTTATCTTTATCTTTAATAATTAAATTATAGCAACTATTCCAAAGGATTTCGAAGAAGGTGAGAGTAATGAAACTGATTTCATTCATAGTGTTGCCATCTTTTTAACTACATTCTTCAAGGTTCACTTGAAGATTGTAGAGTCACCAATGAATATTCCCTATTTGACGATGGGTCATGAGATTCTCATTCACTGCTCCAATGTCGATGACATTGAAATCTTTAAGATCTGTTTGGAGTACTGGAACTTCTTGTCGTCCAATCTCTACACTGAGACACCATTCTTGAATGGTCCACCACGTTTGAACCTCTACAAGCCAATCTTGAGCAAGGTTCGTGTCGTTTTGATCTCGCGTATGGCCAAGCCAGAGGAGGTCATCGTCGTCGAAGACGAGAACGGTATGATCGTGCGTGAGCAAACCAAAGACACCGACTCGCTCACCCTCTACGAATCGATGCGTGAAACACTCATCTTCCTCACCAATCTCGATCCAGATAACACTCAGAACATCATGCTCGACAAGTTGAACGTGCTCGTCACCAACCGTGAGTGGTCCTACCAGAAGATCAACACACTCTGTTGGGCGATCGGTTCGATCAGTGGTGCGCAAAACAAAGACCAGGAGAAGAAGTTCTTGGTGACCGTCATCAAGGAGTTGCTCGAGCTCTGCCAAGTCAAACGTGGAAAAGACAACAAAGCAGTGATTGCCAGTGATATCATGTATATCGTTGGTCAGTATCCGCGTTTCCTCAAGGATCACTGGAAGTTCCTAAAGACCGTCGTCAACAAGCTCTTTGAGTTCATGCACGAATCGCATCCCGGTGTTCAGGATATGGCTTGCGACACCTTCCTCAAGATTGCCAAGCAGTGCAAGCGTAAGTTTGTCATTCTCCAAGTCGAGGAGTCACAGCCATTCATCAATGAGTTGCTCAATAACCTGCCAACCTATATCTCTGACTTGGAACCAGGACAAGTCCACACCTTTTACGAATCGGTTGGTTATATGATCAGCTCTTCGACTGACCCGGCCACTCGTGACCGTCTTGTCATCAAGCTGATGGAGCTTCCAAACAACTCGTGGACACAGATCATGGGTAAGGCAGCAACCAACGTCGAGTCGATCTTGAATGTCGATATGGCGCGTAACATTGTCAACTTGTTGAAGACCAACAATCGTGCAGCTCTCTCGCTCGGTCCCTACTTCTTGGTGCAGATGTCCAAGATCTACTTGGACTTGCTCAACGTCTACAGAACCTACAGTGACTTCATCTCGAAGAATCCACAACAACGTACCACTCTCATCATGAGCATGAAGTCAGTCAAGAAGGAGACACTCAAGTTGTTGGAGACATTCGTCGAGAAGACCACCGACAAGAGCATGCTCTACAAGAACTTCATTCCACCGATGTTGGAGGCAGTCCTCGGTGACTACAAGACCAACGTTCCAGAGGCACGTGACCCAGAGGTTCTCTCCTTGATGGCCGTCGTCGTCACCTCTGTCAAACAATTCATTCTTCCCGAGGTAACCAAGATTCTCGAAGCCGTCTTTGAATGCACACTTGGTATGATCACCAAGAACTTTGAAGACTATCCATATCACAGAATCAATTTCTTTAATTTGATCAGAGCAATCAATGCTCATACTTTTTCAGGTAAGTTAACTAAACTAAATAATTAAGCACCAAACAATTCTAACTTAACTTGTCAAATTTATCAATTATTTAGTTTTCCACAGTTTATCACCGCAACAATTCAAGTTATTAATCGACTGTGTTGTTTGGGCTTTCAAGCATACCGAGAGAAATATCTCAGAGACTGGTTTGAACATTCTCAAGGAGTTGATTGAGAATGTTTCCAAGGACTCTGAAGTCTCGAATGCCTTCTTCAAATCTTATTTGGTGCCATTGCTCACTGACATTATGTACATTTTAACCGATTCATTCCACAAGTCAGGATTTAACTTGCAATGCGACATCCTAAAGATGATGCTCCAGGTCGTAGAGAATGGAATGCTCAAGGTCTGCATCTGGGACCAAGCCGCCAATCCTCAGCCAGCCGGAATGACCAACGCCATTTTCGTGCGTGAGATTCTCAATCAATTTTTATCGACATCGCCCAACGTCTCAAAGAACCAGGTTCAAAGCATGACTCAAGCGCTATTCTCGTTGGCCAACGTCAACTCCAATGACTTTAAGGTTTCAGTGCGTGACTTCCTCATTACACTCAAGGAGTTCCAAGGTGTTGACAATGTCGAGCTCTTCAGTGAAGAGAAAGCCGCCGAAAGAGAGGCAATCCTCAAGAAAGCACAAGCAATCCCAGGTATGGTCAGACCAAACGAAAACGAGGAGATGGCAGACTAAGTCACTTTCGAAACACACCCACCCATTTCACAATCAAACTTGCAAACGCAGCAGATCTAAATAAATCGAATATTTATTTAATATTTTTTTTGTTTTTTTTTTGTTGTGTAATTTTTTTTTGTTTTTTTTTTTTTGAAAAACGCAAACATTTAATTTTACACTTTAAAGAATAATTTAACAAAATAAACATAATAACAAAGTTTTCATATTTATATTTGAAGATGGAAAATAAGTTTAATAGTAATATTGATTTTAAATGTTCAGATCATAAAAGAGTATTAGAGTTGATATGTCACGAGTGTAATAAGTTGTTGTGTTCAAGATGCTCTGCCAATCATAACAAAGATGTTGAACACTCTAATTTCGTTGATCATATCGATGAAATAAGACTTTCACTCAATCAAATATTAAATAATAATAGTAATAATAATAATGATACACCTAGTACCATTTATTCCAATCACATTACAAAAAGATTAGATGATATTTGGAAAACAGTAAAGTCATCAACAACAAAATACAGTGAATTAGATTCAAAAGAGAAACTGATCTCCAAACACTTTGAAGAGTTGCACTTGTATCTTATGAATGAAGAGAAGAGGATAAAGACACCAATCATTGATGACAAAGAGATAATCATCAATCAAATCGAGAATAATATCAATGAATTAAAATATTTAATAAATATTATTAAATTAAATGACATGGATACTAGCAGTAATAATAGTGATACAACAAAAACATCAAATACATCATCATCAGATAATATTGATATAACAACTAGTTATTCAATCCCATCAATCATGGAATCAATCGATACAAATCAAACACTTTCATCATTCATCAAATCAAACAATGAAACCATATTCTATTGTAACCCCAACAACAATAATTATAACATTCAAGATATTCTATTGAATTATGATAATAATATTGATTCAATGATATTAGATTTAATCTATAAATATAATAATCAATTCAAATCATCTTCTTCAATAATTACAATCATACCAAATAACAATAATAATTATAATATAAAAACTAAACAGTTTGATTTCACCAAACTCAATCATCTATTAAAAAATATATCAGCATCAATTTAGTTGTAAATTATCAAAGCAAGCATACGTACATGCTTTCAACACACCATGAAGGAGTATCACTGATTGATTTATCTAATTACAATATCACTGATCTTGGAACAATAAAAGATTATAATCCATATGGCAGTCAATCATTTGCGATCGGAGGGAATATTTACATGTTTGGTGGTTACGATAATCTCAACAAATACTGTATATACTCGATTAAACATCAAACATATCAGGTTTATCAAGATGAATCTTTATTTTATTACACCTGTCAGCCACAGGCATGTTATGATGGACAAGATCATATTTATCTGATTGTTAGTCATCAAGATGTCTGCAGATTCAATATACGAACATCGAAATTTGAACTATTTCATTCAGATCTACCGATCCATGATCCAGGAATTATTACAGTTTATGATAAAGAGTATCTATATATCATTCCTAGAGATGAGTTTGAAATGACAATATTCGATATCAAGAACAAAACAATTGAAAAGTGGCAATCAGATCAAAAGTGTAAGTGGATGTCAGCATGTACCGATGGCAATGGAAATATTTATTTACACAGTACCGACAGAAGATTCGTTCGATTAAACATACAAACCAAAGAAATAACTAATCTCAAAAATTCTGAAATAGATTCTGGAGTCGAACTACCGATGCTCTATCATAAAGAATCAGAGGAAGACAGTTATATTTATATCATTGGTGGAGACGATGGTAGTGGTCGATATTCCATTCAAAAAGATCAATGGGAGTCTATTCTAAGTGGTGACAAACTAAATAGATATTGGTGTTCAGCAACAATCTTTAAAATAGATACATAAAATATATGGTTTTGTTGGGTGAAGTACTAATATAGAGTATCATCATCAGAATCAAACAATTTAGAACACTACCAATAACAAAATTGAAAATAAAATGTTAAAAAACAAATTGAAATAACACAACAAAACAAGTGAACTTGTATTCCTTTTTTTTAGAAGTTTTTCAATTATTTAAAAATTATCACGTTTTGGCATTTTGTTTTGTTTTCCTATTTTTTTTATTATTATTTAACTTATATTTTTGTAATAATGGATAATACTGATTCTATTTTAGGAAAGAGATCAAATCAAGAGACAACAACATCAGTAAAGAAGAAACAAAAAGATGAACAACTTATCATTGTAGAAGAAGCTATAGAATTAAATGATCTCAATTCATTGATAAACTTCAATAGAATCTATAATCTCTATTATCAATGTTTGGAGAGTAGAAATGATATTTTTAGATCACAATGTGTAAAGTTCTTTGTTGACTATCATCGATTTAAATATATTCATTATTTCGATGTTCAAGGTTATATCAAGTTCATTGTCGATGTCTTCTTTGATCCCGAGTTCGATGTATTCAACAACATGTCATCATTTATATGTCGAGCTCATATACCAACGATACAACATATTCACAATAGAATAATCAATGATAAAAGAGTAATTATTACATAGAGAGTATTCATTCATACATTAAATAATAATACTAATTTTTTAAAAAATCAAATCAAATCAAATCAAAGAAACTGAATGAAGTTGATCATCAATTAAAGAAAAGAATAGAAATCTATCACGAATGTTGTTATTTTAACAAAATCGATAGTTTGGAATACGACTTTAATGGTTTCTACAACAAATTATTAGCAAAGAACAATCAAGTTATCCATGAGATTACAGTTAAAGAGCAAATACATCATTGTAAAATTCAAACAGGGAATAATATAAATATTAATAGTGGTTCAAATTTAGTCAACAATGAATCTAGATGTATTTTGCCAGATATATTACTTGATAGAATCATCTCATTTTCATTAGTAGATCTAACAACATTCAACATAAAACAAAATGATGTAGAGATTGTATTGAATATTGCTTGTGTTTCCAAACAGTTCTTCAAAATGGTATCAAAGTACATTCCAAATGGTTATTATTTACGTGGTCCAATCAATCTCCATAGTGAACATTGCGCTATAAATTCGCTTTTGGATTTCGATTATGATTCGATCAAATACATCAAATATGGTGAGGGTACCGATCGTATCAATCAATTATTCGAAAGAGTCAAAGAGTTTACTATCAAATCCGACGAAAATGATCATTTCTTTAACGTTTATAGTGATGACTATAAACGATGGTATATGATTCGACAGTCATTCAGCGATAAAGAAGGAGATACTTATTTCTATCATGCAATTGAACGCAAAGATTACTTGGTTCACCTTCCAGCAATGCCGAATCTAAAGAGAATCACTGTTACTGAATACTATGGATATAAATCGAACTACAGTTCATTTCTAACATCATTGATTACAAGTACACCGAATGGCGATGGTCATGGTATTGAATCATTTAGAATCGATATCAAAAAAGATGAATGTGATTATCCAGAATTCTCAAACTTGTTCTTCTTGGCACCACTGTTACGATTACACTCAAACACATTGAAATCAATTGTAATCAGGTATATCGAAAGTTGCCATGATGATGACATGGAGTTATTACTTCAGATATTGACAGATTTTATTCCAAAATTGGAACAACATAGTTTCTCATTTATCTTGTATGCCGACTATGGTAAGTTAGAAAGAGCTTGTCAAGATGGTCTTGATAGAAAAGTATATCAATATTTATTCAACCAAAAAATCAATAATATCGAATATGTTGAATTGTAATGTTCTTGAATAATAAATTTAAAAATGATATTATTTATTATTATATGCTTTCCAAGATATCGTCAGTTCTTAGGAGAGCTGTAAGATTGAGATGTTTGTGGTTCCTTCATCAACAACAACAATCATAAACAAAAAAAACTAAAGAAATTGCAAAACTTGAAGATCCATTTATGCCATTAAATATAATGTAAAAGTATTTAAAATTTTGTTGAACTTCAAAAAATTGATTTGTGGGCACTAAAAATCGCAAACATTTTATTTTAAATGTTTTACCACTTAAAATTTTACTACCTCATGAAACCAGCACACTCTTTTATCATGAGGAGATGACTCATAGCTGGTTTAAAAATGAGTGGACACCACCTTATTAATTTAATTTATAATATAAGTTGTTAAAAGTTATATAATATTATTATAAATGATGGACAACAGTATGGATAGTAAAGTGAATATCAATGATTTTAAATGTTCAGATCATAAAAGAGTATTAGAGTTGATATGTCACGAGTGTAATAAGTTGTTGTGTTCAAGATGCTCTGCCAATCATAACAAGGATGTTGAACACTCTAATTATCTTGAACATATCGATGATATTAGACTGGAACTAAATCAAGTATTAAAAGAAATTAATAATTCCAACAATAATGACAATGGTGATAATAATAATGAGATGTCAGCATGTACCGATGGTAATGGAAATATCTATTTACACAGTACCGACAAAAGATTCGTTCGATTCAACATACAAACCAAAGAAATAACAATTCTAAATAATTCTGAAATAAATTCTAAAGTCGAACTACCAATGCTGTATCACCAAGTATCGGAGGAAGAGAGTTATATTTATATCATTGGTGGAAATAAAGGCAGTGCTCGATATTCCATCGAAAAGGATCAATGGGAGTCTATTCTAAGTGGTGACAAACTAAATAGATATTGGTGTTCAGCAACTATCTTTGAAATAAATAAATAAATAATATATTATTTTTTTTATTATTATCAATTAATCAGAGGACTCTTGTCTTTGTCTCTTGTTTACAGTTCTTGTGAATTCACCGGTTTGTACACGTTTTCTATCGATAGAATTTGCCATTCCAGCACCCAAACCATTTCCAAATTCATTAGTCTCCATATAGTTTTTCATTTTATAATCAGTTGACTTTTTCATCTTTTTAGTATCTTCATCTTTCTTTGCGATTTTATCTTGTTTTGCTGTTATTTTATTCTGTAATTATTATAATAATAAATTGATATTAATATTTGAAAGATATTGAATAGATAGATAAATAACAAATAACATACCAATTCAGATGGTGTTTCTCTCAATGCAAAACTCTTTGATACATGACCGAGATGAAGTGAACCAATATGGAAAATATATTTCAAATTTGCTTTGTGTGTTGCGTATGAACGTAAAGATGATTTATATGCTGATCTTGCCATTTCAATACCCTATAGTTAATAATAGATTAGATTGTTAACAAATCATGATTATTATACCATTCTTTGATCAATAACTTACTTGATTATCTTCTAAAATGAATCTTTCTAAAGTTAATTGTAAATCATGTACTTGTGATTCCAATTGCGTAGTTTTCATTGTCTTTTTAAGTTGACCCTCTGTTGTATGATATAAACTTTGTAAGATTGTTGTTACTTTCATTTCCTCTGGTTCGATCTATAAACAATAAATTAAACATAAGATTAAAGTTAGTATTCTATTTATTATATCTTATCATAAAGATTGAAAAACATTACTAAAAAGTAGGCTATTAAATAATACATACATTAAATTTCTTAAGATGGAAGACATATTTTCTTTCTTGTGGAGTGAGGAAAAGTAAAGCGGAACCCTGTTGTCCAAGTCTTGCAGTTCTACCGATTCTATGAACATAATCTTTTGTATCTGAACAAGGATCGTATTGAACAATCCAATTGACAGCTGGCAAATCAAGACCACGAGCAGCTATTTATATAGATTAGTTTAGTATAATATATATTATAACGGTGTTTAATGATAAAGATAACTTACAAACATCGGTTGTCAAAAGAATACCTTCTTTCGCTTTCTTGAAATTTAAAAATGTCTCTGTTCTTTGTTTTTGATCGATGTCACCATGCAGTTTGTAAAGTGTAGCAGAGAATATTGGTAGTTTCTTTACTTCCTCTTTCTTGATGTTTCCGTCGGCACCAACAACCGTTCCACCATCCTTAAATATAGAGTTTGCTTTCTGTTCGATCTTTCCTGTTTTATCTGCTTCCAACTTTACATTTGAGAATAGATAGTGATGGAATTCAACCGAATCACAAGATGAAAAGAAAATAATAATCTTTGACATATTACCAGCCCTAAAAATGATAATATTAGATAGTTAATTAACCAACAATAAATAAACGCTAAGCATATATATATAACTTACATTAAAGATGATGTTGTAATCCATTTTAAAAAAGCAACTAATGTAACTAAACGTTCTTTTGTCTCTACTTCTACGTACATTTGATCGAGTTGTTTTGGTGTGTTGAATTGATCGTTGGCCGTAAGTTCATTGCTGTTGTTGTTGTTGTTATCGTCGGATTTGTCCAATCCGATATAGACTGGTTCCTTAAGTGACAGTGCTGCAAGACGTTCGATACCATCGCTGAGTGTAGCCGATACCAGGATGTTCTGACGATTGACACTACCCTTCTCGTCCAACAGCTGAATGATATCGTTGATTGCCTTCTCGAAACCGAGATCCAAAAGACGATCGGCCTCATCGAGAACCAACCACTTTGTCAAATCCACCTTGAAACTCTTGGTCATCTTCAAGTGATCTATCAAACGACCGGGTGTAGCAACGAGAATCGATATACCTTTTCGCAGTCTCGCTTTCTCCGAGTCACGTGATTCACCACCCATAATCAGACCAGGCACAATCCAGTGGAACGGCTTCAACAGCTTCTGTAACACCTCGAAGATCTGAATGGACAATTCACGTGTCGGAGCGACGACGATGCAATACGATCCTTCGGCACGGTTGATACGCTGTTGTCGCGCGGCCAACGCATTCACCACCGGAATCAAGTAGGCGAGTGTCTTACCACTACCGGTCTGCGCTTTCACCAGTACGTCGTGTCCGTCGATGATAGGTGGTATGGCCGACGATTGAATAAGAGTCGGTTGCTGCAGTTGCATATGTCCAGTGAGATTCTCCGAGAGCTTGCTGATCAGTTTTAGACTACCAAAATTCGAGGTTTGTTCGTCGTCACCGAAATACTCTTGTCTATCGGCTTCGTTCTTTGGCAGCAGCGTTGGTAACTTTGGTTTGTAATTCATATCCAATCGTTTACCTTTCTCCAACTCCTTATATTTATTGACATTACTCGAGTAATATTGAATACTATTTGTTTCCTCCTCTGTTTTTTTATATCTATGTTTAACATTCTCTTCTTCTTTTGGTTTAACTTGTTTTGCTTTATATTCATTCGATTTAATGTTATTGTTATTGTTATTAACCTGTTTATTATTATTATTATTATTATTATTATTATTATTATTATTATTTATATTTTCACTTGATTCATTAAAATTTCTCTTTTTATTATTATAATTATTAATATTATCTTTATTGTTATTATTATCTTTATTATTATTATTATTAAATTTACTATTATCTTTTATATTGTTGTTATTATAATTTGATAATGATGAAGAATTTGTAGATGTTGTCGTTGTTTGTTTAGTTGTTTCTATCTCTTTTGCAACAGGCTTTGGTTTTGGCACTGGCTTTGTAAAAGAGATATTTAATTCCATACCATCATCATCATCCATCTTTTATTTGTATAAATATAATATATATATGTGTATTAATACCCAATTGCTCAATTAATAAAATCAAATTTTATTTTATTTTAAATTTATTAAAAAAAAAACGAACGAAACCTTTTTTGTTTTTCTGATCAATATTTTGTGTTTTTCAAAACAAATTGTTATTTAATTTAATTGAATTATCTTTGGTGATTAGATTTATTTCATAAACATCTTCTAATCAAGATATCAAAGAGATAGGATACTATAAACACCTTTGGTTAAAACAACTGAGTTATCTTGTGGGTGGTGTTTCAAACCAAAACATACCAATTAACATGCGCAATGAATAATTAATTGTTTACAAAAATAAAAAAATAATAAAAAAAAAAAAGTTTTGATCGTTTAATTCTTTTTCTTTGCAATCTTATTTATTTTCTATTATAAAAAATGAAAGAGATAACAATTAATCATGTATTGATATCACCTAATCAATCGGATCTACCAATAGAAACTAAATTTACAATCGAAATAGAATTCAAAGTGTTGGAGAAACTCACAGATTTTAATATAAACATAGAATACATTGTGGATACTGCGTTTCTGAATCATAAAGTTGGTACGAATCAAAATAAATCACTCACAGTGTTAAGTTAAAGTAAATTTAGTTATTAATATATTGATAATCAATCATCATCATCAATCAATCAATCATTTTGTTAATCGATCGATATATAAATAGAAATATATAAATCAGAAAAAGTAAATTATGAACAACAAGAGACTATAAAGATGGTAATTGAGTTACCAAAGACTTTTAAAGAGTATCTAGAGGAATCGAACGGACTGACTCTAAGACACTGGTTGAATATCTCTGTATTAAATATCATTTTCAATTACAATGAATTGGACGAATCTAGCAAGTCAACGAATACCAACGTTGTTGCAATGCCAACGAATGTATACAACAAAGTTAGATCAAAAGATAACTCAAAAAATATACTATTAACTTTTTATAATAAATATCAATATTAATTAGATTATAGATATAATGATGTTGTTGTCATTTATTTATTTATTTCTTAACGTTCTTGGTTGAATGTGTCATATCCATGTTCATTTTAATTAACATCGATACTAGGTTGTCACAGGTGTAGTTGACTTTTTTGAGGTCGTCAATGGTTGCACTGTGCAGGTTGTTCAGTGGGAGTGAGAAGATGTTGGAGAGATCGAGTAGGATGTTCTCGGATTTGTTGTAGTCGTCCGATGACATCAGAGCAGAGAGCAGCTCCAGAGGAATCGGTTCTTCGACACTGTCGAGATCCGGCGAGTACATGGTTAGCAACTGCTTGATTTGCGCTGTCGATATCGATGGGCAGATCTCTTTTCTGACGTCGGCGTTGATCAACAGTGTCTTGTCAATCATGAGAATATAGATGGCTTCCTTCAGTTGTGAGAGCCTGGCGATGGCGTGGTTCGACATGTCTTTACCGTAGTTCTTTGCCCAGTATTCCAACTCGGAGATGTTCATCTTCAAGTGGATACTACTGCGAATGCAACAGAGATCACGACGCAACACGATCTCATTGAAGAGCAACGAGTTGAAGTACTGGAAGATCTGAGACATCAGGAGATGACGCACCGGTTCGTGGACGTGGTAGATCTGGAGCAGTGAGAATATCTTGGTGAGGAAATTGGTGAGTGGTTCCATTATCTCAACGTCAGAGGTGGTGTCGTTGAGGACACGGTGACAGATAGGCTGAATCAAATCGAGGATATTACGCACCAACGTTTTGTAGATCTTTATCACCAGGTTCTGAAGGAGTGTCTTGATTTGTAGGACTTCCATCGATTGACGACTGTGGTTGTTTGGCGGTTCGATGTGTGGAGTCGATCGCTCAACCAAACAGTAGAGGAACGAGATGTTTGAGAACCAGTAGCATAGCAGATCGTTGTCTTGAGAGTCTTTGGTGAGCAGACTAACCGAATCAACGAAATAATAGGCCATTTCCAACTTGACTGGATTTCCAATGGTGAGAACTTCCTCGAGGAAACAACGGGTAAAGATGAATCCAGGCTCTGGGAGTGTTCCGTTGACGAATCCCAGATTCTCTTTGAGTACGATGTTATCGATGAGGAATCGACCTGCACCCACTTGATTGTTGTTGATCTCCAGTGCTGCAATCAAGTCTGGAATACCGTTGACAGTGACAGACGGTGAGCGTGATCTTGGTGCTGGAGGTGAAGCGTCTTTAGTTATGGATTGATCGAAATCTTTGTAGGAGATGGAGCGAACGGAAGTAGGGTCATTGGTTGGTGAAAGTGGTGTATTCAAATTGGAAGTTGACGAGCTGAGAGATTGACGGCTGTTGTTGGTTGACACGGCAGCAGCAGCAGCATGTTCCAATTGATGTTTCAACTCTGCGATCTTCTTGTTCAACTGATCAATTTCCAATTGATTAGTATGATCTTTCTCACGAAGAATCAATACTTCTTGTTCAAGTTTTTCATCGGTAACCTTGATAATTTGTGGTGGTGGAAGTTGTTGTTGATGTTGACGACTTGATGATAGTTGTGGAGATAGTTCTATTTCCGAGAGTGAATCATTATCATCTTCATCAACTTCTTCATCCGATGAAACAACATCAAAGATGTTCTCACTGGTTTCCGATGGTGTTGGTGTTGGATTTGGAGTTGTTGGAGCACCTTCACTTGCAACTGGACTAGTACTTCTTTGGTGTTGTTTGTCATAGTCGTCGGTTCTCTTTATCAGTGGTGGTGCTAGTGTTGGTTCGACTGCCAATCTTGCAGATTGTGAGGTGACAGCTTGCGAAGTGGCAGCTTGTTGTACTAGTCTGTTGCTTTCCTCTAGCTCCTCTTCCAACTGCTTGATTCTCAATGACATCGATTGTACTTGTTGAGCGGATTCCGACAGCTTGGCATTCTTCTCGTCGAGTTGTAAACGTAGTTGTTTAACATCACTCTTGAGTTTCTCTTGTTCTTTCTCCTTGATCTTTTGCTCTGCTTTGAGACGATATTGCAACTCCTCGACTTTGGTCTCAAGCTTGTTCTTCTCGGCAACGACATTCGACAATGATCTAGCTTCGATTCTCAACTGGCGATACTCTCTTCTTGCCAACTTTCCTCTCCATCTCGCTTGTGCAGCGGTAGTGGCAAACAACAGTGTCTTGAAGTAGTTTTGTTGTTGATACAACTTAATGTAGTCTTGCAACACAACGGCAGCAGCATTCTTATTCAACTCTCTCAGCTCTTCACCGGCAACAGAACTTCTCATGGCAGTTTGTAGTAGTGTAGCGGCACGCACCGTTTCGTTAAACTCCATAGCAGCCAACACCGATCTGATAACCGTTTGCAGCAGCAGAGTAGATTGTTCTTCAACGATATCGGAACATACTTTCTTGGCCGCGGTGGAACGCAGCAGTGTTTGCAATAGTAGAGCGGCATCCCTCTGCTTTCTGTAGCGTTGTTTACATAACATTCCTTTCCAGTGTTTCTGAATCATGATTGCCGACTTCTTCATCAGGTCGCCACGTATCAGCTCGAGATTCGCAACAATGCCCGACTTGAAAAAGATCTTTGTCAAACCAAACTGCACCATATCGTTGTTGATTCTCAGTTTCTGAATGAGAACTTCCGAGCCCTTCTTGGCATCCTTTAGCAGCTTCTGGTCACCGGCCAACTCCTTGGCAGCGAGCAGTTTGTAACGCTTAAAGAAGTTCTCGTAGATCAGCCGACCTGGGAATCCAGAACGACTGATACGCAGCTGCTCGATGACACCGCCACAACGCAGCTGCTGCAACACCATCATATTGTCAAAGTGATTCGGTTTCTTCAATGTGTTTGGCTTGATGCATCGGATGTAATGCGGATTGGTACTGTTGATTGTCGACATCAGGTTGTTGAGTGATTCCTTGAACTGCGAAGTCACCGACAAGAACTTCAAACTTGAATTCGACTTGCCCGATCCAGCAGACGATGTTCCCGATTTCTTTTGATCTGCCGCAGTAGCACCACTGGTAGCCACCACCTTCTTAAAGAAATCGGAATTGCTTGCATTCAAAGCCATAACTTGTTCTGGAATGATGAAGTCCTTGTTTTTATCTAAAAATAGCGTAGTATCATAATCAACCTTGAATATACAAATATTAAACATAGCAATAAAGTAATAATACAAATTGATAAAAAAATACAAAAACATTAAAAAAAGTTAGTTATATAATCTATTCATTTAAAAAATATATATAAAGATATGATATTATTTTGTTATAATGTAATTGTAATTGATTATTAGTGGTACACATTCAATTCTATTTCCCTCTCAAATATAACGTAACAAATATTTAAATATTAACCATTCGTTATAACGAATATAAATTTGAATATTTAAATATTTTTGGTGTTACTTTGTTTTGTTTGTTGTTTGAATGATGTGTTTGTTTTGTTGTTGTTGTTGTTCATTGTTTAGTGATGTTGGGTGTGTGAGTGTTAGTGTTAGTGTTATTTTGTAGTTATATATTTATTATTATATGTTTGGTTTGTTGGTGTTGTGGTTATGATTATGATTTGTTTTATATAATATATGTATGATATTTACCTTTCCAGCATAATGATCTATTGTGAAATGAATATTTGAGAATCTTGGTTTCTCAAAGTGTTTTGTTTTCTGATGATTGCTGTAGAGTTTAGTGCTTAGGGTGGCAGGTGTAGCCTTTGGGAATTGTGTTTCTTCATCGAGAATCGAAAGAATTCCGAGTGGTTTCTTCTCGATCAAGTCAATACAATCTTGATTGTCATTGAACTCTATATACGACCAATCGATTTTCTCCTTATCATACTCTTGTTGCTCTAACTTGAATATCTGATGATTGAACTGATTCTGTAGTTTCTCATTTGCATAATTAATTGTGAATTGTTCGAATGAATTTTGTTCAAATGATTCAAATCTTTTTTTTGGTTTTGATGATTTAGTTTTTATGTTAATTAATTCGTACAAATATAAATATAAATAACATATACACATACCCATAAATATCTAATATACCAATAAATAAATAATCTTTCTTCTTTTTATCAATGGATTGATTAATTCTGTAGACTAACCAATCGAATAATCTTGAATATAAATACATAGATAATGAATCTCTTGCATCATTAGCTTGTTGTAATGTTAATGGAATAGTATATCTAAAGATAAACAAATAATAATAATAATAAATATGTTAGAATATATTTGTTTTAATTATATAGTAATTAGTTTACTTACGATTCATTTCCAGCTTTAATTTGTCTTTGTAATAATGTATTTTTAATTGTATCTATGTTGCAACCAAGTAGTTGGCAGACTTTGGAGAGTGGCGAGTATTCTTGTGATGTACTTTGGATTGTTGATGTTTCAATCAATTCAGCGGTGTTTTCGTCTTTCTCTTTGAATTGGATGTTACCACAATGTAGAATAGCAGCCAAAATCTTCCAGACACCAAGTAGATCGTCATCTGTGAATCCAACGACTCTCAGTGCTTTCTCTGTCTTTTCGAATACTTTTTTATCGTCGACCTCATCGATCTCATGACATCCACTCTGGCTAAGATAGTAAAAGTCGAGCGGGTCCGTAGTGGTATGTAGTACCGCTCTGGTCTGCTCGGAAACACCGAGCAAAAACTGATAGAAGATATGGAAGGAACGTTCGTTTTGTGGTGGTTTAACTATTCTCGATTTCTCGAGGAGATAGGTCTCCAAGTAGGCACCGACAATCGTTCCACGCGACTTTTCAAAGTGAATCTGTATGAACTTACCGAAACGAGAGGAATTATCGTTTCGCAGCGTCTTGGCATTACCGAATGCTTCGAGAATCGGTGTCGATTTGATGACTTGTGATTCGATGTTGTTGTTCTCGGCGGTCTCTTGTTGTGATTGACCCATCTTCTCGCCCATGGCCGCGAAATACTGCAGCAGGAACTTAGTGGACTCTGTCTTACCGGCACCGGATTCACCACTGACCAAAATCGATTGATTCTTCTGGTGATTCAACATCTCCCTATAGGATGCCTCTGCAATTGCATAGACGTGTGGTGGTAGCTTTGCAATCGGTTGATCACAGAAGCTATCGATCATCTCCTTTGTATATAGCGACAATTTACAATATGGATTGATAGCAATTAAAATCGTTCCAGTATATGTATAAATTGTATTTAATTCATATCTTCTAATTAAATTATGAACAACTGCTGGTTCCTAAATATTATAAATTAATATTATCAAAAAAAAAATTAATATAAATATATTTATGTTTTTAAAAATAATATCTATTATTATATTTACATGTAAATATGATAAATTTGTCATATCATCAATACCTTCTTGTATTGATGGATTCTGCATCTTCAAATCAGCTCTTGAAATATTCACTTCCTAAAATTTTAGTAAAAAATACAAAAAAGTTTTAGTTTTATGATTTTTCTTAATTTTTCAAATTTGTCAAGTTTTTCACTATTTTTCTTACTTTTCCATTTTCATCTTTGGCAATGATAGTTTCTGCTGTTTCATCTATGATCTCTCCAGAAGTCCAACCATTTTCAGGACAAGGTAACCATACCTTTCCACCATTCATTGATTCTATCATTTTCTAAATTTAACTTCTATTTTATAATATATATAACTTTAATAAATAAATAATAAATAATAAATAAATAATTAAATTATTTGGTTTTTTTTTAAAACTAAAATTACAAAATTTAATAAATAAAAAAGTTAGAATAAAAATATTACTATTACATATATTTTTCAATATAATGATATTATAATAAAAAATAGGATATCAAATGATGGTGATGGATGATAAGTATAGATATCTAAATAATATTATATTTATATATTATTTTATTTTATTAGATATAACTATAAAAATTTCAATTATTGTAATATTGTTATTGTTATTGTTAAAGACTTTGTGTATTGAGTTGAACTAGTTTGAAATTCAATAGTATTCATAAATTGAATTGTATACAATCGGCAGTGATAGAAAAGTGTGAATGTAAGAAATATAATTATGTTGTTTCGTAAATGATAGGATTATTAATATTATTATATTGAATTGAAATAATATCACATTTGTCTATTATTATTTAAACCAGTGTAGAGGATTATAATAGTTAATGAAGGGGTGCATTTTGAATTAATTGTTAGATAAAAAGATAGATAAGTCATTGTTTTGTTTGTTTAATTGAAAATTGTAAAAAAAGAACCACTTTTACTGAAAGGTGGATTATTAATTCTTTTTAATATAAAATAAACTAAAAGTACCACCAAATCATGTTATTTTTAAAATTTATTTGTGGTTTTTTTCTTTTATCCAAATTTTTTAAGTGAAAAGTGTAAAGAATGAAGTGTAATTAAATTTGTTTTTTTAAAAAAATTTAAACAATGATATTTATTTTTATTCAAAAAAAAAGATATTATTATAGATCTAATGAAATTAGATAAATATATATTAATACTTACTTTTTTAAGGTTATTTATAAAATAGATAGTTTATTATTATTTCATTTAAAAATATAATATTAATATTAATACGAATTAAAACTTCAAAAAACTTGATAAAACTTTATATTATTATTTTTATACTAGTAAAATAGAAGGAAAACGAAAAAAAGAAAATAGTATTTTGAATTTGACTTTAAATAATAGATAGGTTAAATTATTGATGTTATTAATGTGTTAATTAACAATGGTTGGTGATATTTGATTAATTTAGATTGAAGATTGAATGTTTATCACCAAATATGTATCTATTTTTGAAATAACAATTGACATATCATCAAAAAAAAAACAAAAACGAATCATACATAAAAATAAAAGAATGAGTGAATGATGTGTTATCATTATTGTTCATTGCTCATTTCCAATCATTCATACCTACTTTTAAGTGAAAATATATAATTTTTACAAAATAATCTATTAAATTATATATAAATATATATATTGTGTGTTTATGTATTTGAGAGATTGATATTTTTTTGTCTCTGTGTGTGTGTGTTTATTTGTGTGTGTGTTTATCTATGGATGGTGTGTTATTGAATGGAGAGTGAATATGTTTGTAAAAAATATGATTTAATTTCTAAATTGTTCATATATGTGATTGAATTGCTCTCACGAAAATCAGTAATTAGCAATTACCATTTAGTCAGGTAAGTTAAATTAACTACTACTTTCATTCATCATATGGTTTATTTTTCGATTATATTTGAATCTTTTACTATTTGCTATAGTAAGATGGGGGGTAGATTGATACTCTTCATATATCCAATGACGACGACGTTTGGAGTTCGTATTTTTTAATTTAATTTTATTTAATTTCATTGATGAAAAACGAAAATGAAAGAAAAAAAAAAAAAGGAAAATAATTATGAACAAAATGGTTGGAGGGGCTTAAAATTAAAATCATTTAATCTTGAATATCCATGAGCATAAATAACTTGAAAAATCCTTTTTATCAGTTAAGTTGTATTCAAAATTCATTTCTATTGGTTCAAAAAAGAAAAAAAACAAAAAAAAATCTAAGACTTAGTCTTTCGTTATTATTCTAAAGATTATTTAAATTCAATCTACTATTCTCTTCATATTTTAAAGTTATTTATGAATAATAAATCAATAAATGAATAAAAACAACAAAATATTTTCTTCTGCTAGAAGAATTATATGAATTCGTTAATGACCTTAACCAATTCTTGAGGATATCAGTTTTAATATTCATTTGATTACCTTGGTGTATACATTAAATTTAAAAAATAAAATTCTTAAATAAAAAATCAATAAATTATAATAATTACTTTTTTTTTTATAATGAAAAAAAAAGAAAAAGTGACACTATTTGATATTTCCTGAATCTCACATTTTTTTTAATAGGAATTCAAATTCTTATAAATTAATTATATTTAAACAACATGTTCCAAAATAATAAATATATCTTCAATATTTCAGAAGTCTAGATTATAAACAACTTGACATGTTAATTTAAAAGAGTGATCCATTTAAATCTTTAAATTCATTTGTCAAAGTGCACAAACTTTGTTTTTTTTTGTTTGTTTTTTTTTGTGGTTTTTTTTTAAGCTTCAACACCAGTAATCAATTTGGGATGTTTGGAGGTTTTTGCAGAAAATTATATTGGTTGACCAAAAAAACCTTGAAATTTAATCAAATTGTGGGTGAGCACTATCCCTTTTGGGTTATGAGGATATCAGAAAGAAAATCCAAAAATAAACATTCAAAAAAATTTTCTTTTTCTTTCATAGATATGTCAAAAAATCATACATTTTTGAGATTCCATTTTCCTCTTTTGCTTTTTTTTCACGAATTATGTCATTTGAGTGCTCTTCTTTCCACTTCATTTACCTACCCTTTCATTGATATTGTTGCACTACACAATTCGATGTTATTTTTCAATTTACAAAGTCAACTCTTTTCCACTGATACCAAACATAATGAGGCATGTAATAAGATTGCTAAAAGAGTCACTTATTTACCATTGACAGATAGATTAAAAAGTAAACTTTCTATAACACGCCCTCCGGAATGTCTTACTTATCTTGAGAAAAAAATTAAATAAAATAATTCATTTGTAAAATAAACATGTTTATTTAATAATAACTCATGAAACAAATCTTTTGTAAATTTATTCTTTACTTTACAGATTTATCTTAAAATTTAAAATATATTTATATATAGTTAGTTTATTTTTTTATTGTACCAATTCTAAACTTAATAACATTACAAAATTTTTTTAAACCATATATGCTTTTGGAAATTGTTCAATCACAAAGTATAGGTATTTTGTTAAATTGAAGAAAATACATTTTAATACTAATCTTATGGTAAGGTTACTGTTTTTTTCTAATTGATTTTATCCTTCTTATAAAAATAATAATAATAATAACAATTTTCTATTTAATTCTATCTCACTATATTTGTATAATTTGTTGATTGTTATGGATCAATAATTTCGATAACTTGTGGGTGTTTATCAAAATTTAAAAGAAAAATAAAATTAATTTAATTCACACACTTTATTTATATATTTTATTTACACCACACCTATTTTTGGAAATAGAAGTACTTCCCCCACAAGTCAAATATTTTCAAGTTCCTACTTTTATACATTTACAAGTTCTAATTTCTAATAAATGAAACAATATATGTAAAAACAACTATGCATTCAAGTAGATAATAATTAGACAATGAAATCTCAAGATTTAAGATCTGACACTTAAAGAAACAATGGTAGAAGTAAATAAATAATAATAATTCATATTGTTGATATGTTCAATAACAAGGATAAAATCAAGTAATTTTTAATTTCTTTTAAAATACTAATCAATATTAAAATCTAAAATAGTTATGAGATTACTTACAAACCGAGAGCAAATAGCTTTGTTAAAATTAATTCTCAAATGGATAAGAACTAATACTCCTATTCCAAGGAGATTTTTCTTTATTTTGAATTGGGTGGATCAAAATATTTTTCAACAGTCAACTCATGGAACTATCAGGATTACACCATCCACTAGAAGTGCTGTCCTCATTCGTGTTTTTAACGATCAATATGAGGAAATTAATGATACAACTTGTAAGTTTTAAAAAATTATTATAAAAAAATATATTTCTATAACCAAAACAACTAACTAAATTAATATATTTTACATAGGTTTTGAAAGTGTTCATGTTATCATAGAATCATATGACCCAGATAAAGAGAAAAAATGGGATAGAACGACAATATCATTGTCTCAACCTACATGGAAAAGAACTGGACATCCAAAGATCATTTTGAAAGCTATCGTCTACTATTGTCAAAACCTAAAAGATTTAGAGAGGACTGTCATGAGAGAGATTTCCTACCCGACAAAGAAATCAAATATTAAGGAAAAGACAGAGAAGGAGGACTATATGACTAGAATGTCTGAGCCATTCAAAGGTCAAATCTTTTATCATAAAAACGAAGATCCAAACATTGCAATAAACAGAAATAATAGAATTAGCAATAATAATAATAATAATAATGAAGATGATGAAAACAATAACAATAACAATAATAATAATCAACCATATTTAAATTTATATGAAGATGACTCTGAAGAATCTTCAGATGATTTCAATAATAATAATAATAATTATGATCTACCAAATTATGAAAAAAATATGGTAGAATCAGAGGAAGATAGATTTGTAAAAGATGAAACCAACTCTAGTTTTATCAAGACCAAAGGTTTAACTCTACGTTTTTGCATTAGAAATGGGTTCAGAGTATTTCCTAAAGTAGTAGAGGCCAAACCTTCTTCTCCACCCACAACTTTCAAGTTTTCTTCTTACATTCCTTCAGGAAGTCCGAATCAAGTCCCCACTCTTTCATTGGTAGTTTCTCCTCCAAGTAGAAGCAAAAAACCAAGAGCCAACTACCACTCCAAACAAATTTCACAACAATCTTCAACTGTTGATAATTCCACTAATCAACAACAGCCACCCCAACCTAAGAAATCAAAACAAAAACAACAAAAACAAAAACAAAAACAAAATCAACAACAATTTCAACAAGAACAAGAACATCTACCACTACTACAACAATTTCCACAGCAACAGCAAGAACAACAACAACAACAACAATACCAATATCAATTTCAAAATCCAGAAAATCAACAATCTCAATATGAGTATCACTTTCCACAACAAACACAGTATATGTACAATTTTCAAAACACAAATAATGAAAACTTTTCGATACAACAACCCAATATGATTCCTTACCATCATTTCTATCAGTATCCAGATCTCAACACACATCAAATGCCAACTCTTCAACCATATCCTTATTATATTAACAATTTTATGCCAAATCAGTTTCAACAAATTTCACAAGTTCACCAACAAAATAATGAACAAAACCAACAAAATCAACAGAATCAACAAAATCAACAAAATCAACAAAATAATGAACAAAACCAACAAAACCAACAGAATTAACATCAACAAAAATAAATTTATCTACCCAAAAAAAGGAGTTATTTTAATAAAAAGGCTTTTTTTTTCTTAAAAAAGGAAAATTTTTTAAAAAAATTGTTTTTTCTGTTTCTAAGATAGATTAAAAAAAGTGGGAAGTTCTCTTTACAAACACAAAATTGTGTACAGATTAAAAAAAACAATGTTTTATGTACCAAAACTTTATTGCCTTTTAAACGAATTAAAGATGAAAGAGAATATTGAATACCAAGGTCCTTTCTCTCCTCTTTTTATCATATGAATAAAAATACATATATTTATTCTAAATATATATAAATTTCTTTATTTTTAAAGAAAATTATAAAGATTAATCTTTTCAACCTATAATTATTAAATTTGTATTTATATGTTAAACATAATAAAATAATCAAAAAAAAAAAAATAATAATCAAAAAAAAAAAACACAAAATAAATAAGTGAAAAAAAACCAATTATATTTACACACACACACAGTTACACAAATACACACATACCACCACTCTATTTACTCTTACCTGTATACACATTATCATTGTTATCTTTGAATGCATTGAAAACAAAATTAATAACAAAAAAAGTCAGTTCATCTGAATTATTTTTTTTTGATGTGTACTTTACCAAACTAAACACAAGACTACTAATAATAAAATATCTGATACAAAAAAAAAGGAAATTAATTATTCATTATATTCTACTGTGTGTTGTAAATATTTGAATTAATTTTGGTTTGGATTAGTTTTGAACTAAATTAAATAAAAAATAACTATATAACTATTTTAATTTATCATCATCGATCATCAGTTTAGTATTAAAAAAATAACCAATCAAAATAACAAAAACATAATAAAAAAAATATCATTATTAATATTATTATTTGTATCTATTATATAATAAATAATATATTTAAAACAAATAAAAATTGTATTTGTGACTTGAATATTTTTGTTTTTTTGTTTTTAATAATTTGAAAAAAAAAAATGTCAAGTCCAAGTATTCAATCTTCAAGTTCCTATGGACAAGGTAGAGAAGTAGGTGTTGTCGATCTATCGGATATCATATCGAATGAAGATCTCAATAGGATAAAAGCGTACGGTGGAGTGAAAGGATTGGCCAATCTGCTGGGTTCGTCGGTGGATCGTGGTCTGTCGTCGGCGGAAGCCAGCTCGCCAGAGCGTATCGAGCGGTTCGGCAGTAATCGCAACAGGGAAGTGCCAATCAAATCGTTTTTCTTTTTCGTGTGGGAAGCTGCACATGACAAAACACTGATTATTCTTATTGTCGCTGCGATAGTCAGTATCATTCTTGGTCTGACGGTGGAGGATAGATCGACCGGGTGGATCGACGGAACTGCCATCTTGGTTGCCGTGACCATCGTTGTTCTAGTGACTGCCGGTAATGACTACAACAAAGAACAGAAATTCAGAAAGCTGAATTCCATCCGTAACGAACACAACGCATCGGTACTCCGAGATGGTCGTGTCGTCTCCCTTCCGGTCACCGACATCGTTGTTGGTGACATCGTCAAGTTGGAAGCTGGAGATACCGTTCCAGCCGATGGATTATATATTAACGGAACCAGTATGTTTACTTTTAATATTAATATTCTACTTAGTATTCATAAACTAACTAACTAATCTATTATTATTTTAATTAATAGATTTCTCTGTTGATGAAAGTGCTATGACTGGTGAATCAGATTCCAAACATAAATCAGAGGATGTAGAACCATTTATGTTGTCTGGATGTCAGGTTTTGGAGGGTCGTTGTGAATACTTGGTGATTGCAGTCGGTGTTAACTCGCAGTGGGGCAAATTGAAATCGCTACTTGAGGTGCCAGACTCTGACACTCCACTGACGATAAAACTCGAGAGCTTGGCACAATCGATCGGAAAGTTTGGTCTGGCTGCAGCGGTCGCCACTTTTATCATTCTCATTGTAAAGTTTAGTATTACGATGAAGGTGAATCATATTCGTTGGGAATGGTCGTATCTCGGAACGATCGTACAGTTCCTGGTGACTTCGATTGCCATCATTGTTATGGCTGTGCCCGAGGGATTGCCGCTGGCCGTTACCATCTCACTTGCCTTCAGCATGATGAAGATGATGAAAGACAACAACTTGGTTCGTCACTTGGAAGCCTGTGAAACAATGGGTGGCGCCACCAACATCTGCTCCGATAAGACCGGAACGCTAACAATGAATCGTATGTCGGTGGAAGCGAGTCTTGTCGGCTCTGGAATTGTCAATCCCGACGGCCAAATCGTGTCGCTGCTCTCTGATAACATTTGTCTCAATTCCACTGCCTATATTGTTCACCACGAAGGTAACCAGGTGAATGACCACTTTGGCAGTAAAACAGAGTGTGCACTGCTCGAGTTTATCGAACGCTACCAAGTCGACTATGAGCACTACCGTGAGGAGAACAAAGCACGTATTGTCAACCAATATCCATTCAGTTCCGAAAAGAAAATGTCTGCCATTCTCGTGAGAAACATCAGCAACAGCAGTAGCAAGGGAGGTATCAAACCATATCGTTTACATGTAAAGGGTGCTGCAGAGTTGGTTCTTTCAAAGTGTGACAAGATGATTGTCGAAGATGGAAGTAGTAAGTCGTTCAATCGCGAGGAAAAGCTGTTGGTTTCCAAGGATATTGAGATCTATGCTAGTTCGGGATTGCGTACTCTTCTGCTTGCTTTCAAGGATTTGGACGAGGGTCAACAGAATGACTTTGACAATCCAAACTCTGGACACTTTACATTCTTGGCGTTGGTTGGAATCAAGGATCCAGTTCGACCAGAAGTTCCTGCTGCCGTCCGAAAATGTCAACACGCTGGAATCACCGTGAGAATGCTGACCGGTGACAATATCCTGACTGCCAAGAACATCGCACGTGAATGTAATATTCTCAGAGATGGCGGTGTTGCTATTGAAGGACCGCAATTCCGTCAGCTCACCAACGAACAACTAGAGATTATCATTCCACATCTTCAGGTGCTAGCCAGATGTTCGCCAACCGATAAGTACACGCTCGTCCACAAGTTGCGAGAGATGGGAGAAGTCGTTGCCGTTACCGGTGACGGTGTCAACGATGCTCCACAGCTGAAGGAAGCAGACGTCGGATTCTCCATGGGAATAGCAGGTACTGAAGTAGCTAAAGAAGCATCGGATATCGTGTTGCTCGACGACAACTTCTCGTCGATTGGCAAAGCAGTAATGTGGGGTCGTAACGTGTACGACTCCATTCGTAAGTTCATCCAATTCCAGTTGACCGTAAACTTTGTCGCTGTCACCATGGCGATTATCGGTGCTATTACCGATGGTGAGTCACCGCTACGTCCAATTCAAATGCTCTGGGTCAATTTGATTATGGATACACTCGGTGCACTGGCGTTGGCAACAGAACCGCCCACCGAGAAACTCTTTGATCGTCTTCCCTACGGTAGATACGATTCTCTTATTACCAGAAGAATGTGGAGAAACATCATCGGACAGACCATCTACCAACTATCGTTCCTCTTTGCCATCATGTACGGTGCACCTACACTAGTTAAGCTATTTGATCTTCCAGCCTACTCACACTGGACACTTCACGACAAACTAGTCTATCACACTATTATCTTTAATACATTTGTATTCTGTCAGTTCTTTAATGAAATTAATTGTAGAGTTTTAAATAATGGTAAGTTTTAAAATTGATCACCAACAATTTTTTTTGATCAAAATGATCACAGATGCCCAGGACAAAAAAAAAAAGAAATTTTTTTAATTAACTTTTTATTTTTTATTTTTAGATTTAAATGTATTTAAAGGAATTCATAGATCACAATTGTTTGTTGGTATTATGATTGGTACTATTGGTATTCAAATTATTTTGGTTGAATTTGGAAATGATTTCTTTGGTACTCGTCCACTCGATTTATATCAATGGTTGTTCTGTATTACTATAGGTGCAGGTGGTCTGATCTGGGGATTCTGTTTGAGATTGTTACCAATTAAAGATAGACAACCGATCACCAGACAATTGAGAAGAATCAAACAGGAGGATGTAGAGATCGATATCGATATTGAATCGACACCACTCTTACCACAGAGCAAGTGGAGAACCGCTCAAAAGGTAATGACCGAAATCAACGTCATCTCAGCCTTTAGAAATCAACCGAGACTCAAGAGAACCAAAGGTCTATTCGTTTCGAAGGATTCTGATTTAAGAAGTAGAAAATTCAACAAGTCTTCGAATCCTTTTGCTGGTAAACAATAATTTGTAATTTTTAAAATAAATAAAATTATTGTTAAAGACCTTTAACAAAAGAAATGGATCTTTGTTTTTTTTATTGATTTATTTTTTAACATGTTCCTACTTCACTCTTTTTATTATTAAGATCTAATAAATTATATTTGCATTATTTGATCTGTTAGTGTTGTCATTATTAATTATCCATTGATTTATGTTTATATTTTCAAAAAACTATTTATTTATAAAAGATGTGAGGACAATTTACTCTATACTATTGGTCATTTTTGAGAATAGATTCCCATTTATGATTTTCAAATGAGAACAAGAAATTTCTATCTTTTCCTTGGATTGAATAAAGGTAAGTTTGACCATCATTCGATTGAAACCAATGTAATGAAAATATTTGATAACAGTAAAATCAATAATGGTTTCAACCACAATTTGATTATCATCAATACTGATTCGTTGTAATCCTAATGTATCCGATAGAATATATATATTACCATTACCATCTGTGCATGCTGCTCTTGTTGAAGGGTGTTGGGGTATTTCTATTGGTAATTCAACTGTTGTTTTGTTGTTTATATCAAACTTTAAAATCTTTTTAATATATGGTGTTAAAGTATAGACATTACCTTTGAAAATGAAAGGGAATTGATGGTAACTTGTATTGATTTTGATTGTTGAATATCTTTCGAAAGTTGAATCATTGATGTTGTATTTGTAGATTTTTGTTACTGTTTTATTAGTTCCATCTAATAAATAGATATGATCTTTACCATCATAACAAATGATAAACTTGAGCACTGATCAACACCTATCATTTCATTAATAACTACTGATTTGGTGTTGATTGAATACTTGATAAATAACAAATATTAATTTAAATAGTAAAGATTGGGTTATTGATGAAAATGATCCAAAGAAATTAATATTGCTGTAAAATATAATTTAATAAAAACAAGAAATAAGATGCTTGCTAATTTTAACAAAGACAAAAAGGATAATGACTTTAAAGTCGGTGATATGGTATACGTTAAAGAGAAAAGACCTTCTAAGAAATGGAACAAGTTAGCTCCAATTTATGCAGGTCCGTATGAAATAATTAACGTTGACAAATATAATAATATTACTATTAAAGATTATGTATCTGGTGTAACAAGAATTAGTACTAAATCTAAGATTTTAAATTCTAAATACTTTAAGCACGCTGAAATAGAAGATTTAGAAAATTCAGTTGTTAACAAAGATACTTCCGTTCTAGACAAGACAGATAGTTTTGTCTCAGATAATGATGACGACGTGATGTCAGTCAACGATAGTGACGAAGATACCAATCACTCAGTAGAAGACGGTATGGATTTAGTCGAAACTAGTCAAAACAATCACAGTGAAGTGAAGCAGAATATGACTACCGACGAAACAGTCGAGACTGAAATAGATTCGTCTCTCATGCCTACCGGTGTCGTTTCAGATTTTATGAAATCAGATGTAATCAAAAGCAAGAACACTCATGAAGAAGTATTACATGTTTTAGAAAGCAACAAGGATTTAAATCTCAAATACATTAAATTGTTAAGAGAGTTAATAGAAAACGAGAAAGATTTAGATCAGAGAAATAAAGTATCTGATAAGTCGAATCTCCTCGTCCGTTCGCTGATGAAATCTAAATTACATCCATCTATTTTCAAAATCATGCAGAAGAGAAGTTTTGTGATTTCAGCGAAAAGAAGTATTCCTTTTGTTGAGTACTTAGTTAAGATCAGTCATACTGTTGGTTGGGTTCCATCCTCCGAAATGATTGGTGCCACCAAAGAAGTCTCTAGTTTCAATTCGATTGTTGGAAAGTTGAACGCTGCCGTAACAAAGCCTGTCCAAATTAATATGTTACGTGCTAGAAGATCGAACGTCTACAGTTCCTTAAAGTCATGTTACAACAAAGCTCAAATCAATCGTCTACACTTCAAGTTACACCGAATCCAATCCCAGCTAGAGTCTGTTTTACAAATGTAAACCATCAACCCTTTTCTTTAGGCGGAAGAGTGTTGTCCGTCTAAGGACAATAAGGTAGCCACCAAGGCAATGTCAATACCTATCAATCAACATCAATAATATACACCAGCCAACATATAGTAATAGTCAATTATAATTAATTAAATTAATTAAATCAACTAAATAAGTAATAGTTTAAAACAACAGATTGAAATAATAATTAAATTAGAATCTGTTGTTTCTGAATTAAGTATTCAACACTCAGCCGTCAAGCTTCTCAATAATGAATATATTGAGTTTAACGCGACGTTAAAGATTCATTCAATTTTATACAATTCATTCAATCCATTCAAGAATTAATTAGATTATTAGAAAAAAAGATTAATTAATAAACAAAAGATTAAATAATAGTAAAATTTAAATTATATAAAAATATTATTAAAAACATTATTTCATATTATTATTAATTATTTATTGAATAAGAAATGCCAGATCCAACCGATCAACAACAACAACAACCACAACAACTAGTAGTGCAACAGCACCTACTGATACAACAACCACAACAAATGATCTTACGATGAATGATCTCGAGAACAATAATGATAATGATTCAATCCCATCAACCTCTATGTTATTCCCGGATGTTACTCCCAACAACACTCGTCCAGACCCGCTCCCATCCGATTTATTCAAATCTACTCTGGCTGCCTCCAAATTACCGATCTCCTCTGTTGTCGCTCCAAGCCAGTCGGATAACTAACAGTTGTAATAAATTTTTTTTTGGTTTTATTATAAATCCAAAGTAAAAAATAATTTTTATTTTATTTTATTGAGGAAAAAATATGACATTTTAAAATAGTAGAACAAAATTTTTTTTCTAATTTTGGAAGTTTTATTTGAAATAGAAATAGATAGCCTTTTATAAATGACATTTGTTTATTTTACTATTTAATTTTTTAATATATAATTGAAAATTAATTAGCTATAAATTCTAGTTTTCAATCTATAAGAATGGGATCATCATATTTCAAAGGTTGTATTTTTCCAGAAGAAATAAAGATGAACATCAAAGTACAACCCTTTCCAAAAAATGTTGTCAACCAAGAGTTAGTCTTAGACACATACTTGGGAATCAGTACTGGAAAGGATTCATCGGGTACTAGTACTCGCCACTACTTTGTTTTAGTAGACATCCGTGGAGAATCAAATGATGAATTAGTAATAGGAATGGAGTTCCATTTGAATTTGCCAAATCATGGTACATCATTGGAAGTAGGTTTTTCTTCATGCCGTGGTTGCCGTTCCTCAAGTCACACAAAGCTCATTCGTCTTGGAAAGTTACCATCTGTCATTCTTGAGGGAAGCCAACAAGTGGACTGTACCAAGCCAAGTCTCCTGTGCTCTTGGGCTCTCGCAAGATACAATTTCTTCATTGAGAATGTATGCAATGGAGAGACAGTATGGGGTTCTGAGGTGAATTGTCAGAAATATGCTCGTTTTCTAGTCCAGGACTTTCAGCTTGAGTGGCCGGAAAATATATCAGTTGCAAGCGATGTTTATACCTGGTATAGTTGACATTTTCGCTGATTTCCAAGAAACTAAATTCATATCAAAAAATTAGTATTCCATTCTTACTTAGCCAGCAAAAAATATCATTTATATACAATTATTTACAAAAACTTTAAAATAAATTTTTCTAATTTTTTTCTATATTTATTTTTAATATCTAAGTTTTTTGTGGTTTTAAATTATTAATATCATTATTATTATTATTATTTTTACTAAATGGTTGTGGTGTTATCATATTCTTTTGATTACTAGAAATTCGGTCATCTATATACTTTCAATAAAGTTTAACACATGCTTCTAAATAAATAGAGTGTCGATTCCATACTCACTTGTAAAAGACAAATTACAGAAAAGTATGACCAGATCTCTCTCACTACAACTATTCAAAATCAAGAGCATCTAATAATACCAATTTCCACTCGTTCACAGAAGATAAATGCCTCTCACAGACAATCCACCACAATCGAACCAATCAAACTACCCAAAGTTATTTTCCAATACTGATTGAATATGGGTTATGTAGATAATAATGATAAATTAGTAAATGAATTTGGCTTCTTACTTCATTCACGTCGTTGGTATATATTTTCTGGTATCTATTTGAATGCTCCTGTATTAATGCTTGGAAACTTCACCTCCACGCAAACAAAAAATCAACCATTCCAACTTAATCCAATACAATAAGGTCTATACTACCCTATTTATAATTTAAGTAATGCAATAACATGTAAAATAATTTAGTTAATCAAAAAGCAATAAATATCTAATAATAAAAAATTTTATTGTTGATAGCGGAGTTTGTTTATGTACTGAACAGGATTTAAGAGTTATTATATTGAATTTATTAATTGATTAAAGAAGTGAATTTTCTTTTTTTAATGAATTTGCAATCTTTCTGTTGTAGAAATTTGCAGTATGCCTCTTTTTGAGGTAAACAGCTAAACCTAAAATTAATGCAACACCCACTACACTTCCAATAACAGCTCCAACAATAACTTTCCATTTATTATCACTGTTGTTACATCCAGAATCACTCTTAGTTGATAGAATTAAACTAAAGTCAGGATCAACAACAACGAATTCACTGAAATATGGAATAATTGTGTTGATCTCAACTGATCCTTTGACTTGGACATATTCGAATTGTGCAATCATTGGAATAGTATCTAATATAATGGTGTTTAATAGATTACCAACAATATAATTACCATTTCCATCACCAATATTGAATGTTGTTACTCCTGATGAACTTGATGTTAATAATTCTCCATTCTCTGATGATAAAATATTACCACATCCATCTTTTTGACCTATTGGGTTTGATACTCTTGTAGTCAGGACTAATGAATTCAAATTCGATGAAAATGGCCAATTATCAATTCTCATCGTGTATTTATGTGATCCGAGTTGGATATCGAATTCTTTTCCTGCAAATTCTATTGGGAAAGTTGTTGTTGTTAAAATCATATTATTTAGTTGTTTGTATTGAATGAATGATATTGAAATTGATGAGAATTCTATTGATGTTGGATTTGCTGAATATGTCCAATTAAAGAATTGAATTTTTTCTTTTGTAATTGGATGAATTATCGAATTATTATTTGTTGATTCTAATTTCCATTCAACTTTTGATAATAAAAGTGTTTTGATTGTATTTGAAGTGTCATCAATCTCTTTAATTGAAAATAGTTCAAAACGATAACTAATTCCATTATTATCAATAATAATTCCTGGATTATCTGGATTTGGTGTGATTGTATTATTTCCATTATTATTGTTGTTATTATCAATATGACAGAATATTCCAGACCATCCTTTTTGGCATTCACATTTTTCATTCTTACACTCTCCATTTCCAGAACATATTGGTGATGATTCACTTCTCTTGCAATCATTGCCATTGTTTATGAATTGTAGAGTTGTTAAAGTGCTTGTGGTCTTAACTGGTTCATAGAAAGAATTGATTACAATGACACGAACTGAGTAATTAGTTGCTGATCCTAAATTGGTAATATTACATTCTAATTTAGTTATCATTGAACAAATATCAATCCAAGTCTTGGAGTTGTAAGATATTGAAGTATTGTAAAGTGTTGAACCTGGGATACCATTTCTACTTGAATTCCATTTGGCAAGAATACTTGATTCACTTGGAATTGTTTCCAATTCTACAGATGTTGGTGACTCATAAGTTTTATGAGATATTTCATCATTCTTTGTCGCTCCATCATTATAAACAATAACTTTAATAGAATATAGAGAACCAAGAAATACACCATTAAAAATACATGTCAACTCTGTTGTATTTGCACAAAGAATTGATCCATTGACAATAACATCATATGTTGAACCTTGAACTCCAAATTCAGTCTGATATTTAATTTCAATTGATTCGATTGAAGATTGAGATGTTGTGATTATTGGTTGGGTTACTTCTTTAATTGTATCATACTTGCTTTGCAAGGACAAAGTAGTTTGATCATTATCTACTGAAACATCAATAGTTTGAATAGATCCACTTGTTAATCCTTTCATTATACATTGTAATGTCGTTACAGTAGTACATCCAGTCACTGGGGCACCATTTAATGATACAGTGTATGTGGTGACATCAGGAACACCATTTTCAGAAGAATATGAAATTGATAATTCTTTGGTTGTGATACTATCAAGTTGTACTTTTAAGTTTGATATCAATGGATAGGTCTTGACATCCAATGTTGAAATTAGTACACTTGCTCCATTTGTTGCTTTAACTTCAAATTTGTAAGTAGTATTTGGTGTAAGGTTGTTCACAACACATTCTCCAGATGCGGTTGCTTGAGTATCAGTACAATCTTGTGATGTAAGAACAACACCATTCATTGTAACAACAAATGAAGTATCTAGTGGATTACCTCCTGGTGCTGAATATTTGATATTAATTTCACGAGTGAGTGATTTCGATATGATAATTGGTTCACTCATGATATCCCATAGCTTAACTGATTTGATAGCTGATTGTGTTGTTGTTCCATCATTGATTGCTGAAACTTGGACAGTATATGTATTTGATGTTACCAATCCTTCAATTAAACACTCTTTTGATGTACCAGTACATGCTGAATTTTCGATTCCATTTAACATTACTTTATAAAGAGTTGATGGTGATGGTACTCCATTATTTGTTGAATATCGAGCAAATATTGAAGTTGGTGTACCAATTACTGATAGAGTCGGAATATCAATATTTGTGAAGGTATTAAAAGTATTTGACATTGTCACAGATTTTCCATTATTGATAGCAACTACTTTAATAATATATGATGTTGTTTGTTGTAAATTATTAATTGTACAATTTGTTGTTGGTATATCAATGCAACCAGGTGCATTTATATCATTATATGTAACGGTATAATTTGTCTCATCAACAACACCTCCACTAACACCATAGTTCACCGAAATTAACTTGGTTGTCACTAATTGTTGAGATACTGATCCAGCACTGATTTCTGAATAAGTTGAAGCTGAAAATGATTTGGACTGAATTGTTCCTGCATTAGAGGCGGCTACTTCGAATATATAAGATGTACTTGGAATAAGCCCAGTGACAGTACAAGTTTGAAGTGAAATTGATTGACATGCAGCATAGTTATCTCCATTTACAGATATACTATATCTTGTTAATGTTGGATCACCTCCAGTTACTGAGAAACTTAATATGGCACTTTTAGTTTTCATTGAAGTTGAAAGTGTTGGAACTCCCAGGAAATCCCATAACTTTACTGTTTGGATAGCTGATTGGACAGAATCACCATCATTGATTGAATTTAATTGTACATTATAAGTGGAAAGAGTAGTCAATCCAGATATTGTACATGGTGAAGATGTACATTGAGTTTGGATTACATTGTTTAAAAGAATTTGATTGGTTGTGGCACCTGGGATTCCATCTAAAGATTGATATGTTGCAGTTATTGAAGTTGGTGTATTTGTGATTGATAGAGTTGGTGTGTTTACAGCAGGATAGGTACTTAATGAAAGTGACATGATATTGGAGTCTGTGCCATAATTAACAGCATTGACAACAATCGTTACAGCTTGTCCTGGGAGTAATCCAGTGATAGAGCATTGAGAGAATGAACATCCACTAACTATTTTTCCATCTGCTTTAACAACAAAAGTAGTTATACCATTAACACCTTGTACAGAGCTATAACTTACAGTTATGGTTTTAGTTGTTTTACTTATGACATCTAGAGATTTCATAGAATCAGCTAAATATAATAACTAGAAAATTAGTAAGTGACACTTTTTTAACCCAAATCTTTTTATCATTTACATACGTGTTGGCATTGTGAAAGTACCTGAAGTAACTGAACTAGGACCACCAAATGGAGGTATTTCATTTTGAGTAGCTTTAATATTTGTTGTAATTCCAGTAGGAATATTGTTAATTGTACATGTTTGACCATTTGAAATTGAATTACAAGTTGTTGAAGCATAAGTACTACCACTTAGATATTGAATCTTCAGTGTACTGGATGGGAAATTAACATCAACGGTAAAACTAATTGAATTATAACCAATGTAACTGATTGAACTAAATGTGATTGAAAGTGAAGGTACACTAAAAGCATTCATAATTCTATCAGCATTGTTTGTACACGGAGAAGAAGTATAAGTTACTTTAGAAAGACTCGGACAAGTATGTTCTCCAGAGTAACCTAAACTTAAACTAGAAGGTGAAATTGCAGAACCAACGAAAAAAAGAGAGCTTGCATCCTGAAAACTACAAACACCAGGTTTCAAAACTGTTTTAATAGGATTGATATTTGAACATGGACTTGATGAAGATCTAATTAATTAAATCACAAATTGTGTTAATATTTAAAAATAATTTTCATTTGTTTGAGTTTTGTCTGAATATTATTTGTAGTTTTATACTTACGCCCATCTCTCAAAATAAAGATAACCTTCTGATGGAACTACTGGTGTTGTTTGAATTGTGTATTTTTTTAAAAAAATAAGATAACAAGGACCAGTTAAATCAGTGGTAATCGGACTACCTGAACACCCTTGACCAATATAATGGGTCATAGTAATTGATGCTCCAGAGGTTGTGTAAATAATACTTCCACTTTCATAAGTGTAACACTGACCAACAACAAATGAAGAAACTAAATTAATAATTTAAAAAATTAGTTGAAATTAAAATATAATTAAACTACACTACTTACCTCTGGTTGGTGGATCACCACAACCACTTGATTCGGGGGGATATGCATACTCCCAAATATATTGCTGTGCATTTATTGATATAATTTGTAGATTTACAATAATAAATATTAAATGTAAAATATTGTAATAATTTCTATTCTTTTTATTCATCTTTATTTTCTATAAAAAACAAATAAGTTGAACTTTTGTTTGTTTTTATAAAGTTTGAAGAATTTCTCTTAATTTTATTAGTCTACAATTATTTATGGTCGTATTATATGAGATATTATCCAACCTGGTTATATTCGTTAATCACAGATTAATTAAATGTCTTCGAAATTTTATGACGATGTTTGCAAAAAAAAACGTAAAAACAAAAAGTTATGATATTTTGAAAATGAAATCTAGATTTGATGGTTCTAAAAATGAAAAAAAATCCTCCGGAATCAGATATTAAATTATATCTTAATATTAAGTTTCCGAGTTAAAATGCTTTTTCGGGAAGGTAAATGTGGCGCGACAACTACTTTTTTTTTTTTTTGTGATTATATGTAATTGAAATTTTTTTTTGATGATCATTCAAAATAAAGTTAGATACATTTGGTCCTGACTTTTTTTGCAATGACAGTGGTTGTGTTCTTCACAAATTTTAAGGGAGTTCGGAGCAGGCTTCAACGAACCCGAGAGATCAAAGGATACAGAGACAGACATATATGTTAAAAATCATTTTAACCCCGGATTCGACGTCGATTTATTTTGACAAAGATATCCATTATAACAATGAAATTTATTTGATGTTTGTTGGAGTGTTGTTGTGATATTATATTAATATATTTAAAATAAAATATATTTTTTTAAAGTATTTTAGTTTGTTGTATTATATATATTATATTTATTGATTACCGCAGAATCTGAAAGTATTGAAACCACCTTCAGTACCACAGTCGGCACCGGTTTGACTATCAGCAGTACCTTCCCAGAGGTGACATTCGTAGAATGTTGTGACTTTACTGACGATATCAGTTGAGTTACATTTGGTAAAAGTGGATCCGTCTGGATTGTTTACACAGGTGTTGGTCAAAGTGTACTCGATTGCGTTGAAGTTACTCTTCCAGTTACCATTGCAACTACCAGCATAACTAACCTCAGTGTATGAATTGGCTGGACTTTTTACGATTTCATCGACAATCGAAACAACGGTTGGATTAGCGGAACAGATATTAATACATTCCTCTTGTGGAACGACTGAGGGGTATTGGAGTGGGCTATGAAGTTGATTAAGCTTGTTAATTGATTTTCTTAGCTATTTCTAATATTGATCTACTTACATTTTACAGGTGAAATCTTGGTAGGTTGTATCAATGATGAAGACACCCTCGGTATTTTGAATTGTGAAGATTGTAGGTAGACCGTTGAAACTGACACAGACACCTACTTTGTAGAATGCTTCACCTATGAATAAAGATGGAGCACAGGCTTCATAGCTATCGCTAAGTGAACCAGAGCCATTACAGTTTATATCGTATTGGAAGGTTCTAACATTGATATATTGTTGCTTTGCCAAAGTCAAGGCAATAGTAGCTGAAAGTAATAAAATTGTAATAAATAACTTATTCATTTTCTCTAGTTTATCTGTATATGATTATGAAACAAAACATTAAGAAAGAGGAATTGGGTTACTCATATTTATATTTATTCCTATCCATGTTTTGTAATAGGATATTTTAAATTAATATCTCTCAGAATTTGAATTGATTTTAGTAAAATTGCTGTTTTGTATACAAAACCGATCAATTTCAAGGTCGGTAAGAAAAGATCGCACAATCAAATTAATTAAGTTTCGAAATCTTTTTTTAATGATTTTTTTCATATTTAAATTCTGAATTGTTGAAATACCATTCAACAATGTCGTTAGACATTTAAACACACCTTATTTGAATAAGAGTATGAGTCAGGTGATAAAAGATATTTCCATTAACTTTTCTTATGAGTGTTACTTTAATACTTTGTTTTAATATAACAATACTAACGCAAATAGTGTGATTAATATAATGCATAGTAGGGTAGGGTTAGGGTATGAATAGGTAATGGGTAAAGATAGTTTTTTACGACCACTATTCTTTTGTATAGAGGAATCAAGTGAATGACTAATTAAATGCATTCAATTTCAGTTTCAATTTCTAAAGAATTAATTAAAATAAACAACCACACATAAATAAGTTATCGTGATTAGATTAGATTATTTTTAGAATTGATAAGGTGAATAAGATGTTCGATTATCTGTCTCACTCTAGATTCTTCTAATGAGGATTCTTAAAACCTTTCTTATCTTTAATATAACAATGTGGGGTTATGATAAGAGTTGACTTGACGACCTTAAGATCTTTTGTTTAAAGGAATATGATAATAATAATGATTAATCATTTCTAATACTTCTAAAGTTAACTAACTAATTTAAAACCATTTAATGATGATCAAATAAAATAAATCTAAACAGAAAATGATTATGTGGATTGATATATTTGTATTTTTAGAACATTCAATTGTATGAAAATAACTATTTTCGCTATGTCAGTTTTTTTTTGTTTTAAAATACTAGAATATGAATTATAGATAGATAAAATTTATATTTTTAAAACATTTTAATTATTCATCTTTTATTTAATTTTATTTTGTTTATATTATTTGTTGAAAATCTATTTTTGGTCTAATATGTTTGCACAATTTGTTCTGTCAGATGGGTCATCTTGGAGAATTTGCTCCCATTTGTTGTTGTCAAATGAGAACACATAATTTTGATTTTTTCCTCGGATTGAATAAATATAACTTTGACCATCATTCGATTGATGATAAATCAAATTGTAGTAGCCATTCATTGCGATGGTACTCTTTTCGAATGATTTGATTTCATTGGTTTCAATATTGATTCGTTGCAGTTCTGAATATGATTGAATATATAGATTGCCATTGCCATCTGTACATGCTGCCATTGGTTTCCCAGTGATTTTAACTGATAATTCAACTGTTGTTTTGTTGTTTATATTAAATTGAAAAATCGTAGCTGGTGTTAAAGTATAGATATGACCTTTGAAGAAGAATGTGAATAGATGGTAACTTGCATTGATATCGATTGTCGAGTATCTTTCGAATGTTGAATCGTTGATGCTGTATCTGAAAATAACAGTTTTTGGTTTCGTTGGTCCGTCGAATATATAGATATGATCTTTGCCATCATAACAGGTCGATAAAAATTGGCACTGATCAACACCTTTCATTTCATTGATATCTAAAGTTTTGTTGTCGATTGAATACTTGATATACTTGTTGGAGATGCTATTTGCACCAAATATATAGATAAAGTCACCAACTTTAACCATTGAGCTGAATGTTGAAGATGAACCAAGATATAAATGATTCATTTTAATATCGATATCTTGTTGCGGTTCAAAATGAATGTTGTTTCGATCTGTAATATTGATGATTGATAATTTATTGTTTTTATTAGTTGAGAATATATATGATTGTTTGTTGTTTTTATTTGATATTACATTTTGTTGAATTTTTGATTGATTTGATTTCAATTGAAATGATGATTGAATTTGATTCTTGGCACTATTGATTTGTTCATTATTAACAGTTAATTGATATAGTTGTGATTGTTGATTGTCATCAGTATTATTATTATTGATTTTTAATTTGATTTGTTGTGTTCAAGTAATAAATTTAAAAGTGAATGATCATCATTGTTGTTTACTTTGTTGTCAAGTTGATCATAATCGAAATAGAACAGTGTATTGTTGTTCGATGAAATGAATTCATTGTGATCCGAACATTGTGAAATCGATTGAATTATTGTTGTTATTTGGTAGTTATCTGTTGTATCTGCTGTCGTTATCGTTTTTGATTGTGAATCTGATCGATCATCATTATTATTAGATTTAAATCTGGTGATTTGATTATTGACAGTACTCAATGATTTCATGATTTTGATTTGTTTATCGATTTGTTGTTCTAATTGTTGTTTATTATCGATGATTGGTTTCTTTAATCTATGTTCTTCAATAACAAGGAATTCATGTAACTCTTTGAATTTACTTTCAATCTCTTGTTCTGTTTGTTGTAATTGTTCGTATTCTTTAACTTTCGATTTCAAAGAATCGAATGTTGTTTGAATACTTGTTTGAAAATCTTTAATTCTATTATTATTATTATTATTTGATTGACTGTCATCTGTGGAAGTGGTTTTATCATCATTATTATTATTGCTAATTGATGATTTAATATTGAAAATATGATCACATGAATGACCAGAGTGATTTAGTATACAGATAGAACATGTCAAAACATTACAATCATAACATATGAACTTGAGACTTTTTTTATGTGTTACACAAATATTATTACTACTATTCATTTTATATCTAACTAAAAAAATATCTTTAAAACATAGTTAAAAATGATCAATCTTTTTGATTTATTTAATAAAAAATAAAAAATAAAAAAACAGAAAAATTTTTAGATATTTTCTCAACCAAATTTAAAGTTGTTTGTTTTTTATTTAAATTATAATTATTGATTAGATATTTGATTATTGATTGTGGAATAATATAATGTTGATTTAATACTTTTAGTACTTTGATGGTTCGATGATTCTCTATGTTATAAATCAGATATTTTAAAGATGATTTCTTATGGTTAGTATGATTAATATTTACATTGGTTAGTGTTTGATTTGTTAATATCGATTGTATTGAATGTTACGCATTTCTTAATTGAGAAATGACTTATATCTATAAATAATTGAGTTTTGTCGTTTCTAAACAAAGAAACATCGCTTTGGATTAACTTTTAGTTGTCATTAATGACAGGATGTATCTTTAAACACTCACAAGCCTGTGTATTCTTTAGAAATTCTTGATAAAGAGTATCTATACTTGTCTTTTGTTGTTTTTGTGTGGTTGTTGTTGTTGTTGTTGTTTTGTTGCTTTAGTAGTTCTTTTTACTTCATCTATATCCAGTTATTTTGTAAAAAGAAGTGGTGTTTTTAACAATGAATTAGAATTACTGTTGTTTCTGTTATTATTGTTCTTTAGGTGTTCTAAGATGTTGAAGTAGTAGTCTATAGATTGGTTTTTTATCGCTTGATTGCAAAACCCAACAAAAACCACCATTAAATGTTAGAATTTTAAACGAATGAAATTATGAACACGCTAGCATTTATACATACATGTAAAATCTCAAAGAAAAAGACAAATAAAAAAGAAACCTTTGTCTTTTCTTATTGTTGCTTGACAGTTCTTTCATCTAAATATCGGTTTCTGGTTTACCATTTCCATCTTAACAACCTGATAAATAGTTGCACTGATCAATAACTCTATTTCATCTAAAACCAAAGTTCTGGTGTTGATTGAATACTTGATATACTTGGTGTAGCTGATTTTATTTGCACCACCACTAGTTAACAACAAATTTGCACCAAATATATAGATAAAGTAACCAGCTTTGACACTCGAGCAGTATGATGCATATGAATGATTCATCCTCATGTAGATATCTTGTGGTTCAAAATGAATTTTGGTTAAATCTGTAATATTGATGATTGATATCTTATATTGAAATCAGTGGAGAATATAAACTATTGTTTCTCTTGATTCGATTGTAATCTGAATGATGATTGAATTTGATTCTTCATAATATGATTTAATTGACCATTTTCGAGAATTAATTTATATTGATGTGATTGTTGATTGTCATTATTAATATTTAATTGATTTATTGTGTTCAAGTAATAAATTTAAAATGAATGATCATCATTGTTGCTTATGTTGTTGTGATCATAATCGAAATAGAACAATGTATTGTTGTTTGATGAAATGAATTCATTGTGATCCGAACATTGTGAAATCGATCGAATGATTGTTGTTTTTTGATAGTTATCTGTTGTATCTGTTGTTAATTCTGAAGAATATAATGATTGTCTATCATTATTATTATTTGATTTAATGTTAATAACGATAATATTTTTTTAAAATACTAGAATATGAATTATAGATAGATAAAATTTATATTTTAATTATTCATCTTTTATTTAATTTTATTTTGTTTATATTATTTGTTGAAAATCTATTTTTGGTCTAATATGTTTGCACAAGCTGTTCGGTCAGATGGGTCATCTTGGAGAATTTGTTCCCATTTATTGTTGTCAAATGAGAACACATAATTTTGATTTTTTCCTTGGATTGAATAAATATAACTTTGACCATCATTCGATTGATGATAAATAATATTGTAGAAGTAGCCATTCAATGCGATGGTACTCTTTTCGAATGATTTGATTTCATTGGTTTCAATATTGATTCGTTGCAGTCCTAAAGAATATGATTGAATATATAGATTGCCATTGCCATCTGTACATGCTGCCATTGGGTCCCTAGTGGTGATTTTAACTGATAATTCAACTGTTGTTTTGTTGTTTATATTAAATTGAAAAATCGTATCTGTTGTTAAAGTATAGATATGACCTTTGAAGAAGAATGTGAATAGATGGTAACTTGCTTTGATATCGATTGTCGAGTATCTTTCGAATGTTGAATCGTTGATGTTGTATCTGTAAATAACAGTTTTTGGTTTCAATGTTCCGTCTAATAAATAGATATGATCATTGCCATCATAACAGGTCAATAAAAATCTGCACTGATCAATACCTTTCATTTCATTGACATCTAAAGTTTTGTTGTCGATTGAATACTTGATATACTTGTTGGAGATGCTATTTGCACCAAATATATAGATAAAGTCACCAACTTTAACCATTGAGCTGAATGTTGAAGATGAACCAAGATCGATATCTTGTTGCGGTTCAAAATGAATGTTGTTTCGATCTGTAATATTGATGATTGATAATTTATTTTTTTTATCAGTTGAGAATATATATGATTGTTTGTTGTTTTTATTTGATATTACATTTTGTTGAATTTTTGATTGATTTGATTTCAATTGAAATGATGATTGAATTTGATTCTTGGCACTATTGATTTGTTCATTATTAACAATTAATTGATATAGTTGTGGTTGTTGATTGTCATCAGTATTATTATTATTGATTTTAATTGATTTGTTGTGTTCAAGTAATAAATTTAAAAGTGAATGATCATCATTGTTGTTTACTTTGTTGTCAAGTTGATCATAATCGAAATAGAACAATGTATTGTTGTTCGATGAAATGAATTCATTGTGATCCGAACATTGTGAAATCGATCGAATTATTGTTGTTATTTGATAGTTATCTGTTGTATCTGCTGTCGTTATCGTTTTTGATTGTGAATCTGATCGATCATCATTATTATTAGATTTAAATCTGGTGATATGATTATTAACAGTATTCAACGATTTCATGATTTTGATTTGATTATCGATTTGTTGTTCTAATTGTTGTTTATTATCGATGATTGGTTTCTTTAATCTATGTTCTTCAACAACAAGGAATTCATGTAACTCTTTGAATTTACTTTCGATTTCATGTTCTGTTTGTTGTAATTGTTCGTATTCTTTAACTTTCGATTTCAAAGAATCGAATGTTGTTTGAATACTTGTTTGAATATCATTAATTCTATTATTATTATTATTATTATTATTTAATTGATTGTCATCTGAGTAGGTGTTTAAATCACTCTCATTTTTATTGATATTTGATTTAATATTATTGATATGATCGTATGAATGACGTGCATGTTTTGGTGAACATACAGAACACATCAAAACATTACAATCATAACATATGAACTTTAGACTTTTGTTATGTATTCCACAATTATTATTTCTATTACTATTCATTTATGTTTTTTCAAATTTTAACAATTAGCACTTTTTATCAACAAGTCTTAGTAAAATAAAGAAAAAATAGATACTTTTGATTTGTTGGATTTTTTTTTTTGAATTTCAATTTTGAACTTCACTCATGGGAAGTGACAAAGTTATGTTGTCTATCAAATATATCATAATATATTTTGTCAACATAACATGTTTAGATCGATTCAATCATTCTTTGAAAAAAAAATAAAAGAAATTATAGAAAGATTATCTTAATAGTTAAAATTTTGTATCATCTTACATTTGTTTGATTTTATTTAAATTATATTTATTGATTCTATATTATTTAGATATTTGATTATTGATTGTGGAATAATATAATGTTGATTTAATACTTTTAGTTCGATGATGCTTCGATGATTCTCTATGTTATAAATGAGATGTTTTAAAGATGATTTCTTAAGGTTAGTATGATTAATATTTACATTGGTTAGTGTTTGATTTGTTAATATCGATTGTATCAATTGTGCTGAGCATTTCTTAATTGAACAATGACTTATATCTAGATATTTGAGTTTTGTCGTTTCTAAACAAAGAAACAACGATAGTACTTCACCGAATTGATAGGTAAGTTGATTGCCTGAAAGTATAAGCTTTTCAATTGGACAAACTTTTGATGTTGTCGATGATGTTGTTGTTGTTGTTGTAGTTGTCGTAGTTGTTGAAGATAGCGATTCCAACAGCAATATACCACCTTTATCTGTTATTCTATTGAATCCTAGATCTAAGGAAGATAAGGTAGAGTTGCATTTCAATGAATTGGCGAGTTGGCGTATCGACTTGTTACCGATGCAGTTGGCCGACATGTTGAGTGTTGCGAGCGAGCGGTTGGTGCGTAGCGCGTCAAAGAACAGGTTGATCTCTGCGCCGTCACGACAGTAGTTTTGCGAGAGGTTGAGTTCGCGTAGCTGACAGTTACTCTGTGACAACACCAGTGCTAGAGATCGGAGTGTTTCGCCATCGCATTGATTGTCGATCAACGAGAGATAGCTAATGTTACTGGTGAAGTTCGGTAGCAGAAACAACTGCTCCAAGATCGGTGGTAACGTAGTATCGGACACTCCTTTCTCGATGGTTAGCGAATCGATATTACACAGTGACTCTCTTGGTATGTTTGATATATGACTGAACGGATTCCTCCCGATAATATGTAGATTATGTACAGTAGGACATTCACCAATACACTTTAAAAACGGTAATACAGGTGAATTTGAATTGCTATTGTTGCTACTGTTGTTATTATGATTGACAGGATGTATCTTTAAACACTCACAAGCCTGTGTATTCTTTAGAAATTCTTGATAAAGAGCATCTATTTCCTCTATTAAACTTGTTTTTGTTGTTGCCGTTGTTGTTGTTTTTGTTGCTGTAGTTGTTCTGTTTCTTCATCTACTTCATCTACATCTAGTTCTGTTGTAAAAAGAGGTGGAGTTGTTGTAGTTGGTGGTGTATTTAACAATGAATTTGAATTGCTATTGTTGTTACTGTTATTGTTACTGTTGTTGTTGCTGCTATTGTTGTTGTTGCTGTTCTTTAGGTGTATGTTGACGTAATAGAAGAATATAGGTGAACGTTGTTGGCAGAGAATACCGTATTTCGAGAGATGTATCAGCTCTCTGAATTGACCGACCGTTGCAACGTGTATATATCTAAAGAATAAGGTTGGTACAATCGATAGCCAATCCTTGCAAACTAAAGATAGATTTAACAATGCTCTTATACCACTGAAACTATGTTCATGATGATGTTGCTGATGTTGTTTGCGATGATTATTATTCAAATTGATAACATGTAAATTTAAATCATTTTCAAAAATTAGATTATTATCGTCATCATCATCGATATCTTGATATTTATAATCAATATTATGATTGTCACTACTATTATTACAATTATTACTTTCGATTTTACATTCAAAATCTATTACCAATTGAAATATGAATTTAAGTAATAAAATAGGTAATCTTTGAATAATCATGATTATTTACATTGTATACATTTCATTATTACTATGTAAGTTTTTAAAAGATTTTTTTGTTTTTTTTTTTTTTTTTGGTTTTTAGTTTCATTTCCTTCCATCAATTTATTCGTTTATTTGTTTCTATTTTTAGAATTATTAATAATAATAATATATATTATCGTTTGATAATAATATTGTTTGATTGATCATATTGATGTTGTAATTTAATTATGTTATAAAAAGCAATAAAAAAGAGGTAAGCATATATATTTGTACTTTTTATTACAATCTATTTTCACTCATAACTAAAACCGATCTAAATCTAACTTTACCGGTTTCCATTTTCTCTACGGCTTCCAATGCTTTCTCTATTGGGAATGTTTCAATCATAGGTTGGACTTGTGTGATCTGTGCGAATTTCATGGTTGCTTCGCTGTCTCTGCTGTCGCCTGCAAGCCAACCGTGTATTGAGATATTCTTCATCACAATCATAGTGCCATTGACATTGATACCCTCTGAGAGTGCCGCCAACAACAACATCCTTCCGCCAAACGCCAGCGTGGGAATGAGTGATTCCACTGCACTCTTACTCGGTCCAGTCAAGATAATCATCATCGGTGCCATAGCTGTTAACTTTGCCAGCGAATCACTCTTTGAACCATCGAGATAATGATGCGCACCCAACTCGCGCGCCAACGACTCTTTATCCGCGCCGGAACTGTATGCCACCACCTCATAACCGAGTCGTCGTGCAAACTGTATTGCCAAATGACCCAAACCCCCTATTCCCTGAACACAAACAAGCGAACCCGGCTTAATATTCTGCTTGACGATTCCGTTGTACACTGTTATGCCGGCGCATAGCATTGGCGCGGCTTGTTCGAATGTCATGCCGTCCGGCAACTTGGAGAGCGCGTCAAATGGCACACAACAATACTCTGCATATCCACCGTCGTAGTGCAGTCCACACAACTGTCGGGATGCGCAACCGATCCAGTTGTCCTGCTTGCACTGTTGACACCAATGACAACAGCCACCAAAGAATCCAACACCAACACGATCGCCAACCTTGTAATTGACTACACCACTGCCAAGTTTATCGATGACACCCGCCACTTCATGACCTGGAATTCTCGGATAACTAGTACTCGTTGTTTTCATCATCAAATCAGTATGACAGACACCACATGCCATAACTCTAATTCGCACTTGTCCATCTTTTGGTTCTGGAATTTCAACCATTCGAAATTCAAGATTTGATCCTTTAATTATTTTATTTATTTTTAATATATATATTAATTATTAAATAACATAACATTCATTCATTTCATTAATTAATTACCTTTAGAAGGATATAATACACATTTCATTAAATTTGACATAATTTATTATTAGTTAAAGTTCTATTTATATTAAAAAGTTGTAAAAAAAATAAAATAAAATATAAACTAACTCATTTTTTAATTGTTTATGTTATTTATATTTATTTGATTAAAAAAATAAATAATATTTATACAAAAATGATTTTATTGGATGGTGTGTGTCGTGGTATGACATTTACTTGCAACTTTTACTCATAACCATGATATAAATGTTAAATTTCAATTTTTAGTCGTGACAAATAATTTCTTGAAAATAAATAAATAAATAAATAAAATAATTGTGATAATTAATTATTGATCATCAAAAAAATAAAACAAAGCTTTTTCTGATTTTTTTAATTAAATTTTTAATCAAATTTATTTATTGTTAAAAAAGTGTGAATCAAAGTCTAATTTAATTTCACGTGTGTGTTAAACAATTTTTTTTGTGTTTTTAAAAAGATAAGAAGAAAAGAAAGTAGATAAGATAGATAAGATAATAAAATAATAATAATAATAATAGTTAGTAAAAGTTGTGATATAAAAATTAATAAAAGTTAATAATAATTAATATGTTTTCAGGATTATTCGATGAAGAAGATATTGGTTATGGAGATGATCGTGCACCATTCCCTGCCAATAGACCCAGTGGTGGTTACAACTACTCTGGTGGGCCAAGCAGAAGAGCACCTGCTGACAAAAGATCACAACATGGTTTCGTTGGTCTCTTAAATCAGTAAAGTATCCAAACAGTTGTTGTTATCAACAACCATCAAACAATCTTCATCTTTGTTATGTTTTAACTAATATCTAATCAAATTCATTGTAGAGGAGCAACATGTTATTTGAATAGTTTAATTCAATTGATGTATATGACACCTGAATTAAAGAACAATCTATATAGCCTGAATCTCAAGGATTTAGATTTAGAACAACTAACAAACAACAACAACAACAATGACACTACACAACCAACAAATGTCACTGCCAATACAACTGCTACCACTGCCACTACCACCTCCATTAGTTCAGCAACATCAACAACAACTACTCAAAATGTATCAACTAATAATAACATAACTACTTCAAATACATCATCTAAAAACAACAACAACAATAATAATAGTAGTTATATAAATAATGATTTAGTATCATTTATGAATGAAGATATGGACGATGATATTATGAATAATGTTGAATGGGAAGAGATTGGTACTGGTGTATATCCACCGAGATCAACCAATGATGATATTAACGATATAAATATAATTGATAATATACATATTAATAATAGTAATGATGGTGATAAGATGATTGTAGATAATAGTAATGGTAATAATAATGGTAATGATAAGAGTGGTAGTAATCAACAAGTACAGATACAAGAACAACAACAACAACAACAACAATTACAAGATAGTAAAAAGTTAAATGAAGACGTTGTATTCGAGGATTTCAATAATAATAGTGATCCTTTTGCACAGTACGATCAGGATTATGTACAGTCGGTGTTGGCTTTTGGCTTTGATGAATCGAGGGTGTTGGAAGGTTTGAAGAAATTCCCACATGTCTATCAACAGGAGCGTCTTATCAATTGGATACTCTCGGACGACGTCGTAGATGCACAGAACTTTGACTTTCCCGACTTGGTTCCACTCGGAACTTTCGACGATAGCAGTCATCAACTCGCTACCAACACCGACGACTACGCTGCATTCTCAATGGATTTCAACACTGATGATAATATTGCAAAACAATCAAACAATAACAACAACAATGATAACAACAACAATAATAATAGTAGTTCAAAAGCAATTGTTTTATATGATGTAAATAATTTAAATGTAACATTAAATAATCATAATAATAATAATAATAATAGTAATAGTAATAGTAATAATAATAATGGTGGTGATGGAATAGTAATAGATTCAGATGAGATTGGTAAAGAGAAGAGTAATGTTAATGGTGATGGTGATACTACTAGTTTTATACCTTTGTTGGCAGCTGCATTCGAACAACAACAACAATCTATACCAGGACCAGTAACATTACCACAACCAGCACAACCACAACCAAAGAAGAGAAGAGGTAGAGTTTTAGCATATGAATTGCAACGTTTGTTTTCATTCTTGCAGGTCGGAGAGGTGCGTGCTATCAGTACTGAAGATCTTACCAAGAGTTTCGGTTGGTATGGAAGTGAAGCGTCGGAGCAACAAGACATTCACGAACTCAATCGTATTCTCTTTGACGCCGTAGAACACTCGATTAAACTCACCGCAATCGAGAAGATCATAGTACAACTCTACAGAGGTGTATTAATTAATAGAATTGAATGTACAAAATGCGGAAGTAAGTAATTAATAATAATATTAGTTAGTTAGTTTATTAGTTTGTTAGTTTGTCTTAGTTATTAATATATCTTTTAATATATATTTATAGAAATCAAAGATAGAGAAGAGTTTTATCAAGATATTCCTATTCCTATTAAAGGATTCAAGACGTTGGAAGACAGTCTAAAGGCATTCGTCACTCCAGAGGTGTTGGACGGCGACAATAAATATAGTTGTGACGATTGCAATGAGAAGGTGAAAGCAAACTTTGGTGCTAAACTAGGTCAACTACCACCGATTTTAGTATTACCATTGAGAAGATTCGATTTCGATTATCAAAGAGTAAGTAAGAAACAAAGAACAAGTGTGTGTTTAAGTAATACTGACATCTATGATTATTATTATTATTATTACTAGGGATCAAGAGTAAAGATTACATCACAATTTGAATTCCCAATGGAGTTGGATATGACTCCGTATACATCGGATTACTCGCTGCACGAGAAGAATCCAGATACCGTACCGAAACCAGATGAACAATTGTATGAACTATTCGCAGTGTTAATTCATAGTGGTGGTGCATACGGTGGTCATTATCATGCTTATATCAAAGATATAACTAAACAAGGTGTAATTGAAATTAATCAACCAACAACTGAATCAACAACAGTAACAACAACTACACCTGTTAATTCAGAAACAACAACTACTACAACTTCTACAACAAATGCAACTGAAACATCAGAATCAGCTGCACCACAACAAACTACTAATAGTTTAGAAACAGGTGCAGAGAGTCAACTACCAGTGGAAGTTAAATCCAATGGTCAGAATCATCATGCACAAAAGAATAACAAGTCAAAGAAGAATAAGATTGATGTTCCACATGTATACTCTGGTTGGTTCGATTTCAACGATAGTACTGTCACTCCAATTCCAGATTCATACATTGCCAAACAATTTGGTAACAAAACAGAGAGTGCTTGTATGTTATATATGTTTAACAAATTCAATCAGATCTGATAAACATATTTATTTACTTATTCTTTTTTTTTTAGATATGTTAATTTATAGAAGCAAAGATTTAAAGACAGATAAAAGTAGTGATATTCCTTTGCATTTGGTCGATGAAATGAATCGTTTCAATACCAGTTTGGAGGAGCAGAGAATGTCCTACGATTTGACTATGAATACAATGTTTGTGAATCCAAGATTCTTTAATGAATTTGATATCGTTGACAATGCTCTGGTGGAGAAGAACAACTTGCAACCGTCGGAATTGTCATTGGCATTGGATGTCGGTTTCTCGGTGCAGGATCTCTACAGTCATATTCGCAAGACCTACGAAGATCGTATCGATCACACCTCCAAGCTTGTCATACAAGAGATCATTGTGAAGGAAGGACGTGTCACACTGTTACCACCACTCAGCTCAGTATCCTCGACCAACATCAAAAAGACTGGTTTGAGAGAGGGTTGTTCACTGTTGATATGGCGAGGTGCCAATGCCGAGGGCATAACTACTCCACCCATTAATTTCACTGTTGACTATTATCCTGCGGTTAGAGTTGATGTCAGTGATGCAAGCAGTTCCGTCACCGGACACAAACAACAATTCAATCTCTCCATTGAGAGAGATGCTACTTTCGCAGAGTTGTTGAAACTCGTTGCTCAGAGTTGCCAGCTTCCAGTGGCTAGTTTGGCAGTCTATCGTAATTCCGCCAATCAATTGTTGCTGTTGGAAGACGATATGCCAAATGTCCCATTAATCGACAGAGTCTACAACGGTATCGGTTTGCTCGTGGAGGACAACTCGCTGAAATTCGAGGAGTCTGCGCTTCGTCAGGAGTTTGAGATGAATCGATTCAAAATACAGTTGTATGTGAGCGATCGTATCGATAACATTGATAACGACAACGATTCATTCACAACCAACAAGCCGATTACCATTCACTGCGATCCAAAGTCGACTATCCACCAGGTGAAGGAAATCATTCTCGATATGACAAGACCCGCGGACAAAGCATATCTGCTACGCTCCACCGTCATTAGAAAGACACAACGTGGAGGTTCACCAGGTTCCACCATCTCTGACGATTCTCTCACGCTGAAGGAAGTGGATATCACCGACAGCTCGTTGATTCTCATTGAGAAGGGCACCCCGACGCAGCAGACTATCACCATCCGATTCATCTACTTGAAGGACAAGAGCATAAGAACACTCTACTTCCCAAAGAAAGATACCATTGTCAATTTGAAAAAGACAATGTTGGATCGGTTGGATATCGATGTTGAACAGCTGCCAAACTTTGTTCTAAAGACAACGGATTCATTCGATATGCCACTTAATATCATCTCTGAGGAGGACATGACACTTGAGGAATCGGGATTGCGCTCAGAAGATCTACTGGTAATAACAGAGGGAATCATTCCATCGAAGGACGAAATCATCTTGAAGTTTGGATTGTATCAAGTGGAGAATGCCTACAAACAATATCCTTCACCATCGTCACCGGTCCTCCATTTGAATCCACAGTACAGTCCACTGACATGTGACTTGTTCACAGTGAAAACGGTCGGTGATCTCTCGCTCAACAAGAAGCTCACTATCAATGAGTTGAAAGCAGAGTTGTTGTTATGGCCAAAACTAACAGAGCTATACCCACAGTATGACGCATCGCAAGACGACATTCGTCTGTGGCTGGAGGAGAAGTTGCTCTCTGGACATGGATGTGGAAATAAACAGTTGGCTAAACTACACATTCAACAAGAGGCATCGATCACCATTGAATTCTTCAAGAAGGAGACACTCCCAGTTGTTGAATCCACCAATCCACCACCCATTCTCCTATATCTCCACAAGAGAATACCAGAATCTCAGTGTTTCTCTCATCCACCAAGACAGATCTATTTCACTGGCAAGCTAATCTCTGAACTTCTCACACAAATATCAAGCATTTGTGAAGTTGAAGAGGAACATCTTAAAATCTATAAATATGTCACACATCAACACAACAATCCGTGGCGTATTATTGAAGAGCGTGCAATCAACAACAACAACAATAACAAACAAAATAATAATAATCAGTTATCAATTAATATTCATGATGATTCAACTGAACAATCACCTTCAACATCAGCACAACAAGAAGATAACAACAACAATATGATTTTGGATGGTGATTACAATTCCAATTCAACTGTAAATATTAATGCAGAGAATGAACTACCTATTGATTCTGTAGTTGACGAACCAACAAACAATATCATAAAGACCAATGAGAGTGTTGATGATTCTAGCACCAGTGGTAATAGCTCTAGTACTCTATCGACTGGCAACATTCCACCACCACCTCCACCACGTCCAGAAAAGAAAAAGAAACCCAATACCAGCAATCCAAATGAGCTCCGAGGTAAACCATGGATGCTCAAAGACGGTGACATGATTGCATTCTTGGATCAACGTGAAGATCCTGAACAAAACGATCGATTCGCATTGATCATGGAGAAAAACAACTACAAATCAAACAACTACGGAGCTAACAACAGCAACTCTAGAAAACAAAATCAAACCACCAAATATAGAGCACCAGAAAGAGAATTAAAGATTCAACTTGATGAATATTAATATTAATTAATAAAAATAATAAACTAACCAATTATTATTATTTATTTTTTTACAAATAATAATAATTGAAAATAAACATTTATATGTTCAGCTTTTGCACACAAAAATTAAATTTAACACGTGTTATAAACTGACGACCTGAAAATAAAAAAAAAAAAAAACTTGACAATTCAACCAATTTTTTGGGATTGTGAATTTTCTAACGACATATATTCTATTGTCCTCATCTTTATTTAAGTGTATTATTATCTTTTTTTATCTTTTTTATTTAATTATTATTCTTTATTCAATCATTTATTTTAAACTTAAATATATAATTGCATACATATATATTTAAAATTAGATAAAGTTAAGAAAGATTAATTAATGAACAAACGAACAATAGATAGATAGATAGATAGATAGACAGATAAAATATTAAAGAGAATTAATATAGATATAGATATAGATAGATAGTAAATAGATATATATTATAATGAAAAGATTACATATACTATTTGCTATAGTATCTAGTTTTTGGTTATTAGGTATAGTCGTATACCTGGTGAATACCAAATCGGTGACTGAGAATCTATCACTACCAGATAAACCAGTGTTTCAATGTGAACACATCGATATAGTTTATACTTGGGTCAATGGTAGTGATCCTGTACATATACAATCAAGAGTAGAGAGAACTGGAGGGTAAATATCGAATTAAACAAACTTTGTTACATAGCAACATAGATTATTAATATTAATACATTCATTAACTTAATATTATATAATAATATAACAGTGGTAGTAGATATTCATCACCAGGTAACAATAGATTCCGTGATTTGATGGGATTAAAGTATTCATTGAGAAGTCTGAAAAAGTATGCACCTTGGATACGTAGAATCTTTGTAGTATCCGACAATCAATATCCATCATGGTTCGACAAATCATCAGATGAAGTTAGATTTGTATTCCATAAAGATTTCTTTTTAAACAAGTATGTAGATTGTTTATTATTATTATTATTTCGACAATCTATAGTTATAGTGCATGTATAAACTAATTACTTTTATCAAATTACCTTGTATTTATATAGAGAGGATTTACCAACATTCAATTCAAACTCGATTGAATCAAACTTTTTTAATTTACCAGATGAAGTATCTGATTGTTTTCTTTATTTTAATGACGATATTTTCGTTGGTTCTCCAAGTATGTATAGATATATAGATATATAGATAATCAATAGAGATTGATAGATTGGATATTAATAATAATAATTTGGTAATTATATATTATAGTTCAAATTAAAGATTTCTGGGATCCAACATATGGACAAGCGATATATAAATCATCATGGACAGCACCACAGCCAAAAGAGAAAATGGGTAATATCTGGCACAGATGTATTGCATACACCAACGAGTTGTTGAACGGCATGTGGGGAGTCGATAATCACAGTCGTCACTATGCATCGCACGGTGCCAACTTTTTCAATAAACCGATTCTCAAGATGATGCAACAGGCGATGCCAGAGGCATTCGCCATAACATCGTCGAACCCGTTCCGTCGTGAGAACGATCTACAGATTCCATTCCTCTACTTGCAGTTTGTTCAGCGATACTACGCCACGTTCGAGCCACGTTCGATCAACTACTACGCCCTGATATCGGAGGACTACGACAAGGTCACTTCGGAGTTTTCGAAAATCAACAGTCTCCGTCCAAAGACAGTGTGTCTAAACGATGGTCTCAACGCCGACAATCCAAATCTAAGCGTCATAGAAGCGCTTAGTGTTTTCTTTGAAAACTACTTCCCAGAGAGAGGCTCTTGGGAAGTGAATCAAGATTAATAGTAATAAAATAAAATAAAATAGTAATAATAATAGTCGTGATAATAATAATAATAAGATGGTTTATTTTATTGCATTTGAAGTAACCATGAACGATATTTGGTAGAGCGTAAATTATCACGAATTTGATTGATCAATTCCCATTGGTTGTTTGCTAGAGAAAAAGCAAAATTGTCTCCGTTTCCTTGGATTGAATAAATATAGCTCTGACCGTTTGTTGATTGATGATAAATTAAATCTCGGCTAAAGATATTACCTTTTACTTGGCTTTTATCAAATATTTTCACCTCATAGCTTTCAATATTGATACGATACAAGCCATACACTGATAGAAGATATAGATTGCCTTTACCATCTGTGCATGCCGATCTTGGTGCAGGTGATATATGCATGAGTCTTCGAGGTTGATTGGCGTATGGGATTTCTATTGGTAAGTCTAATACTACTTTGGTGTTTGTGTCGATTCTAACAATCTTTGCCCATGCTGGCGTGAAGAGATAGATAGAATCTTTCAAGATGAATGAAAAAGTTGTAGAATTTGATTTCATATCGATTGTTGTGAATCTTTCGATCGTTGTTTTGTTGATGTTGTATCTGTAGATATCGGTTTTTTGATTATCTTGTCCGTCGAACAAATAGATATGTTCTTTACCGTCAAAGCAAGCCGATACAACAACCTGAAGGTCGACTCCTTTAAAATCAATGAACACAAAAGTTTTGGTAGAGATTGTGTACTTTACTAACCGATTGGATGTCATAACCGAACCACCAAATATATAGATAAAGTCACCAAAATTGATAATCGAGTTCGATTGGTCAAACATATCGTTCGATAGGATATTTTCGAAAATCTGAGCGCTAGAATGAATGTTGTTTCGATCTGTAATATTGACGATTGATGTTCTATGACCTTCAGTTGATAATATATATGATTGGTTGTGTTGCACTGGTAGTAATGGAGCTGATATTATTTGATCTTGTGACATCTTTGATAATCTGAATGATGATTGAATCTGAATTGTGGCTGTATTGATTTGATCATTATCGACAATCAATTGATATTGTTGTGATTTTGATTGTTGATTATCATCATTATCATTATTATTGATTTTAATTGTGTTATTGTGTTCAAGTAATAAATTTAAGAGTGAATGATCATCATTGTTGTTTACTTTGTTGTTTTGATTATCGAAATAGAACAATGTATTGTTGTTCGATGAAATGAATTCATTGTGATCTGAACATTGTGAAATCGATCGAATTATTGTTGTTATTTGATAGTTATCTGTTGTATCTGTTGATAATGATGAGCATGATGATTGTGATTGCGAATCTGATCGATTGGTGATATGATTATTGATTGTGTTCAATGATTTCATGATTTTGATTTGTTTATCGATTTGTTGTTCTAATTGATCTTTGTTTACAATTAGTGGTTTCTTTAATCTATGTTCTTCAACAACAAGGAATTCATGTAATTCTTTGAATTTACTTTCAATCTCTTGTTCTGTTTGTTGTAATTGTTCATATTTCGCAACTTGTAATTTCAAAGAATCGAATGTTGTTTGAATACTGGTTTGAATATCTTTAATTCTATTATTATTATTATTATTATTATTATTATTATTATTGATATTTGCTTTAATATTATCGATATGATCGTATGAATGATGCGAGTGATTTGGTGAACATACAGTACACATCAAAACATTACAATCATAACAAATTAACTCTTGACTCCTGTTATGTATTCCACAGATATTATTTATATTATCCATTTTATTATAACATTCAAAAAAAAAAAATCAATGAAGAATTTTTTAAAAAAAATTACAAATGTAAAAAGTCAAATAAACCAAAATTGTGAAACAAAAATAAAAACCTGCTTTTGCGAAAAAAAGGTGACAGTGGAACAATTCAAAATTAACAAATCAATTTATTATCTTTTCGAAATCGAGATCTCATCTAATAAACTTATAAAATTAATTTTAAAGTATTAAAACTGATATTTGGTCGATTGATCTTCCAACATTTGATCAAAAATAACGTTAAATTTTCTTTGTCTAATCTTTCAATAAGCAAAACTTAAATTTGTAAAAAACACCATCGTTGAATAAAATTTAAAAAATAAAGTTTGTTTGTGCATCATAGTTGGACACAATTTTAAATATTGTTTGAAAAATAAAATTAAATGGGTGTCAAAATGAACCTAAATTTTCAAAGTTGTAAATGATTTATTTTTTTAACATTTCCATTAACATATTAATAATATAGTTTTTTAAAACTATAATTATACTTATCAAAAATGATTTCAAATTGTATTTTTAGAGTAATAGTACCTATTCTTATTTTTTATTATCTTTTGTTCTTTAAAAAAGTAAAATTTGATGACTGTATGTTATATTCTATTACATCTTTGTGTGTCACGATTCCATTTAGAATAGGATTAGAAATTTTAATTTGTAAGGAAAAAAAACAAATAAATAATTTTATAAATTTACTAATTTCAAATGAATATATAGATTTTATTTCATTAATATTCGAACCAACAGATGATATAGAAAATTTACAAAAGGAAGTAATGAAGTGGAAGTATGAGAATGAAAAGCTTAAATTTTCAAATCTGGAGTTGAAATTCAACAAATTTCATCAAGATACCATCAAAAATAGAAACTCTTGCGCAAATGAAAGGAAAGAGAATTTATCATTTATGTCCAGGTTAATAAAATTTTTGTTTAGACGATAGCTATTCATCAAGAAATATAAAGGATAAAATTGTTTATTTCTAAGAATATCCTTAAAATTATATCAAAATAAAATCAATAAATCTAAATCAATATTGTATAGTTTAATATAGATAAACCTGAGTAACATTCTCTTCCCTATTAACTTTTTTTGTGGGAATGTAAGTTTTGAATATAAATTTAATTTTATTACACTAAATAATTTTTAAATTAAAATTTTGCTTTTATCAAGATTGACATTTTTTTGGATTTTGTTTTAAAAATATTAATTATCTTTTTTTAAAAACTTATTTTTTAAAGTTTATTCAATTGTTTTATTTGATTGAAATTAAATTCAAACTTATTTTTTTTTTTTTCTAGTAGTTATTTTATATCATAAATGACGGATTTAGATTTAGTAATAGATAAAATTTTAAAAATATCAGAATATATATTATTCTTTTTTATAATAGTTGGATTGGTAGAATCTATCAAAGGTAAATTTGTTTCTAAAACATATTTAAAAAATTATATTCTAATATTTAGTTTACAAAGGAATACTTTTAAGAATGATAAAAGAATTTTTGATAAAACCCACCCATAAAGATGTGGAAAAACTACAAATTGAGATACTAGGTTTAAAATTAGAGAATACCAAATTAACTAAAGAGAAGAAAGAACTTGAAACTTAAGAAATATCAAATGAACATCATTTTTGTTTTTTAAATCTTTTTGACTCCTCATCTAATAATAAAAAATCTATAGATAGACAATCTTTAGGTTAGTCTATTGATACCTATATTATATAATAAAATACACTTTTTTCTTATTTAATAGTAGATTTAAAATATGAAATGAGCTAAAACACAGCACTGAGAAAAGATTGATTAATTGTCTCCTTTCAAGGTTGCTGATGACTTTGCGGCTACATCGCCAAATTCGACCTCGAAGTTCTAACTGACTTTGTTTAAATCTGCCACTTAGAAAACAATCAAGATATAAGATTACTAGTTTATGATATTTAAATTATATAGAGCTGTACTACCAATCATTGCACCTGACATTTAGCTAATAAATCAAATTAAAATGATACTATTAAAACAAAGATTAGAAGATATTGATAAAGATTCTTTTTAAGCATTCATTTGAGCTTTATTTTTTAATAGTGATTTTAAATCTTCTATTCCTTTACGATGTTTGATTTCTTCTTCTCTGCCACGTTCAAGAATGGATCTTGAAGCTTGCCATAAATCCGAACGGTTACAAATTCTTTCGTATGCTCGGTTGGTGTCATCTTCATTGGAATGCATTGCTGAGAGTATGGCACTGTCGTTACCTCTCATCTCGTCGAGTACCACTTTTCCACGAGATAGAAATCGTTTCGACGATGGACCAGACGGTACACTCTCACCATGCTGCCATAGTAACTCTGTAAGATCTCTGATGTGTCGTTGATGATCCAACATATACTCTTCCAACACCTCTTTACTTCGTTCGTCGGACATATGGTCAATCGATATCTTGTACGATTCGATTGCATCGTAATCACATTCCACCAACTTTTGTAAAGCACTTACAAACGATTCATTATTTGTATTTTTCTCTTTTGTATACATCATACTCATTTCTCTTTTTCCATAATTTGCAATATTATTATTATTTTTATTATTTACAAAAAGATAATTATTGGTATTTACATTTTTATCTTTATTTTTATTATTATTAATATTTGATTTATTTATTAAAATTGAATATGATTTCAATTCCTTTGGAATTGATACTGGTTTAATAAATGATTGTTTAGAACAACTATTTAAAACAGATAAAAGTGTTTTATTCATTTTTTTGTTTTTTAAAAAATTTATATACAAATTATATTTACATATATTTATTTTATTTATAATATTAATTATTGAAAATACATGATAATATATATTTGTTTTATAATAATTAATTATATTTTTTTTTTTAGATTATTCCTTTTCCATAAATCTTAAATTCTAAAAAAAGAAAAGTTTTTATGGTGGGTGTGGTATTTTTTTTTCTTCGAAAAAAAAAGACAAATGTTTGTTGATTATTATCTATAAAATACAAAGATAGATAGATAATTTTAACAATGTACAAGATGATTTAAATATAGTTATTTACAAAGGGTTGTTGATTATGTGAATATTTTCTGTTTGTTTGTTATTTCTACTCTGCATGTCGGACATTTGATGAGTGTATTTGCGCACGTGTTGCAACAGTTGTAATGTAAACACGGTGAAAAGAGAGTGTTTCTCGAACGTTCTTGACAGACTATACAGAGATTTCGTTCACTGATGATCTTTGTTATCTCTGAAGACTTCTTTGTGAGTACGGAGCTGAGATTCGTTAGTTCATCGGTGGTCATCTTTGCCAACTCCTCTTTGGAAACCTGCCAAAATGGTGGTTTATTCATATGATCCTGTATCATCTTTAAATGACCATTCTTCTCTTCGTTCATTTTAACTATCTCTTCGTTTAGCGTAGCCATCTCTAGTTTCAGTTTTGCAATCTCTTCCTCTTTTGTATTACTAAATAACTTTTTAAACATATCTTTGTCAAGTTGTTAAATATTAGTATCGATTATTAATATTATTATCAGTTTTTAAACATTTCTAAAAACTTTTGTTTATCAATAAATACTTGAAAATACTATTAAAGTTAAAAAGACTATGATAATTGTGATAAACACAGACATAGATGTATATCATTGATTTTGAATCATAAAAATATTTATTTTCTGAAGCATAAGTTGTGTGTGGTTTGTCATAATAAAAACTTAGATGTTTAATTTTTTAATAAATACTTTTGTAAAAAAAAAAAAAAAGATAATTAATACTTTTATATTATATAATTACCATTATTATAAAAGAGATATCAAACAGTATGTGTTTAGAATAACGAACGAGATTAGTAAATAGATTACTTTATAAGTTCAATATTGTGCTAGTTTAAAGTTTATAGCAGAGTTTGTAAGTAATGTGCGTAGTGATGTAATATATTTAAAGTTTTGTCTTAATAGAATATCTTACTAACTGGTCTTGACGTACAGATGAGATGACAAGTAAAATACAATATACTATCTAGATATTTCGATATGATAGCAGCATAAGCACTATGATTATGATTGTTCATTCAGCTTTAATGTGAATGGTAGATTGTTAGTCGAGACATTGTATAGTCTAAGTTGTTTAAATTGGCAAAGCGAGTGAACATGGCTACCACAAAGTTTGGTTAGATTGACGTTGGAATGCAATTTATAGACTTGACCAATGCTATATTATAGCATGACGCTGCCGCTCAAGAATAGAAACATACAAGATCGTTCGAGTGTGACAGTACATTTAAAAAATAATCGATAATATTATAGAGATCGAAATAAAACCTTTTATACAGATCTGGCATATTTATAGTTGTTTTTGAACCACTGGTTTTTTTTTTAGCGAAAGTTTTTTGATTACTGACTTTAAAATCATTTGTTTATCACAAATTCTTCGGTTTTTTTCAAATATAATGGAAAAAGATAAATTCTTAAAGATATTTAACAATTGTGTTTTAAATAGATTAATATTCAAACATGTTAAGAGTATACATGATGTTATTGGTGGTGTTAGATATAGATGGTCAGATCTAATTAAGAATCCACGAGTAATGGCTGGTTATTCATATTTAAATGAACTTAAACTCTATTATGAAGATCATTCTATTGGTAGTTTACAAGCAAATGATATATTTAAAGCAGCAATAAAAACTGGAAACATCGAGATATTGAAATATTTGGTGGATTTGGCAAAACCAATATCAGTATCGTCACCTTTCTTCCGAAGTATTTTCGATATGATACTATGTGATGCAGTCATATATGGAAGTTTAGAAATGGTCAAACACATATGTACAGAGTTTGAAAAGAAGAGATTGAATTTCCATCCTGCATTCGTTAGATCACCACTCTCTGGAGATATCGAAATGATAAAGTATCTCAACGAAAAACTGGAGAATTGTGATTTCAACAACAAATCAAAGAGATATTTCATATTTGACTATGCTGCAGAGAAAGGTCGAATCGATATCATTGAATGGTTGTTCGAGAATAGATCAGAATATAGAGAAGGAAGTAACATGTATCTTAGTGCAATTAAAGGTGGACATCTCCATGTCGTTCAATATCTACTCGATATCAATGAACCTATCAAACAAACTTCACATCCCGATCATAACACATTGTTTGACGAATCAATATTTTTCAATCAATTGGAAATTGCAAAACTATTACACCAACACAATATCAGAGAATCACAATCGACACCAATTGATTATGCAGCATCACATGGAAATATTTCAATGTTGAAATGGTTGAATGAAAATACAACTGTCAAAGCAAGTGTGAATGCTATGAGCAATGCAGCAATGAACAACCATTTAGAAGCTCTCAAATGGTTACATCAACACAGAACTGAAGGTTGTAGTGATGATATATTTAGCGCTTTGTCTCGTAAAGGTCATATTGAAGTTATACAATGGTTATATGAGAATCAAAGTAATGTACTTCAATCTCAACTATCAATCTATGAAGCTATTAGCTATGGTCATTTAGAACTCGCCAAATGGTTGTTTGAAAATCGAAATGAGCCACCATCTCCATTTGCAGTAGGTTTACTAGCAATGAATGAATCAGAAACTCACAATTTGGAAATGATCAAATGGTTGCATGAGAATCATCCAGTAGGATTTACAGAAAATACAATTTTATATACAATCGAAAATGGTCATTTCGAAACAATGAAATGGTTGCGAGAAAACAGAACTGATATTTCAAGTTTGAAACAGTTGAACTTGAATAATATCTACACAGGAGATGAAGAAACAATCAATTGGTTATCAGAGAACTTTAATATCGATTGGAATAAAATTATTAAAAATGAAGTTAGAAAAGATAATTCAGAAATGGTTGACATTATTATCAAAAAGAATCTCGTTACTATCGATTCTATTGCAAATAATTATAGCTCATCATCATTTCATTTTTTAAGTCTCATGATGGTCAAATGGTTTCACAACAATAAAATCCAAAGTGTGTTCAATGACAAGTCAATGGAGAATTCAATTAGAGCAATGAATTTCCCACTTGTAAAATGGCTCTATGAAAACAGAAGTGATTGTCAATGTTCTAGCATAGGTTTTCAATCGGCCATCCAAACTGGACATATGGGAATGATTGAATACCTCTTGGCGAAACATCCAGAGTTTGGTCATCAAACATCTTTAACCAAATGCTTGGAAATGTATTTTCGAAATGATGATATCGAAATGATTGAATTCCTTTTCGACAAGATCGACTTCCCATTGGATGAACTGAAGGCATTTCAAAAGAAGATAAAATCCTCAACACTATCTGATAATTCAAAAACACTTTTGAATAACCATATTCAAAAGAAAATCAAATTCGAAATTCATTCCAGATCTGGCTTTCAGTAAGTTACCTATCATCTGTTGGTGATAAATCAAGATCAGTTAGTAAGATAAGAATTGATTGTAGAATGACAACACTCTATACATCAATAAAAAGTACAAACACATTACATACAAGTGTATGCTATAAACTAACAAAATATCGAAATACCTCCCTATCACTTGTTACAATTTTTCTTTGCTATTCTACTAGTAATAAATCTATTTTATTGTTGATCAATCATAACTAATATAATTTGATTAGAAACACGCTGCACTTTTAATAGGTATGATATGATGTATTAATAGAAAAAAAATTAAAACAAAAACCGAACTGTTGACGATCGGTTAAAAAAAATTCATGATAAAAAAACATATAACTTTTTTTTTTGTTAGTTTTGTTCTTTATTTCTATTTTTCTTTACTATTTCGAATAGAATGGAAAAAGATAAATTCTTAAAGATATTTAACAATTGTGTTTTAAATAAATTAATATTCAAACATGTTAAGAGTATACATAATGTTATTGGTGGTGATAGATATGGATGGTCAGATGTTATTGAGAATCCACGAGTAATGGCTGGTAATTCATATTTAAATGAACTTAAACTCTATTATACAGATAATTCTATTGGTAGTAATGATGTTAATGATACATTTAGAGCAGCAATCAAAAGTGGAAACATCGAGATGCTAAAATATTTGGTGGAGTTGGTTAAACCTGTATCTGGTAACATAATTAATTTCGATATAATCTTACGTGATGCAGCGAAACAAGGAAGTTTAGAAATGGTCAAACACATGTGTACAGAGTTTGAAAAGAAGAGTTTGGATTACCGTTCTGCATTTAGCAAATCACCACTCTCTGGTGATATTGAAATGATCAAGTATCTCAACGAGAAACTGGCTATGTCTGATCATAAAGAATTTGACTACCTCTATGGTTATAAATCTATTTTTTATTATGCAGCAAAGATAGGTCGAATCGATATCATTGAATGGCTGTTCGAGAATATATCTGATGATAAAGCTGAACGATATTTATATTATGGCGCAATTAAAGGTGGACATCTCCATGTCGTTCAATATCTCCTTGATATCAATGAACCTCTCGGTATCCAACAAACTCCACAACATAATGGTACATTGTTTGACTATTCAATCGTTTACAATCAATTGGAAATTGCAAAGCTATTACACCAACACAATATCAGAGAATCACTATGGTCACCAATCGATTATGCAGCATCAAAAGGAAATATCGAATGTTTGAAATGGTTGAATGAAAATACAACTGTCAAAGCAAGTGTGTATTCTATGAACAATGCAGCAATCAACAACCATTTAGAAGTTCTCAAATGGTTACAACAACATCGAACTGAAGGTTGTAATACATCAGTAATTCGTGATGTGTCTCGTAAAGGTCATATTGAAGTTATACAATGGTTATATGAGAATCAAAGTAATGTACTTCAATCTCAACAATCAATCAAAGAAGCTATTCGCTATGGTCATTTAGAACTCGCCAAATGGTTGTTTGAAAAACGAAATGAACAACCAAGTGAAGATGCAATAGATTATGGAGTAAAGAATAAATCAGAAACCCACAGTTTGGAAATGATTAAATGGTTGCATGAGAATCATCCAACTGTAAGATGTACAGAACAAGCTATTTTAAATGCCATCGAGAACGGTCATTTCGAAACAATGAAATGGTTGCGAGAAAACAGAACTGAGATTTCAACTTTGAAAATACTTAGCTTGATAGTTATTAACAAAGGAGATGCAAAAACAATCAATTGGTTATCGAAGAACTTTATAATCGATTGGGATTTTGTAATTAGATATGCAGTTAGAAACGATAATTCAGAGTTGGTTGACATTATTATCAATCAGAATCTTTGTACTATCGATGATTTTGACAATGATTGTATCACAACAGCATTTTACCATGGATATCTTAAGATGATCAAATGGTTCTACAACAACAATATTCAAGGTGTGTTCAATGAAGAGTCAATGGAGTATGCGATAAGAGGATTACAGTTCCAACTTGTAAAATGGCTCTATGAAAACAGAAGTGATTGTCAATGTTCATTCAATGCTTTTCAATCAGCAGCCATCAAATCTGGACATATGGGAATGATTGAATACCTCTTGGAGAAACATCCAGAGTTTGGTCATCAAATATCTTTGGAGAAATCTCTTGAGAATTATTTAAAAGAAGATGATATCGAAATGATTGAATTCCTTTTGGACAAGTTCGACTTCCCATTGGTCGAACTAAAGGAATTTGAAAAGATCATAAATTCCAAAAAAGAATATTCTGATATTTCAAAAACACTGATGACCATATTCAAAAGAAAATCAATTTAACACCAGATTGTATTTTATTTTAAAATTAATAAATAAAAACAGAGATATTTAATCACATTTGTTTTAGTAGTATAGAAAACATCTCTTTTATCCATGGGTGTCGCGGAGAGCGGTACTTCAACAGTACAGATTGTGCATATTCCAAGCTTAAAGTGTTGTCGGTATGTGAAGATACGCAGAAGAATAAGGATTGTAAAATGGTATTTAAATTATTCACATATTTTATATGTTAATCGGTAGTATTTTTTGATTTGATTGATCAACGTAGATGTACGCTTTTATACTTTTTTTTATAAAATTATTTATATTTAAAATAATATACTTCTTTATCAAGAAAATCAAAGATTGAAATGATGGTTATGATTTAAATCAAATTGAAATGAAGGTGGTTTTATTCAAAAAAAACACTTTGGTGAAAGTTCCCACAACCAAAAAAGGATATTCAGATTTTTTGATGATCATCAATCATCTTTGAAGAAAAAACAAAATTTTTTTATTTAAATTATCTTTTTCTTTTTTTTTTTACTTTTACCTTAGATTATTATTTTTTTTATATATTTTATTTATTTATAGTTTAAAAATATGAATAATGTTGATAGTATCTATCAAAGAATTGATGGATATCTAGTTAAATTACATCAGTCGGTTGGTGGTACTACTTCTACTTCTACTACTGCTACTACTGCCACTGCTGCTATAACCAGTGCTAGTGGTGGAAATAGTAATAACTTCTCGGCAATCGATAAAGATGGTATGTTGATTGAACAACTCTCGAATGTCGTGCTGAAAGAGTTGGCAGAGGATGAAATCGGAGTGGCAGCGTCGCTCTTGTTCCACGGTGATCACAACCTCCTCAAATTCCTAGAGCGTTCGGTGCTAATAAACACCAAGGATATGATCAAGCTGAAAACCAGTATACTCAACCTCATCTCGAAACTGATCAAATCGTTCAAGTTGCAAGTGGCCGACTATGTCGTACCGATCAAGAGTATCTGCATCTCTCTATTCCGACGCGATCAATCACCCACCGTTCAGGCGGCGACATTCGAACCGATCCAAAAGATACTCCACATGAAACTGACAGACAATATCAATCCCGAAGTTTTCGGTGTAAGAGAGATGTCCGATTTGTAAGTATTATTATGCTTTGTTGAACAATAACAAATATATATGAACTAACTAACCAACCAACATAATAATATTAATTAGATTGTTATTACAATTTACATGTGGAAAGTTAACACAAACAGTTAAAGCAGAGTTGCTGGAAACCGTTGGATTGTTCACAGAGTATTTCACTGGAATCATGTTTGATAAGAGTGCCCAGTTGATATCGATATTCATGGAGACACTCGGTAGTCAGCTAAAGTCAAAGACACCAGAGACTTTTCTCATCAAATCATCACTCCTCGGTTTAAATAGTTTATTATTAAACTTTTCATCTGATTTCATTTCTGGTATGTTTGTTGTTTATTTGTCTAAAGTTATTCTAAAGTCGTTTATCAAATTTGAACTAATAATTATCTTTTTATATATAGGATCATCAAAGAATGTACAATTATTATATCAATATCTTTATATATGTTTGGATCCAGTTTCATCGAGTCAGAGATTCGATATTCCTAGAGCGGCAATGATGGTTGTACAAAGACATACCTCGCTTTTCAAACAGTATCTAACGGAGCAGAGTGAGAAGTTCTTTGCTCGTCTCGAGGAATGGTGTAAACATATCAACAAGAAGAATCGTGATCTTGCATTCAACACAATCGATTCATTCCTTCAGCAAATAGCAAACGAACTAACCGTCGGTAATCGTAGTATAGAAAGTGATCAAGCAACATTCAAAGTAAGTATAACTAACAACTATATATAATAACAAACTTATAGATTATTATTATTAATATGTAAAACTATAGTATTTCATTAGAAAGTTTTATTCTATCTTTGAAAATAACAATAGTACACCATTTGATATCTCGATTGCCATTCGTGGTTGTGGTAGATTCGCAGCACCCGTAAAAGCATTCATCGGAGAATGGGAATTGAAATCACTTCTCGGTTCACTATTCAAATTTTCAGAGAAATTAATGGTTGTGTAAGTAAATTTATATATAGATAGAAATGATGTATGTTAAAGTTACTAATAATGGTATAATTTTTAGTAAACTAGAGAATATAGATGAAATAGTTATGCATTTATCAAGTTTTATCAATGCTTTCTCAAATATTTTGTTTGAGATTAAAGATATAGAGTATTGGTATATGGAGCATTTGGAACAGGCAGTTGCAACCTATTTCATTATATTCCCATACTTATTTACGGTGCAACGTGAGCGATACTATAGTGCTGTCAATAGGTTGTTATCATCGCTCTATCATAGACCAGAGTTTTTAAAGACGCTGCTCGGACGTATTGTAAGACAAGGTTTACTGATCACCTTCTCGAAACCACACGAAGCGTTACTCCCACATCTAAACACCGGTGACACACCTTGGTATGAAGTATACAAAGAGGTGTGGTATCATCTATTGCATCCGAAACCATCTGATATTTCACGTGGTATTCAAATGGAAGTGGAACAACATGTTGTACAACAAGTAAAACAAGAAGAAGGTGAAAAAGAAAAAGAGAAAGAGAAAGATAGTATTTCGATATCAACATCCGAAGATATTATACAGTTACTTTATAATGAAATAGTTCAAACAATGATAACTTTCATTCGTAAATTGGACTTGAGTTATTCGACTAAAGAGGAGGAAGAAGAACGTCAGGAGAAAGAGAAAGAGTTAAAGAAACAACAGGTTAAAGATAAAGACAAAGGTGGAGAAGAGGAAAAGGAGGAGGAGGAACAACAAGAAGAAGAGGATGTTACTATGGAAGATCAACAACAGGATGGATTGTTTAATATTGGTGAGGATACGCTGAAACCATCAACACCCAAGGATATAGAGTTGTTCTTGAATCTTGTGGAATTCTCAAAGTTATTCCTTGCAAGACAACATACGAATTTGTTGACTCGTTGGATCTATATCTTTGGCAAAGAGATCATCTTTGGCTCGAGAAAGTATCCTCTTATCTCTGGATTCTACAAATTACTACATGTATTATTAAAGGTTGCCAAGAAAGTCAATTATTTCGGATTCATCGATGGATCAAACAAATCATCTTCTTTAGATGCCAATGGTGGAGAGGATGATAGTATGGAGATTGACAGTGGTAAAAGTTCAATACCGGCAGACGAGTTAGAAAACAAGAGAAATTGTTTCAAACTGTTTGCCAAGTTCTTGAAGGAGGTGGAAGCTGCCTCAACGCAATATAAAGATGAGCTGCTTGCTTCGGTGATCCAGTTGCTGCTCTCGGTGCCAAAGCAATTGGTGAATATTCCAGTGTTGATTCCGACGCTCTCCACTGCCTTCCGATTGGGTCTTTCCTATTTGAAACTCGGACACGTCGGTCTGAATACCATTGAATATTGGCTGAGTGTATTGCCTGAGGAAGTGGATGCTCATCTTTATGCTATACTGCCGGCACTGTCCGACTACTTTTTAATCTCTACAACCAATACCTCCAGCTCCAACCAGGAATCGGCCAACTCGAAAACTGGCATGTTGATGGGACGTGGCGCTGCACCGAGGATGAATACTAAATCCATTGATTTCGTAGATCCTAAGCTGCTGGCACAGCGGACCGTTGTCGAGGAGATGCAAACTAGGGTGATAAGAATTCTCGGTAAGCTCGGTGGACAGAACTACCATTTGATGGGTAGCGTCAACTTGATGGCGCCGGGCACAGAGAGTGGCGTCGCCTGGGATACAATCTCGCGTATTCAACTTCAGATTCCACTGGGTGATCTCAATGGTGTTTCAATCTATCTCGACAGTGTATTGCCTGTAATCGTTACGCTGGCAACACGTTCAACACATCGACAAACCAAGGTAGTTGCATGTGAGTTGCTTCACTCCATCGTTTTGTATATGGTTGGAACGAATAGCGGTGGATCTTTCCATAGGTTGTATCGTCGTGTCTTTCCAGCGTTGCTGAGATTGGCTGTCGACGTTGAGGTCGTAGCAAGACAGTTATTCTCACCGTTAATTATGCAACTGGTTCATTGGTTTACCAAGAATGTTCGTGCTGAGAACGATGAAACAATGGCATTGCTCAACTCGATTATCGACGCTGTCAACGGTGAGGACGGTGCACTTCGTGAGTTTGGTGCGCGTGCCCTCGGTGAATTCGCATCGTGGTCACTCAAGCATGCACCAACAACGAAATCAACAGCCAACGAAGCAAGATCCGCTTTCAATTTCAAGTCATTACTGAAGCGTGTCTACTCACTTGCCGCACATCCTTCAGCACAGACGAGAATGGGAGCAGCAGCGTCGTTACTCTCGCTGATTCGCGTGATGCGAGAAGACGACAATCTCATTAGTGTCTTCCTCTTTGAGATCGCACATCAAGTACTGTTGTCAATGAGATTGTGTGGCGCTGTTGCAGATGAAGGAGACGACACCACTACTCTCGAAGTGGAAGTCGGTGAGAAACTGCAGGCGGTTATCGACGCCGTTGTCCGTGTCATAGAGAGACGAGCGGAGCTGTTGAATCGCACCAATAACAATCGTAGAGAGCACAAAGATCTCGCGGATTTCGTTGGTTGGGTATTCGGCGAGGTTGGACGTATGGAGCGTCGCGTTAGATTCACTTCGATCGCACTGTTTGGCAGAGTAGTTCAGCTGCTTCCCGGACAGAAGCGCGCCAACATTTGGATACAACATCAAGTGAAACAACATGGACTCGCTGCGCTGATAAAGATGGCAGAACCACCACAAACCGCAAGTGCTATGCCACCCAAGCTCGATGGCAACAATCATCGACATGTTGAATTCTGGATGCGACGTCTACAGGCATCGTTGGCAGTGTACATATGGTATTTCGGTGAAGGATTTACCGATCCCGTTGCCATCTCTAAAGACGGTTCGTCGCGAATCATAAGTAATGCATTCTATGTGTTTTTGAGTGAGTATGCATTGGTGGATCAGAGTCATCCGGCAATGGCATCGCTTACTCCACGTGAGATAGACCAATTCATGACGCTAAAGTGTCAGACACTCGAACATGTCTATGCTCTCTTCTCAATGTTGCTAGAGAAGTATAACTACTCACAGGTAATGGAAACCGGTGGTTTACAATTGCTACGAGTTGTCGGTGTTAGTCTATTGACACCTGCAGTTGTTGGCTATAGAACTATTGACAACAACAACAACGCTAGCAACAGCGGTAACAACAAACAAGTTAATGAATTACCTTTGAACTTGATAGTGGATCGTGTTTGTCAATTGATTGTTAATCAAGGTGATAAATATCGTGATACTTTAATAGGTTATCTAGGAGAGATGATTAGTAGCAGCAGTTGTAATCTAGGAGAGATAGGAGTGTTGATTACAACCGAAGGAACAGACCGTCTTGTTAGTTTGATAAATGGATATAATATACTTCAGAAACAATCGATACTCGATGTAACATTGAAGTTTGCCAAGCTATCGTTGCCGGCAATGACATCGACATTGTTTGACTACTTGAATGAGCATGTCGATAACATCACACCCGCTCATCTCATTGTCTACAAAGAGATATTGGTATTCATATTATCGACAGGTCATATTCAACCATCTAAATTACTAGAATATCTGTTACCACCAATTAAAGTATTAACTAAATCGACCACTACAACTACAACAACATCATCAACAATAACTGATAAACAATTAGAAGAAGAAGAAAAGAGACAACAAAAACAAATTGAACATCAATCAAACTTTTACAAGACATATCATTCCGAGTTGATTGAATACATTTCAAAGAACTTTGAATCGTTCTCACCGCTATTCATCGATAGAATCGTTCAAACCAATCATATCGATACTATACTCAATGACATCTGTATATACAAACAAACAATACAATTTAATAACACAACTGATAAGCAATCAAAGAAGAATGATATGAAATCAATTGTAAGTATAATAAAAATAGATAGTTATTATAAATATTAATTACTAACTCCCTTATTTATATAGATGATACCATTCCTTATAAAGATATCATCACATCTTCTTAAAGATGTTGGAAAGACAACTGACAAAGAAAACATCATTGAATTCACAAAGAATTTGATTAATATCGATACACCAACATTCTTTGAAACTAAAGAAGGTTATGACTTTGTATATCAACTATTAATCAACTATCTCAATAGATCCAACTCTTTGGCATTTAAGAACAAAGCACTTGTATTATTACCCGATTTATTATTATTCCCAAAGCATCATAATTATAATTTAGTAAGTAAAAACAACAACAACATCTACAACTACAACAACAATAATCATTCAATCAATCAATATATCTTAACAATCAAACATAACACGATATTAACTTTATTAATTAAACTTAATAGATTCAAGAGAAACTTAATGAGATTGTAGTATATGACTTCCCACTTTCATCTAAAGATTTAACAAAAGGATCACCAATGTAAGTATTAATGATGAGATAAGATAGATTTAACTATGTTATTCTAACAAATCAATTATAGTTATAATGAATATATTACTACGATTGAAAGATTTTTAAATACTTTGGAGATTACTTGTAATCCAATGATTATCGATACTTTGTTGCAGGTGTTGAAGGAACAAGATCACAGTCATATCACTCATATCAATCAGTCGATTGAGAGATTCATTGTTCGTACTAATGACAGTCAAGCCAAGGAAGTGTTCTCTCATTGCTTTGCTATGTTTATGAGTAACGACTATCAAGATGAACTAAAGATAACGTTGATCGACAAGTTCTGTGTTCCTCTCATCGGTCACATGAAACAACAGGTTCTCATTCAGTTGTTTGCTCAGCATCTTTCATCGTTGATGTCTATCATCCAACCGCTTGCACCCAAGTACCTAGCGACTGCAATCGAACGTAAATCATCGGTGGTAGAGAAGATCTGTTGTTTCAAACTGACCCAACAGTTCTACGAGTCGTTGCCAGCCACTGTCATACGTGACCAAGTCAACCCTTACTTTACAGGCGACAAACACGATGCCAAAGGCACGGAATTGACAGCAGCCATTATGAAAGCAGCACATCTTGCTAAATCTGAGAAGTTGGCAACCGATGAACAACATGTAACACGTGTACTCGCCACCAAGTATCACGGTGCCGCCTACTCGGCGTTGGCGAGCGTCGTCGCCACCACACAAACCAAAGAAACATTCTTCCACGTATTCTTCTTCAAGGAGAACAAAGAGAAGAATGAATATCTCTGGGAGAACATCATCGATCTCGAACAACAATACAACTTTGAACCGGAAACAAACTTCCAAATCTCCAGTCAACTCAGTAGCGCTGTCGCCAACAGTCAGTCACGCGACCTCAAATATCTATCTAGTCAATATCTTCAAGATAGTAGTTTATCTCAATCTTTAGATGTAGATACTAGTTCATCAACAACTTCTACTTCTACTACAACAACTTCAAATAATAACAATCTAAAGATTGTTGCAAGTGCAATGAATATGCCGATTGAACTTGATAAGATCAATAGTAATCCTTCGATGCAACCGATGTTGAAGATTATCGATATCTATCAAGAGAGATTCAGAGAGTCGATAGATCAATCACCTAACGATATGCCGAAATGGATGAATGAGTTGTATCTCAAAGTAAAGAATGACACTAATCTTCATCCAAATATTCTTATCTTCATATTGAAGGTGATAATCAACCGACAACAATACTTTTATCGCTATCACAAACAATGGACACCTATTCTCATTGAATACGTCATCTCTAACCAAACCGGTGGTCAAGGTATTCACTACTTCATTCGTGACATTGCAATGCTACTCCTAAGCTGGCCAAACATCTACCAAGATCAAAAACTAGATCAATTAGATACATTATCAAAATCAAATATATCTAAATTCATCGTATGTACAATACATCAATATTATACAAATATCAACTAATTACTAACTTGTTGGTTTAGAATTTCTTAATACAAAACTCTTATTGTGCAGATAGACAAATCTTGAGAAACAATTTGAATATTCTAAAGTTGTTTGTTGAGAGATGGAAAGGTTTGTTTAGCGTAGAGAAGAAGTCGATTGTCGAAGCATTGGCGACACCCGTTACAAACTTTAAGAGTAAAGCAAGACAAGTTCGATCGACAGCACTCATTCAACTATCGATATTGTTGAGTAACGGTTATGCTGCCTACGATAAAGAGAACGATAGTGAAATCTCTGAATTCAAATTCTATCAAATTCTAATCGATTGTCTGACAGAGTACAAAGAACTCTACGATGCTGCCTCTGAAATCTGTGGTATGATATTACAATTCAATCATAAACATAACATTCAATCTGTATTTGAGAAATTATTAAAAGATAAGGTAAGTTATATATTTATATTTAATCATAACATATAACAATTGTTATTAATAGTTAATTATAACCAACTAATCATTCATTTTCTTTTATAACTACTACTACTATCTATAGATATCTTCTTTCCTTAGTCAAAGTGATTATCAAAGAGCATTGAATTGTCTATACTTTATTGGATTACATCATCCATCGTTCATTCTTCAATTCCAACTTAAACTACTCAATATCCTACCGCAGTTGTCTAATGAGATTAGATTGGTTGCATTCAATGTCATATATTGGATTGCTGATGATATACCAGAGTTATTTATCAAATTGAAATCTGCAAATCTAGATAGTCTTATTAGAATAAGGTAATGTTAAACAAAACTAAACATTACAAACATGTTTACTTTAACTTACTAACTAATCATTCATACATCATCCATTTAATTAATTATTACAGAGAAGAACAAACACAAATTATCATTCTAAAGATTCTATTCAAATTGATAAAGAATAACTATACAACCGATCAAACACTTTTACAAATTATCAATCTTTTATTAGATTGTCGTTTCAATCAAAGTCCAAATGAAACATGTAGAGTAAGTGTTTATTTTATAATATATATTGATAAATATAATATTTGCTAATGTATATGTTTTTGTTATTGTTTAGTTATTGTATTATGATATCTTTATGTGGATACATGATTATCTTGAGAAAGATGTAATCGATCAGAATCAAATTAGATTGACTTTATTGATAGGTTTGTCAGATGATTCCGAAGCGGTAAAGAGAAAGCTGTTGGAATTCTGGGATACCAGTAAGGAGTTGTCGCTGTCCACTGTTCAACGATTGATGCAACTGTTTGAGAAGATGTATACCAAGGAAACGGAATCACAATGGCTCGGCTATTGTTGTAGTTTGCTACTTCAGTTGTGTACGAGATCGTCGGATTTCACAAAGCTGCTGTTTGACAAACCACTCTCTGAATGTACGTTCCGTGAGTACAATCTAGACGCATCGTGGCAAAACCGTACATCCAATATGAATCCACTGTTCAGTTCATCGCAACTCGATGAAGAATCTTCACAGCTCCCTACGTTCGATGGCGACAACTTTGGACCGCGTGCAACTCAGCTGCCGATGTTCTCACTGACACAATCGTCATTCAGTCAGTTCTACCCGTCGGGATCTTCTTCTTCCTACTCGGAGCTATCATCTTCACAAGAACAATCTTCTTCGGCAACAACATCGACAACATTCAGTGTTGGCTCCGCTCCCGATTCTTCACAATCTGGTAAAGCTGGCAACAAGAGAACTGTAAACAATAAGCCTGAGGATAAAGCTGGAACTTTCAAGGTACCGGCCAATATTGATCCACGTGTCATGGAGATGAGAAACCGATTCAAGAAGAAGGACAATCGAACTGACGGTGAGAGAAATGCTGCTTTCGCTAGGCTGGCCGTAAAGAAGAGTAAGGATCGGGATGAATTGATGTCGCGTGCCAAACAAGCTCGTGAGAATCAAGTGACAATGTTCCGTAAATATCGTTCCGGTGAACTTCCAGACATCCAGATTAAACTACAGGAAATTCTACGTCCACTTCAATCGTTGTGTCAAATGGATCACCATGTCGGTACCTCTGTATTCTCACTGTTGTTCACAACTATCTATCAACATTGCCCACGTGACCAAGTCAACAAATTCAAGAGCAGCTGTAAGCAATCGATTGAAAAGATTATCGATTCTAACGCTACCAACTCTGCACTCATTCTCAGTCTGTTGAAGATTGTGGAGAAGAATCTCGAGTTGACACCGTCACCCGCCAGTATCGCGAGTGCATCGAACGCCAGTGGAAATCATCCGATGGGTATCATTGTTATTGAATCAATCATCGAGTCATTGCTTCCAACTAAACCATCGTCGAAACAATACGCACAGAACCAAGCGACTATCAGTGAATCTTGGGATCATCTTCGTGAGTTGTATCACGCGCTGAAAGAAGAGGATATCGTACTGGGACTGTTGGAACGACAAATGGGTGAGTTACCATATACCAAACGCGCGTTGGAAGCAGAACTTTCAAACGATTGGGTTGCCGTACTCAAAGCATACGACGACGGTATGGCAGCGTTGGAATCCGGTCAGCTTGCCATTACACCATCGGCACGCGAGACGTCGCTCTGGGAGAACGGACGTCTACAATGCTACGAGTCACTCAGAGAGTGGAGCAATTTGAAAGCAAACTTTATCGCCTATTATCCAGGTGGTCCGCAATCGGTATTCGAAGAACAAGATGAAGCAACTCGTCACGAGATGATGTCTCACTTTTTGCAATACAGTTTGAAGGTGAAGGAAAACTGGCCCGATCTCTACCAGTTCATGGGCTCGCTGACACCGTCACAACACCAATATATGGAATCGTCATTCCCAGGAGAATTGGCATTCCTTGAAATCACAAGATCCGATTTCAATCGTTCACAATACTATATCCAGAAATTCTACAGGCTGTTCCGTGACCAATGGGCATCGACTCATCCTCTGGCACTGGCAAGTCGACACCGTATTCTACAACCCATTCAAAAGGTGGTGGAAGTCGAAGAATTCTTGGGATTAGTGACGAATGATAAACGTGCAATTGAAGTTGATAAGATGGAGAAGTTGGTATCACTATGGAAAACAAGATATCCATCGTCATTCGATGATATTCTCGTGTGGGACGATCTCGTTAGTTTCAGAAGTGTCTTGCTCGAGAAGATCTATGAGAGATTCATCGGACAGAACAACAATGACGAAGCTAAAGAAGATGGCGTAAAGAATCTGCTGATTCGCGAACGTGCAGAACTCTATCACCAGATGTCAAAAGGTGCAAGAAAACTTGGAAATATCATTGTCTCCGAGGCTTACTTCCGTCTCGCCGTCAAGAGCTATCCAAAGACCAGAGAGAATGATCTAGCATTCCCACTGGTTAGCTCACTCATCAAGATCTATTGTCTGAAAGCAAAAAACAGTACTACCCAAGTGGAAACACTCGATCGTTTCATTAAGGCACTGAAATTCGTTGAGTCGAAATCCGATGAAGATTCCATCAAGAACAATCCCGATAATTTGCAGCGTTACAAACGTTTGCATGGTAACATTCAATGGGAGATCTACCAACTCGATCAAAAACTAGGTTCAAACCTTGTAATGGAGAATCTAAAGAAGAATGGATTGACCTCACTCTCCTCACTTCCAACCACCAGACTCTCAAGTGAGTTATTCTCATTGGCCTATCAATCATACAGTCAAAGTATTCAACTTTATGATTCCAACAGTAACAACAACAATGATACTCATAAATCAAAGAGTGCTTACCTTCAATTCGGTAACTTTTGTGATACTGAATTACAAAGACGTGGTGATCAATCTGAAGATTCCAATAGATTGGCCGTGTCCGTTGTCAATTCCATTATGAATGCCATCAAACAAGAGATTCCAGGTGCAATTGAAAAGTTCCCAAGATTGTTGGAAATTATCAGTCAATACGAAAAGGCAGCAAAGGAATTTGTCGAGAGAACCAAACAGATTCCATGTTGGATGTTTATCCGTTGGCAAAGTCAGATGTTCCCTTATCTCGATACACCACAAGGTCCTTACATTCTCCCGATTCTCCAAGAGATCGCTAGTAACTACCCTCAAGCAATCTACTTCCCATTCAAGATTAGCAGTGAACAATTTGGTCCGACCGCCAAAAAGTTGACAGCCAAACTCGAACAAACTCTAAAGAATCCACTTATCGATACGTTGATCAGTGAATTTGAAAGATTGACTCATCCTGAACACAGATTCAAAGACTATATGGAAACAGTTAAAACAATGATGAAATCAACACCGATCAATACCTCGGAAATTCAAAAGTTGGGTGTTGAAATCTATAATGATTGTTTCAATCCACATACGGTCAGAGGTGACTACAATCTTAAATTTGCAAAGGAATGGGATCATCATTATAGTCAACATTTCAGTAAGGATGGATCGAAATTGGCTAAAATGGATGTAAAGAAACTGGTGGAACTAGTTGCTGACATGTCAGGAAAGATGGCCAAGACAATGAAACCATCGTCAACCGCAACAATGAAACTAAAGGATTTCAGTAATTGGCTTGTTGAATTCGATCGTTCCAATCAACTCACTGAAATAGAGCTACCCGGTCAATATCATGGAACCTCCAAACCACAACCGGAAATTCACATCAAGATATCTTCGTTCGATCCGAATCTACTTGTGATGGGATCGCTTCGTAAACCCAAGAGAATCAAGATACACGGTAGTGACGAACAAGACTATCCATTCTTGATTAAAGGTGGTGAAGATCTGCGTTTGGATCAGCGTATTCAACAGTTGTTCTTTGTAATGAATGAAATACTGAAGCGTGATCCTGCCACTTCCAAACGTGGTTTACATATCAAGACTTACCAGGTAGTTCCAATGACTGGTAAAGTCGGTATTATCGAGTGGCTAAACGACACGAAACCGCTCAAAGAGATTATCGAGGATCAGATGGCTGTTCACCAGAATGTAGAGAGATCGAATGTCTCACTTTCAAGAATGGAAGCATACAAGATTCACAATGAATGGATCAACTCTTTTGGAAAGTATATCAAAATGGCAAATCCACCTGCTGGACCTCTGTACCAACAGATGTTTATGCACTCGGATCGTGCCGACGCCATAAAGAAGCAGGAGAAACAACACGACAAAGTACCAGCCAATCTGTTACAAAACGGTATTTGGGCGATCTCTTCATCACCGGAATCCTATTTATTCATCAGAAATTCATTTGCACGTTCACTCGCCACCTTTAGCATTTGTTCTTACATCATCGGTATTGGAGATCGTCATCTTGAGAACTTCTTGATCAGTCAGAAAGACGGTATATTGATTGGTATCGATTTCGGACATGCTTTTGGTACGGCAACACAATTCCTTCCGATCCCCGAATTGATGCCATTCCGTCTGACTCGTCAGTTCACCAGCTTCTTGATGCCGTTGGACTCGGTTGGATTGTTGTCGCACAATATGACACATACTCTTACAGCTATCCAAAACAACAAGGACTTCCTCCTGAGCACTATGGACGTCTTTGTAAAGGAACCACTTATCGATTGGATAAAACTGGCATCACGTCTTGGAAAAGAACAAGGTAAAGGTCACAAATCGGTTGAATCTTGGTTCCCTAAAGAGAAAGTTGACATTGCCAGAAGAAAATTGGAGAGATGGAATCCAGCCTATATCACAAGTGAAGAACTTGCCAACTCTGTTCACAAAGGTCAAATCTACGAAAAGAGTATTCAAAACGTTGTCAAAGGTGATCCTAAACACAACATCAGAGCGAAAGCTTGTCAAATTTGTTCAACTGCAAAAGAACAAGTGGATTGTCTCATTGATCAATCCACAGATCCAAACATCCTAGCCAGAGCATGGGCTGGTTGGTCTTCATGGATTTAAAATTAAATAATAAATAAATATCAAAATTAAAATAACACTAAGTATTCATATTTAAAAGTTCTTTTTTATTATTACATTTATTCATTTTATTATTGGTCTTGATGATAAAATATGCTTGCACAATAGGTTCTGTAATATTGATCATTTGGAAGAATAGATTCCCATTTGTTGTTTTCAAATGAGAACATAAAATTTTTATCTTTTCCTTCGATTGAATAAATATAGGCTTGACCATCATCTGATTGATGATAAATTAAATTGTGATTACCATGAAAATTGATTTTACTCTTATCGAATAATTTGATTTCACTAATTTCTATATTGATTCTATGTAATCCTAAAGATGATTGAATATAGATATTACCATTACCATCTGTACATACTGCTCTTTCTGAAACGTTTTCTGGTATTTCAATTGGTAATTCAACAGTTGTTTTGTTTTGTATATCAAACTGAAAAATCTTATTAATCACTGGAGTGAAAGTATAGATATAACCTTTGAAGAGGAATGTAAGATGATGATAATCTGTGTTGATTTCGATTGTTGAGTATCTTTCAAATGTTGAATTGTTGATGTTGTATCTGTAAATATCGGTTTTTGTTTTACCATTTGCATCGAATATATAGATATGATCTTGACCATCATAACAAGCTGATAAATAGCTGCATTTATCAACACCTTTCATTTCTTCGATAACTACTGTTTTGGTGTTGATTGAATACTTTAGATATTTATTGTGCTTATTATATCCACCACCAAATATATAGATAAAGTCACCAACTTTAACAATAGAGTTGAATGCTGGAAATGAATCATCCATTTTCATATCTATATCTTGTTGTTCGAAATGAATGTTGATTCGATCTGTAATATTGATGATTGATATTTTAATATTTCTATCAGCTGAGAATATATATGATTGTTTATGTTGGTTTGATATTATTTTGTGCTGAATATGTGATTGATTTGGTATTACTTTGAATGATGATTGAATTTGATTTTTGATTTGATTAAATAGTTCATGATAAACAATAAATCGATATTGTTGCGTTGTTGGTTGTTGATTGTCATGATGATTATTGATTTTAATTGATTTATTGTGTTCAAGTAATAAATTTAAAAGTGAATGATCATCATTGTTGTTTACTTTGTTGTCAAGTTGATCATAATCGAAATAGAACAATGTATTGTTGTTCGATGAAATGAATTCATTGTGATCCGAACATTGTGAAATCGATCGAATTATTGTTGTTATTTGGTAGTTATCTGTTGTATCTGCTGTTGATATGGCTGTTGATTGTATATCTGATCGATCATTGCTATTATTATTATTATTTTTATTAATATTAATATGATTATTAACAGTATTCAATGATTTCATGATTTTGATTTGTTTATCGATTTGTTGTTCTAATTGTTGTTTACTATCTACGATAGTTGTCTTTAGTTTATGTTCTTCAACAACAAGGAATTCATGTAACTCTTTGAATTTACTTTCAATCTCTTGTTCTGTTTGTTGTAATTGTTCATATTCCACAACTTTTATTTTCAAAGAATCGAATGTTGTTTGAATACTTCTTTGAATATCTTTAATTCTATTATTATTATTATTATTTAATTGATTGCTATCTGTGTAAGTTTTTGAATCCTCCTCATTATTATTGATATTTGCTTTAATATTATCGATATGATCGAATGAATGACTTGCATGCTTTGGTGAACATACGGAACACATCAAAACATTACAATCATAACATATTAATTCAAAACTCTTTTTATGTATTCCACAAATATTATTATTACTATTACTATTCATTTTATTTTATAGTATTATTTAGGTTAAATCTAAGTAAAAAAAATTTTACATCTTTGAAAATATGATCGTCATATTGTGTTTTTAAAAATTACACACCAGAAAGCTTCAAATATAAAATAGCGTGATATATATATTGTTGAATGGTATTTCGACAATTCAGAATTTAAATATCTTTCTCAGTCACGCAGACGACCTTTTTGAAAAATTTCAAAAAACGTGGTAAAAATGTTGCTGCCAACAGCATTCAGACAAATTTCACCCCAATTTTGAAATTTTTTTTTACGATCAAATTTAAGTGTGGTCATATAAATTTTTTGTCATGTTTTGGTAATTAAATCATTGACTTTAATTTTTTTTTTACTCCCAATTGAAAAATTGCTGACTGGAAAGGATATGAATAAAAATTTTCGCTGGTATACAAGGTATTTTTACTATATAAAGGGGGGTATCGACCTGATTTGCTATTATATGAGCGGGTCGGTATGTTTTGTAAAAACATAACTTTATTATGTAACTTCTGACACTTTCCTATATACTATGAATCACAACTTGAATCTCATTATTTGTTTATTAAAACTATAACTATTAATTAAAAAAGTTTGTTAATTTAAATTGGTTTTTCCAATATTGTTAAAATGTGGGTGTGAGTATAGGGGGAAAATTTTTTTCTTCATATTTCAAATCAAAAAAAAATTAAAAAAAAAAAAAAATTTTGAGAATTTTAATTTTAAGTGTCAAAAATTTACTATTAATCTTGACACGTGTAGTTTTTTTTGGATGTTTGCAAATAAATAACATAATAGTATAGTATAATAATGGAATACTGGATCCATTGGTGATTTGTTTTTGCAACATCGAAGATCTAGAAACACCAATAGTAATGCAGATCTTAGACACCCAAAGCATAATACATTTGTATGGACAGAAGAAGAAGGCAATGAAGAAGATACAGAGGATGGGGAAGCCGAATATGAAACCAGCGCAGTAATTGGAAAAAAGAGGATACATTGGACATTGAATGAAATAACATGTATGATGATTAAAGCCAATCAGCTGGGTGGCTCGAAATCAGCAACTTTTTTCAAACAGCAACAATTTTTGTAAAACAAGCCAATTCCGAAGCATTATACAAACTAACAGCAAATTCAACAAACCATATGTGAACAAAGGAAAAATCAAACCCTCATATTGCAAAGATTTTTAATATAGTTTTATTATTTAAATGACACAAACCCAGAGTCCATTTAAATAATAAAACTATATTAAAAATCTTTGCAATTAAAATTAGTAATTTGATCTCCATTTGACAAAACATTCAAAAAAAAATAAATAAAATAAAATAAATGAAATGAACTAAAAGTTTAAAATTTATTATCTAAATGTATTAGAACTCTACGTACTTATTAAAATAGTAGCATTACTAAATTACAAAAATAGTTTATTAATATGAGATTTTGTTTTAATGTACGTATTTGTTTGTTGTTGGTAGGTCAAGTTCGGATAGTGTTGTTCGATACTACAGAGTATCTTGGGTTTACGATCACATCTCCAGTAGATTTGGATAGAATGAAGATACCTTTATTTGTAGTGGTTTTCAATCTGTTGAATTCAACTATAAATACTTAATCCTTTAGTTTCATTGTTTCAGACATTTCAGCAACCAGTTCAACCATTTGAAACTGGTTTGAGATCTCAAACTGGCACCGCGTCTGGGAAAATAATTAGACACTCAAGAAAAATAGAAACTGATCGTAATTATACATTTATATTTACTTACAATGATAGAGTAGAAACATGAACTAAACAATGTCAAAAACATCCAAATACATGACAGACTAAAGTGAAATTATAGGTCCTGACTCCTCTCGTAGATCATGTCAGTCAGAACATTCATACGATACTGTTTGGATATCGTATACAACGATGTAATACCAACAATCAATTTGAAGTTGAAATCCTAGGGTTTGGCCCATGCGGTGGAGCTGCTCAAAACCATTCCCTGGTATTCACTAATTAGTTTATTCAAAAAAGTTAGTAATCTTTATTATACATAGAAAGTGATAATGTTATAAAGAATATCACACAAGATGAATATGGTGGATATGATTGTTATTAGTGATGAAAATAATGATAACAACAAGATATGACTATAATAATAACAACAACAAGATATGACTCATAGTATTAATAATGATAAATAGTAATAAATAAGTGTTATTATCTTTATATTGATGGTTATTATTGGTAGTTTCATCCCAAAACAAAGTCGATGCTACATTGATAAACAATAAAACGACCCAAAAATAGAGCTACAATATTAGATGGCACATATTAACAGTTACTTTTTTTGTTTACCCGTTGAATAGAAAGAATTAAAAATAAAAAATAAAAATATTTAATAAATCTTTTTTTACAATAGAAAAAAAAAAAAATAGGGTTTAAATATTTAAGTGATCACCATGTTTTGAAACAAATTTTTCTTTTTTTTTTTTATTGTAACTTAAATGATCAAGTTCATTTTTCACCTCTGTGGGTATCAAAATTAACCATTTCTATATATATATAATATTTATATAATTTTTTATTGATTTTTTTTAATAATTTTTTAAGATTTATCAAAGTTTAAATAAAATGAATAGTAATAGTAATAATAATATTTGTGGAATACATAACAAAAGTCTAAAGTTCATATGTTATGATTGTAATGTTTTGATGTGTTCTGTATGTTCACCAAAACACTCTGGTCATTCATACGATCATATTAATAACATTAAATCAAATATCAATATCCACAATAATGAGGATTCAACCTCTTTCGCATCTAACAATCAATTAAATAATAATAATGCGATAGGAATGAAAGATATTCAAAGAAGTATTCAAACAACATTCGATTCTTTGAAATCAAAAGTTGTGGAATATGAACAATTACAACAAACAGAACAAGAGATTGAAAGTAAATTCAAAGAGTTACATGAATTCCTTGTTGTTGAGGAACATAGATTAAAGAAACCAATCATCGATAATAAACAACAATTAGAACAACAAATCGATAAACAAATCAAAATCATGAAATCATTGAATACTGTTAATAATCATATTAATATTAATAAAAATAATGATAATAATGATGATCGATCAGATATACAATCAACAACAACAGATACAACAGATAACTACCAAATAACAACAATAATTCGATCGATTTCACCAATGTTCCAGATCACAATGAATTCATTTCATCGAACAACAATACATTGTTCTATTTCGATAATCAAAACAACAAAGTAAACAACAATGATGATCATTCACTCTTAAATTTATTACTTGAACACAATAAATCAATTAAAATCAATAATCACCATGATAATCAACAACAAGCATACAACAATATAAGTTCATTGTCAATAATGAACCATTTAATCAAATCAAGAATCAAATTCAATCATCATTCAAATTACAGAATGTAATATCTATTCAAAATAAACAATCATATATATTCTCAACTGATAATAAAAATAAATTATCAATCATCAATATTACAGATCGAAACAATATTCACTTTGAACAACAAGGTATAGATATGATTTGTTCCTGCTCAGCATTCAACTCCATTACAAAAGTTGGTGACTTTATCTATATGTTTGGTGGTCATACAACGGGATACAACAAATTTATCAAGTATTCAATCAACACTAAAACTTTGGTTTCTGGAGACATGAAAGATATCACTCCAAGCAGCTATCTATCAGCTTGCTATGATGGTCAAGATCATATCTATATATTCGACGGATATTTTAAACCAAAAACCGATATTTACAGATACAACATCAACAATTCAACATTCGAAAGATACTCAACAATCGAATTCAATACAGATTACCATCATCTTACATTCCTCTTCAAAGGTTATATCTATACTTTCACTAGCACAAAAAAGGTTTTAAAGTTTGACATACAAAACAAAACAACGGTTGAATTGTCAATTCCCAGTGCATATAACACTTCAGCAAGCGTAGCATGTACAGATGGTAATGGTAATATATATCTTCTATCATCTTTAGGATTACAACGAATCAATATAGAAACCAATGAAATCAAATCGTATGATAACAGTAAAATCAATACAAATCCCGACTACAATTTGATTTATCATCAATCAGATGGTGGTCAAAGTTATATTTACTCGATCCAAGGAAAAAATAGAAATTTTATGTTCTCATTTGAAAACAACAAATGGGAATCTATTCTCCAAAATGACCAATCTGACAGAATGTTTTGTGCAAACATATTATATCAACAATAGTTCTTTAAATAAATTGTATAAATTTTGTTCGATTTAAATAAAGATGAAATTTTTTTTTAGTTTTTGTTAAGATTTTTTTATATAATGGATGTCACCACTCAGAGCCAAGAGGATGGTCCTTAATCGTAGTAAGCCGGCTGTAATCGGTTCGATTGTTGGTTTAGGGAATTCCGAAAATATGTTATTTTCCAGAGTGAACATTGCATTATCCAATTTCCACCATTGCTTTTTGATTATGATTGGATTAAATATATCAAATATGGTGAGTACCGATCGTATCATTCAACTATTCTCAAGAGTCGAAACGTTTCGTATCAAATCCGACGAATTTGATAGCATGGTTAAAAATGGAATTGAATTAAGAGAGTATTTATGTGATGAATACTCCGATAGCGAAGAATTAGATTATACAGAATCAATTGTTAAGGAGCAATACTTAGTACACCTTCCGCCGATGCCAAATCTAAAGAACATCACTGTCGATAGCTACAATGGATATAAATCAAACTATAGTTCATTTCTAACATCGATACTTACAAGCACACCGAATGGTGATGGTCATGGCATTTAATCATTCAAGATCGAAATTAACAATGATTTGGATTATGAACCAATCTTCAGTTGCTTGGACTACTTGAAACCGCTCGTAAATTATCACTCGAACACTTTGAAATCAACCGAAATCAAGTATATCGATATTATAACTTCCAAGATGTGGAAAAGTTACTTCAGAAATTGAAGAAGTTGGTTCCAACATTGGAACAACATAATTACTCATTCATTTTGTATGCCGACTATAGAAAGTTAGAAAGAGCATGACAAGATCTAAAAGTATATCAATATTTATGTAATCAAAAGATCATATAGAATTTACCTGATGATATTTAAGAATTTGTAAACACGTATACGATGGTGAAGAGGAAGAATTCGATAACAATCATTTTAAAATAAAAAATCAAATAAACATAAGTTGCTATAACTTAGAAAAAAAAATCTGTGAAAAACAGGCCACCACCACTATGATAATTTTGTTTTTAAAAAAATTTTTATGTATTTCAATACAAAGTTTATATATTCTTGCTTGTAACCAAAAATCGAATAAAATACTCTGATCATATCAACCCCAATTTTTTTTTAAATTAATGAACAAGGGGAAGTGATTGGGAACCAGTTTCGTTTTGTTATCATTGAAAAAAATTTAACATTTGTTAAAATTATTATTTTCATTCACCTTTATGTTGCCACAAACTTTAAAGAAATCAAATGGATAGCAATAATAGTAATAATAAAAATATTTGTGGAACACATAAAAGAAGTTGCAAGTTCATATGTTATGATTGCAATGTTTTGATGTGTTCTGTTTGTTCACCAAAACACGCACGTCATTCATTCGATCATATCGATAATATTAAATCAAATTGCAACGGAGACGATACACCACACACAGCAACTACAGATAATGACAACAACATAAATAATAATAATAATAATGATGATAATAGTAATTATAGTTTTCAAGGTTTCAGAGATATTCAAAGAAGTATTCAAACAACATTCGATTCTTTGAAATTAAAAGTTGTGGAATATGAACAATTACAACAAACAGAACAAGAGATTCAAAGTAAATTCAAAGAGTTACATGAATTCCTTGTTGTTGAAGAACATAGATTAAAGACAACTATCGTTGATAGTAAACAACAATTAGAACAACAAATCGATAAACAAATCAAAATCATGAAATCATTGAATACTATTAATAATCATATCAGTATTAATACAATATATAGTAATAATAATGATGATGATCGATCATCTTCACAATCATCATGTTCATCACAATCAACAACAACCGTAGATACAACAGATAACTACCAAATAACAACAATAATTCGATCGATTTCACAATGTTCGGATCACAATGAATTCATTTCATCGAACAACAATACATTGTTCTATTTCGATAATCAAAGCAACAAAGTAAACAACAGCAATGATCATTCACTCTTAAATGTATTACTTGAACACAATAAATCAATTAAAATCAATCATCATCATGACAATAAACAACTAACATCACAACAATATCGGTTTATTGTTAATAATGAACGAATAAATCAAGTCAAGAATCAAATTCAATCATCTTTCCGGTTAATATCAAACCAAGATAAACAATCATATATATTCTCAACTGATAACAATAATAGAATATCAATCATCAATATTACAGATCGAAACAACATTCATTTTGAACAACAAGATATCAAAATGACAATGGAAATGACTGGCACTTTTCTTACATACAACTCTATAGTTAAAGTTGGTGACTTTATCTATATATTTGGTGGTAGTAATTTTGGCTACAACAAGTTTATCAAGTATTCAATCCACACCAAAACAGTAGTTATTGATGAAATGATCGGTGTTGATAGGTGTCTTTTTTTATCAGCTTGCTATGATGGTCAAGATCATATCTATTTATTCGATGGACATGGAAAATCTAAAACCGATATTTACAGATACAACATCAACGATTCAACATTTGAAAGATACTCAACAATCGATATCAAAACAGATTATCATCATCTCACATTCCACTTCAAAGGTTATATCTATACTTTCACTGGGTTAACAAGAAAGATTTTTAAGTTTGATGTGAAGAACAGAACAATATTTACATTACCAATTGAAATCCAAAAATACACTTCAGCAAAAGCAGTATGTACAGATGGCAATGGCAATATATATATTTTAACAGAATATGGATTAGCTCGAATCAACATTGAAACCAATGAAATCAAATTATTTGATAACAGTAAGGGCTGTATCAATAGTAATCACAATTTGATTTATCATCAATCAGATCATGATGGTCAAACTTATATTTATTCTATCCAAGGAAAATATGGAAACTTTATGTTCTCATTTAACAGCAACAAATGGGAGTCTATTCTCCATAATGATCAATCTGACAGAGCTTATTGTGCAAACATATTCTATATAAACTGAAGCAAATAGAACTTTAATAAAAACTTGTATTTTGTATAATTATTATTTTCAAAATATTCTTGGTTAGAATAGTTGATGTAAAACAATATTTAAACTATTTATAAACATCTGGGAATGTTTTATATTATTTATAATTATCATTATCATTAAATTGATGATGAAGGGTGGGTATCTTGTAATAGCCCTCATCGACCTTTACCACCTTACTAAAATAAAAGGTTATTTCAGTTGGACGGAAATAACGCGGATTGATCTGTACCAATACATCACTGATGACTTCGTTGTAACCTACTTCATCGAGAACTTCACCATGCTACTTGATGGTGATGTTGATTTCATGGAATGACTTTTGTCATAAATCATAAAGATTGATCAATACTAATTTGATTGTCTCTTTCTCATTATTGGTATGTTTTTTGTTGTTGATCGACAAAGATAAAATGAATATATAACATTCGGATAAATTAATTAAACTTACAGAAAGAGCAATATATTTGAGGTATAAGTGCAAAAATCTCTTTTCAAATACGGTGGTTTTAATCAAACAAATAATAAAAGATTATTATTCATGCTATCTTTAATCGAAATTTTTAAAGTATTCTTTTTAAAGTATATTATAAGATAACTAATAATCCCATTCGTGTTATAAAAATTTATTACACCAAATGATCGACACTCGATACAAAACTGCTCTTGCTTGTAACCCTAAATCGAAAAAATAATGGCAAAACACTAATCATAAAAACCACTAATTTTTACTATTTTTTTCAATGTTTTAAAAAAGAAAAAATTAATCTTTAATTTAACATTGTCATATTGTTAACTTTTTAAAAAAATAATGAATAGAAATAATAATAATATTTGTGTAAGACATAAAAGAAGTATTGATCTCATTTGTTATGATTGTAATGTTTTGATGTGTCCAGTATGTTCACCAAAACATGCACGTCATTTCTTCGATCATATCGATAATATTAAATCAAATAACAACGATCATGATGATACTGATACTTCAGACACTGAATCTACAGATAAAATCAATAACATAAAGAATAATAATAATAGATTTCAAGGCTTCAGAGATATTAAAACCAGTATGCAATCCACATTCGATTCTTTGAAATTAAAAGTTGCGGAATATGAACAATTACAACAAACAGAACAAGAGATTGAAAGTAAATTCAAAGAGTTACATGAATTCCTTGTTGTTGAAGAACATAGATTAAAGACACCAATCATCAATAATAAACAACAACTAGAACGACAAATCGATAAACAAATCAAAATCATGAAATCATTGAATACCGTTAATAATCATATCAGTATTAATAATAACATTAATAACAGTAGTAATAATGATGATCGATCATCTTCACAATCGTCATGTTCTTCAAAATCAACATCAACAATAACAACAGCAGATACAATAGATAGATACCAAATATCAGCAATCATAACATCGATTTCACAATGTTCGGATCACAATGAATTCATTTCATCGAACAACAATACATTATTCCATTTCGATTATGATCAACTTGGCAACAAAGTAAACAACAATGATGATCATTCATTCTTAAATTTATTACTTGAACACAATAAATCAATTAAAATCAATAATCATCATGACAATCAACAACAAGCAATACAACAATATAAGTTCATTGTCAATAATGAACCATTTAATCAAATCAAGAATAATATTCAATCATCTTTTGGATTGGTACCAAAACAAGACAAATTGATATCTATTCAAGACAAACAATCATATATATTCTCAACTGATAAAAATAATAAAATATCAATCATCAATATTACAGATCGAAACAATATTCATTTCGAACAACAAGATATAGATATAGCAATGTACAATTCATTTACAGCTTACAACTCGATTGTCAAAGTTGGTGACTTTATCTATATATTTGGTGGTGGCGAGAATAAGAAGCACAATAAATATCTAAAGTATTCAATCAACACCAAAACAGTAATTATTAATGAAATGAAAGGTGTTAATCAGTGCGACTTTATATCAGCTTGTTATGATGGTCAAGATCATATCTATTTATTCGATGGCTTTAATAAACCAAAAACCGATATTTACAGATACAACATCAACAATTCAACATTCGAAAGATACTCAACAATCGATATCAAAACAGATTACCATCATCTTACCTTCCTCTTCAAAGGTTTTATCTATACTTTCACTGGGAATACAAGAAAGATTTTCCTGTTTATGAAGAATAAAACAACTGTTGAATTCCAAATTGATATTCCACGATACTCTTTATCAAAAGCAGCATGTACAGATGGCAATGGCAATATATATCTTCTATCAACTTTAGGATTACATCGAATTAACATTGAAGCCAATGAAATCAAATTATTTGATAACAGTAAAATCGATTTTAATACAAATCATAATTTAATTTATCATCAATCAAATGATGGTCAAACTTATATTTACTCGATCGAAGGAAAAAATAGAAATTTTATGTTCTCTTTTGAAAACAACAAATGGGAATCTATTCTCCAAAATGATCAATCAGATAGAACATATTGTGCAAACATATTCTATCAATAAATAGATCTTTTTAAAAAATATATTATTCCTAATATCAATCAATCACAGTATTGTTTAGAATATACGAAAAATAAAAATAATAAGTTTATTAAAACAACTTATTTGTGAGAATGTTTTATTATATTATTTATTATTCTTATTATTAAAAATTTTAAGATGTTTTAATAGGTTTTTTATCAGATTAATTTAATTAAATTGATCATGACCTTTAGAAAGATATTCAACATCTTTGGCAACCATTTCCTTGACCAAATCATCGAAAGATGTCTTGATTTCCCATTTGAGTTCTCTCTTTGCTTTGGCTGGATTACCAAGGAGTAAATCTACTTCGGTTGGACGGAAATAACGTGGATCGATCTTCACCAATACATCACCGGTGCCTTCGTTGTAACCTTCTTCATCGAGACCTTCACCGCGCCACTTGATGGTGATGTTGATCTCACGGAATGATTTTTCGACAAACTCACGTACCGAATGTGTCTCTCCAGTGACAATAACGAAATCGTCGGCCTTCTCAACCACATTGCTTCTACGTAGTCACGGGCATGTCCCCAATCACGTTTGGAATTGATATTTCCAAGAGTGGGAAACTCCTTGTGTCCTTGTGCAACGAATCTAGTGATCTTTCTGGTTACAAAAGTACCACCTAAGTTCTGACCTCATTTCATTCTATCGACAACAACAACAAACAAAGCCAAACTACCAATAGTGAAAAGAGACAATCAAGCAGTCTGGTTTATTACTTGATGGATTGGTATCGAGTGCTTTTGCTAATGCTATCACTACTGACTATTGTCGATCGATTTCTATTACTTTATGAAACGGTACCACCAACATAAATAAAATGTTCATGGCATAATAAAATAGTACTATTCAACTAAATAACGTAATAATAATATGAGGGTGTAATGTTAATACTTAACTTTTTTTTGGCCAGCGAACCACCACAAATTATGACCAATTTTAGTGATTTTTTATTTTGTTTTTTTTTTTGTATTTATTTTAATTTAATTTAATTTCAGTAAAATAAATAAATGAACTGAATAATAATTTAATTATATTATTAATTATATTATAATATTATTTATTAAAACTTAAATACAAAAAAAAATTAATTATATTATTAATTATATTATTTCAGTTCAGTAAATTAAAATAAATAAATGAACTGAAATCAGTAAATTGATTTATATAATATCAAAAAAAAAAATGAATAAAAATAATAAGTGTTTAAGACATAAAAGGAGTCAAGAGTTCATATGTTATGATTGTAATGTTTTGATGTGTTCTGTATGTTCACCAAAACACTCACGTCATTCATACGATCATATCGATAATATTAAATCAAATAACAATAATAATGAGGAGGATTCAACAACTTACACAGATGACAATGAAATTAATAATAATAACACTAATAATATTAATGAGATAGGATTTAAAGATATTCAAAGAAGTATTCAAACAACATTCGATTCTTTGAAATTAAAAGTTGTGGAATATGAACAATTACAACAAACAGAACATGAAATCGAAAGTAAATTCAAAGAGTTACATGAATTCCTTGTTGTTGAAGAACATAGATTAAAGACACCAATCATCGATAATAAACAACAATTAGAACAACAAATCGATAAACAAATCAAAATCATGAAATCATTGAATACTGTTAATAATCATATTAATATTAATAATAATAATAATAATGATAATATTAATAGTGGTGATCTACCAGACTCACATTCATTATCTTCTTCACTATCGACAACAACATTATCAGCAGATACAACAGATAGATACCAAATAACAACAATAATTCGATCGATTTCACAATGTTCAGATCACAATGAATTCATTTCATCGAACAACAATACATTATTCTATTTCGATTATGATCAACTTGACAACAAAGTAAACAACAATGATGATCATTCACTTTTAAATGTATTACTTGAACACAATAAATCAATTAAAATCAATAATCATCATGACAATCAACAATCGAAATCACAACAATATCGATTAATTGTTAATAATGAACAAATCAATCAAATCAAGAATCAAATTCAAACATCATTCAAATTGTCATCAAATCAAGACAAACAATCATATATATTCTCAACTGATATGGATAATAAAATATCAATCCTCAATATTACAGATCGAAACAACATTCATTTTCAACAACACGATATCGATATGAAAATGTATGATTCATTTACAGCTTACAACTCGATTGTCAAAGTTGGTGACTTTATCTATATATTTGGTGGTGGACAGAATAAGAAGCACAATCAATTTCTAAAGTATTCAATCAACACCCAAGAAGTAGTTATCAATGAAATGAAAGGTATTGATGCATGCCAATACTTATCAGCTTGTTATGATGGTCAAGATCATATCTATTTATTCGATGGATATAATAAACCAAAAACCGATATTTACAGATACAACATCAATAATTCATCATTCAAAAGATACTCGACAATCGAAATCAATTCAAATTACCATCAATTCACATTCCTCTTCAAAGGTTATATCTATACTTTCACTCCAGAATTAAAAAAGATTTTTAAGTTTGATTTTAAGAGAAAAGAAATCGTTAAATTACCAATCACCATTCCACAAAACAATTCAGCAAGAGCAGTATGTACAGATGGCAATGGCAATATTTACACTCAATCGGATTTAGGACTACATCGAATCAATATTGAAACCAATCAAATCAATTTAATTAATATCACTCGAATCAAATTTTATAATAATCACAATATGATTTATCATCAATCAGATGATGGTCAAAATTATATTTACTCGATCGAAGGTGACGATCGAAATTTTATTTTCTCATTTGAAAACAACAAATGGGAATCTATTCTCTATGATGAATCAGACAGAACATTATGTGCAAACATATTATATCAACAATAGATCTTCAATAAAAAAATAGGGCTCTAACCTATCATCAACACTCTCGAAATCTTAATTGGTTATTAATACAAAATTAATAAAAAATAAAAATAAATGGTTGATTATCAAAACTATTTTTATATCTGGAATGTTTTTATTATATTAAAAGTTTTAAGATATTTTAATAGATTTTTTATCAGATTAATTTAATTAAATTGATCATGACCTTTAGAAAGATATTCAACATCTTTGGCAACCATTTCCTTGACCAAATCATCGAAAGATGTCTTGATTTCCCATTTGAGTTCTCTCTTTGCTTTGGCTGGATTACCAAGGAGTAAATCTACTTCGGTTGGACGGAAATAACGTGGATCGATCTTCACCAATACATCACCGGTGCCTTCGTTGTAACCTTCTTCATCGAGACCTTCACCGCGCCACTTGATGGTGATGTTGATCTCACGGAATGATTTTTCGACAAACTCACGTACCGAATGTGTCTCTCCAGTGGCAATAACGAAATCGTCGGCCTTCTCTTGTTGGAGCATCAACCACATTGCTTCTACGTAGTCACGGGCATGTCCCCAATCACGTTTGGCATTGATATTTCCAAGAGTGAGAACCTCTTTGTGTCCCTGAGCAATACGTGCAACGAATCTAGTGATCTTTCTGGTTACAAAGGTACCACCTCTTCTTGGTGATTCGTGATTGAACAAGATACCATTGCAAGCATACATATTATAAGCCTCACGATAATTAACACAAATCCAAAATGCAAATTGTTTGGCAACAGCTGTTAAATTATAATAATAAAATATATTAATATTGATTGATAAACTAACTAATGTTTTAATAGTTGATAATTACCATATGGTGAACGTGGATAGAATGGAGTCAATTCTGTTTGTGGAATTTCACGTACTTTACCATACAACTCACTAGTTGATGCCTATAATAATAATAATAATAATAATATTGTTGTGCAAAATTAAGAATGTTAAAATTAAAACTAAAAAAAATGGAGATAACCATATATATTTATAAATGTTTACTAACATACTTGATAGAATCTAATGACATTTTCCATTCCACATGATCTAATGGCATCGAGAATACGAAGACAACCAACACCATCGACATCGGCAGTGTACTCTGACATTTCAAACGATACCTTTACATGTGATTGTGCACCTAGATTATAGATTTCAGTTGGCTTTACTCTATGAATGATTGAAACCAAATTGGTTGAATCTGTAAGATCACCATGATGTAAATGTAATTCTATAATAATAATAATAGATTGGTAATTATGTTTTAAATTGAAAATATTAATAAAAATAAACTTTAATTAATACTATATTTGTCTGATGACTGATGACTGATACTCACTTGCAGTTGGACCAGTGAAATTGAGATGTTCAATTCTGCTGGTGTTGAATGAAGACGATCTACGAATGATACCATGTACTTCATAGCCTTTCTCCAACAAGAACTCTGTCAAGTATGAACCATCTTGACCGGTGATACCTGAAATCAATGCAACTTTTCTTCTTTCGGTTGTCATCTTCTCTTTATAAAATATATAACAATTATTACTATTAATTAATCAAACAAATAAACCAAATGAAAAACACAATGAATCAAAAAAATAAAAATAAAAAATTGAACTTTAGTTTGTTTTAGTGTTGGGATGATGATCATCATCCCCATCATCACGAACCACACAATAAATTATGTTTACTTTATTTGACTAATTGTTTTTCACATAAAATTAATTTTGGATATTATGAAAAATAAAAGTAAAGAATGACTTGCCCAATATCAATATAATCCTTTCGATATTTGCAAAATAAAATTTATTTTTTATTTATTTTTATTTTTATTTTTTTATTTCATTTTTAAAAAATGCACTGCATTGTTTGTCTGTGATTTTAAATTAAAACTTTAAAGTTTCAATCCAATAAGTCTAATTTAAACTATTTAATGTAGAGTTTCGAATTAATCAATTAATTGTTTGATTTACTAATACTTTGATTTCAAATTCAAATGGATGATTCAATAATTCACCATCAACAATCATCTTATGAAGTACACCAGGTGTCATCATAAACAATTGCAGACATAAATACTTGACAATAACGTTTTTTTTGTTTTTTGTTTTTTTTTTTTTTTAGGCAGTGGTTTGCAGAAGGTCTAAGGGTGGTGAGTCCATAGGGTTACAATGAGTTTTTGTTCAAATTCAAAAAAAAAAAATTAAAAAATTAAAAAATTAATAAAATTGTTTTACAAAGAAGCACGCACTCATTGAGTTACCACTTGCAACATAATAAAAAAAAAAGTAATTTAAATTTGAATTTTTTTTAAAAAACAAAAACATCATTAATTAATTGGTTGTAATCTATTATTCCTCTCACAATCTTTCTATCTATAAAATATAAAGGTAAAAAAAGTTCTAATTATTATTATTTTAAAGATTCTTTTATTTTCAGAATTATTTGTAAATATAAACAAAATAGTAAAAAAATAAAATAAAAAAAGAACTTAAGGAATCAAAGTAATCTTTTTTTTGTTTTTGTTTTTTAAGTTACAATTTAAAAGTATTTTTTTTTTTCTTGTATAAGTTTTGATATTTATTTTCACAAAGGTTAGGTTGTTTGTAAGTTAGGTAACAAAAAAAAAAAAAAAACAAATTAAAAAAAAAAAAAAAACAAATCAAGTGGTTTGTTGAAAAGAATTAAAAAATATTAAATTCTTTTGTTGTTGCTCAACTCATAAATCAAATATAACCTATAATTAATCAAGCGTAAATACAATAGAATACAATTATCACATTACACTCTGACTCACTCACACAACCATACTACACTACAATTCTATATTCTCTAAATTAGTTCAATTTGCAAACTGAAAAACAAAAATAAATAATTAATTGTTAAATAAATACAACAACCATTCATTCTTTGCAAATTAAATTAAATTAAATTAAAAATTATATATAAAAAAAAAAAAAAAAGAAAAAAAGACACAAACCCACTTTACAACTTAATAAATTAATAACCACAAAAAAAAACCACAATCATTAATTTCAAGTAAGGATAAATATAACAACAAAATAATCAGATAAATAACAAAATCCTACTCACCACTCACTGATAATAGATACATAGATAATTTATCGTTTATTCCCATTTGTCTCCTCATCTATTATTAAAAATAATAATAATAAAATAATATTTTTTTTTTTGTTCTCTTGTTAATTTTAAATTATCAATACCAAGTTTTTTTTTCTTTTTTACTTTTTTTTTGATCTTTTATAAAATTATTTGTATAATTATTAAAACTATTCAATCTTATCTATAAAATAAAAAACATTCTACTATTGGATTTAATATTAATATTAAAAGTTTATTCTCTCTTTTTAATAAATACAATTAATTAGTTTTTTGTAATACCAAAAAGTACCATTTGAATTCATTCAATTTTATATAAAATATAACAACAACAAAAAGGTAGAACCAAATCGTATTCAATCAATACTCAACCAAATCAAATCAAATCAATCTATATATATATATCATTAAAAGTTTAGACTAGTTTATTATAAACAAAAAAAGACAGCAACAACATGTGGAATTATATGAAGAGTCTTGTTGGTGGTGACAGCAATTTGCAAGTCGAAGAGAATGGTGACAACAAAGGACAAACACCAGACGACCAAGAACAAAGAAAAGGTTTATTCAAACAATTGTCATCCTATGTTGGTAAGGATATCACTTCTATGATCTCACTTCCAGTATGGATCTTCGAGCCAGTTTCTTTCCTTCAGGTCATGTCTGAGCCACTCCAATACAGTGCTCTCTTGGACAAAGCTGTCGCATCAACCAGCCCATACCACCGTCTTGCCTATCTCGCTGCATTCAACTGTGGTCTCTATTCAACTGCCATCAGAACCAGTAAGTAAAAATTTTTCTTTAGTTGTATTATTAACGAACAATTGTTTATACTAATCTTTATTTATTCTTACTTTTCTTTTTATTAATATATTATAGAGAAACCATTCAATCCAATTTTAGGTGAAACTTTTGAAGTTGTACAAGATGGAGACAATGGATTCAAGTTCATTGCTGAGCAAGTCAGCCATCATCCACCCATTGGTGTCTCTGAGACTACCACCTCTGAGTACACTCTCCAATTGGAGACAGAGTTAAAGTCAAAGTTCTATGGTAACTCATCGGAAGTCGAGATTGCTGGTACCAATCACTTTATCCTTAACAAGACTGGTGAGCACTACACCTGGGGACATTTAGTCACATCGTGTCACAACATTATCATTGGTTACATGTGGTTGGATCACTACGGAGATCTCGTCATCGAGAACCACACCACCGGTGACAAGTGTGTCCTCAAGTTTGCCAAGTCCGGTTGGTTAGGTGCCGGTCGTTACACTGTCTCTGGTGAGATCATGGACAGCGAAGAGCAAGTCAGATACAGATTGGTTGGAAAGTGGAACGAAAACCTCGTTCTCTACGAAGTCATGTCCAACGGTCAAAACTCACCAAATGGTACCACCATCTGGGAGGCCTCAAAGGAGCAGATCACCAGCAAATTCAACTTCCCCAAGTGGTTGGAAGACAACGTCATCGCTTTGACACCAGAGTATGAAAAGATTTTACCAGCAACCGACAGCAGAATGAGAACTGACAGAAGAGCTTTGGAAGCCGGTGATTTGGATACTGCAGGCAAACAAAAACACATTTTGGAAGAGAAGCAGAGAGAAGACAAGAAGGCAAGAGTCGCCGCCAACCAAGAGTATGAAACTAAATATTTCAACAAGGTTGACGATGCCGATCACAAATACAGATGGAAGTTTAACGGAAAATACTGGGAGGAAAGAGAAGAGAGAATCAAAGCTGCCTCATCGAATTTAAATTTAAAAATATAGAAAACAAAAAAAAAAAAAAACCAAGATATCATAATAATTTTTCTAGAAAATGTAAATCAACATTTTTTGTTTCGTTTTTTTTATTATTATCGCCATTTTATTTTTTTTTTAATCAACTTTCTCGTTTTGTGTAACATAAACATAAATATACATATAGAATAATTTATATATTTTTAAACATTTCTCATTTTTCTCAGAATCTCATTCTTTTTTGTTTTTATCATTTTTCAAATAAAAGATACTATTTTAATGTACATTACAATAAATAAAATGTTTTTTTTGTTATTTTTTATTTTTTTTTTAAGAAAAAAAAAGATAAAACACTTTTATTCTTTTTACTTTTTTTTTTATAATTTTATATTATTATTTGTTTTTTTTTTTTTGTTTTTCTTTTCGGTTGCATAAATATTAAAAAATTTTGATTATATGATAGAAATTAAAGTGATTTTCTCTTTAATTTGATGACCATTCCTAAATCTCTACAATTTTTCTTGTGGAAGCTCCAGTGAGCGTATTGGCATTCATTCGAACAATATGTACCTTTTCCACATCTGTCACATGGGGTTTCGTTTGAACAATGTCTTTTACAATTTTGACATGGATTATTCTTTGGTAAAGATTTCGATCTTGGTTTTGAAACTAACTTTGGGGGCTAAAAGAATAAAAAACAAAAATTTAGTTAGAAATTATTTGTTTTTATTTAATCTATATAATTATTTTTTTTTACTTACATCATTTTCAATTACATAGTCAACAGTTGAGGCTCTATGTTTATCCATAATATATCCAATTTTTGGCATTCCAGATGATTCAATGGAACTGATATATTCCTTTGGAGTCATCGAGTGTGATGGTTGTTGGTCTAAGATTGGTGGCATTCTTGTTTTTTATTTTATTATATATAAATAAATAGCTTTTAAAATATTATATAGATACTATTATTTAAAAGAATAGTTTAAAGTAAAGAGTAAATATTAAAAAGTTTATTTAATAATTTTGAAAAGATTGTTAAAACAATAAAATTATTATTATTACTATTATGAGTTATTGTATAAATATATTAAAGATCTGGATTAGATACGAAAAAAGTAATTTATATATTTATATTTTTAATACAAAATTTATTTTATGAATAAAATTGGGTAAATGTGAGGTTGTATGTTTGAAGGTATATTATACTTGTTGTAGTAGTATTATAGTTTAGAAGAAATTAACAATATAATAAATAGATGGGTCAAAAAGTTTGAATTTTAAGTTAATGTATGACTGATTACGAATGAATGACTAATATATAAATGTTTTTAATATTTTGAAATCATTAGGCAAAGAAATAAAAAAAGCTTTAAATATTTAATTAAAAGATACTGGTTATTCTGTTGATGTTGTTCAGTTTAAATTGGTTGTGGTTGATTGATATAAATCAATGGAACTTTAATTGTCTGTCGACCAGTCCAAATTGGAAATTGAGAATATTAATATGTGGTTCTGGTTCGTGTGTAATTGTTATTTTATTGTACACAGATGTGGTTAACAACTTTTCATAAAATTAAATAAACTCTGTTCCTTTTGGTTAGTGTATATTGTGTGTGTGTTTGTGTCTCTATTCTATACAAGAAAAATAACAACCTATTGTACAGGTATTCATAATTATTTATATAATATGATGCATTTGTCTTTTGATTATGTAATAGTTAAAATGAACTGAATCATATATGGTATACTAGTATATTTAATGACGTTGGATAGTGTTAAATTGTGTGATGTATTAAAAATTTATATTTTTGTTTGTTTTTTTTTTGGTGTGTGAATGTGTGAGTTTTGTTATTGTATTGAGTGTTGTGTTGTGTTGTTTTGTATTAATTTAACATATATGTGTGGGTTAGTTATTGGTTTTTATATGTATTGTGTTTCTTGAATTTATTTTAATGTTTCAATATATTTAACAAGTGATTATGTGATCTAATAAACTTCTATTACTACTTCCAGTTAAGTAATAAATACACATCAGTTTATATAGGTATGGTTTAGGGTGGTGAAGTGGTGAAGTGGTGTTATCAAGATGATATTCAGTACACCTACTCAACTATGGTATTTTTTTCAAATGGTTTAATACTTTAAAATGGTAACTTGATGTTGTTGTTAAAGTATTTAATAGGTCTTATCTATCTTAACACATACACAATTTAATCTATTCTAGAATCAATTAATTTAATGTCTGATGATTTCAAAAGTACTCGATGGTGTACGATTAGATTATGAGCCAAAGTAATCACACTTTTCTTTTTATACTATTTTTTTAGTTGTTTAATTTATTTAAATATTTTATTAAATGATGATGATTATGATTATGATGATGTTGATAAGGTATTATTTTTAGTATTATTGTTAACAACATTACTTTACAATAGAATTGTTGTTGTTGTTGTTGTTGTGATAATAAAAATAACATCCAATAAGATTTAGTATTTAAAAACTTGTATTTTATAAATTGTTATTAAAGATGTTTATTTCATTGTATTTATTTTGTTATTAACAATTTTAATTTATTGTTGTTGTGCTGTGTTGTATCAATATTTTATTAGATAGTTACACATTGATGACATGAAATGACATTATTCTTGGTAATGTCTAAAAATAACCATAACATAATATGTTGTCAATTTCCCAGGACTATGTTGTTTTTTTATTAGTTTTTTCTCCAAATTAATGTCATGTAACATCAATATGATTGTAGGTTATAAAATTCTGTTTCCTTTATAATATATATTTAGAAAATATGTAATGTATGCAATTACATTTCATTTAAACCAACCACAGTTCAATTATTAAGATGGATTTAATAGTATCCCTTATTTAAACTTATTATTTCTAGATGAATATGTATTTATAGATATATATCGAAAAATAAAAGTGGGGTTATTTGTTATATATTTAAAACAAATAAATGTGAAGATATTTTTATACACACACAAAAAACAAATTTTAACAAAACGAAAATAGGAATGTGATTTTATTTTTAGTTTACGAATTACTAAAATATATATTTAGAAAAAAAAAAAAAAAAAATAATCATTTTTGTAATAAATGGCGATTCTTATTAAACAATGATCATATTTTATATCATGATTAAGTTTTTTAATTTATTCTCCAGAGTAAAAAAAGATAGAAAATCCTTCACAAAAAAGATAAAAATGAAGTAAATTACTTTCAATCACTAATTTGAATTTTTAGGTTCTCTATATGCAGGGACAGTTGGTAAACATTAATTTATATATTGAGCCTCTTCGTATTAGTTTTTGATAGATATAAATGAAATAATTTTTCAATAAAAATTTTAAAATTTATTTTCCAATAATTAAAATTAAAAAACCAACTAACACAAATCATACACAATCCTTCAACCATTTACTACTTTACTCCAGTTATCTGTACATTCTTTATCTGTTACTCCTTTCTATTTGTACATATCAATTTAATTTCCTAAAAAAGTCACCAACGTTCAATCCTCATCAACTTCAAATACTATCTTTATCTGTTACTCCTTTTCTATTTATTTCACATCTATTTACATTATCAAAAACATAATGACTTCAACCACAAACACGGTGTTGTCTTCTTTGCCAAGTATTTAAATTTGCTTACTTATTCTCAATGCATAGTTCTAACAATTCACCATTCAGATGATGTCAAAGATTGGACAGCAGAACAAGTCAAGACATGGGCAATTACTCAACCAGATGGAGAATCCTATGCTAATATTCTTTGTGCCAAGGAAGTCAGAGGAAAGGATCTCAACTCATTGACCAAAAATGACTTGCTCAATCCTCCTTTTTCCATTGGCTACTCAGCTCAATCACTTTTACAAGCAATTTCTTCTTTGGTTGGAGCTCGTAAGTACAAACAATATCTTGGCAATGTCTTCATTCAATACTAACCTACCTTCTCAACTCTTTTCTTCTCATGCAGCATCACCTCAGCAACAAGGTATGTATCATCACAAACACCTTAGCCATCACTATTCTTAAGGATGTTTACTAGCCTATTTCACTTTCTTTTCTAACTACGCGTTCACTAGGTAAACAGTTGGCAGATATTCAACAAAATTATCCATTAGCAATGGCACTAGACGAGGTGATACGTGAGTTTGGAGGCTCAAATGATCTAGGAATAGTCACTATGTACCGCACCAACGTTGTGCAGCTCCACTGCACATTGTCAATGATCTATAACTACTACCAATACTTCTCCCAACACTCAATCCAAACTACGATGACTCAATCGATCATTGACCAAACGACCCAGTTCGTTACAATACTGCTTGATCTCAATCAGAAGCAAGTCCAAAGTCATCAGCAAGTTGTAGATGTCATCAATGGTTTAACAGGTATGTATTGAATTGCAATTCAAAGGACACAATAACTTACATTTGCAAAAGACAACAAACATAACAAAATTCGCTGCACATTTACCTTGTCAGTTCCTTTCCTGAAGCTGGAGGTGGATTTGGCAGAATTGTTCAGACAATTGTTGGATTCACTCTTTAGACGAGACACTGACAAGATCAAAGAGATCATTGGCCAGATTGTTGAGACATTTGGAATGTATGATGACAAGATCTTCATTATCAACACAGGAACAACAAAAGATCTGATCACTATCAGGACACAACTCCTCAAAAGTGACAATGAGGAGGAAACTTTGAAGCTGATCAATAATATGCTGACTTCTATCTGTGAATCCCTCCAAGTTCTTAGAGATCAATTTCTTGGAATGGGTATCCCCTCTCTTTGACACTCCAAATGCTACAACTCAAACAAAGATATATATATGGTCTGACTTTTGTCGACCTACTCAATCCTGAATCTAGGACAACATCCAACTTGTATATATAACAATAGACAATATGACCAACATCAAAAAAATCAAAACTTCCTCTCTCCTTTCTTGAAATAAATAACCATTAAAGAGATTGAGATACACATTTCCAGTTTTAACTTTGTAAATCGATCCTTGATTCATTTAGATTAAACTCTACATCAACAAAGTTTCTTTCATTGTTGAAAAACCAATCACCTGCACTAAACTTGGGTGCTTTGTTCCTTGTTAAATATTTTGATTTGATGTCTGTTGTCTTGATAGAAATGACTGCCTCTTTGTCATGATTCCACATGTAAACAATATCTTCAGATGAAGATTTAATAAAATATTGCAATATATATTCCTTTGCTTTGTTAGTATCATTATGTATGTATTTATCCAATACTTTGCAATCAAAATCTTTGGAAGATTGTGAGAAGTAATCAATAGGATCATATTCTTTGTTCTTTTCAGATTGAAGTTGTTCCTCTTGTTTCTCTATTTGTTCCTGTTGCTTTGCTAATTGTTGCTTTTCTTTTCTAACTTCCGTACTTTTTTTGTTGTTAACAGACTTTATCATTCTATACTCTATACTTATAAAATATTTTTATATTTTTTATATTGTTTTTATTCAATAATAAATATAAAAATATATTTTGAAATAAAACTCTTATCTTTATCAAATTATTTATTAAAAGATTATTTCTATTTTTGGATTAAAAAAAAAAAAAAAAAAGAGTAAATCAACCCTGACCATTATTCGAGTAATTTTTTTTAAATATATTCAAAATCATTACGATTCGTACTTAATTTATTTTTTTTTTTTTTCTATTTTTTAATTAAAATATTATCTGTTATTGTATTCTTGTAATATTTATTATATTGGCAATATATTGTTATTGCCAATATAATAAACAATCAGTTTTTTTTAGAACAAGACAATCATAATATTGGTCAATATTGTCTTGTTCTATTGTGTGCGGAGTTTTAATAGATATATACCCTTCTGGATCAGAATTTATCATTATTTAGAATTTTTCAAAAAGGTCGTCTGCGTGACTGAGAAAGATTATATACAGAACACTTCAATACATTACAATCATAACATATGAACTCACGACTTCTTTTATGCTTTCTTATTATTACTATTATCCATTATTTAAACTATGAAGGAAGTTAATTTTAAGAGGAATATGATTATTTTGTTTTTTTTTTTCCAACTTTATTTTTCAAATAATAAGAAACGTTATCCCTCTGAATATTTTTTGACCAAAAAGTAATTGAAATAAATTCTACTGTTGTACATTTATGATATAAATATTATTGTTTGGTTTGGAAATTCTTAAATAATTCATTTGGAATTAGATAAGATGTAGATTTTCCAGATTTACCGAATCTTGAATGTATCATATGTTGATTAATGGTGACATATTCTGAATCTTTCTTACCGGTACTTTGATTTAGATAGTGTTTGGTAAAGTGAATCTCCATCAAAAGGTGAGGTAAGTGGAGTGAATCCTTCAGACACTTGAGCATCTGTTCCCATAAGATGTTGGAACAAGGATGGTTGAATCTTAGAATGACCAGTTGCAAACTAACACAATTCGTAATTGCTTTGAGTAGCGCGGAAAAAGGTGCAGTCCACTTCTTTTCGAAACGAGGATCCTCCAATGACATCGATTCCAAATGAAGCTCTGTCAACATCTTGCATTGGCCGAGTAGAGTTGCTATCTGTTGGAGTTGTTGCGGTGTGCCAATGCTTGCACCCAGCACTATCTTTCTCAGTTGGCTGCTGGATGTAGAAATCTCGAGATTTCCAATGCCGACATCCCTGCACGTTCTCAGCACTTGATGACAGTCACTAAGCTTGAAGTTGTTGGCACTCGAAGTGTAGTCGTAACCAATCACCAACTTCCTAGTCGCTAATCCCTCAAACCATAGATATGGTTCATCCGATGGCACCGGTATCTTCAAGCAGTCGAGTGACGGCTTTTGGAGAACCTCTTTTATCCATGGTGCGTGATGGTAATCCTCGATATTAAGAGGTTTCAAGAGATTGAGACTCCTGAGAGCAACAAGATTGTTGATAGCAGAGAGACTCTGAGTGTGTTGATAATTAACGGACAGCTTTTCAAGGGTGGTAGTAAGTGGTGAGTCGACACCAAAGATTACGTTTAAAGCGCTCTTTGTATCGGTAAAGGTGGATGGTATTTCCAATGTCAGTTTTCTCAGTGGATTCTCTTTGAAGACGTTCCAGGCACCGAAAAACTTGAGAATATCAGGTATCGATTGATTGTTACCCAAATGATATTCCAGTGACTGAATTCTGATTTTATCGATTCCAATAATCACGCCGTGAAACCTGGTTTTACGTGATGTGTCTTTTTGCGGATTGTTATCGAGTACTTTTACAGTGAATTGCAGTTGCTGTTTGGGTTTGATGTATTTTTTTATCAAGCTGACAATTCGAACCGAGCTGAAAGTGTTGCCAATCACAATGTTCTGTAGGGTGTCGCCGATGTTCAACGGTGCATAGTTTGACACCAGAATATTCCAACCCTTCAGAGTGTTACAAAACGTAGAGATATCGAGATTGACTACGTTACGCCACTGGCAATACGGATTGGCAAAGTGCGTTCTGAACGATTGGTTGTGCTCTAGAATAGAACTAGCATGCCTGCATGTCAAATCACCATTCAGAGGTAGTACCAACTTCATAACAAAACTATTATCTACATAGGGTGAGTTATCTTTAAACCAACTTTTAGACACCAAACCAAGTTCTAACAGTTGAGCCTTACTGATCTGTTTATCACTCCAACATTTATCAATAATTATTCTATGTACTACAACACTTGTTAACATTATATATATATATTATTATTATTTTTAAATAAATATTATTATTATTAATACAAAAAAAAAGATATTACAAAAAAAAGATATAAATCAAAGTAAAATTAAATCAATTTTATTAAAATTAATTTCCTTTTTGGAAATTTTAGTGAAAAAAAAAGATTTTTGTTTTTTTTATTGATGATCTTTGCAAAGACCACATACAGAGCTGTGCACATTTTATTTGATTATTATTGTATTGGTGTAGAAGTACATTTGTAAAAGATTTATATAGATTTATTTGTCTTTTGTCAAATGTTGTTTTATACATTTGTATTTTGATTTGACTTTAGACTATATGAATTTACACAGTTGGTAATGTTATTGGCCAATTCGAAAGGTAATCATTGTTTTATGATTATGTGTGGTCATTCTTAATGCAGTTGACTGCCAGTCTACTTAGCTATCTATAATATATAAACAAGAATTGATAAAAAGTTAATTAGTTAGTTATTAGTTATAATATAAAGTTAATAATAGTTTTATTATCATACCAATTATAAGTTTAAATGAAAAAAAAAAAAAGAAAATAACATATCACTATCATTTATTTTGTTTAATATTAAAATATAATATTTTCTATATATATGTATATAATAATAGAAATATATGTATTTATATAGTAATAATTAAACTGATAGTTTATTGATATGGATAATGTTTCTAGATATTAAATAAACCAAATTTATGAACTATATTAAAAAGTTTATTCAACAGTTTGATTATAACATAGAGTTGGAAAGATATTATATTATTCAGATCTACTGGTGAAATCGAATTGATTATCCAATCGTTGTTTCAATAGTTTTATAGATAACTAAAGTGTACGCAGATTTATAGAGATAACAATCGAAATCATTTTATTATCCTTAAGAAATAATACAAGTATCGACCAATCTATTTATAATACAGATAAACATTGTTTAATATTTGTTTGTTCTAAATTTATTTGTTTGTTTATTTATTTGTTGTTTGTTTATCTAAAACTAAATAACTATATCTCTTTGGAAATCAAAATTGCACTCCTTAAATAAGAATAGGAGCATCCACTAAAATGCATCGTTGCCTGGTGTTCTCAAAACCGTCCTGGAATTCTCACTTCCCAACTTAAACCAAAAAGCTAAAATTTTTGGTTTTTTGGGTTGAGATTAAACCAGGAACAGTCAAGATAGATTGATTTTCAGCAAATTTGCCTGTAATCGTTCAAATGTTTGTTTATTTTTATTTTTTTGGGAACAATCAAAAACCAATGAGATTTCAAAATGATTAAAATTAAATTAAATTAAATAATAATCATAATTTAAAAATAAATCAAGATTTTGATGTCCAAGACAATACAACAACAACAACAATGTTTGATATTTTTTTAATTTAAAACAACAATTGTTTATTAGATTTTATTTTATTTTATTTTTTTCAATTAATTTTTATTTTATTTTATTTTATTTTATTTTATTTTATTTGGCAGCAGCAGCAGCAGCAACAGGTGGATTGGCAGTCAGTTTATCATAACAAATAATACAAACTCTTGCTGGCTTGAAATCGGTTACTGGCAACCTGAACTTCTTATCTGAACATTTACCACAAACCAATTCTCCACAGTTTCTGCAGTGATGCTATAATTATAATTGATATTGAATATAAATATTAATATTATGTTTTGATTTAATTGATTGATTTGATTTGAAAGGTTAACAAACTTACTCTTCTATTTAATAATGTAAATCCTTCTGTACAGAATCTACATTCGGTGGTTGTTTCGTCCGGTACCCAAACAGGTGCTTCGGCACGTGCACCACCGGTCTCTGATTTCAAGGTGGAACGCTTCGATTGCAGCGACTCGATGGTCTCCGTTAGCTTGAGCATCCATTGCATCTTCATATCGGCGTTATCGGCGAAAACGACAAACGATTTCTTGGCACTGCAGATTTGGAATGCATTGACAATGATGGCACCGTTGTTGAGAGAGAGCGCACGACTTCCACCACTGTCGCCATCGGGAATATCTTCGATTCTACAGTGTTCCAGCATGATCTTCTCGTGCAACAATAACTTTGGTGGTATCGACGATCCGTATATCAACATATCGGAGAACAAAAACACATGTCTCTTCTTACATGCTTTTCTACATACTTTTGTTAGTATACCTTCGAATACATATGATCTATGTGCAGCGACAATCTAGATAAAGTTAATTATATAGAAAGTTATCATTGATTATTAATATATACAACAATTTGTTGTTTTAAATATAATAGTTTAACATACATCAGCATCACCAACAAACATGCTTTGAATTGCCAATACTTTTGCTCTGTTTTCACTACGTTTGATAGCTTCGTTCGCTTCAGATGTAACCTTTTTCATTTCGGCCAATGATTTGGCTAGATCTGTATAGTCTGGATGATCTGGTTCAGTATGTTTCAACACTTCATCCAACAACATATGATATCTTGTAATACGTTGAACAGGTTGAATTAAATATGATCTTAAATCTAACTTTCTTGTTCTTGGATCTTCTGTACATCTCTGTATTATATATATATAAATTATGTTAATGAATGAATGAATGAATACAATATCAAATATTATTTATCATACCTGAATAAATTGACTGAATGAAGAATTCTTTTCACATTCAGTTACAATGTTCATTACGTTATCGTAACCAACGGTGTAGTTTGTATACATCTTTAGGAATGGAATGAGTGTGAGGAATACATCACCGATACGCTGAGTGTTTGACCATTCTGCAAGTTTAGCCTCCAGTCTGTTGAGTAGTTCGATCGATACCAAAAGAATATCAGAGAGATTCGAACAGAGAATGGTTGCGCTGTCCTTGGAGATACCACCCTCACCTGCTTTCAGTGGATCGATAAACACCTCGACCAAGATCTTCATGTTATCACAGTAGGTACGTTCTGTCGTCAGAATCTCTTTGGCCTTGAGGTCACGCAGCGCTGTGAATGCGGCGAGATGCTCAAGCGATGGATGAACAAATTGCTCTTGAACGTTCGATTCATTAGGGATCAATGTTACACTAATTGAATCACGTGGTTCAGCTGCTGTAATACTGATATTCGCTTGTTGTGATCCTTGTGATTGTTGTTGTTGTTGTTGTTGTTGATGTGATGCTGTTGTTGATAAGTTGGGTGTTGATTTTTGTGATTGTAGAGTTGTTGGTGGCATGGGTGGTGCTTGTCTTGTCGGTGTTTGATGGTTGACAAGTGAGAGAGTCGATCCTGATTTAGGTGGGAGTTGGTGTGCCGGTGCTGTTGCCTGTGTTTTCAAAGACAACCTGGAAATGTCGGCTGGTGTATCTGGTAGTGGTTTTCGATAGGTTTGATGTTTGTTTTGTACATTTGATTGATTGGTTGTGTTGCTATTACTGCTGTTATTGCTGTTGCTGTTGTTGCTATGTGGTTGTAGTGTCGCTGACTTTGGATTTGACATTGTATTTGGACGTGGTACTTGTGAAAGGAAATCACTATTACTATTTGATTTAACAATTGTTGATGATGATCCTCCTTGTTGTTGTTGTTGTTGATGTTGATGACTATTTGAAATTGGTGAGTGGTGAGAATTTGGTGAATTTGGATGAAGTTGATTATGATTATGATTCTGTTGTTGTTGTTGTTGATTATTGTGAATATTTAAATTACTACTACTTGAGTTGTGTGGACGTGGTGGAAGTGGAGGTGTATGAGTGGTGTGTGAGGGAGAGGCTGTTGTTGTTGTTGTTGGTTGTTGAGAGTGTAATTCAGGTGAACGAGTATCTGGTGATCTTGGTGGTATTTGAGGCTGATGTAAATGACTCAAGTGGTGTAGTGGAGCTGCTTGATTAGGTGAAATATCTGGCGATCTTGGTGGAATCGGTGGAATGTGTGCTGCTTGATTATGATTATGGTTATGATTATGATTGGTAGTTGTTACCACTGGTGCTGCTGCTGTTACTGTTGCTGTACTCGACAGAGGAACTGGTGCAGTCGATGTTGGAGGTGGTGGTAATATTCTTCCACTACTGCTATTTGCACCTGAATTATTTAAATTTAAATTGGACTGGAAAAACAAAATATATAAAAAGATATTATTTATTAATATATAATGCAAGTAAATAAAAATATTGAATTTGTTTATATTTTAAAAGAGTAAATATTGAATACAAAGTAAAGAAAAGTAAAGAAATATAGAAAAGTAGTTGTAGTAGTAAATAATAAAGTAAATGGAAAATTGAAATGAAAAAGATAGTTTAAAGAAAAGTGCAAATGGAAATATCGATGGATGGATGGATGGGTGTTTGGTTAGAATACTTACAAGACTTGGTGCAGCCTTCTTTGGTTTTGGAGGTGGAGGTTGTGGTGTTGCCATGGCTGTTTAAAAATGTGTTTTCTTCTTTTTTTACTATACTAGTATATTACAACTGTTGTTTTTATTTTTAATGTATGTATAAATTATTTATTATTTAATGGGATCGGAATTAAAACAAATCAAAACAAATTTTGACTATTGTTTGTTGATTGGGGGTTGGATTTGCTTTGATTCTATTGTTATTCAAAAAATTTTAAGATTGTTTGTGCAAATATTAAAAATAAATAAAAATTAACAAAACAACAACAAAATTAATGTTTATCTAAAATAACTAATTAAAAATACTGTTTGAATTTAAGATTCTTGAAAAATTGATATTATTTTAATTGTGTGTTGTTGTTGTTGCTTTATTTCAAAAAACACACACACACACACACAACGACAGATATTGAATATTTATCTTTTAAAAGAGAGATCAATTTAATTGTTGTTGTTGTTGATGTGTGTATATTATATATTTAATTGTTGTTATTTTGTTGTTGTGGTGAAAAACAAACAAATAACTCAATGAAATATGTTGGGTGATGGACTGACTGATTCGATCTGAGCAAATATTGAATTTTGTTATCTTCTATCTATTCTTTTTTTTTTTTTATTCAAATACTTTTGTTGATCTAAGAAAACTATACAAAAGATTGATTCTAATATATTCTTAACTTCTAGAGTTTTTTTTTTAAAAATATTTAAAAATTGAAAAATAAAGAACTGTTATTGTATTGTTGTTATTTTATTTTAAAAATATTACAAAGTATGATTTATTTGATATTTTTGCAACAAAAATATTGTGATATTTTTTTTTATTCAAAAAAAGAAAGAATAAGAGAGGTCAAATCAATCACAAAGCTCAACA